CTTTACAGACCTTGACTGCTTTGGTTCGAGAGACTACGGTGAAGGCAAAGCGGCAGCGAACTATGCACGATTTCTTTACGTGCACCACATAATTTTTTTAACTGAGTCCATTTTATATGAGTCATTGTAGTAGATGGTCACCAACAGGGCCTCATATGAACAGGTTTGACTGTAGCTCACATACAAATCACTGGTTCTGCCCAGGTGACAAAACTTATGGACAGCTAATCCCCATACAAAATCCTATATTAAACAAAACCCCGGACAACTGATACAACTTGGACTTTGTATGGGGCGACAAAGGAACCAGCCTCACGGCGATACTCGCGACGTTAGACAAATATCTGATGGCATTATCGTGTACTAGAAGGTGTGTTTAGTGATCTGTAATAAACACATCGACCATCGCACAGAACTGAGCAAGTAGTAAGCGACTGAAATTTCGAGTGGTGGCTACCATGTATTATCTGATGATTTGCGAGACACCTTCAGTTGCATCCTAGTTAGTGCCAATTTGTAGCTCTGTATGCTGCTATCTTTTGGATATACGATTGTCTTCTCCATTCTAAACTGTTGGTCGATGATATATGGCTCAGTACTAAGGTAGAGTGGAGAAATCATGGGTTCCTTTGTTGCCCCATACAAAGTCCAAGTTGTATCAGTTGTAAGGGGTTTTGGTTAATATAGGATTTTGCATGGGGATTAGCTGTCCATAAGTTTTGTCACCTGGGCAGAACCAGTGATTTGTATGTGAGCTACCTGAAGAAGCGCAAAAGCGCGCGTGTTAGTAGCGTGCAGATCTTTATCAGCAACTCTAGTCCAAACCGCACCTTAAAACGATAAAAAATGACGAAGTTACAGCCACTTTTGGTGGTGTCCATATCTTTTTGTCGTGGAGTGTAACGAGTGTCGCAATGGACAGTGGACGCCAAGTGCACAATAAGCCCTCATCTTGCCTCGCCTCAGCAAGTGTATATATGCATAGGATACAGTATCACCATTTCTGGATCATATTGCCCTGCAGTTGATTAATTTGGATACGTACACGCCACGTTAGCGGCGATCTTCTTGAACCGTTTATCATCGAGAGTATGAAGACTTTGTTTTTAGAGAGAACTTGACCTGGTGGTGTATATTTAGGCACTTATTTCGGAGCCTGCTGGAAGCTGGTCCAAGTGAGTTGAGAGAACTTGACCTGGTGGTGTATATTTTGGCACTTGTTTCGGAGCCTGCTGGAAGCTGGTCCAAGTGAGCTAAGTGAGTTGACCTAAACTATTCGTAAACTATTCGTAGTTGATCGGTTTCCCTTCCTGAGGTCGTGGTGAGGCGGTGGTTTGAGGGGATGCGGTTGCAGAGGTTAATCGGGAGTTCCATTAGGGGGGTGACTTAGGGGGTTCCAGGGGATGTAGTGATGGAGGTAGTCGGGGGTCGGAAATAGACTTACGTGGCTTTTGTATCGGAATCGCTCCGGGCGAGACTCGAAGTTAAAAGTGCCAGTGCTTGCCAGCGAACATGCTGACCACCAGCCAGCCGTTCGAGCATGATGATGTAGCGCTTCGCTTACGCGGCAAGAACACCGTGGACTTGGGAGTCGGTCGACAGATGAGGAAAATACACTGTACATGTACATCTGCAACGAGTTGCCCTCCGTCTGGAATCGGATGATGCGACGACGCATGCCTCCCTCGGTAAAGCCTTGGCCGTCGCGCAAGCACAGCTTGTACAGCAACACCGGGCTGCAGCGGCCCGTGCGGCGTCCACTTGGCTTGGAGAACTGGGTCGGCAGTTTTAGGGATGAGATAAAACTGAAAAACTAAGACTGAAGCAGCCGGTGTCGACAATCGGCGCCGAGACTGGCATCAACCTGCCGATACGTAATCGAGAGTCATTAAAGCAACATTGAAAATCAGCCTCAATGTGTGGGATCAATAACATTGATGGGTCCAATGTTGCGTGATCGCTAACATTGACGCAATGTAAATTTTCCCGACGTGAAATTTCATGTTTGGAGCGACTGGCTCACAACAGCTCTCATTTCAGAATCTACCGGGAAGGAAGCAAGCGCCCGCGAGCTCGCTCAGCCTCCGCGTCGTGCGACCGTCTGCAGCGGTCACCCGCTCAACCTTATTCTAATGTGTGCATGTCCTACTGCGGTGCTTATATGCGTGTGTGTACTACGTATGCGGGAGCAAACGCCTTCCCAGTGCGTTGCGTTGCGTTAGGCGCGATGCGTGTTGCATGCGATCGAATGCGCTAACTTCCAAGCAGTCGTAAGCGCTTTTAATGCGCCTCTAGCCAACAGCGCAGTTAGGTTAAGGGGGGAGGGCGAGCGAACGCGAGCGCGAGCCTCGCTGAGCGCGTTCACCGATCGTCAACACCCGCCGATCAGGCGGGGGCGGGTCTGCGCGAGCGAGCGAAGGCGAGCGCTGCAACCCGATATTTTTTTCCTAGACACCGCGCCTGGCCGAGCCGAGAGCTTAGCGTAAGGCACGAGGGGGTGGGGCAGGCCGCACAGCGGCGCCCCCCGAGCGAAGCGAGAGAGGGGCGGGCCCCCCGAAGTGCCGTCGCTTAGTCCGCAGGCGAAAGCCAACGCGAGAGTGTCCTGCCAACTAGGAATAGACAACACGTGGCGCCCAGGTAGAGCTGCGCGTAGATCCCGTAGAGCCCATTCCCCTGCTGCATGTGTCGGTGCGTACACCATGACGCGCTTGCCGCGTTAGCGGCGGAAGCTGTTGGCGCACGCCCCGAGTGATACAGCGTGCTTCGCTGTCGTGCTGTCGAGCTGTCGAGCTGCGAGCTGTCGTGACGACGCGCGTCCACTATTGTCACATTGGTAAACCAAATATTCTGCTACGATAGATACCGTAACATTGTGCAATGTTAGGCAGAGGCACCATTGTTGCGCTCAATATTACGCAACGCCAACATTTCAATGTTGCTTTAATCAGTGCCTACGTAATCGAGCTGTGCGCTTACGAATCCGAGCTCACTGCGACAGCGCCGATAGGCGACACATGTCCGCGCCGATTTGGGATCGTGTGGCCACCGCAGTGTTCACTCGGCGACGCGACGAGCGCGGGTCATGAACTTTTGTGATCTTGGTTGGTCGCTGTGCGATGGGGGGCTGCTTCAATGTGATCCGTCAAACTGGGTACCACCGCAACGCGGTGGTGTCCAACGCCCTCCTTTCTACAGCAACATGACAGGGGACACATCGTGCTTCATCTTGCAACGCTGAGTGTTCCTTCTTCTCACGCTGGTCGCTAAGCTTACTTCAGAGGCGCTGAAAGCACAGCAGTGCCGTGCCGTGACCTCGGGCGTTCGAACAGCAAAGCTCACCAACATGGCGACCGGGTGGCGGTTAGTAATTTCACGCCACCGAGGCTCACCGAATCCGGCTAGAGGTCCGATACCATAGCGCTCGTGTCCACTTCGACTGTCAAACACGCCACCCACCGTTGCAGTTTCATCGGACTGCAACGGTGGGTTTCTCGTCGAGTTGCAGCGGCGCTTTCGTACGGTAAACGCCGCTGCAACTCGACGAGAACATCCAGCGACGATCACCGCTCTATGTCGCTGCGAAAAAGCTGGTTGCCCTACATGTAGCGATTTTGCTCGGTTTGACATGGGCTGAAGGATTTGAACGCGACTGCGCGCCAGCCGTTGGCTAACTGGGTTCAGTCGAACAGCAAAGTGTCCTACGGGGGCTCACCTCAGGCGCCAGCCATCGAGTGGATTGGCAGCGGCCTTGGGAACTAGCCACGCAGCGCTCCGCTGAACTCGAAAGCCCCGCTTCAGCCCATAGTGAAGTGATCCGTGCGGACTCCAATGTAATAAGACGGTATAATCCCGGCGGTGCCGCGCTAGAGGCTATACCCAAACTACTCTATGCACCTCGACAACCGATGTGTACCATTCTGCGGAACAGTAAGAGTCGATGTGGCTTTGCACCTTTAATGATTCAATACATTGTCAGAACGAATACTGCGGTGTAGAACGAAAAGCGGCTGGCGACGCTCGCCGGCGCCAAGTCGCCCGCTCTCCGTCTCACTTTGAAATCCGCAGCCCGGAGCGCACACGCACACGCCCTCGATCCGTGTCCGTCCGTCCATCCATCCATCGCGCTCGCTCCCCGGTTCCCTCTGGTTATTGTCGAATTGGCTGCACCCTCAAGAGTCCGAAGAACTATGGTGACCCGCTCGTTCCTGCCGCTGGTGGCGTCCGCGCTGCTGGCCGCGAGCCCCGACATGGCCAGCGCCGCCGTGACCTCCTCCGACATCTGCTCGAGCGCCGCGTTCCAGGCGCTCTCGGGCACGCGCCTGGGCGACAGCCCCATCTTCATGCGGGCGCTGGTGCAGGGCGACGAGGTGTGCATCGAGTACCAGCTCGACGCGTCCGTGGCCAGCTCGGCCACGTGGTTCGGCGTCGGTCCGTCCCGCGACTCCAACATGGTGAGCAGCCCGGCCTCCAACGTCATGATGTTCTTCAAGGACACGGCCAAGCCGGTGTCGTACCTGCTCGGCGGCTACGTCAGCAGCGACGTGACGGAGGAGAGCGACCAAACCTCGTTCGTCGTGGACAAGGCCAGCGCCTCCAGCATGAGCTTCAGCTACCAGCGCACGCTGGCGGCCGCCACGACGTCCGAGGTGGCCATCTCAGCCACGGGCGCCACGGACTTCATCTGGGCATACGGCACGTCGTGGCCCATCTCGACGCACAAGAGCGGCACCAACGGCGCCGCCACCTTCAACATCGCCGCGGCTGCGGCCGCCTCCGGCTCGGGCGCCGGCGCCAGCACGACGGTCGGCTCCAGCACGTCCACCCCATGGTGCGACGACAAGAACTGCCCCGGCATCGTCGGCGGCATCGCCTTCGCCATCATGGCCGTGTGCGGCCTGCTGCTCACTGCGGCGCTCAAGTCCTCGCCCGTCGGCAAGCTGCTGCTGCACCGCACGGTGGCCGCGCCCCCCGTCAAGCTCACGACCAACGCGCCCGTGGCCAAGCCGCACACCATGTTCATGCAGACGCTGGCCGACCTCCACCTCGGTGAGCTGCTGGTGATGCTCATCTTCGTGGGCGCCGTGGTGGTGCTCATTGCCCTGCTGAGCGACGAGGACGACTACGTCGTGTCGGGCCAGGTGAGCCTGCTGATCCTCATGTTCCTGATCCTGCCCGTGGCGCGGCTGCCCGTGTGGTCCGTGCTCTTCGGCAGCTCGTTCGAGCGCATCGTCAAGTTCCACCGTTGGCTCGGTCTTATCATGAACGTCGCGGTCATTGTCCACGTCGTGCAGGCCAGCAAGGTCGTCGACCTCACGCTCAATGAGAAGTACGGTGAGGTGACGCCGCTGCCTGGTTTTATCGCCTTCGTGTGCTTCATCGCCATGCTGTTCCTGTCGATCGAGTACATCCGCCGCATGTTCTTCGAGGTCTTCTACTTCACGCACCGCGTGCTGTCGATCGTGGGCTTCGTCTTCACCATCCTGCACGCCCCCAAGTTCATTGGTCTAGCGCTGTGTGTCCCGCTTGGCCTGTACGTCCTTGGTCTGCTGTACCGCTGGTCGAGCGCGTTCACGGGCTCGTACAAGGCCTCGGTGTCGGTGCACTCGGGCTCCAACTCCACGACGCTGGTTCTTGACTCGACCCCGAAGACGGGCAAGATGGCCATGAACGTCAACCCTGGCTCGTACTTCCTCGTGCGTCTGCCGGCCATCTCCGCTACTCAGTGGCACCCGTTCTCCTCCATCGTGACTCCGGATGGCAAGTCGCTTGGCTTCTGCATCAAGGCTATGGGCAACGGCTCCTTCACGCGTCAGCTCTTGGAGAAGGCCGGCACGCAGTATGAGATGACGGCCAACCTGTGTGGCCCCTTCGGTAAGATGTCGCTCAACGTGGATCGCTACGATGCAGTTGTGCTGGTGGCCGGTGGTGTGGGTATCACCCCCATGATGAGCCTTATCAACCAGTACCGCCTGTTCCCGACCAGCAGCAGCGACTCGGACAAGGCCCCCAAGGCTGCGGACTGGTACGTGCTGTGGTCGGTGCGCGAGCCGGAAGACATCTTGATGATGGAGCAGTTCCTGCCGACGCACGCCCAGCTCGACTACGCAGCCCGCGCCAGCGTTCAGGACCCGAACATGGCCATCCTCGGCAACAACGCTCCGGCGCCGATCAATATCAACTGGATGTTCCACGTGTCGAACGCCCGCACCGACGGTGTGGTCACACGCTCGAACGGCGAGACGCTGTCCTACCGCGGCGGCCAGCCAATTCTTGACGAGCTGATCAACACCAGTCGCTTTAACGGCCGCAAGGTGACGGTTGTGGCCTGCGGTCCGCCCACCATGACTGTGACGGCCCAGTCACTCGCGCGCAACTGCAACTTCGACTTCCACAAGGAGGTCTTCAACTGGTAAACTACATACAACTACAGTTTGGGTCATTATCAGGGTGTCAAAAGTAGCAGCTCAGTTTAGTTTAATCGCCAGTCGAAAGTATCCTTCTTCCCTCCCTTCGTACGACCAACTTCTTTCTCCTGAGCGCAGAGCATCCAGTGCTTGTCACTCGACATAGTCAAAATCATCCTTGATGCCGAGCCATTTGTCAACCTTCATGGTAGTACCGGACATGATCAGTTCAGTAAACGTTCCCCAGCAAATGAGCACTTCTACAAGTTGCAGCTACCTCTCGGCCCTCGACACCACGCTTCTTCACCACCCACGACTTGAGAGTGTACACATTGTCTGTTGCATGCAGTTCACCCACCGTCAAACCCTACGAGCACTATAGGTAGCACACAATACACAAGCAACACGATACCTGTCCATCTGTCGGAGCCTTCCTTCGCCATTCGCACCTTGCGCTCGAGCTCTTCCAAAATCGCGGGGTCGTTCTCCGCCAAGTGCTGCACTTTGGTACGCAGTGCTTGCACCTTCGCCTTTTGTTCTTCCAGCCGGCGCAACTTTTGCACTCGTTCCTCCTGCACCATTGACAACGTCCATCACTTAGTCACTCACGCTTAAGCTTCCGGTGCCATTGCTGCTGGCACTTCACCGTACCGATCCCGAGCGCAGAGCCTTCTGTTCCTCAATACTTTGGTTCACTTTGACAAGCTTTTCCTGTACGTTTTGGCGACGCTGCTCCAGCTCACTGAGCTTGCGCTTCCTCGACTGTGACAGCTTGGACGGGAAGGACCAAAAGTAGTTCCCCGACCCGATCTGCACAGCCAGAAGACGAATTAAAAACAACAAAACTTCATTAGTTGGAGCCTGCAACACTAAATACGTAGCTACAATAGCGCAGCACCTTATCGCAGTCCACCAATGCATCGTCCACCAGCGCTTGGTTCACGTCCTTGACCGTTTGCAGAACTGCATATACAAAATATACAGTAAAATTGTATTTTACGTTAGACCATAATAATTGTTTGACTATCGCTCTTGCTGAGAGCGCTGAGCCCACGCACCGACGCCAGCTTTGGAGCCGAGCTTTTCCACTTCCTTGAGATTGAACACCTCCTTCGACTCGTGGTAGATGTGCAGGATGCGCTCGCGCTTCTCCTGCAGAGAGACGCCCTTGCGGCCCATTGCGTTGGCTAACGTTGTTCGAATCAAAATGGCTTTTGTGTAAGCACAAAAACACAAAAACACTCACTGGGGTTAAGGGAGGCAATCAGTATATTGACAGCAAGTCTATTACGCTGTTATACCTGCGTTAGTCTAGCTTCACCTCGCGCAACCCGCCAACCAACGCAGCCGTGCGTTGAAGTGTTCGCCGCGTGCGAAGCAGTAGGTCGTCCAGCGTGCTGTCATTCTCGATCACGAGGTCTGCCTTGGCCACCTTCTCCTGCTCAAATGGGAACATCACGACAGAAGTTAATTAAAAGACCAGGCACCTTTACCGTGGTTGATGCCAACAATACGTCACGTACATGCAGTTTCATCTGCGACTTGATGCGCTTCTCCGCATCTTCTCTCTTCATGTTGTCCCGCTTCATGAGCCGCTCGAGCTCGTTCGCCTCCGAGCACGCCACCACGATCGTCGGGTAGCAGAAGTACTCGAGCAGCTTGGTCTCGAACAGCAGCGGCGCATCGAACATCACAAGGCGCTTACGGCAGATCAGACGCTGGTACACGAGCTGCTTGAACATCTCCCAGATGATGTACTTGTGGGTCGCCGCGTTGAGTTTCTTCCGTTTCTCCGGGTCGCTGAAGATGATAGCTCCGAGCTTCGCGCGGTTGATGGTCGCATCCTCTTCATTAAGCACCCCAGCGCCAAAGTAGCGCACGATCTCCTTGTACGCGCCGCGACCGGGCATCACCACCTCTCTGGCCACCACATCGGCGTCTACGATAGCAGCTCCAGCCTCCCGAAAGGCTTTGGAGACCGTGCTCTTGCCAGTCGCGATGCCGCCCGTGAGCCCAACGCCGACCAACGACGCTCCCAAAGCTCTCCCCACCAAGTAGCCACCCGCCAACACAGCACCGTCACGAGTCGAGAACTACAAAAGCATTATTCACATGCATCAACCAGTCGGTGTATTTCCTTATCCTGACATATACAGGTTTAGGACATATTCACATTATCCGCATTTTCGTACCAACGGGGCGAGGGCAAACGGCGCGAGCGCCAGCAGCCAGCGCTTCAACGAATGTTTCCGCAGCTTCTCCTTCAGAACCCCCAACGGCACGCCGAGCAGTAGGCTCAGCGGCGCGAACGCCACGAGCTGCACTGCATCCAGCATAGCGCAAGTCTCAGCTAATGAAAAATAACCGTTGTCATCCACCAATCAGATGGCTTGAAATCCCTGGAATCCAGTCAGCAGGTCAACCATAAGCAGCTAGCGACGAGATGCCGCCGTCCAAGCAATTGCGAGCGTCGAGCAGCGCCCCCTCCAGCGTGACGCTGGCGGCACTGGCGCCGCTACTCGAGTTCCTGGACGCCCGCGGCGTGGCGGCGATCGTGTGCGCACAAAAGTCCGTCGGCCGCGAGGGCTGCGCTGCCGTTTGGTTCTGGCTTGTCAGTCGCGCCAGTTGCCTGCTGCCGGGCGTGGAGCTGCCGCGTCAACCGCCACACAGCGAGACGCTGCAATTTGCAACTGTGCTGCCGCTGCTAAGGCAACTACAGGCAGTTGGATCGTGTAAGTTTGGGGATAACTTTCAGTTGTTACCCATTTCTTCGCGTTTGACCGATACGTTCGTTCACTTACTGCTGTACTTGCAGACAACTTTGATCTCCACTTCGATGCTGCGAGACACGGCGGAGACGTGTACTTGGTGGAGAATGGAGACCGCTATGTGTCCCATTGGGGGCCTAACGGAGGCTCGATGTTTGGCGACCGGGCGTGTGCTGCGGGGGCGGTGAGCTACTGGGAGTGTGTGGGACTCAGTGAAGGCAGCTACATTGGCATCACTGAGGTGATCTCCCAGGGACAAGCTGGATTCCGGTACTATGGAGTCGATGCGCAACATTTGAAGCGGACGCTGTCGCTGCCGACACCGGCATGCGACCACATGCCGGCGGTGATGTACTGCGAGGGTGGATTCATCACTACCGGGTCGTTCCGAGGTCCCAAGCCGCAACTCCCCGCTCGAGTGAACTTTTTGGATGCGGGAACGTTTAAGGAGGAGGATCGAGTTGGTGTGATGGTCGACCTCCTGGCTGGATTCTTGCTGTTTGTGCGAAACGGGGAGCCGCAGGGTATGCGGATTCCCATCGACCGCTCCAAGAAATACCTCCCGGTGTTCAGTGCCTGCGCCTGTTACAATTTGCAGCTCATACCCGATGCGCGCCCGCCATGGAATCGCATTTATTCGATCGAAGAAAGCTGCAGAGGCGCCGCCAAAGAGATCGAGTTGCTGGAGTCGTCCAGTGTGGATAGACAATGCGCAGTTGCTACCTGGGCTTGAGCCTTCAAACAGCAGTCTACCTCACCTGGCAACGACACCAACGTGTAAATCTATGCTAAATAATGTATTTCTTGTCTACAGCAAAACAAAAGTGTGTGCAACCAAGGTGGAATGGAAGGTTGAAAATGTCGAGACGGATGTTGAAAAGGGCTGGAAATTCTTACCCAGATAAGGGGCGTCAGACTTTTAGAAGCCCGAAACGTGGCTGATACTACTGTAGCATTGTCTTTTGCTCAAAGTCCACTGGGGCATACTTTATTATCATCTTCATCTCATCATTGTCTTCAGCTTGTGTTTACTTTAGCGCGTTGTCGAGCTTCGTCGTGGCTTGCCTCGTTCTTCTTCGAACATGTCACCAACAACCATGACACCCATATCGATGTCATTGCCAATAATTTCGTGGTGTTCAAGAATCGCTGGGTGGTGACCGCGGCGTGCTCAGCTTGGGATGCCTAGGCTGCGTCAGGATTTGACAGCACTCGCTGAATCGAGTTCGAGCTGCATCTCTGGTTTAAACGAGACACATTTCGAATGCACTATTCGGAGGGCGAGCAACACAGATCATGTACAACCTCAGGATAACCCGCCCAATACTGGGCTGCGTGCGCATGGTGCTGGCAGAAGCTTCTCGGTACGATACTTAATGCACTCGTCTCGGAAAAGAGCAAGCAGGGGCCGGTGCGGCCATGTTTACAATTTAGCGTTCTCACTAAACGTACATTCGTCGTGTCTTGACAACAAAACATCTCGAGGATGCCACAAAAGTCCGCGGAAATGCGCTTAAGCCGTCGAGCCCTGGATGGTGACGACAACCTTACGCTGGTGTCCAGAGCCCCAGCCTCCGACATTGCGGTGCTCGCACAAGTAGATTCCTACCATGGACAACGAATGAGAAGCCATACTACCCAGACAGTACGCAATCGTCCCTACCTTGCCACGTGCCGAGGTTGAACTTGCCGTTCGTGATCGGAATGTTCACTGACGCGCCGATCAGTGTCGACTTGATGTGGCCCGGCATGTCATCTACTCCATCATGAGTCAAGCATTAGAAACTCGCGATAAAGTAGGTGATCCCCAGCATGTTCTACTCACCGTCGCCTTCGTCCGTGTGGCGGAAAAACTCCCTACAAAGAACGCAAACAAGTGTAAGAAGAGGAAATACTAATCCCTGACACTGCTGCGCTCTATCGCGCCTTGCTTACTTGTTCCACGATTCCGGAACGATGCGGTTGAACGCGCCCTCCATGTCGGTCCTGCAACAAAAATATAAAAATATCAATGAGTGCTCAGCGCAATCGCCACCCGCTACGTAGAGATAGCAATGGCGTTCTACGTACCGGACGTCCGGGTCGCAGTTCTCGTTGATACTGAGCGACGCAGACGTGTGCTTGATGAACAGGTTGGCCATGCCGACCTTGACGCGATAAAGCTCCGGGAGCTACGCCACCAATTGCAAACAAATATTAATAAAATAAATACGAAGGAGATGAACAAATTATACGCCCAAGTGCCCGAGTAATGGTATGGGGACACCATGACATACCTGCTTCTCGACCTCGCGCGTCACCACTATCGAAGGAAAACAAAAATTATAAGTTTAGTCCTGAAGAGTTGGGGACATTTTTCCTTTAGTGGGTGATACGGAAGACGCACGGTGGAAGCCGCGGCTGGGCGCCGTGAGCACGATCTCCTTCTGGAACCACGTCGCCATCTTGGCTGCTTTACGTCTCGATGAAAAGTGGGGAACTGCATCCAGCTCGTTGATTGGCTGACTGATGGTTGTCAAAAACAATGCGTGGACCACCCAAATCGGAGGTGGAATGACACGTTCATCGATGCTCGAGCATGCGAGAGGCAAGTTGCCAAGGTGCTTTGTGTCGTTAGATTAAAGACGCGAGTCGTTAGTGAACGAGCCTCATCTTGCGACACAATTCGTGCGATGCGTTTGCAGTTTGTCCCGAGTTCAGCCACTATTCTGTGGAACAACCTTCCAGGTTAGTGGGTTGCCTTGGTGCTGCTGGAAAACGCGGTGACTTCAGCTCTCATTTCGGATTTCGACGGTAGACACGAGAGCGCCTGCATCCCTTCAGTTCACCCAAGCACAACATGGGCAAGTCTTCTACTCGCAACGTTGCCGCTGAACAAGAGTTCTCCAAGCTGGAGCATCTGCTGGAACAGACAGCAGACGAGATAGCCAGCTGCCTCAAGGTTCTGAAGACCAACCTCGCCGAGTACGACAGCCGCAATGGGCTGCTCTTCGCCAACACCTCAAAGTCCTTCATGAGGAGCGACATTCGTGCTGCGAAGGACGTGGCTTCCGAGTTGCGGCACGTCGCTGACCAGATCTCCAAGAGTGACGCTCCGTCCGAGTGGGAGATCACTGCTACCCGCAGCAAGATCAACGCCGTCTTCGACGCCTTGGGTCAGCTCAAGAAGACCGCTCGAGCCTACGACCGGAAGGACAAGTCGAAGGGAATTGCAGGGATTCTTGGCAACGCACTCACCGGCAACAATGACAGCGGTGACAAGAACGGGAACAACGCCATCAGCAACGACAACCCCAAGAACAGCAACTTGGGATCGAATAACGCCCGATCGGTGTCTGAAGGAAGCTGGTTCGGAGAAGACAGTAGGGCCAGCAACAGCGGACGCAGCAGTGACAGTGGCGCGGACTTTTCCCGAGCGAGCGATACGGTGGAGGCAGTGGTGAAGCGCACCTTACACGACAACTTCAAAGGGTTCTCTGCTCTCAAGCACCAAGTCTTAGTTGCAGAAGAGTCGTTGTCTCCCTCGTTCGCAGAGCGCGTTATGGACACTGTGAGCTCCATGACCAGCAGCTTGAAAGGTGAGGCCGAGTTTGCGCCAGAAGGGATAGCGAAGAAGAGCATGAGCGTGTAAGCTTCGCACAACGCCGATCGCGCGTCCTCGGCACTATTTGAATGAGGAACCTTCATCGTCACTTGCATTCGCTAGCTTTACCGCGCAAACACTTTGCCAGTACTACATGTAGTAATTAATACATTTTCTTTGACGCAATGAGAACTGCATGTAGCAACACTGTTTGAAAGGGGGAAAATCGCTGGGGAGAGCATTGCCAAATTAGCAATATATTGCTGCTACTGTATTATCTCGGCTGCCGCGTACGTTGCATTGTGAAAACTTGTTAGAGAAAGCTTGTTGCAAACTTCGAGCATCCCACTGTTCCAGATAGCCAATGCATAAGACAACTTCAACGTATATCGTCTTCAACAGGGTTTACTACCGCTTGCTTTCAAAGATTTACATGCCGTGATACGTACGCCGAAAATTGTTCAATAAAGACTCCGTGCAGAACACTGTAACCTTAGCGCTACGCATGTACATACCATGCATTTAAACACTTTCAAGGACCTTTACACATGTCAGGCAGGGTGCTTGGATTTTCAGTATTGGTCGTCGTGGTGAGACAGTCGAAATGGATTCTCCCCTTCATATCATTCCGCCTGGGTTCATTTTGCTCGATATCGGATCCCCCGAACCGATGTCTTTGTCTTCCATGATGATGCACGGCTCATTCCACAAGTTCCCCTGAACAGCACAAGCCGATCAACCAAGCCCCTCACCACAAGCATGGGCAAGTCCACCACCACCACCACCGCTAACGCTCTCTCCGAGCAGGAGTTCACCAAGCTGCAGGCGCAGCTGCACCAAAGTGCCCAAGATACGTGGAGCTACCTCGAAGCCCTCAAGGCCAACCTAGGCGAGTACGACCACAAGCACCATCTGCACCTTTCAAGCTCGGCGACGTCGTTCTTCAACGATGGCCTCGACCACGCCAAGGAGGCAGTGAAGCAGCTCAGACACGTGGCTGACCACATTCGCAAGGAGGCTGGCGAGGCCGATGTCGTCGCCGCTCGCAATGCGATGGAGCAGGCTTTCAACGCCCTGGCTGACCTGCAGAAGGTCGCCAACGCGTTCGACACCGAGCACCCGACGCCCAGCAGCAGTAAGCAGAGCGAGAAGAAGCCCACCACGTCTGAGACGGTAGGGTGGCTCGTGAGCACCACTCGTGACACCACGTTCAGTGGTTTCGCGCCACTGCAGCGCCAGATCATCGAGGTCCAGACCGCTATCGGTGGGGCCGAGAAGCCGTCGATCAAGGCGCGCGCGAAGGATGCTGTGCACCACGTGGCCAACAAGATCGACAGCAAGCTGGACAAGATCAAGAGCGAGCTGAGGTCAAGTCCGAAGGCCAAAGACGAGCAGCAGGCCGAGGCTTCTGCGCACAGAGCGTAAAGCGCGACAAGCTGATAGCGACGTAGCAGCTGCAGCGAGTAAATACAGTAGTACAAAATCAACAAACTTGATCCTTTTAAGTTGAAGTTACATGATCTCTAATGCTACGAGTTCGTCTGCGTTACGTACACAACGCTAGGACGCTGATAACTTTACCGGACGGATGTGGTCTCGTTTTCCGAAACTGGTGCCGCCACTACTATCGAGGTTACAGTAGAAGGGGCCACTGTAGGTGGAACGCTTGTCACGATGGTAGTGCTTGCGCCGTGGAGGAAGTGCTGAGTGTAGTATCGCGTGCGTAATAGAGACTGGAGGTCGGCGGCATCCCGACGACGCTCAGCAAAGTGCAGCGCCAAACCTCCAACGCGTGCACCAAAGCGCAGAAGAAGCCGCGCAACCTTGACATCACCCAGCAGGGCTGCGGCGTCGAGAGGGCTGGTGCCGTTGTGTTTAGCGACAGTGGCGCTCGCCCCGCCATCAAGCAGCGCCCTCACGACGGCCCTGTGGCCTCGGTGAACTGCGGCGAAGAGTGCTGTGGCGCCACTGGCAGTCTGGATATCGCGAGCGGCACCAATCTCCAGGAGGAAGTTAACCAGTCTAATGTGACCTTCCTCACTAGCGATGTACAGCGCCGTCAACCCGGATCGGGTTTGATCATTCAGACGAGCACCGCAACGCAGCAGCGCTCGAGAGACGGCCTTCCGTCCCATGCGAGCTGAAATGTGCAGCGCTGTTGACATGTCGTCCATCTTGGCGTGCACGTCGGCCCCCGCACGCACGAGTAGCTGAACAATCTTGTCGTGGCCCTCCTGAGCAGCGATATACAAGCAGGACACGCCTCCCTGCGGTCGGCGGAAGCTCGGGTCGGCACCACGTGCTAATAACAGAGACGCGATGGCCACGTATCCCATTTGACACGCTAAGTAGAGAGGAGATACGTTCTCGTCCATGAGGACATTGGCGTCCAGCTCTGTCAACAGCAGAAGATCGGAGACCACGAACAGGTGGCCGCCTTCACAGGCCAAGAACAGCGCTTGCACCAGTTGCTGCTTGCTGATGCGGCCTCGAACTTGTTTCTCGTCCTCCGCCTGCTTCTCCGCTGCGAGGAGTCTTAGCACAGTGGATCTGTGCCCGTTCTTGGCGGCGGCACACAATGCAGTCGCGCCACCCGCGACAGCGTAATCCCTTCGTGCGTTAGCGTCGAGCAGCATGTCCACCAGCACATCCCAGCCATGCTCGCTTGCGAGGTACAGAGGCGAAGCCAGACTCAACGAGCGCGTGTTCACTTCACCTCCAGCTCGCAGGAGCAATCGCGTGGCTTCAGTCAGCCCATTGGCGACCGCGAGACTCAGCGGTGAGTGTCCATCGGCATCGGTGTTCTCCAAGTCGAAAGCGGCACCTCTGGGCTGGTCCTTTGCCAGTTCCAGAAGCACCGGCAACACGCGCGTTCTGCCACTCGCACATGCGTACAGCAGTGCGGACATCAACGCCAAGCGATCTTCCTCCTCCTCTCGAGCATTCACGTCGACAGCGTCGCGGCCACTGGTAAGTAGCAACGGGACGTCCAGCAACGTTCGTGGTCCACTGGCAACCAGTGTGCGGGCGAAGACTCCAATGTCACGCTGAAGTTGACGTCGGCACCACCGGCTGAATTCATCGAGGAGAGCTGGCAGCAATGGCAGCTCGACCAGCTCGTTGCTGACCAGCATCTGCAGCTCCCGCAGTAGAGGGCTCAACACTGGGTCTTGCTGGAAAAACGTGCGGTGCGCTGGGGTGTGCAGAGCGCTCAGACGCTGGAGCGTCGGGTAGTGGGCCTCGACACGCGAAATAAACGCCCGAGTCACGCTGGTGTCGTCGAGGTTGAGATCGGTTAGGGATGGGTGCGATCCTGTGAGCTGCTGGGACGGCGAGGACTGAGCAGCGAACAGCTCCCCAGTCACTCGCTTGCATCGCCGCACCGACACGGAGCGGAGACGAAGCGACTGCGCGTTGAGAACCGCGAGCACGCCAAAGTCCGAGATCTCGAGGCAGTCGTCGGCGACGATTTCTTCGAGGTGGGCCCAGAAGCACGACGTCAGAACGAGCAGGTCACGGTCGTTGAGAGAGCGCTGGCCTGACAGATCGAGCCGACAGACACGACTGTAACTCTGTAGTACTCCTTGACACGCGCGGTCCAGTGTCCGAGTGCACACGGGCGAGGTGCGAGCAGACAAGTCAAGTCGATCCAGAGCCAACGTCTGCACTCGCCGTCTCCACGATCGATTGGTTTGTCGGATGGTCTGGTGCTCCCGTACGTTGAGGAACGACAAGACCAGGCACAGCAGCGTCTCCTCCTGTAACACCGCCTCCAATTCGCCGCACTTCCGTCGAGGAGAGAGCGGTGACAGCAACGCGATCGCGACGTTGCAGCAGTTTGTCAGTCCGGTGTTTGGGTGGACCACCAGAGCCGAAGGAGGGGCGCGGCTCAGCACCCGGTGCTTCCGTGGTCGACTGAAGTAGCTGGTATCGTGGCTGGCTGCGGCAACGGCGGTGCTGGCAACAGGTTCCGTGTCGACGCTGGTGGGGGCATTGTCGTCGACTTCGGGCATGGACACGTGCGGGTACGAGCGCTTCATGGCGAATGCGGAGCTTGTTGTTCGTCGCCGTGTTACGCCTGCCGAGGAACCGGGAGCCAGCCAGCCAGATGGAGAGGTTGGTGACGCGAGAGAGAGCGAGGAGTGGAGTGAGGGCGTCGAGATGGAGGCCTGTCGACTTTGGACTTGAGTTGAATTGAATAGGGCCAGGTCAGGTCTGTTCCTCGACTGCGTCCAGCTTCTGAAGCTGAGCAGGCCTGACCCTGGAGGCCACCTTCGTAATCCGAGTGCAAGGCAAAGACCTAGTCTACCCTGCCAGCAATAGAACGCAGAAAACAGGGGGAAGATTGGCAAGATAGATAGATGTCTATCAGTGTGTCATCCCTCACCACTTTTCAAGGCAGGCTCGAATAAGTACAAGGGGCAGGGCTCGAGGACCTCCAGGGTGGAGAGAGATTTAGCCACCTCCCTCCACGCCGAAGGTGCCGCCGAAAATACCCCGCTAACGCTGTCAACTAGTGCACTTACTTGGTGGCAATTCTGACCTTGAAGACAGGATACCCTCCGCCTCAGCTCCCCAGCTTTAGTTGGCCCCGACAGATTTAGCTAGGCGACGGCTTTAGTTGACAAGTGAGTCGTCCGTCTGCCGCCGCCCCAAAGTCGACCAACGAGCCGAGCCCAACGAAAATGACCTCGCGCAATGCATTAGTGACCTCTCCTCGCTGAACCTCGGGGATGCAAAGCATCCATTCGTGTTCGGCAGGAATCCAGTTAATGCTAGGAACACGAAAAATAATGCAAGCTCTGGTCTGCGAACTGAGTTGATTCTGGACGCATGAACGCGTAAAGCGGACGCGCCTCAACTTTCTCGTCGTCGTGGGCCCGCACATATCAGAGCTTGAGATCGTAGTGCTGGCCCGTGCGTCTCCGGTACCGGGCGTAGTGTTCTGCGGCGACGTCCGTGCGTCCGCGGCCGAGCGTCAGCAGCGACACCCGCTTGGCCACCTCAGCGTCGTCGGGGGCGAGACTGAGCGCGCGCTGGAAGTGCGCAAGAGCATCCGTCGGTCGCCCTACTTGCTCGTACATGCGCGCGATGTTCCGGTGTAGACTCGGGTCTTGCGGTGACAACCGCAGCGCGGTGGTGCTGTGAGTCAGTGCCTCGGTGTACTCGCCCCGTCTGGCCAGCAGGGCCGCCAAGTTGCAGTATGCATGCGGAAACGTGGGCTCATGCGCGATAGTCTGGCGCAGCAGCGTCTCGGCCTCGTCGCGTTTGCCTTCGTGGATCCGAGCCAGCGCCAGCTCGTTGGAGACTTCGGGGCCCCCTTGCCGCGTGAGCCATGCGATGCGAGAGTGTCGTGCGTGCGTATCCTGGTCGCCTCCTGCTCTTGCCAGCACCGCCAGGTGGTGGTGCGCGCTCGCGTCCATCGGGTTCGCGTCGATCTTGCGCTGGAAGTGCTCCATCGCCTCCAGCCGCTTCATGGTGGCTGCAACTGCAGCAACAATGATGAAATGGCTACTTAGTACACCTCTGGTAATGGCTGCATGCACATGCTGAACCCTAGCCAAAAATAGTCCACTTCACAAGTACTCGAACAAATTCGATACACAAAGTCGGCCTTCTGCTCGAGCAACCTATCGCGTTTGGTACTTCTTCTCCTATCACTGTATTACTTGTATCTAACATCGGCATTGTAGACAACAAGACTCTGTCGCTTTACCCTAAAGGTGGCTGGTTGAGAGCAAAGTATAGGAAGTAGTCGCAGAGTTATCCTTCAGCTAGAAGGAATCAAGTTCGTTGATTTTGTACTACTGTATTTACTCGCTGCAGCTGCTACGTCGCTATCAGCTTGTCGCGCTTTACGCACTGTGCGCAGAAGCCTCGGCCTGCTGCTCGTCTTTGGCCTTCGGACTTGACCTCAGCTCGCCCTTGATCTTGTCCAGCTTGCTGTCGATCTTGTTGGCCACGTGGTGCACAGCCTCCTTCGCGCGCGCCTTGATCGACGGCTTCTCGGCCCCACCGATAGCGGTCTGGACCTCGATGATCTGGCGCTGCAGTGGCGCGAAACCACTGAACGTGGTGTCACGAGTGGTGCTCACGAGCCACCCTACCGTCTCGGACATGGTGGGCTTCTTCTCGCTCTGCTTACTGCTGCTGGGCGTCGGGTGCTCGGTGTCGAACGCGTTGGCGACCTTCTGCAGGTCAGCCAGGGCGTTGAAAGCCTGCTCCATCGCATTGCGAGCGGCGACGACATCGGCCTCGCCAGCCTCCTTGCGAATGTGGTCAGCCACGTGTCTGAGCTGCTTCACTGCCTCCTTGGCGTGGTCGAGGCCATCGTTGAAGAACGACGTCGCCGAGCTTGAAAGGTGCAGATGGTGCTTGTGGTCGTACTCGCCTAGGTTGGCCTTGAGGGCTTCGAGGTAGCTCCACGTATCTTGGGCACTTTGGTGCAGCTGCGCCTGCAGCTTGGTGAACTCCTGCTCGGAGAGAGCGTTAGCGGTGGTGGTGGTGGTGGACTTGCCCATGCTTGTGGTGAGGGGCTTGGTTGATCGGCTTGTGCTGTTCAGGGGAACTTGTGGAATGAGCCGTGCATCATCATGGAAGACAAAGACATCGGTTCGGGGGATCCGATATCGAGCAAAATGAACCCACGCGGAATGATATGAAGGGGAGAATCCATTTCGACTGTCTCACCACGACGACCAATACTGAAAATCCAAGCACCCTGCCTGACATGTGTAAAGGTCCTTGAAAGTGTTTAAATGCATGGTATGTACATGCGTAGCGCTAAGGTTACAGTGTTCTGCACGGAGTCTTTATTGAACAATTTTCGGCGTACGTATCACGGCATGTAAATCTTTGAAAGCAAGCGGTAGTAAACCCTGTTGAAGACGATATACGTTGAAGTTGTCTTATGCATTGGCTATCTGGAACAGTGGGATGCTCGAAGTTTGCAACAAGCTTTCTCTAACAAGTTTTCACAATGCAACGTACGCGGCAGCCGAGATAATACAGTAGCAGCAATATATTGCTAATTTGGCAATGCTCTCCCCAGCGATTTTCCCCCTTTCAAACAGTGTTGCTACATGCAGTTCTCATTGCGTCAAAGAAAATGTATTAATTACTACATGTAGTACTGGCAAAGTGTTTGCGCGGTAAAGCTAGCGAATGCAAGTGACGATGAAGGTTCCTCATTCAAATAGTGCCGAGGACGCGCGATCGGCGTTGTGCGAAGCTTACACGCTCATGCTCTTCTTCGCTATCCCTTCTGGCGCAAACTCGGCCTCACCTTTCAAGCTGCTGGTCATGGAGCTCACAGTGTCCATAACGCGCTCTGCATCGACAATGCTTCAACCTGATAGTGGCGAATTATGCCGGAAAACGCCCGACCACGCTCTAAGAGCGTGTTTGCTACGCAGCTGGAGATGGATATCTGCAGGGAGTTCGTGCATCTCCATCTCCAGCTTGTTCGCTACAACAGAGCGCATCTAGGTAAAATTAGCCAATCACAGTGCAACTGCAACGACTCGCTCTCCTTCTCCTTACTTTGCTGTTTTATCGTCGGCCGGGAACACTGTGCCCGAGACACCGGACTCGTGGCAAGACCAAGCTGCCGATGACGCTCCGAGAGCTGCGCCTCCGTTCCCGTCAGCCAGTGGCGACCTCGTGCTGGCTGCTGCCAGTTTGGACATACCTGTCTCTGATGTTGCTCTTGCCCAGACTGTGTATGCGACACCGGCCACTACTCAAACGGAGCTGGATGCCCGCACTTCCTCGCTGGCGCTGCCGCATTCAGAGACACCCAGCCAGCCTGTTGCGCTTGGAGTTGTAGCTGCGACAGCCCGCGACCAGGACTCACATCGCCGCGTTGGGAATCAGAAGAAGAAGGGCAATACTGGTGAAACGTCTATCGCTACGAAGCAACCCTCCTTTGCGTGGACGACTGCAGCAGCTGATGCCCTGCTGCGGGCTCGTTTTGACACGGCTGCAACTTTCTTCTCAAAGCTATGCTGCCGTACTTTGGCAGCAGCAAACAGAACACCTTGATCTCGTAGTAAACCAGCAATCCGTAGGAAAGTTGGCTTGGTGCAGCGAAGATTGTCTTCAAACCAACTTGCATACGCGGCTGACTGTAGCATGGGCTCAAAGTGCAGTGAGGTCACGGTACGAATCTGTTCCTTAGGGCCTCGCGGCGCATCGTCGGATTCTCCTGATAGGAGGACTGCAACCTGTGCGACAGCTGAGTATGTAGCAACCAGTACAGCTTCCTCTTCGTTCATTGTGTGTGCGGCTGAACTGCCTCAATCTCCAGCTACTTTCTCCTTCTCCACCTCTGGGAGCTGGAGAAGGAGACGGGGTAATTCTCCAGTTGTCACGTTGTGAACTAAACTATTTTGACCAATCAAAAGACAAGAAATAGAGTTGATGAGAGGTCATCTCCATCTCCAGCTACCTAGCGAACACGCTCTAAGGGACCTTGGTGGCTGTACTGAGCAATCGTTGTAGCTCGTGTGTAAGACGGGTAAGGCAGGCGGGTGACCACATAGGTGGGTAAGCAGTTAGAATGCGAAATGGCTGAAGTCATGCACTGACGAAACACGATCTGAAGTAGACAGAAAATGAGCGACCCGAGATCGGACTCAGCTACCGGCTCAAGTTACCGGGTCACCAATAGAAAGTGACAAGGGACCACGATACCGGCCTCAGTTTACCGGCTTCAGCTACCGAGGTTCGAATTAACCCGATTTGGGCTGCCTAGCAGCATGACCTATCATCGGCCACTGCTATCCCAGTAAAAACTGTAGTAAACCCTCTCAAAAAAAAGCAATACTGTAAAAACTGTAATTATGCCCCGGTATTATTACAAGGGGGCACTATTAAAGGGAGTGGGGCACCAAAAACAACTAGCGTTAAAAAGTCTATTTACAGAAAAAATTTGACAGTAATCACTGACATTGGTAAGTCGACATACAAACCTTTAAATTTTGATGTGAAATATTTGGAATTTATGAGGAAAAACTCAGAATCAAACTCAATTTTTCAGATAAAAGGTTGGGGTGGGGCTCTATTTGAGGGTGGGGCACTATCTCAAGTCTCCAGCCAAAGACGTCAAATTTCATGGGGTGGGGCACTATCGCAAGTCTCCAGGGGTGGGGCACTATTAGAGGGGGGGGGCCTAATTACAGTTTTTACAGTATTATTAAAATATGTGATTTGGGAAAGCTGCAGTTGGCTTCACATTTCTAAGTTACATTTCTATTGATTTAGAAATCAGTCTGTCTGGTGACATCACTTCCCATCGACAAAATGGCGCCAGGCGGCGAGTCCAAGAGCGACGACGGCAGCGACGTGGAGCAGTACGAGCTCACGGAGGACGAGGAGGAGCAGGAGCAGACCCAGCACAAAGCCCAAGACCAGGAGGCCAACGCAGACGCAGACGCGCCCCCTCCCGACTCGGCCAAGCGCGTCACGGGCAAGCGCAAGCGCTCGCTGTCCCAGAATGACGAAGAGGAGATCGCTCGGCGGCGCCGACGCAGGCGCTCACTGGCCTTCCAGCAGCGGCGGCGCTCTCTGACGCCCAGCGAGCGGAAGGCGGGGGCGGCAGGCACCGCTGGAGGCGCGGCGGCGGCCCCTGCGCACAGCAAACAGTACATTAGTGACATGTACTCGACCATTATCAAGATGTCGTCGGAGAATGTACGTGCTGCTACAGTGCAGAGGAGAGCGGGGGTATAGATCTTATTGTTTTGTACTTAATTGTTATGGTTTGCAGAAAATTAATGTCAAGAACTCGTGGAGTCTGCACTTGATCGACCACATGGAGGACATTCTGGACTCGTCCAAGTATGAAGCGCATTTTTATTTTATTTAAGGTGGTTGGATATATTGGAAGTTATTAACGGTGATGTGGCTGTGTTGTGTTATGTGATGTAATGCAGGAAAATTGCTGCGGACGGAGACGCAGACGATGACACGTACAACTTCCAGAAGGCGAGCTGCACGTTGGACGCGAGTATCAAGATTTACTCGTACCGAGTGGACGACACGTGGAACTCGTCGTATAAGATCCTGGAGAACCTGTCGCGCACGGAGCAGAAGCACGGCGTCGACGACGCGGCCAGTGATGAGGAGCGAGGTGCGAACAAGGGGCGCAAGACGAGGAAGACCCACGCGCGCACGATCGAGAAGAACCTCAACAATATCAACCTCAAGAGCTACGACACGGAGTGCGAGGCCGACCCGCTGTTCCACAAGATGTCGCAGTCGTTTGACGAGGGTGGTGCCAAGGGTATGCTGCTGGCCAACTTGAGCGTGTACGACGGATGCAAGATCCTGTTGAACTCGTCGGATGTGAGTTTGGTGACGCGCAAGCCGATCCATGCAGATGCGTCGATAAAGGAACAATCTGAGCTCAAATCGGCAAAGAAGTCGGACGGTGCGAAGGCTAGCGAATCTGCGTCTTCAGAAGCCAGTGATGAGGCGAAGAAATCCGAGTCGGCCAAGGCTGAAACTGAAGGGGACGAAGAGGACAAAACTGCGACAGAAAAGGAAGGTGATTCCGGGGAAAATGTAGAAGATGGCAGCGAAAAGACTGCTGACGAGGAACAAGATGGTGATGCTGTTGAGGACAAACCTGAGGGATCTGAAGAAGATGTTACAATGGAGGAGGCCCAGGACAAGGATAAGGAGGGTTCAACCGAAGATTCTACCACCGACGGTAACGAGAAGGAGAAAGAGGGGTCGCCCGAGAATGAACATGAGAAAGAAAAGGAAGATTCGCCCAAGGATGCCACCACAGAAGAGGACCAGGGCAAGGAAGGCGAGAGTTCTGACGCCGCTGAGGAAAATGCTGACAAACCTCCTGCAGCCAAGGAGCGTATCAGTCTGTCCCTGTTTGGCAGTCTGTCATGCATTGAACAGGATGTACAAAGCCTGAGCGTATGCCCTCCGCTGTATCGAATGTACGACCAATTGGATGAATTCTACGGAGACGAGTCCCGCCACAAGCTTGGTATCAAGAACGATTTCTTGCTCACTACGCCAGTTAAGGGTCGACGACAGACGCTGGACAAGCAGGATGCAATCACAATGAATTTGGCCGGTATCATGGAGTGCGCCAGTGAAGATGAATCGGACGGGGAGAACGCAGCAGAGGACAACGCACTGGACTTCGGTGATGACAACGCCGACTACGATGCCGATGAAGATGGTGGCGACACCGTTGCTGAAGCAGACGAAACTGCAGAGGTTGAGGTCGATCCTGCCGATGACGTAGACATGGAGAAAGAGAAAGAGATTATTGATCTGGCTGGAAGTGACGACGAAGAGGGCGTGCAAGAAGATCTTGCTCAAGAGGGAGCTGAATCCGGAAGTAAAGGTCTCGACAAAGAGTCTTCTCTGACATCAAGTGCCGCGGACTTCTTCCGTGCGAAGGTAAACGAGAACTTACCGGAGAATTACGAGAACAACCTGTTCTCGCAGATGATCGAGTCCGCTCTTGTTCGGTCCGCGACGCTGGAAGATGAGCAAGGTGGCGAGGACAAAGAAGGCAAGAATGACTACTCCTACTTCGACGTTAAAATGCTGCGCAACTGGGCAGGTCCTGGCCACTGGAAGTTCCCGGGTGTCCGCAAGATTCAAGCGAAGCAGAAAGAGGAAGCGGATAAGGATGGACTCGAGGTCGACGAAGATGGCGTTATAATCAAGGCCGAACCAAGCGAGCGTCCTCCTGAGCGCGCTCGGAAGGGAAGCACAGCTGGAGCGGAAAAGAAGGCCGCCATTCTCGTTGACTTTTTCGGCGATGAACCTGACTTGTCGAGACTAAAGGCTCCAAAGTCTGCCTCCACTCTGGAGGTCTCGAAGGGTAACCTGAAGAAGCAGTCAGAAAATGCTTCTGATCTGGTATTGCCTGTGGATACGCACATTGAGATTGGCTTGTTCTTCCGGCACTTTCTAAAGGAAAGACCTCGATTCTTTAGAAAGCGCGGCGGTGGTGTCTCGGATGGCGCCCAACGGGAAGGTGCTCCAGTGAATGACTTCGAGTTTGGGGACAATAGTGCTGATATCGCCGACGATAACGATCGAGACCAGCCCTTCACGTACAATGAAGACAGTGCCGGCTTTGAAGGAAGCTATGATGACGAAGATGATGGCACTAGCGTGGCAGACGACCCTGGCACTGAACCCTTGTACTCCGTCGAAGGCCTGGTGCAGGCTGATCGTGTGGTCGAGAAGATAGGTGTGCACTACGAGCGCTTCGCCAAGCGCGTTGACGTGAAGAAGCTGAAGGGCAGCATTTGGGACCACTTGGAGAAGAAGGTTGTCAAGAGCGAGGAGAAAACCGGCTCGACAGCTAACAGTGACGAAAAGAGTGGCGATGCTGAACAAACTGAGACGGATGTTACCGTAAATGAGAGTGGCAAACGCCCGCGCGAGCCTGAAAAGGATGGTGAAGATGAGGAGGAGGCGCTGAATACGACCTTCGAGAACGTGGTTGAGAACGTTGCGGGCAAGGTAGGTGTTTGATCTTTCTGCGCGGCGAGCACTTATTTTGATACTAACGTTGTGACATGGTTGCACAGGTTCCCTCTAATGTGACAGTGTCGTTCTACTTCATTTGTGTGCTGCATCTCGCCAACGAGAAGGGTCTGAAGCTGGTCGGCCAGGATGACCTGCGCAACTTCCAGATCTGTAAAGAGAACTGAGACCCCCTGGACACTTTCGACACCGGAATACCAAGCACCGAAGGCACAACAAAACAAAACCTATAGGCGTGGCGGCAAATTCGGTTTTGAATGTATATCATCGTTGTGTAATGTTTCAAATAGATAAAAGGGATCTCGCACCCTTGTTCCCTACAACTTCCAACCGCGCGACACCGCCTTTCCTCCAGGGTTGGAGCTCTTGGACCTTTTGGATCCCCTCGAGTCCAAGGATGGCTCACTCTCTGCATCGGATGTAGCCCCGTCATCACTTAGCAGCCCCACAGTCTCCGTGGCGAAGAGGTCTCTCGGGTGAATGAGGTCGTACTTCTTCTTGGCCTTGAGCGTGGCAGCACCAGGCTTGAACGCAGTTGGGAGCACCACCGGCATGACCTCATTGAAGTCGCGCATGGCGTCTTCGAAAGCGAGGTGGTCGGCCAAGATACTGGTCCGCAGTGCCGGGTTGCCGTGCACGTACGGCTTGTAGGGAAACGCGCGGTGGTGCGCTAGAGCCACGAAGAACATCTCAAAGCAGATGAGCAAGTTCTGGATGCCCGTCGTGACATTCTCGACGCTCCAGGACCCAAGCTCGTGGATGATCTGGAAGCGCGACAGGAAGGCCAGCACCACACTCTGCCAGAAAGACAGGAATAGCACCGCCTTGATGCACAGGAACTTGGGCACGGGGTTGTACGGCGCCAACTGTCTGCTGAGTGCCAAGTAGAACAACACCAGATAGTAGAACGCGTACGTGATGGATGCGTTGACCATCAGGCTCGTGTACAGGTAGCCCTTCTTGGCGCTGAAGTTGCCCTGGTCGTACAACCCGTTGACCCTGAGCACAATGGCCACGAAGGCCATCATGGGCTTGACCACCACGAACTGCATCGTAGCCATCTTGCAGTCTCGGAGGAAGCCCGGCCCCATCTGAATGGGCTGGAACCAGCGGTTGAAGGGCCACGGGTGCTCCAGGTCCGGCAGTCCCCTCATCGTGGTGAGCACCCTCTCGTTGCTGCCACCGCCCAGGTAGGCGATCATCAGCGCCAGGAATAGGTAGATCACGTAGCCCTCGTATGAGTCGCGCATCAGGTCCAGATACAGAGCGGCGTCCTTGAAACGCAGCGACAACCACGAGTCCGTCGCGTAGATCGGCACCATCCACAGAATCCCCACAATCTACAGTAAAAAAATGATTAAATATTTAAGTAAATTGCAGGAATATTGTAAGAAAAAGTAAGCAAACGCAGGCTCACCTTGCTCTGCACAATGGGCTTGGTGAAGTGGTTGAGGTGGCCGCGAATCAGCAGCGCGGACGACACGACCGACGCGGCGACGAACACTCCGGCCACGGCCCACACCAGACGCTGCACATCCGCTTCGGGCGCTGCGAGCGAGTCGGCGGGCGGTGCTAGACGCACTCCCAGCGGCCAGAACTCCATCAAGACTGAGACTGAGATCAAATGACACGGAAAAAGTGTCGACGGTCTGTCTTCAAGGAGGAGCTAAAAATAGATCAGACGCAGACTATGTACCACACACCAAGCTTACCATCATTCCCGGATTAAAAAGGTTCTGGAAGCTTATTTGTGCATTTGCGCCGACACTGATTGATGAGCTCGTCGTGGCTGCTCCGACGCTGCGCCGTGGCTCACGCACGCGGCCCCGCGGCTCCGTACAACTCGCTGGGGCTCTTTTCCTCCCACCTGAGCACTTGCAGCGCGCCGAACCGCCCTCGATTCGGCGCTATCTCGACGGCTTCGCCTCTTGCAACCGCCTCGTCCCCTTTGCTACGGTCTCGACCGCTGGTTCTGCCCGTTAGCGCCGCGTTCGCCAATGGCAGAGCGTCCCCAGTGGTGGCAATGCAAGTGAGGCGCTTCTACCTGCCCGGACGCAACCCGTGGCAGAGCGGCAACGACTGGAAGTCCACGTTGAAGACGGGCGGCCTGGTGCTGCTGGGCACGGGGGTGCTCGTCGCCTCCACGTCATGTACGCATGTGAATTTAGAGTTAATATCGTTGCTGCTGCAAGGCTAATACTGCGGAGTTGATGTTTTTGTTGCAGTGGCGTTCGGGCTGATCATTGCAGGAGCGGCTGGCTTCGGCGTGTACTCGCTGTACCAGAGGTTTTTGGGGCCATACCGGTCGCACTTCCGGTCGTCGAGTGACCCGTTCAGCAGCGTGAACTCCAATATCGACGCGCTCAACGACATGTTCACGCGCAGTCGACGACGCAGCAAGTCGGCGGCGCAGGACGACCTGGACTCGCTCGTGCAGGGCATGCCCCTCGTCGTGAGAGGATTTGTCAAGACTATCTTCTCGTTCGTGGGGAAGGCCATGCAGAGCTCTATGGAGCGGGCTGGGGAGCTGCGTCGACGCACCAATGAACACTTGCAGGCGAACAAGCGCGTGCGTGACACAATGGGAGACAACGTCAGCGTCGGTGGACCGGAGCAGTGGATCGAGTCGAGTACGTTTTGTGAGATTGAGGTGGGATTGCTGGCATGGTTGCTTATTGGCGATGTGTTGGTCTGCCTGATCATACAGCTGTGAATGGTGCTGGCCGGATTGAAGCCGTCTTCCCGGTCAACGGGGCTTACGGTTCCGCGCGGGTGACCATGAAGGCTTCGGTCGGCCAAGGAGGCAACCTCAACTTTACGGAGCTCAAGTGTACGTTGCAATTGATGGTAGTGCTGAATGGATTGGGTAGCTAAATTGCTCGTGTTTCACTGTTGTAGATCGCAATCGCCAAACTGGAGACGTGATCGATCTTTTGCGTGACGCGTCTGTGGGCGGCCGACGGAAGACCGTAATCGACGCTGAGTACGTCGATCTGGACGATGACAACAGCCGATCCCGGTGGTGAGCACCTCATTCGGCCATTCAACGAGAGCAGAACAATCGCAAACAACGCGTTGTGCTCTTGGCTTTTTGAAACATTGTTCTGATCATGCCCGGGTATTGTGCTGTATTTCAACGCATAACGTCTAGGGATTGAATACGTGTTCCCTGTCAACCTCCAGTAATTCAGCTCTGGATGGGGCGCTTCGCGATAGGGAACGACCCAAGGTGCTTGACGGTGCAAACCGACTGCAGCTGCTCGACCGCCTGCCGCACGTTCGCGTCGTCGAAGTGGCCGACGATCTCAACGAAGAAATCGTAGCCGCCCTGCTCTTGGCGGTAGATCGACTCGAGGCACGTGAGGTTGATACCGTGGTTCTTCCACACGTCCAGGGCACTGAGGAGGGAGCCCACTTCGTGCTTAATCTCCATGCTCAGGCACGACTTGTCCTTACCCGTAGCCGCGGGGAAACCCTTCGACACAACCACGAAGCGGATGAACGACTTACTTTCCGTGACAGCTCCTTCCGAAGCAAGAGCGTTGCTGGTGTCAACCTGCTCCAGGTTGTGGGCCTCCGCCGCGACCGACGTGGTCACTACCACCGTCGAGACCTCGCTGAAAGCGCGGCTCGCAGCCTCCGAAACATTGGGAACCGAGATGACCTGCGCGCTCGGCCAGCTCTGCTCCGCCTGCGCGAGTAACCGAGCGTCCGTGTCGGTCGGGCAGAAGACCTTCGTCACATCGGAGCCCTTGCCGAGCTGCTTGTCCTTGGCCGCGAAGATGAACGAACGGGTCAGCACAATCTCGGCAGACACTTTCAGCGAGCTGCGCATCAGCTGAGCCTGCGTCTCCTTGATCATACCCAGGCGCGAGTCCTCGATAGGGACGACACCATAGGCCGTACGGTTCGCGTTGACATCGTAGAAGACCTTGCTGATGGATTCGGCCTGCAGCAGCTGGTCCTTCTGAAGCGTCTCGCCTCCGAAGTGCGCCTGCGCCGCCATCCAGCAGAACGACCCTTCCACGCCCGCAACAGCGATAGACGGGTGTGCAACACGCTGCAGCAAGTACTGCACCTGGACCTCCTTGGTCAGCGGCATCACGAAGTCGCGGTACAGGTCCGAGATAAGCTGAGGGTTCACCTTCCAGTCCTTGTCGTCCGAAGCAGTGGTGGGAGCGTTCGGGTCTTGGCCGTACGTCGAGGCTTTCAGCTTCACGCGCTCAAGCACTTTCTGGTAAGTGGACAAGAACATGAAGCAGCTCCGTTAGCCAAGCTGCACGATATCCATCTCCTTCCAAACCAGCAAGGGAATGAACAACCTTCTCGACGGCAAGGTTGGTGAGCGCATCCATGATTCCATCAGCATCGTTCGCGAGAATGAGCTTCGTGTAGCGCTCCGTCTCCGCCTGGAACTTGGCTTCAGCGATGAACTTGCCGAAGTGGATACGCTTGCTCAGCGCCTGCAGCACCGCAATATCCGCCGTCGCCGTTGAGCCGTACTGTTGCAAGCAGAAGAAAAACATTAAGATAAGCAAACCGCAAGTATCGCCCATACTTGTGACTAAATCTCCGTACCGCAGTGTCGTCACTCGCGAGCGTGGTCAAACCTGGCAGGATCTTCTCCTGGTACACGCTCATGATCTGGTTGTTGATGTTGATCCGGTTCGGGTTCAGGACGCGCGGGTAGTCGATGATCGGCAGGATGGGCTCCGGCAGCAGGTGCGGGAAGAAGGCGTTCTCGTCCGGCGACGTGTAGCGGCGCGTGAGCGCGTGCAGCTTCTCGGTCTCCAGTAGCATAAAGTCCAGCAGGCTGCCGTCGAACGTCGTGTACTTGCCCTTGAGGCCTCCGAACGCCGCGCTCTTGCTATTGAGACACAAAAGTTGGTTGGCCAAGTGTAAGCAACTCCGACCTCAATAGCGATTGCGACTACCAATAGACGGGGGACGCACCTCTCCTTCATGCTCACGTAGACCTCCGGGTTGCGCGGGAATTGGGTGCGCTCGATGAGCGCGAAGATGATGGTCTCCTCCTGGCTGGAAGAGCAAATAGGTCGCAGGGTGAGGACTACGCTACGGGTCTAGACAGTAAGCATTGGTGGTGATTACCGGATGAGGACATTGCGGAAGTCGTCCAGCTTCACGGGCTTGAGGGGGTCCCCGAACACGACGTCGTGCGAGCTCTGCATGGTGCTGGGGTGGCTGGTCTCCTTCGGATTGCAAAATGTGGTTTAACGTTGACCGATTTTTGGGACAAATGAGGTTATGCCCCATGGGATACTATTTGATTTGAGGATTATGTACCCATTTAATGAAGCTTTGGGTGGGAAAAGATCAGTTGATTAGCATGAGAAAGGGGTCCTTTGCAGCCTCAAGTTGATCTGTGCGAGGTTTCTCCTGCCTGCTGCTGCTATGCTCGAGCTTCTACTGTTGTGCACGAACTAGTAGCGACGCTGCTTCATCCTGTTATCAGTTGGAAAATGTGTCAGACACGTAGGAGCAAGGTGAGTTAGTACACAGGGCGAGCGTACCTGAACTTCTTGGCGGGGAAACCCGTCGGGTCCTGACGCACAAGCTCAGTTGTCTCGTCCAGCGTCTCCGGGATGCGGAGGCCGCGCTCCACGCGCTTCACGAGCCAGATGTGGAGGGCAGACAACTGCTCGTAGTTGCGCAGCATGTTGTTGATCTCCTCCGGCGACTGCAGCACAACGTTTACAGCAGAGAAGAACATTAGATCCCCGCACACGGAACACCAGTACTCGACAGCAATAACGGTATGACGTACGTGGCCCGCCTTCTCGGAGATCTTCCTCTTGACCTTGCCGTTGATGAGGCGCGGGTTATCACGGTACTCGGGCTGCAGAGCAAGAACAAGGCAACCAACTCCAGTCAGCACCGACGACACCCAAAAATCAATCTGCTCTATCATCATCAACATGCCTCCATCGACTCCAGGATGGCCATGAACGCCTTCATCTGCTGGACGGCAGTCTGTCATTCAGCACAACCGCAGCAAAATAACTGCTGTCAGCACCATGCCATCTTCAACTTCTCCACTGTCTGTAGAAAGCTGCGGTAAACTCTACCATGGTCGACACGCCGGGGATCATGGATCGCCAGCCAGTGGCGCCGCTCGCATCGGCGTTTTTCTAGCACATCAACGGACACCACCGAAACAAAAGCACCACAGCACCACCACATGAGTCTCTGCACTTCCATCGTACCAACAAAACAGTACTCTTCAGCTCCTTCGCCGCCGGCAATTGTTTGGTACCTTCAGGTGGTCGTAGAAGCCGTTCAGGTCGAACTTTTCCTTCTGCGAGAGCTCGATCATCTGCTGCTTGTACGCCTCGCCTGCAGGCGTCAACAACAGCAGCAGCAGCACACTACTGTCAGAGCCCATTCTCTTTCTCTCCGGTAGAATATTCCTACTGAACGGCGCCTGCCAACCCACCCTGCTTGAGCTGGTTGCGCTCCTCCAGCTTGCCCGACACCGTCTTCTTGATGTTGGAGAACACGCTCATGGAGCGCAGCTGCGTCTGCGCCACCGCCGACTGGGGGTAGGAGGTGGCGCGCATCGCAGCCGCTGTCTGCGGGGTCTGGCGCCGCAGCTGCAGCGCCGCCGCGCGCATCAAACTCGCTCGCATCGCACTCGCCATCGTCGCCTCTGGTCCTCAAGCTTTGCTGTGGCAAGTTTTACAATGGTGTGGCCCACAGCGAATGTCGAGAGCTGTGGACCACACCATACAACCTAGCAGTACTGTTGTACAAGGGATGATGACCGAAGCGCAGCCGCCGGCGCGGAAGCGGCCCAAGCGCGTCGTGCCCTTCCTCAAGGCGCATGAGGTCCTGTACGGCGTGCGCGTGGTGGAGCGCGACCCGCAGAACAGCGCTGTAAAGTCTGTGCTCTGCATGTTCTGCGCCGCCTTCGGGCGCGAGGACGACCCGCTGGCCACCGCTCGGCAGCGTGCGCGCACGCAGAAGCCCAAGTACTGGGGCGGGCCGTGCTTCCGGACGGACAACTACAAGTCGCACCTGACGATGATGCACCCGGTGCGGTGGAAGGAGTACCAAGACCTGACGCCTGAGGCCAAGCAGAGCTACTTCGGCGTAGTGAGGGCGCTGCCCAAGAGGGAGCAGCCACGCAGGTCCTTGGACAACGCAGTCTCGACTCAAGTAATCACGACGGAGGCAGCCTCGGTGTCTCACTTCGCTGCACCTTTTCAGACGCTAGTAGCTGAAGAAGATGAAGCTGGTAATGCTGTCGATGAGGCGGCGATGTCGGCTCCTGCTTCGCCAGCTTCAACTTCAGCTTTGGAGTCTGATGAACAGGTTGTTGCTGTTGCAGCGGCGGCAGTGGTGCAGTCTCCAATTAGATCTCCAATTGTTATGGTTCAACCTCCAGTGATTGGTGTAGGAAGGGGCTTTGTGGACACTTCGGAAGCTTCCGTGCCTTCAGAGGCAGTGGTGGATGGAGGACGGGAGAAAGCGTTGGTGTTCCTGTTGGATCGAGATGTGGTGGACGTGGCATTGGGGGAAGTGTTGTTTCGAGTTGAGGATGTGGATGATGGGGGCTCGCCGCTGTTTGAGACCACGTTGGATCGGGTGGATATGCAAGACCAACAGAGGTCCGATGGTACGGCAGAGTATCGTGCTGTGGTGCGGTCGGTGGAGCTTTTCCAGAAAGTGGTGACGTTGTTATCGGCGGGGCTCAGTTTTGACCAGGCAGCGGCTGTGTGTCAACCACAATTGAGTCAACAGATAAGCAGGATATCTGATGATGGCAATCGAGTAGCGCGTATGGCTCGAGTCGTTGTGGGCACCAATTTGCAGGCTCTTTCCCGAGTCATGCAACGCAGTTGGGCGTTCTCCCTGAGTCTGCACACCATAGACCGACGAAGACCTGGAGAAACTGAGCCTCATTTATTTATTGATGTGCGGTTACGCGCGTATTGCTCGGGTAAGATCAAGGTATTTCATTTACTCACGCTGCCTGTCACAACACAAGGAGATCCGAGTACCACCGGTGAGATTCTATTCGACACAACCAACAAGTTTATCCTGGCCTTACACAAGCGTTGGCTGTGGAAGGTTATCGGCTGCTCCACTGAACTGGCTGGGGCTACTGGGTCTGCAGCTGATTTGGCGGTAAGCTCCGTCCTGGACAATTTTTCCCGACGAATCGAGAAGCAGGCAGTTGCTGGATTTGTTCGTGTTTCAAGTGGACGGCCTTCATTAGACGTGCTGCTGCAGCGTTTCTTTGATTCAGTACTCTTCGCCGATGGTGCGGAATGGCATGGGCATTTTACGAACCTGCTAGCGTATCTGCAACGCCAAGTTAGTGCGGGAAATGCTGAGGAGTTGTCTGCAGCATCAGTGACATCGTGTCCCCGGATTGCAGATATGTCATGGTGGAAGCTGATAGAAGTTCTCCGCTGGCTTGATAACGCAAGGGTGCCTATCCAGCGGCTGCTATCACGCAGGAATGCAACAGTCACGCCACCTGCAGTGTGGTGGCTCAATCTTAAGATTATGCTCGAGGTTGGCTCAATCGCCGTTAAGACGCGTGCTGGACTTCAAGGGGGATACACTACGCTGATGTCACAGCAACCTCAGCGAATCTCCATGTTGCGGCTTGCGCTGTCGGAGGATGTGGGTGTGGAAGGACCGCTTCCCGAGTTCCAACGTGCTGCTCTACGCGATCACAGCGGCGTTGGAGACAAGATCGCCTCCGACGATGGCATGTTCGCCGTGAAGCCTCACTCGATTGTCGCTTTTGTCCGGGGTACGGGCAGTTGGGCTGCTGAGATGTTTGACACGCTCACATCTGAAGAGCGCCAAAAACTCGTGGTCGGTGTTGCTGATAGAATGCTCGAGCTCGTTCATAGTCTGTACGGCCTCGCAGAGAAGCTTGAGACGCATGGAGTTGGCAGCACCGCCAGTCTGAGCGCTTTCCCGCCGGTATTACCGCACCAAGCGGCGCTGTTGCATCCTGCCGACTTCCAGGAGGTTGTTCGCGTGCATCGCGCGCGTCTGGCCGAGTCTTTCTCGGATGCTCAGCTTGCTATTATTGAGACTCAGCACCGCGAGCTGCGAAGTGCTGCTGCTAGCGAGCCCGCTGTACGCCAGCTTCTTGACTTGAACGCTGAAGATACCAGCGTAAGTTTTGGCGAGGCTTGGAGCGTGCTGCGCAGTCGATGGGGAGTCTTGGCTGACTTTTGCGGTGACCTTGCGACTGTGTTCCCATGTTTCGGTGAAGAGGCAGTGGCGTGTTCGTCACGTTCGTCCACCCCTGCCGAATCAAGCCGCAAACTGACGGACTTTTACCTCGAGGCAAGTCTACAGTGCCAGCAGTTCGCAACGTTGCAGGCATTGGACAATACGGCGGGCGTCAGTGGACACAGATAACAGCATAGACGTACATCGCGTTGACGTGTAGCCATGTAAGCTGGACACGTACTGTACTTGAAGTGCTCACTTCAACGTTGCTGATGTTCCGCCCTCGCACTATGTCGTCTCTGATGGTGTGTTTCCATGAGGCGAAGCAGGGCAGGGCAGGCGCAAGAGACACCAGGCATGCATGCGTCAAAAGGGAAAAGATTAAGAATGCAAAACTAAACTATCTACGCCGTCGCGAAAAATAAAAAATATCTGCAAGTCACAGACTGCATGTGTTCGCAATGGGCGGAGCTGCGCGGGACGCCGTGCTCAAAGAAGCAAGAGGTAGGCAGGCAGGCAACGCAAAGCAACGTCTTCTGGCCGCGGGTCACAGAGCGTCTGGTTCATCTCTTCCAATGTTTTTCGTTAAGTTACGACCCCCACCAATTGTGCCTTCCCCGTGATCTTGAGCATATTCTCAGTGTATTCCTTCCACCAACCATCCAAGCAACGACGACCAAAGCAACCGCTCAACATCGACGACACAAAAAGCAGGAGCCGCAACTCACCGAACCTCTCCTTCTCTACTTCCCTGCGTACGCAAAGGAAGCCCGCTGCCGCCTTGCCGAACCGAGTATGACCAAACACGCGATCCTGCAAGACGCCCGCGCAAGCCGATGGCCAATGGCCAACGACTTAGCCCTGGTGGGCCTCCAGCACGGCAAGAGCCTCCGAGATCTTGGCCTCCAGGGCCTCCGGGCTCTCGAGCAGGTGCAGCAGCTCGCCGTTGTCCATCTCCAGCAGCATACCCGTGATCTTGCCGGCCAGCTCAGGCTGCTGGCGGTGGATGAGCGGGTACAGACGCTCGCCGATCATGTTCTTCTGGATCTCCGGCGAGGCGGCGGCCAGGGCAGCCGACGTCAGCGGCTCGGGGCCAGCGTTCTGCACGGGGGCGGCAGGCGGCATCACACCCTGGGGCGGGACATCGCGAGCCGGGTGGTTGCGAGCGTTAGCCGTGTACTTGAAGTTGCGGCGGTTGGCAGGGGCGCCCTGGGGGCCCTGAGGGCCGGGGCCCTGACGGCCGCGACGGGGCTGGCCGCGCTGCTGCTGCATGGGCATGCCGTAGCCGGGCATCGGGTAGCCACCCGGGGCCGGAGCGCCAGGCACACGGGCGCCGTACGGGATCGGACCACGCTGGACGCCACGCGGCATCATCTGCTGCGGGTACATGAAGCCCTGGCGGGCCTGGGGCGGCAGCTGGCCGGGCTGGCCGTAGAACATCGGGGCAGCGCCGTACATGGGCGGCTGGCCCATGGGCATGCCACGGCCCACAACCATGCCAGCGCGCTGCTGGGCGTGCTGGGCCTCAAGCTGGGCGCGACGCACCTCCTTGCGCTGAGCAAGGGCAACGTACACCGGCTTGCCGGAGATCAGCTTGCCGTTCATCTCCGCGACGGCCTTGTTGGCCTCCTCGGGGGTCGAGAAGCACACGAAGCCGAAGCCACGCGAGTTTCCGTTGGGGTCACGCATAACACGCGACGACGTAATAGTGCCGCACTCGGCGAAAGCCTCACGCAGCTCGTCGTCGGTCAGCTGGTCGTCCAGGTTCTTCACGTACAGGTTGACGCCCTGGTACTTGTTGATGCGCTCCATCTTGAGCTGCTCGAACTTGTTGCGCAGCTCACGCTCGCGCTCCGAGCGCTTCTGGGCCTTGCCGACGTACAGCTCGGTCTCCACGCCCTCGCCGGCGGGGTACGACTTGCCGTTCAGGGCGTCCACGGCCTTGTGGGCGGCCTCCGAGTCCTCGTAGTTGACGAAGCCGAAGCCACGGTTCTGCTCCGGGTTGGCGTTGTCCTTCATGACCACAGCGCTCAGCACCTTTCCGAAGGGCTCGAACTCCTTCAGCAGGTCGGCGTCCGTCCACTGGGTCGGGATGTTCTTGACGTAGCAGTTGGTCCAGTCGTCGGCGTCCGGGCGGTCCTGGCGCTTCTGGAAGTGGCCCACGAAGACCTCCGTGCCGGCAATGAGCATGCCGTTGATCTTGGCAATGGCCTCCGTGGCGGCCTCGGCCGTCTCGTAGTGCACGTAGCCGTAGCCCTTGCTGGCGCCCGTGGTGTGGTCGATGGCAACCTTGCAGCTCAGAATGTTGCCGAACAGCGAGAACGTGTCGTACAGCGCCTTGTTGTCAATGGACGTGTCTAGGTTCTTGACGAAGATGTTGCCCACGCCCGACTTGCGGAGCGACGGGTCGCGCTGCGACCACATGATGCGGCACGGGACGCCCTTGATGCTCGTGAAGTTCATCGTGTCCAGGGCGCGCTCGGCGTCGGCCACGTTGTGGAAGTTCACGTAGGCGTAGCCCAGCGAGCGGCGGGTCACAGCGTCGCGGCACACACGGATGCTGGCCACGGGGCCCACGGCGTTGAAGATCTCGAACAGCAGGGCCTCCGTCACGTCCGGGTGGATGTCCCCCACGTACAGCGACGCCGTGTGGAACGGCTGCGCCGCACCCGTGGCCGACGAGGCCGCCGAAGCAGTGGCCGTCGACGTGGCCGCGGCCGGAGCGGCGCTGGCCGGGGCAGTGGCCGGGCTGTTGGTCGGGGAAGTAGCGGAGTTGGCCATTGCTGCAAGTTCCAAGCAAACACGGGCACAGTACACGGTCAGTGGATTGCGCATTGGGCGGCCGCTGCCTAAGACGCAGCGCTATCCGGCCAGCCAGCCAGGTTGCATTGCTCGGCCGCGCGCCGGGGCGCCGGGCGGGGCACGAGCATGCATGCAACCAGCCACATACCTGTCGTTGGCGGAGGGGGAAACCTTTTTTTTTCTTTTTTTATTGAAAGAGAGAGAAAGAGACTGGCATCATTGGCGGAGCGTGGCGCCGGCGCAGCGGGCCTCTCAAGCGCTGGGAAATAAGACGCTGGCTCTGTGGCGAGCTTTCTCGCGCCGTGACTGGCCCGTTTCCAGAAAGTTCCCGTTGATGACGCGCGTCAGCCAATGGGAGCGCGGCAAATCGCGTTTTACGTCTGGCGACCGCAGTTGAAGGGCCTTGGCTCTTCTCTTGTGGACCACACGGGCCTCCGCCACCAGTCATCCGATTCGCCCGCCGTGACGGCTGTGTATTGGCTGAAAAGGGCTTTTAACGGCCCGGCTCGGCGAATGTGCAGTCGGTGGCTCGGATTGGGGCAGCAGTCACTGAATGTGGCCATTTCCCGCGAAAGGTCGCGTCAATGCGGCACTTCGGCGGGAGTTGCAGTGAGCTGCTCTGGGTCGGAATGGCGGCGTCCATCATCACGCGCGCCGCGGAGTTCTGCTCGTCGCCAAAGTTCGAGCGCGTGTTCGACAACTTTGCCAGGTACGTCCGTCTGGCGGCCTCGCGCGGCTGGTTCCGCAGGTTGAAGTGGTCCATGTGGCGGCGGAATGTGACGCGGCGCCTACTGTATCCACAGGGACCACGCGGATGTGTTCAATGACGCAACGGAGGCGAAGAGCGGTGACGTCGAGCACAAGCACGAGTACGTCCCATACGCTTGCGGTTGTAGTTGGTGATTGATGAAGGGGTCGGCTTGCCTTGATGCTGACGCAAAGGGGGCTCGATCCGTTCGCGTAGATACAAGGAGCTGCATGACCAGTACCTCAAGTTGTTCGAGGAGGAGCTGTCGGGTAAGAAGCTTCGAGCTGTGGTGCGGTGGAATGTTTGCGCGGTGACTTGAATCAAGCTCTGACTTGTTTGTTGTCTCGGGCACCGTGTGCTGTTGCAGACTTCGTCGAGTCGGAGGGCGCGACGATTGATGAGTTTTTCAAGGAGTGCCGGGAGATTCACGACGGTCAATACACGGCGCTCTTCGAGGAGCACACGTACGCCTGGTTCGTGGACCACTTGCTGGCCTGCATGGACTATAAACACTTCTACGGGCTGATGGTCAACGAGGCGCGTCGTCTCCACCACCGTAAGTGAGATACCTGCCCGGCACTAGGCGAGCACAAGCCTAGCAGAACATTATCAAGAACACAAACAATAGCTGAGAAGATCGCAGAGCACTATGCAATATGAGCAAAGCGAGAAAAACTTTACCTGCGCAGTCGCTCGTCATGAACACCATGCTGTGTGTTGGAAGTGTTTGATTGGCCATTAGTCGAAGCGCTGCACGCCGGCGAAGCTCTGGTGGTGATGGAGAAGCGCTTGTACGTGTGGGGGTCAGGTGCGTGTCAGCATCCAACGCTGTTCAGCGGCAGCGGTAGTCTGACTGCAGTGGCCAAGGTGGAACTGGGCAGCTCGGAGTAGGAACCGAGGACGACTACGATCTTCCTCAGCGTTGGGATAATGCGAAGGTAAAGTGCACCCTAAGATTTTTCTATTGGCTTCGATGGCCAAAACTTACACTAATTTTGCGCTGGTCAACGTCACACAATCTGCTGTAGCAATTGGAGTTGGAGTCTATCACGTCCGGAGGCTGTCATAGTGCAGGTTGGTAGGAGGTGAAGTGTCCTCGGGTCAAATGGTTCCAGCCTCTGACGCTGAGCTTTGCAGGCATCCGCGAGGATGGTCGCCTTTTCCTCTGGGGCGCGGACGATCGAAGCCAGCTAGGACGATCCACGTCAGAGCAAACACAAAACTTCCAGAACGCCCCCACTGAGCCGGTGACACTTTACAATGTGCGTGGTGCTCCTCGGGTCGTAGTACGGTCCAAGGTCTAAACCTTTCGTGTTGCCTTCGTGACAGAAAACCAAGCTGGTTGCATGCGGGTGGTGGCATACAGTGGCCATCGTATCCGATGACAGCACAGGAGATCGGGTCTTTTCGTGGGGCTCGAATGATTATCTGCAGTTGGGTCACGAGCAGAGCTCTGGTGGTGATGAGGTCGAGAAAGCTGCTTTGATTGTGCAATTGCCTCCGCGGTTGCAAGTTGCAAGTATCGCTTGTGGCTGGAAGCATTCGCTTCTAGCTACTGCCGATGGTCAGGCATTCTCGTGGGGAAGTGGTCGGCATGGTCAACTCGGACTGGGGAATGATATCCTAAAGACTGAAAGTCCCAAGTGTATTGACGGCGTGAACGGTATGGCTATTAGGGACGTCTTCTGCGGGTGGGAGCACTCGGTCTTTCGTTCTTCAAGTGGAGAGGTGCTTACCTGCGGGAACAATCGACACGGTCAATTAGGTGTGCAAACGGCAGCCTCTGGAGCCGACGGGGCCTCCAGTGAGAAGAGGAAGCAAGTGGTTGCTCTACCAATTCGCGTTGCAGACCCGCGCCACAAACATCTAGGGCTTCGCACTGTCCAGGTTGGCTGCGGGTGGCACTTTGTATTGTGCCTCACCGAGGACGGCAATCTGGTAGCCTGGGGCAAAGGCAGCCACGGGCAGTTGGGTCTTAGAGGGTTTGAAAACGCCAGCGAGCCCCAACTAGTCACGTTTGCTCACACTGCTCGACAGATTGCGTGTGGCAGCGAGCACTCGATGGTAGTGACGACTGACGGGGAGCTCTACACGTGCGGGTGGGGAGAGCACGGCAACCTTGGTGCGTTTCTCGATTCTTTTCAATACAAACACTGGGCCAGAATGCTGATACACTCGTGGGCTTCTTCTACTGCAGGTCATGGTGACAAGACCAACCGTCCCTCGTTGGAGAAGGTGGACTTCTTCGTAGACGCAAGCCAAGAGGTCCTGAAGGTAGCAGCGGGCGGTGCTGTCTCCATCGCTGTCACCCGCGATAGACACTAGTAAGAAGGCGAGGCGGCTTTATCGTTCGCTAGACACACAGCTCTATTCCGTGTCTGGCATTCCAAAAAGCAGCATCGTCTACCTAGTTACAAGCTTTTGATGTGGCGCTTGACCTGGTCCTTCTGCACGTCGATCATGCGCACATGGTGCTCCAGCTCCTCCTTCATGACTCCTTCACCGCTACGAATCTGCTTCTGCAGACGCTCCTGCTGCAGCCTCAGCTGCGCCAACTGCTGCTCCAGTTCCGCCTTCGTCTTGGGGCGACGTGCGGCACTGGCCTGCGAGTTGATGCCAGGGGACATGAAAGGCATCGCGGGTGTCACGCCCGAGCTCAGCATCGACGTCGCCGGAGCAGCAGAGGCAGCCGCAGGCGCCTGCTTTTCCTCGGCAGACTGAACCGTCTTCACGGCCTCGTGCTGCTGCTGGTCTCCCGCCATCTCCTCGAACTCGTTCTCCTCTTCCTCGACGCCCAGCTTCTCGTCCGCCTTCTTCTTGAGCTTCTCCACCAGGAACGACTCGTCCTTGCCGGCCACGTACGTGAACACGCCGTTGGCCAGCACCAGACCGAAGATGATCCAGTACATACGCATGGCCATCGACACGGGCTGGTGCGAGCGGTCGCCCCAGTCCGAGCCGATGATGCGCGCGATGGTCGAGTCCAGCTCCGCCTCGTGCTTGTCGGCGCCGAACCCTTTGGTCACGCGCACGGTGCCGGGCGTCGCGGAGCGGGTGGACGCGCCGACAGTAGTGGCACCAGTCTGTGCTGCATTGTTGGTGCCTGCAGTTGACGCGGGCTTGGCGCTGGAGCTCCACGCGCGCCCACGCACGCGCCCGCCGAGGCGCTGCAGTCTCCGATACATTTGCAAGTTGCTGACCGCAGAACACCAAATACCGTATAATCGTAGTCCTAGGCGACAACCTCCGGACATGGATTATCACCATCTGGTCATTACAACTACTAATTATCAAATTGAAGCTGCCGTTTTATTATTCATCCTCAACATTATCGCTGTCGCTACTGTGACTGCCGCTACCGGTATCATCGTCCGAGCTGTCGTCCCCCTCACTGCCACCACTGTCGCTACCGATATCGTCGTCAGAGTCCATTTCTCCTTCAGCTAAGTTGTGCATTTGCAGTGACGCAATAACTGCGTCTGTATCAACCTCAACACAAGCGTCAATAGCCGGTGGGCGTGTATCCATCAGTAGCCCCGCGCGTGAGAATCCGCTGACGATTGTTTCACGTGATAACCCGTCCCAACTTGACATGATCCATTTGGTGATGTCCCGCCGCGACGGCCCGACCAAAGCGAAAGGCTTCTCTTTAAATTCGTCCCGGAGAATGGCGACTCTGCGATCGGCTTCCTGCTGGTCATACTGCTTGCGTGTGCTTAGAATATCTGCAGCGAGCTTGCTCCTTTTTTGTTGTCGGGACTTTTCTCCACTGTTGTACTTCCTAAGTTGTTCGCTCAGTGTTTCAATCCAAAGCGATCGTAGTAAACCTTTAAAAGGTTTATTCCACGAAATATCTGCCGGTTGACAGACATACGTATACTTTGGCGGCACCTTCAGTAGGACAACGTTGAGCGAGGCAGCATAATCTTTTACCTTCTTCGTCCAATGCGCGCTAAAATCGTCCCACAACAGCAAGAGCTTGTCGTCCGGGTTCTCACGGTTGGCAAAATGATACTCCAAAACATTTAGAGATAAATCCGCGTTCCACCACGCAGTTTTGTTTCCAAAGATCCGACAGGGAAACGTTTTCTGCAGGGTTTTCACTTCAGGCCAAATGGTTGTACCGAACCCATTTCTGATCTCACCGTTCTCAGCGCGTCTTGCTTCCGTCTTGGCGTCTGACGTCTTGAATATAATGAATGGGTCGCACTTTACACCATCCGAATCTGCTAAAAGCATAACAGTTGCACGATGTTTGTCTTTATTAGCGCATTTGATCCAAACCGTCTTCGTGCCCTTTGCTGAGATAGTTTTCTTCGGTACGTATTCAAAAAATACAGCTAGAAAGTATGTTAGACGTCTAGCATTAAATCATAATAAGAAATAAAACATTTTCGCACCTGTTCGGTCTGCGTTGAATATTTTGGTGCAGTTTTGTTCGACAGCAGTTTGAAGTACCAAGGCGCGAAATGCTTGGGAAGCCTCGGCCGCGACTTGAGAGTGGTTTGGCCTTGATGCGTTCTTGTGCCCAACGACAGTCTGTGTCGCCTCATGAACAGCTTCATCCAAGTTGAGGAGGCGGAGAACTTGTCGGGAGCAATATCAGATTCCTTAGCCACTTCCATTGCCTTTGTTTTCAGCATGAACCGGGACACAGGAATTCCTTCCTTCCTAAATGTGTTGATCCACCGGACGATCTCTTCTTCTGCCTCGAGGCTCAAGACGGTGCCGTCTCCGAGCTTCCGAGAGTTAAGATGGCGTGCTCGGCCAGATGCACACGCTGACTGTATTGAAGCGGAGGCCTTTTTCCATTTGCTGATCTGCTTTTCTTTTGCTCTGTGGTCTTTTCGTGTGAGCTGCCCGTAGAAGTGCAGAATGGTGGCCTTGATGGAGTTGCCCTTGTTGAGAAACTTGAGGACGTCTCGCTTGTCGCCGTAGGCCACGGCAACTCGTTTGTATTGCTTTCGGCGCTTACTGGAGCCTGTGATGCACGGTCGACCCATGCTTCCTTCCCGCGCTGAAGCTTAATGCGATACTGCTCTTTTAGAACCAATGGCGCGTAAAAATAACCGATCCCATATGAAAAGTACTGACCAATCGCAATGGCAGTAGTTGTCGCCAACGACTAAACGTCGCCAAGGACTAAGACTATACGGTAGGTTCACAATATAACTTTTAGAAGGAATCACTGTATGGAACTGTACCGATTAAACGGTACATATAGCACTGAGTAATTAGCACCCTTTAGATAATAATACTCGTACTTCAGTACATCAATTGTTTGAAATCACTGATTAGAGATAGTTTGATTTTACCTTGACTTTGTAAGCAACATGCATTAACGAGAGGTTATGACTATAGGGGGAATTCTCGCTCTCCCCCCTACTGAGACCTTCACACGTAAGTCAGTGGCGATGGCATCAAGCCCCGAGGAGGTCATCACAACGTCGGCAGCAACCGAGGAGGAAGCGGTCCCGGAGACGGTCGTGGTCGAGGTCGAGGCTGCAGCCCCAGCGCCAGCCCGGTCCCGGGCGTCCAAGCCGCGGGTGCCCGCCACGGCGCTGCCCGCGCTGTCGCAGTACAACCGCCTGGACGAGACGGACCTGGTGGAGGCCAAGAAGCTGGGCCTGCTGCGCGAGCACCTGCCCGTGAGTCTGGACTCGGGCGCGCCCGAGTTCGGCATCGCGTACGAGAAGAAGGGCGGCACCAAGGAGGCGGGATGCGGCGCCGACGTGTTCGGCAGCCAGAAGTCGCTGCAGGAGCGCTGCAAGCAGTTCGCCATGCAGCGCGGCTTCCAGCTCTTCGTGTCGGGCTCGAGCACGCGCGCCAACGGCGGCGGCAACGTCAAGTACCGCTGCAAGAAGCTGCACGGCCAGCAGTTCTTCGACCCGGAGACGCCCACCGCCAAGCTGCAGTGTCCGTTCTACATCAACGGCTACGGCAAGGACACCAACTGGAAGATCACGCGCGCGTGCTTCCTGCACAACCACTACAAGTTCATCGGCTGGCGCGCGGCACCCCCGCCGACCTCAGCCGCGTCCGCAGCTGCCGCTCAAGCGCTCATGCCACCGGCAGCTATGGCTGCAGCTGCAGCGGCTGCGGCGAAAGGCTCGACGCCGACTGGGGCGGGATCAGGCGCTCTGCTGCTGCCGGCGCCCCCCGCGGGGCCTGATGCGGCTGCTGCAGACGCCTCCGCAGTTGCAGGTACAACCGCTATGGAGATCACGCCGCTGCCGCCGCAGAAGGTCAAGTCGCAGCGGAACACGACCATGTCCATGAAGGCGCTGTGTCGGATGGTGATCGACGAGGTGAGCAAGTACCCGGCCGCGAACGTGGTGATGGCCAAGCTGGACGGCAAGACCATTCGACGCATCCTGCTCGGACAAGGACACACGATCAACCACATGATGGCGTCAAGGATCAAGCGGCAGCTTCAGGAAGCGAGGATCAGCAAGGTCAGAACGTCGTTCCAGAAGCTCGGAGGGTACCTCCAGATCGTCGCGGAGAAGAACCCGGGCTCACTCTCGCAGGTTGAGACGACAGAGAACGGGGCGTTTAAGCGGGCCTTGTTCATTTCAAGTGCTACGCTGAATGCCGTGAAATACTGCCGCAAAATCGTGTCCCTGGACCACGTCACACACAGTGAGGAGCTGCCGGAAACGCCCGTGGGGAAGCTGGAGGACGACGAGAATGACGACGTCATTTGTGGTGTTTATCTGAAGGCCTCTACCAAGGACTTTAACGACGAAGTGCTGACTTTCGCGCTCGCTCTTGTGGCTGAGGAGAACCAAGAGAACTGGGAGTGGTTCTTGCAAGCATTGCAGACCACGCAGGCGGCTGATTGGAACGAGTACACGGTGATTGCAGGGCGCACGCGCGGCCTGCAACCGGCGATTAAAACGGTCTGGCCTCAGGCGAGCCACCACTACTGCATGCGCCGTGTTGTCGAAAATGAACTGATGATGGTGAAGAAGATCCCGATGACACCCGAGAAGAAGCAGAGTATCTTCGACCTCGCGCGCAGTGACAGCGAGACTGAGTATGACACTCTTCGCAAGGCTCTGGTCCGCACGAACGAGGCAGCGGTGGCGTATTTGGACGAGTTGGATCGTGCACATTGGGTGAAATACGCCTTCCTCGAGGCATTCCGGCGACCGACGTTCAATGAGCTCACTTCCGACCTGTCGATGTCTCTTGGGAGTGACGAATTGTCTCCACAACACGCAAGCGCCAGCCACATTGGCTGGTTCGGCGAAGACCCCATTGGGAGCTCCCAACCACTCTACACCTTCAACCAGTACTTTATGAAAATCGCAGAGAACTTCCACCATCGGCGCCAATCAGTGAAGCTACGCCCGGCGCAGGAACTTGTTCCGATGCGAGATGCACAGCTGCAACAGATCCTGCAAGGCAGTCAACGCTGCGAGGTAGGGTGGTGCGAAATGATTCTTTGTTGAGTATGTCTGCTGACCTACCTTTTGTGTGTGTTTCGAATTGTAGTCGATCCCTTGTGCGAACGGGCTGTACATGGTGCGATACCTTGGCCCGACGCGCCTGAAAATTCCCGATAGCTGGCGCCACGTGAGCCTCGTTGACTGGGAGTGCACATGCCAGGACTGGCAAGATCAGCAGTTCCCGTGCCTGCACGCGATCCATGCATCTGAGCTAGAGCAGCGTCGTATCGATTCCCTTTACGACACCAAGCAAAACTCGATCGAGAATTACCTGGCGTGCTATTCTACTGCCTTCACGCCGTGGCCTGTGGATGCATCCTCAATCACGCTTGACACGTCACTGAAGACACCGCTCGACCTGTTCTACACAGAGGAGGTTACTGGGCGGCGAAAGCCCGGCCCGCGACCGAAGAAGAAGAACAAGGAAGCAGAGGTTCTTCCATGATCAGGCAGTCGGAACGTTGGCAAGGATACCAGTGATTGTGATCAAAGGGAAATGGTGTAGCATTTGGATGTCAACTCTAATTCACTTTGTCGACGTAGTTTCCACCCCAAGTTTGTCGTCTAGCATTCCTGCTACCCCACATCAGTAGCCACCACGACCCAAAAAGCACGCTGGACACGTGTAGTGATTCGCGAACTGTGCAAAGGACTCAGGAAGATGCAGACATCCCAAGTGGAACCGGCGAGCGCACGAAGTGCATCTGATGGACATGGGGTTTTCTTCTCTGGTGATCATGTTGTGGCATTCCATGCAGGGCTCTGGGTTCAAGGCGCTTATTCCTAGACAAAGCAGGAGAGCTAATGAGCACACCAAGAGCGGTAGTCGGGTCTAAAATGGCTTGCTTACCGTATTTCTGCTCGTAAAACGTTTGCAAAGTCTCTTCCATTCGCTGAAGTGTGGGCTCTTCACGGGTCAATGTGGCAACGAACTCCTCCACAGAAACCAGAGGATAGAGATGAGCTTCGTCTTCAAAGCGAAATCTAGGTAGAAGTTGCCAGCCATACAACGGAAGTGTTAATGCTACAGCGCTGCATAAACTTCCCATGACATCGCAATCGCTACGTACCTCTTAGCTAGTGAGCATACCTTCTCGATTGCTGCCCACATTTCGGCGGTGTCAGTGTCCATTAATCTGCGTCGCCATGATTTAGTTAGGTGAAACCGGAGAAATCGTCGGGCAAGCACGTATTTCTCCATGTGATCCAAATCTTCAGCCGCGCTTTCGTCCAGGTGTTTCTTTAGTGGAGAGTCCTCATCAAGCTCTTGACTCGTCGAAATGTCATTCTTCTTGTTCTCTATCATATCAGCAAGAGGCTGCACCAGCGACCAATACAGGTACGACTCCTGCAATGCCCAGTGAATAGCTGCTCCAAGGTCCTGGTGCTCGTACGGTGCCATTACTGGAAACGGCCTGCCATCTTCATCTAAAAGCTCTCGAGATTCGACCACCTCATCACCACTTCCGTTCTCACCAAAGTCTTCGCTTTGGATAAACAACACGCGCAGCTTGAACCGAATCGTGGATGATGCTAGCGAGGAGAATACACCCTGCAAAAACTGGGGCGTTGTTGACGGTGAAGTGCGCGGGGCCAGTAAGTTGGCAAATTGACGAGCAAAGTATTCGCCACAAACTCGGATCTCGTGCTGGCTGTAGGGGTCTCGTCCACCGTAGGTGCGCCTGTATATCCGCTCAAATGCATCCATCACCGCATCATCACCATCGGAGTGAATGCTGCTGTACAGTTCGGACGGACTTGCCATCACACGCGCAAGCTCGCGCAGAGCCTGCGTCGCTAGTGCAGCAGCCTCCGTATCAATCGTTTCGACGTACTCCATGATAGTGCCGTAGCGAGTCAAAATCTGATCCACCATGATGGCAACGTGCTCGTCCTCCACATACTGCAGATTCAGGCACGAGAGGTCAAAGCTTCGGAAGCGAACGCTCTTTTTCGTCTTTTTCGGTTTCCTAATGTCCTTCAACGAGATTCGTCTCTTCGGTCTCGTCACTTCGACACCCGGCGACTTTGGGGACTTGGGTGGTGTCGACTTCGGAGTTTTCGACGGGAAGGAACGCTGCGCTAGCCCCTCGCACTCCGCGATACCGAGACAAACCGTAAAGACACTTTCGAACGGATTCGACTCACTGGACTCGGATTTTGACCCAAGCGTGAGCTGCGTGTCACGAAGAGCATTAAGTGACAGCGCAAAGAAGCAGCCCGAGATAGTGTCAGTTGACAGCAAAGACTCGCAATAGCCTGAGACCAAATCCACCGGCATCTCCGCAACTGAAGGCTTTGGGGGCTCTAACGCTGAATCCGGTACCATTGACGCCACTTTGGGTGCCTCCGCTGATTGCATTGGGGCATCTGCTGTTTCCGTAGCTTGTTGCGGCGGCTGAACTGCTGGAGCTGCTGGTTTCGGCGACTCGGCTTTAATATGCTGGAGTCGTCGACTTCGACGCAGCGGCAACGTGATTGTCACCGAGCTTTTTCTCCGTGGGGTCACCTCAGACACCGCCTTAGCTTGCGAAACATGGTCCTTTTTCTCCGTCTCATCCTCCGACTCAGCGCCTTCCAGACTGAAGGAGAAGGCGTCGACATTTTTCTTTGCCTTTGCGTTCGTCTTCGCCTTCTTGCCGCTGCCCAAGTCCCGACTGTACTTCCGGAAGCGCTTCGGCGGCTTCGACGCTTTTGTCGGCGTATCCATAAATTCCGCCCCCGTCTCCTCGTCTGTCATGCTCACAGAGCGAGTGACGCGTTTCTTCTTCTTTAGCAAAGACTTTGAGCCCGCTTTAACCTGTTTCTCCTTCGACCCTGAAGCTGCCGATCCTGTTCCGACGCTGTCTTCCGTGTCAGAGGCTTCTGCCGCGTTGAATTCGTCATCTAAATCCCGCGGAATCACTGCGTCTTCGGCTGAAATCCTGATATTGGCCACTTTTCGCCGGAGTTTCTTGACGTCTTTGGATCGCGTGGAAAACGCTGGTGAATCACCCCAAGGGCTGGGCCTGGAGGCGTCATAGTGCTGTGTGGAGGGCGGTGGTGTTGATGGCGGAGAAGGGGACGGCTTGCGCGCCTTGAGGCGCAGCGGGGCTTCCAAGAAGCGACGGTAGATGTCCTCCGCCATGTATCGACCTTGGCTGCTGCTTCGCGTGCGTTGTTGTTGAAGGGGTTTCAGCGAATGAACGAGCGGTATTCCTAGTCGAGCTGGGATTGGTAGATATACTTGTTTTCTAGATAAGCATATCGTAAGGTGGAGGCGCCAACCGTACATCTGTTGTCCTAAGAGTCACTGCAAAAAGGTATAGAACGCCTAGGATTACGCCTATACGGCTCAGTTCAGTACCGGTATACTCCGGTTTATAAAAAACCCGGCTGTTTCGGTTTCGCTTTTGAGAAAGCGCACCATTGTGGATACGATTTCGGCATTGAGGGCGAGCTCCTCTCTGTTTGACAGTTGTGGAAAGCCGAAGTGAAGTTCAGTTGAAGTGAATCGCGTCTTCGATGGATGAACAGGTAAGGCGTTCCGATACGTGAGGCGTTCCGATACGTTTGGGGTGCCCGCGTGTCTTTTGGCGGGACTGCGTGGTAAGGCCTGCGGGCACATTTGTGTAAAATGTAGTGACATGGATCAACTTTTACATGTATTGACGAGACCGCCTCACTTGAGGCACCGCCTAAGCGACCGATTCCCATTCCGACACCAATGGTCTCTCAAGCGCCATGGTACATGTTTGTACACAGGACTGTATTTTGACCCCAATAGCGCGGGCTCTTTTGATCACGCTTTGAAAGGTGTAGACGCCTCGTGGTAATAATGTGCCCGTGGACAGCGCATTCGCGGCATGCGAGGTCATTTGCTCTTTTTCCAGCAAACAGCACTGGACTGGTTTCCATCCATTTGCCAACACTGTTCCTGAGCGGGTGGTGTGACTGAAAGTTACTTCATGTGAGTTGGCGACTCGCCAACTCACATGAGGCGAAGACTCGTCAAAAAGTGCATCCCCAGCAAATCCTGGTCCTCTCGCGAATCCTCCGAGGTCTCATGTTGAGCTGCACGGCTACAGACTCCGGAGCGGGCCACCGCCGCCAATGGATTCGTCCTCCACGATTTAGACGAAATGTGACGGCAAGATTGAAGTCACACCACGGTAGGTACCGGTATGTACCCTGAGTAAGCGATTGGAATCGAAATGAGCTGGGTAGATCAAGTCGAAGGCAAGACGAAGCGGTCGGTATCGACACTTGAGAACCCATTCAGCTCGAAGCGGGCCGCTTCGATGATGGCAAGCACATCCGAGTCGGACCGACCGATTGCGGATATCGGTGAGGCTTTCCAATGGCTTACTATAAACTTTGAACATGCACTTTGAAAAGTTCTTCACTTCTTCAAAGCGCGATTACGTGGTGATGAGGTCTGCTAACAACATGATACATACGAAGAATTTTACAGTCTCTGTGATGCTTGCCCGTACGGATACTCAGGCACACCTACATGCAGCTCATCTGCACTTACGCTTACAGGGATGCAACATGTACCTAAATGCAGCGACAACAAAGTTGGCAAAACCCGCGGCGGGTATCCAGAACACCAGCAAATGCACGCATTGTCAAGTTGCAACGACCAAATGCTCTCGCGAAGACGAGAGGGAACTCGAAGAAGCTCGGCGGCGCGGGTACCGCGTACAAATGGTGCGTGGGGTCAAGGACCCCCTTGATGTGTGCGCCGAGGAGGGTTCTGGCGGACGGGCAGAGCAAGTGCTTGAAGCTCCAGCTGGCTCGCCACTCGAGATTTGCTCGTTGACATGGGTCCCGCCAGTCCAGCCAAAGGCGCGATGAATGCCTTGGGTTTTGTAATCGGCGGCGCTTTCGGGTCGGCAGCATGCAAGCACGCGTGCGTCAGCCGGCAACCGGATAGGAATCGGGAGATCTGTCTGGCGAGGGGATCAGCCACGTTCCTCTCCTGCCCCGATGCGGGTCATTCCGCATTTTGCGCGCTCCAGCTCACTCCGGACTCCGCTCGAAAGCCATGCAACGCCACATCCTGCGCCGCCTGCCCCGCACCATCGCCCGCAGCTCCGCTGCCGCCACGACGGCCAAGGCCTCGTCGGCCAGCCTGCTGTCGCGCCAGTTCTCCTCGGAGGTGCAGGTTAAGCAGACCAACCTGTTCATCAACAACAAGTTCACGCCGTCGGCTTCGGGCGCCACGTTCGACTCGTTCAACCCCGCCACGGAGGAGAAGATTGCGTCTATTTCTGAGGCCACCACCGCCGATGTTGACGCTGCTGTGGACGCTGCCCGCGCTGCCTTCAACGGCCCGTGGCGCACCATGGACGCTGCTGAGCGCGGCCGCCTGCTGTTCCGCCTCGCGGACCTCATCGAGCAGAACGGCGAGGAGCTCGCCAAGCTCGAGGCCCTGGACGCTGGCAAGCCGTCCTTCCTGACCCGCGTCCTGGACGTGCAGGCCAGTCTCAACGTGTACCGCTACTACGCCGGCTGGGCTGACAAGATCCACGGCAGCACCGTCCCCATTTCGGGCCCCTACCTGTGCTACACCAAGCAGGAGCCCGTCGGCGTGTGCGGCCAGATCATCCCGTGGAACTTCCCCATGATCATGATGGCCTGGAAGCTGGCCCCCGCTCTTACCACGGGTAACACCGTGGTGCTCAAGCCCGCCGAGCAGACGTCGCTGACGGCCCTGCGCATTGCCGAGCTCATTGTCGAGGCCGGCTTCCCCGAGGGTGTGGTCAACATCGTGACGGGCGGCGGCGCCACCGTTGGCGCCCACCTGGCCCAGCACCCCAAGGTGGACAAGATCGCCTTCACGGGCTCCACCGAGACGGGCATGCACATCATGCGCTCGTCGCACGTGGACAACCTCAAGCGCGTGACGCTCGAGCTCGGCGGCAAGTCGGCCAACATCATCCTCGACGACGCCGACATCGACCTGGCCATCCAGCAGTCGCAGATGGGTCTGTTCCTGAACGCCGGCCAGGTGTGCATCTCCGGCAGCCGCGTGTACGTGCAGGAGGGCATCTACGACGAGTTCGTGCGCCGCTCGGCCGAGGCTGCCCAGGCCATGAAGATCGGCGACCCGTTCGACCTGACCACCCAGCACGGCCCGCAGATCGACGGCAACCAGTTCAAGAAGGTTCTGGGCTACATTGAGTCCGGCAAGAAGGAGGGCGCCCGCCTGGTGTGCGGTGGCAAGCGCTGGGGCGACAAGGGCTTCTTCATCGAGCCCACGGTGTTCGCCGACGTGAACGAGGACATGGCCATTGCCCGCGAGGAGATCTTCGGCCCCGTCATGTCCATCATCAAGTTCAAGACCATCGACGAGGTCATCGAGCGCGCCAACAACTCAGAGTTCGGCCTGGGCGCCGGCGTGGTCACGTCCAACCTGGACAACGCCATCAAGATCTCCAACAGCGTGCGCGCCGGTACCGTGTACGTGAACTGCTACGCCATCATCGAGGCTAACACGCCGTTCGGCGGCTTCAAGAACTCGGGTCTCGACCGCGAGCAGGGCGAGCTGGGCCTGCGCAACTACCTGGAGAACAAGACGGTCATCATCAAGCGCCCGGAGGACTCCATGCCGTAAGCGTGGCAAGCTAACCCTTAGAGAACGTGTAGTAGACGTAAGAACATATAAGCACCAGCAAACAACGAGCGTCAACTTTGTCAGCCCAGCATTTCGCCATTGCAGTTCCTGCCTGTCTGGTTGAAGTGGCCTGTGATGCCATAAGACAGGATAAGACCGCACTATTCCCTACTGCAGGGCTTTCCAGCTAATTTTAGCGAATCGTTTTCCCTCTGCGACTGCGCGAATCAACGGCCGCGAAGGTGGATGCTCTTGCTTTCAGTATGGGCGGCTATTCCGCCATTTCAACCAATCTGGCGCTGTCAGTTTCTGTCTGGACCACTCGTGGGGTGTCTTTCGTCAGTTCCCAAAGACACCGTTGGCCCGCAAGCGTCGACGTCCAAAGAGAAAGCAGCAGCTCGCGCCCCCCAGCTCGACAGCTCCGGTTTTCTGACCCCCAGCGCCCGGCGACCCTCCCGACCTGGCTACAGTGCATGCGTTTGCAAATCCCGTGCGACCAAATTGATTCGAGTAGTGCGTCGACCTGGAAACGAAAGAGACAGGAAGCTGTGCGTCATCCCCCGGATCATCCCCGCCGCCACCATTCCATTCCCATACCTTCAGCCGAGCACGTGATCCCGCTCACGTTACAGGACCAGACGCTCTTCTTTAGCTAATCAAGAGCCCTCCTCTCCTCCCCAATCAAGCCGAAAAAGACCCAAGAAAAACTTATCCAAGCAACCCAACAGCCAAGATGTCGTTCATGAACATTGCAGGAACCCAGCCGGTCGATGACCCCGAGTACCGCTACAAGATGCCGCGTCTTCAAGCCAAAATTGAGGGCCGCGGTAACGGCATCAAGACTCTGGTTGTCAACTGCGCTGACATTGCCACGTCGCTGCACCGCTCGACCGCCGAGGTGTGCAAGTTCTTCGGCTGCGAGCTCGGTGCTCAGTCCAAGTACGATGAGAAGACGGACCGTGCCATTGTGAACGGAGCCTTCGAGGCTGGCATGATGCAGCAGCACCTGTCCAAGTACATCGAGGGCTTCGTGCTGTGCCCGGGCTGCCGTCTTCCCGAGACCAAGTACAAGTTCAAGGGCCAGCTGATCTTCCACAAGTGCTACGCCTGTGGTGCTGTGGAGCCCGTGGACATGAACCACAAGCTCACGACCTTCATCTTCAAGGAACACACCGCCGCTAAGCGTGGAAGCAAGGATGAGAAGAAGAAGAAGGACAAAAAGGAGAAGAAGGAAAAGAAGGACAAGAAGTCCCACGATGAGCCTGAGGACGAGTCTGCGACCAAGGAAAAGAAAGAGAAGAAGGAGAAGAAGGACAAAAAGGAGAAGAAAGACAAGAAGGACAAGAAGGATAAGAAGGACAAGAAGAAAAAACACCACAAGGAGAAGAACTCGGATAAGGAGTCGGGCGACGACGAGGACGACGAGGTGGTGTGGCACACGGACCTGTCCGCCGAGGCTGTTGCGGCTCGTGCTGCTGAGGCCGAGGCTATCGAGGCCGCTGCCGCTGCTGCTATGGAGGCTTCTGCCGCCGAGGAGGTCGTGGCTACGCTGGACAACCTGCAGGTGGACGACGAGAATGCCCTGGATTCGGCCGTTGCGAACCTGCAGCGATTCCTGAAGGAGAGCCACTCGGAGTCTGAGATCTTCGAGGAGCTGTGCCGTCAGCAGACGTACTCGGCGCTTCCTGTCACTGACCGTCTTGTCATTTTCTTCCGCTCCGCCTTCACAAAGGAGGTGCTCTCGAGCAACCAGGTTGCCAAGTTTGCGCCTGTGCTCGAGAAGATCATCGACGCCCAGCACGCGCAGTACCAGCTGCTTGCTCTGACTGAGCACTTCTGCGCAGTTGAGCATTCGGAGCTCTTGACCTCGTACCCTATCCTTCTGAAGCTTCTGTACGACGAGGACCTGCTGGAGGAGGAGTGCCTAGTGGCCTGGGCCAACAACGGTGTCCGCAAGGAGTACGCGCACTGGGCTGTCACTGACGAGCTTGCTGCTAAGCTGAAGACCTTGCTGCAGCCCTTCATCGAGTGGCTGGAGAACGCCGAGGAGGAGAGCGAGGATGAGAGCGACGACGAGTAACTTTCTACCCCGAAGCTGTTGGAGCTGCTGTGTGCCCCTGTGCACTGAGGTTAGCTACCAACCCAGCGCTGCATATCTTTCCGTTCATATCACATTCCTGCCAACCTTATTGATCTGAGAAGCTCACCATGCATGTGGACTGATCGAGACGCTGAGGGAAACGAATCAAATATGCATTCTACTACTTTGAACCCGTGTGTTTTCACTTTAACGAGACTTCCTCTATGTTTTCAAGCGTAGCTTCAACTTCCGCAGCGATGCCCTCAACGACACAGGAAATCTCTTTTTCCAACGCTGCTGTCGCCGCTTCACACGCACGATTGTCGGAATTGCCAGCTCGATGCAAGGCAGTTGCAAGTGCATCGCTCGAGAACGGCGCTGTAGCGTTCGACTTGAATAGTGCCTGGTGGAAGCGCTGGAATTTGCCCTACTCAAACCCACCACGGCATATCAGCGTCAGCAACCTGGGAACAAGCCACCCTTCACAACCTAGCGTACAGTATGACAACACGTTTCTTACCTTGCTATGCTCAACGCTAATCGTCAGCACCGGTTTGCCCGATGCGATGGCTTCCGTCGTCATGGAAATGGAATCCGGCGTGGTCACAATGCAGGACGCCGTTGACAGCAGCGCGTAGTATGGATTCCGGTGCTCCGTGCCGTCCCACACGAGCAGTTGTCCTGGCGCGGGCAACCTTGCACCCAGTCCCTGTCGAATAATCCGCTGCACATGCGTTGGCGTCCGCCGCGAGAACGTCACGAGCACCGCCACATCATCACCACGAGGAAGCGCCGCTACGAACTCCTCAACCATCCTCGCCGCATCCTGCTCCGAGAACGAAAACCCTCGACACGGACCTCCCAGCAGCCAGACAACTCGCGTCCGCCTGCCTTGCAGCTTGTCCAGCTCTTCACTCCATTCACCGCCATGCTGCTGCAGCATAGCTGGCGTGATGTTATGCACTGTCCCCGACGTCAGATACACGTTATCAGCGTCGCCTCCACCTTCGGGAAAGTCGTGCTTGGGCACGACCACAGCGTCGAACCACGCGAGAGCCACGCGCGGGTGCTGGATCTGCACATTGAACGTGCGTGTAGGCGAGAGCTGCTTCAGCACCGCACAGAGCGCCACGGTGCTGCGTCCGCAGCCAATGACGACGTCCAGCTCTCGCCCAGTCCTCTTCACTGGGAACAGGCGACTTGCGTCTTGCTCCGCGTAGCCGAACAGCGGGTTCCGCGTGAGTCTGGCGCCGATAACCTGCAGCACCGGCGGAATGACGCGCGATCTTCCCAGCGTCACGCGCACGCACTCCACGGGCGGACAGCGCACATGAGATCTAGACGACGCACTATCGCTCAGCAGCTTCTCCCTCAACCTGTTGCCCAGCGCCAGCGCCTGCTTCTCGGCGCCTGCCGCGCCGTTCCCCAGCACCAGCAACCGCACAGCCCGCATGGTGCTTGACCATCAAGCGACAATCACTCCTCAAACCGAATCGGTGACGTCAGCCACTTTGACTGGGCCACCGAATGTACCCCTTACCCACCCATCCACTAACCCCGCAGTTTATTGAGCTATTGGACCTATTGGACCAGAGCAGAGCGAGGTGGCGGCGATGGCCTTCGAGATCCTGCGCGCGACGCGGCAGCTGCCCGTGGTGGAGAAGGAGCTCGTCTTCGGCAAGCGCTCGACGGATGCGGCCGCGGCGCGCTCCACCGCTGGCGCCGCGTGGGGCAAGAGCGCGCGCAAGTGGGTGGCGGCTTCTTCCTCTTCATCCGCCCGCGAGTTCGGCGACGCCATGCCCCGTGAGCTGCGCACGCTGGTGGCCGCCTCCTTCGACGTGTTCGCGCGCGTGCAGACGCAGAAGCTCGGCGCGTTCGGCGTCGCGCGCGCCAGTCGCGAGTACCGCGAGGCGCTCAAGACGTGCATCTTCGCGCTGGAGGACCGTCTGGAGACGCACAAGGAGCTGAACGTGGAGGACGAGGGCGAGTTCCTGGACCTGCTCAAGGTGTCACTGGCTATCTGGCACCTGTGCGAGCTGCTGCTGCTCCGTGGTGGAGCAAGAGGAGCCGACTCTGGCCTGGCCTACGACCTCGCGCTGTGGCTGCAGGAACACTACTGCAGCACGCTGCTTGAGAAGACGGAGGGCGAGAGCGAGAGACTCAAGAAGCTGCAGAAGCCAGAGCAGGACGCTGATTTCTGGACGACCATCCAGGCGCTCGTGATGGCGGGCAGTGGTCCCAGCGCGTGGGCTCTGTTGGCCGCGCACTCGAGCTACAAGTCGCTTTTCGCCCGTGACACCATGTCGCTGACCGGCGCGTCCACGAAGGCAGCATTTCAGGCAGTGCAGAAGCTGCTGCTGACGATGCCCGGCAGTGCAGGAGCTGCGGGGATGAGCGTGGAACGGGATGCGGCTACGGAGTGGAAGAACTGGCACGACGCCTGTCAGCTATTGCTGAATACGGATGGATACATTAAGGCGAATGCAGGATTTACGACGCTGTTGGAGATTATGGCGGCGAAGGAGGTCGCGCTCAAGAGCCGAGCTAACACTTGGTATGAATTGATGATGGCGAAGCTGTTCCTGGATGAGCCTAAGACCATTGCGCACCGTTTCGAGTACTTGATGGCCAACTGCTTCCGCGCGTACCACAGCGACGAGGCTAGTATGGGTAACTTTGACTGCATTATCCTGGCCATTATGCAGTATGACATTCAAACAGCGCTTCAGGATATTATCGCACTGGGATTCTCGTGGATGGCCGCGCATCTCTCGGACCTGCTGCAGAGAAACATTGTCATCGTGGCTGATGAGGTGTTGCCGGAAGCCGGATGCACGTTGAAGGAACATTTCTTGTTGCAGTACGCCATGGAGATTGGCGCGAGCAGTGGCATGTGGCAGTTTGCTGTGCGATACTATGAGTACTGCCCCAAGTTTGGAGCAATTGCGATTCGCTCCGCTTTAGAGCGCGAACCAACGCCGACGGACTACAAAACTGAACGCCTTCTCGCGTACTGTCATGGCAAGAAGCTCCTTGCAACGACTCAGCGTCGTGTTGCTATCCAGAGAGCGCAGGAGTGTAAAGCCAAGGAGGAGTACGCATCAGCTCTTCACTGGATGTTGCGCGGCAACCACCTTGATGATGTGGATGCTTTGTGCGATGATATTTTGAAACAGTGCAACGAAACAAACTCGCTAGCGCCTCTGCACGAGGCGGTGCAGTTCATGGAAGCTCACCCCGAGTTTGCTCGTCCGCAAAAGTTGGCGTGGCTGGTTCGGTACCGCGAATTCCACCTGGTTCTCGACGACAGCGAGTCTTTGCGGCAGCAGCTGAGGAGTGATGAAGCTTTGAACAACAAGGAAGTGCGTGCGAGTTTGGAAACGAAGCTTCGCTTCGTCAACATGGAAGCTGCGAAGCGACTTGACTGGCTATTTAGTTCTCCTGAGGCTCCTAAGGTGCTGCGGTCTGAAGTACTCCAGCAAGCTGAACGGTTACTGAAGGAGTCTCCGTCCGTGTTTGGATCGCGACACCTCTACTCTCTTATGGCGTACCTGCAGCAACTGGACCGCTCTTTTGACCGTCAACAATTTTACGAGTCGGGCTCGAACAAGCAACTGAAAGAACGCATCGAAAGTTTGATTTCTCGAAACCTGGCCGAAGCAATGCTGCAAGAAGCAAGTGCAAGCGGATATGGCGCTTCTTCCGCGGGGGGTCCCCCACGTCTTCAATCAAAATCTGCGCTGATTGCTCAGCAACCTTATTTGATCGCAGATGCGTCTTTTACGCCGATGGAAGAGTAGCGGGTGCCCTGAAGTCCGGTGGGTGGTCCTGCTGCTGGGGTGTTAGGTTGTTGGCTCGAGTTACCCCCAACTCGCGTACAATGTCCTCCACTGCTTGCAATGCTGATTGCTGCCGAACGAGTCGAGGTGGCGACGACGCCTTCTGGCGCGGCGGTCCTTGCTCAGGGACTGCTTGGCCATACAAGTGAGAATATGCACTAGACGTTAGAGAGAACGTAATAGCAAGATCTGGACGATAGTCGTACTTGCTGGTTCATTTCCACCCGCTTCAATAGGTGCCGTTGTTGCTTTCCTGGATGTGTAGGCAAACAGTTGCATCCGTGTTACGGCGGAATTGAGAAGCAAGTGAACATGAACGGATCCAAGCACCTTCGAAACATCACGTCCCCGCGCACCTGCTCGCTCTGAATTGTAATCTTCAGTGAAAGAGCAACAAAACTTAGCCCAATTGAAAACAGGATGAGAGGTCCCGATCGTTCGAGCAGTACTTACGTTTAGTGTTGAATTCAGGCGCGAGTCATCAAGCAAGAACGAGCGTGTGACCTACAGAGCGTATACTCGACGAGCTGAAGTTAATAAGGTATTTGCAAGTGGGGACTTTCAAACCTACACTACCATGCCATACCTTGCTGCCACCGAGATATTCTGCTAGATCAACATTGACAACACCAAGTCGCGTATAGCCTCCAGCGGATGCGGGTGCAACTTGACGGATTGAGAGGCGAAGGTTGCAGCTTTTGAGTGTTTTCGTTTTGGGCTCGAGCCTGAGTGTGCAGTTAGTGATCGTCACTGGGGCGTCCCAAACAACTCTGTTTGCACTGAGCACACCGCAGGTTTCGGTGACACCGCTGTGCAGGAATGTCGCTGTTGCGAGCTTCCACTTGCAGTACACTTGGGCGTCCGGGTGGGGGATGTTGGAGCATGCGTGGATCACTGCGTGGATGTCGAAGACCACATGATGAGACGCGTCCTTGCCAGGTGACAGCCGGAACATGCCCACCGCCGAGAGCACCTCAACTATGATGATCCACCGTTAACCAACGATCAAAATGTGGGGAGGACAACGGCAATCACTTCGACTAATTTTGGCTGTTTTGTGGTGTTGATGCTTTGTTCGGTTCGTAACAGCATTCGTGGGCGACTAGCACAGTGAGCTGCACTGCTGATCTATCGGCACCTGGATGCCCAAATTCTGAAGTTGTTGAATAAAACTTGAACTGCTACGAATTTTGCGTGCTTGGCAATTGATCTCGAAAGCGTCAGGTTGCGGTTATGCGTCATTCTGCACGAGTATGATCGTTAGTGCACTAAAAGTTAGCTTTAGCTACCATGGCGGGTGAACTGAGGTCTTGGCAACTTACTTGCGTCTTCTCCAAGCAGATCGAGTACATCGGACATGAAGTCGCCACCCTCGCGCTTGAATTTATAGGCAGCTTCAACTGCGTCTTTGAACACCTTGACAACGTTCGTGCCGTCGGCGGCTGAGACGAAACTGAACTCGAGATTGTGCGTCTCGGCGAACTTAAACTTTTTGCTGGTGACCTAGGGGCGAGCCAAGCAAGGAGTATCATATTGTCAGTTAGATTTCACGCCGGGCAGGGCACGCATACTGACGTTCATGTCGACGTCGATCTTGTTGGCAACGAGAAAGCACGGGATATTCTCGCAGTATTCGCGCAGCTCCTTGTACCAGTTGGCCAGATTCTGGTACGTCACCTTGCGCGTGACATCGAAAACCTGTGCAGTTAACTTGTTAGCACCATGCTGGACAGGGAGATAGTAGAGTTTGTGTCCCACCAAGATGCACGCTGTTGCTCCGTAGTAGTACGACGGGTGCATGCTGGAGAACCGCTCTTGGCCAGCAGTGTCCCAGAAGTCTGGAATGTTAGACAGGAAGGATAGCCACATGAGCTTGTGTTGAACCACCTGGGGCTCAATGGACCACCTACCAACTTTCACCGTGCGCTTGCCGTTCTCGCCGTCCAGCCCCACCTCCTTGCGGAACAGCGTCAAGGCAAAAGTTGACAGCTGGCGAAACGTATCAGCAACGTTTTCATAACCTCGCAATGAACCACGCTATGAATCGGCGAGCTTTCCCTACCTGCCGTGGTTGGTATTCGTTCATCATGAAGCGTTCGACCAGCTTCGACTTGCCCACGGCCGAGTCGCCGAGTAGAATGACCTGCCAGCGCAAGTGCAATAACACGTCAGCAGCAACATCCACCACACCACACCACCACTACCACCAACCCCCTACCCACCTTCACATCGGGCTCGCCCAAACTGTCCTCGAGCACCTCGACCGTGTCGCTCTTCGCCGCCATATCTATCTACTGTGGTAAGACCACCGTCGAAAGGTCGCAAATCGATTGAGCAGCCGTTGCTACACAATTATCCTTTTGCGCATGGATTCGCGCGCGGATGGATGCCTACATCTGCGCGAACATGAACCCAGCACTATCTGCTACGCTAGATAGCGTGGACTGCCAAAAGTGCCAGGATAGTGCTGCTGCAGTGCACTTCAACTTGTTGTACCGGAATGATTGTACCGCAGGTATCCAAATGACTGCTCCTTTTATTATCTGGTGTGCCGCACACAAGGCGTCGTGATCCACCCAAGGAAGCCGTGACCCCGCAAAAACCCACCACCTCTCGGCAAGGCCACGGAAGGCGACGATGGAGCTGGCGACGGAGCACGTGCGCTTGCTGGACGCCGGCAGGCAGCGCGTCGCGTACTCGTCGCCGCTCAGCACGTCCTGCTTCGCGTCGGTGGCGTCCAAGCGCTCGCAGCTGCTGCAGCACGGCAACGCGTACGGGCTCAGCTTCGTGGCGACCGAGCAAGGTGCGCAAAGCAGCAGCGGCTCTCTCATTTGATACTTGATGTACAAAGAATCTCTAAATTTATGCTTACCTGTCTGCAGGCTTCACGGTGACCAAGAACGACGCGCTGGAGGCCGCATGCGCCGACTACAACAAGCGGCGGCAGGAGGCCATGGACCACGGCCAGAAGCTCACGCTCGAGGAGATCCACGAACTGCCGACGACCAAACAGGTGCAGCTGCCGTCCATCGCCTACTGGATCGCGCTCTCTCCGGACGAGCTCACGGTCGCAGTGGCCTATGGAGACGCCGTGGCGCTCTTCGAGGTCGCGCACATCCTCGAGACGGTACGGCCAACGCGCTATAAATTTTATTTATTTTTTATTTTGCTTACTAATAATTTAATTTCCCTCGCAGGCATCGCCAGCTCCCTTTCAGACATTTACCAAGCTGCAGGCGCAGGAGATTGCGTGGTGCACTGACGCAGCTAGCGAGCGGCTGGCGGTCTTGACGCTGGAGAAGCAGGTGGTCGTGTGCACGCTAAGTGGAGAGAAAACTGTTATCGAGACTCAGAGCGCCGCTTCGTCGGGTATGTTAACCCGTGATTCGCCTGTAAAAGAGCTGTTGAGTGTTGACTAATTATTTTTCATTCATCTTGTTGTGCGATTCTAGTTTCGTGGTCGCCGTCGGGAGCGCAGATTGCGATTGGTCTGGTGGACGGCACGATTGGAGTGTACGCGGGGGATTCCTTGCAAATTGTTCGATCTATCGACCCACCTGAAAGCTGCGCAGGAGGAGACCTCGAAGGTAGGAGCATTTGAGTCGTGCCTGAATAATTGTAGATTTGCTTGTGGCTGATGTGACTTGCTGCTTTGGTTCAGTGCACCACGTCAACTGGGCGGAAGACGAACTGTTTTTGGCTGGATACCACAAGTATGATGAGGACGACGAAGAAACGACCGCGATGGCGTGCATCTTCGATGGAGGTGAATGCGTTGAGCTGGATGAAGTTGTCGGCTTTTTCGATGTGGAGAACCGTAGGCACCAGTATTTCTCTGTCTTCTTGCTGGACTGGTAAGTCGTTGCCTGCGATGAGGGAGATCGATGAGGGAGGAGTCTGATTTGTTATCCCATGTCGCTTTATTGTTTCGTAGGCGGATGTTCTTCGTTGGATGCTCGCTAAGCGCAGATATCGAGTTGCTCGTTTCAGATCCCAATGGTGATGGATGGCAATTGTGGAAGCCGCTGGAAAAGTATCAAGCCCGTCTCCCCATGAACGCTGAAGATGAAGAATCGTACCCGATGGGCCTTACCCTCAATTTGAACTCGACGTTGCAGGTCCCTGTTGATGAAGACATGTATCCGCCGGTGCCTGTCGTTTCATGTACCAACACGGAAGGGATCTTGGTGAACTTCGCATTTGTTGACACAACAGTGTATGAAGTTGACTTTGTCAAGAGCCCGTCGCCGTTCGAAGCGAAACCTATTCGTAATGTCGAAGTGAAGGAGGATTCTAAGGCTGAGGCAGCACATGAACATTTGTTTGCGTCCAACACGACGGCAAATACTAAAACAGAGGAACCTGTATCTCCGAAGAAGGAGATTTCCCATGCATACGGCCAGAACGATGAGAACGAGTTCGCCGAGTCTGACGGCGAGTCGAGCGACGAAGAAGAGGAACGCAGGGAAGAGGAAGAAAATGCCAGAGCTACGTTCCGCACGATCGCGGCTGAAGGAACTGACTTTATCCTTTCAGAGCAGTTCCCGAAGCTGTTTAAGGCGATGGGATCTACATATTCGGAGGAGGAGCATGCGAGCACGCTGGAAAACCTGGAGAAGGACGGCAAGGTGTACGAAGACGACTTCATGTCGTGGTATGTGAACTGGATTTTCGGTGACGATGACTCGGATTCAGATGAAGATGAGGATGCACCTGCATCGTCAGCGACGAAGCCCGCCGAGATGAAGTCGAAAGAGGAGATCGCGGCAGCCTTCTCGAAATTTACGGCGAAGGAGGGAAGCTGGAAGTGTGAGCTGTGCATGGTGAACAATGGCCCTGAAGCGATGAAGTGTACAGCGTGCGAGGCGCCAAACCCTGCCGCACCAAAGGGGTTGGCTCCTGTGACTGCGGCGAGTGTAACGTCTGCGGGCTCGATCGGATCCGGTGGTTTTTCTTTCCCAGTTCCCACGGGCGATGCTGCATCAAAGCCGTCGTCTTTTTCTTTCGGTGCGACGCCTGCCGCCACGACCGACGGTGATGCTTCAAGTAAGCCTGCTACTGGTTTCTCGTTCGGTGGTGCGGCAGCGACGACGGGTTTTAGCTTCTCGAGCAGTACGTCTACTACTGGAACAGGCTTCAACTTCCCGACTAGCACGAAACCTGCCACTGGGTTTAGCTTCGGTTCATCGGCTGGTGCAGTTGACACAACAATAACCACGGGCTTTAGCTTTGGCTCCTTGAATGTCGCTTCTGAAAGTAAAACCGTGCCAACGGTGGACGCTTCGTCGAAAATCAATCCGCCCCCGTCTCCGAAAAAGATTGTTTCACATGAGTATGGCCAAAATGATGAAAACGAGTTCGCAGAGTCAGATGGAGAGTCAAGCGACGAAGAAGAGGAACGCAAAGAGGAGGAAAACAAGGCGAAACAAGCATTCCGCTCCATTGCGTCTGATGGAGAGGACTTTATTGCTGCTGATCAGTTCCCGAAGTTGTTCAAGACCCTCGGTTCGACGTATTCTGAAGAAGAGCACGCCAGTACGCTCAAAAATCTCGAAAAGGACGGGAAGGTATATGAAATCGACTTCATATCCTGGTATGTTGATTGGATCTTTGGTGACGATGAATCCGATTCAGACGAACACACCGACGAGCCAGCGCCCCCCAAAAACGAGATTTCTCATGCATACGGCCAGAACGATGAGAACGAGTTCGCCGAGTCTGACGGCGAGTCGAGCGACGAAGAAGAGGAACGCAGGGAAGAGGAAGAAAATGCCAGAGCTACGTTCCGCACGATCGCGGCTGAAGGAACTGACTTTATCCTTTCAGAGCAGTTCCCGAAGCTGTTTAAGGCGATGGGATCTACATATTCGGAGGAGGAGCATGCGAGCACGCTGGAAAACCTGGAGAAGGACGGCAAGGTGTACGAAGACGACTTCATGTCGTGGTATGTGAACTGGATTTTCGGTGACGATGACTCGGATTCAGATGAAGATGAGGATGCACCTGCATCGTCAGCGACGAAGCCCGCCGAGATGAAGTCGAAAGAGGAGATCGCGGCAGCCTTCTCGAAATTTACGGCGAAGGAGGGAAGCTGGAAGTGTGAGCTGTGCATGGTGAACAATGGCCCTGAAGCGATGAAGTGTACTGCGTGCGAGGCGCCAAACCCTGCCGCACCAAAGGGGTTGGCTCCTGTGACTGCGGCGAGTGTAACGTCTGCGGGCTCGATCGGATCCGGTGGTTTTTCTTTCCCAGTTCCCACGGGCGATGCTGCATCAAAGCCGTCGTCTTTTTCTTTCGGTGCGACGCCTGCCGCCACGACCGACGGTGATGCTTCAAGTAAGCCTGCTACTGGTTTCTCGTTCGGTGGTGCGGCAGCGACGACGGGTTTTAGCTTCTCGAGCAGTACGTCTACTACTGGAACAGGCTTCAACTTCCCGACTAGCACGAAACCTGCGGCCGGTTTTAGTTTTGGAGCACCATCAAGTACTGCAACTTCGACGACTTCTGCTACCAGTAGTTCTGACACGACGTCGAAGGATCAAGCACCGGTGTCCGCTTCTAGCGGCAGCTCGTACCCTCCTGACACTTCGTCGAAGCCAAAGCCGCCGGCGTTTGGTGCCTCGAGTGGATACCCTCCTGACACGACGTCGAAGCCCAAACCTCCAGCGTTTGGTGCCGCCAGTGCCAGCGGCTACCCGCCGGACACGACGTCGAAGCCGAAGCCGCCAGCATTCGGTGCTACGAGTGCCTACCCTCCCGACACGACTTCGAAGCCGAAGCCTCCAGCTTTTGGTGCGAGCGGCAGCGCGTACCCGCCTGACACGACATCTAAGCCAAAACCTCCAGCGTTTGGAGCTTCAAGCGGTACGTCAACATCTGGAACAGGATTCAGTTTTTCGACTACAGCGAAGCCTGCAACGGGTTTCAGTTTTGGAGCAGCTTCTAGTTCGGCAGCTACGACGTCTACTGCTATCAGTAGTTCGTACCCTCCTGACACAACGTCGAAGCCTAAGCCCCCGGCATTTGGTGCTGCGGGTGGAAGTGGATACCCTCCTGACACAACGTCGAAGCCTAAGCCCCCAGCGTTTGGTGCTGCAAGCGGTGGTGCTTACCCGCCCGACACAACGTCAAAGCCCAAGCCTCCAGCGTTTGGTGCCACAAGCGCTAGCGGCTACCCGCCTGACACCACGTCGAAGCCCAAGCCCCCGGCGTTTGGTGCCTCGAGTGGATACCCTCCTGATACGACGTCGAAACCCAAGCCTCCAGCGTTTGGTGCTGCAAGCGGTGGTGCTTACCTGCCCGACACAACGTCAAAGCCCAAACCTCCAGCGTTTGGTGCCGCAAGCGCTAGCGGCTACCCGCCTGACACCACGTCGAAGCCGAAACCTCCAATGTTTGGACAGCCGAGTGCTTCGGATAAACCAACGAGTTCGTTTGGATTCGGCTCTTTTGGTAAGGGTCTTTTTGGATCAAAGACGGAAGCATCGTCGGAGTCGACCGAGCAGGATGAGAAAACTACTCCTAAGAAGTCCAAATCCTTGTTTGGAGGTACTTTTGGCAGCGGGGCTACAGAGAAAGCGCCCGACACGTCTTCGTCTCCATTCGGCGTTGTCCCCAAGGCAACCTCGAAAAGTGCATTTTCGTTTGGAGCACCAGCTGCCAGCGAGCCGAAGGAGGCTACTTCGAAAACTAGCTCAGCGCGACCGAGCTTCTCATTCGACAGTGTGTCTTCAACGCTCGACACTGCTGCAAAGAAGGACAGCTCCGATGACGAGCCGAAGACGAAGCGCACTCTGAACTTTGGCGACTCAAGTGCATTTGAAGCAAAATCTAAACCGGTTTCTGCTGTCAAGACTCAAGCAAAGTCAGCCTCAGCACCTGTTAAGTCGTCGAAGGGTGTCCCATCGTCTCGGATGGAAGGCCAACTGTGGAAGTTGATTGCGGACTTCGACAAGTCTCTTCAGCGGGTAAACCAGGGCTCGAAGAACATTTCGTCCAAGGACCCAGAATTCTCGAAGACGCTGCTGGCTAAAACGGACAAGCTACGCGCTCAGATTTCGAGTCTTTGTGATGAAATCAACAGTTTGGACGAGTCGCGCGATCAGATCGAGAAAGACGTGTTGTTCGTCATCGGAAGTGACGGTGATGTGCACGAGCAGCTCGAGTATGGTCGTGAAATTTTGAACAGCTTTAATGATGAGGCTCTCAAGAGAACGCTGGAAGAGCAGCCGCTTGACCAGCGATCCAAGGAGACCTGGACATCGCTTAAAGAGAAATTGGACGAGGTGGAAAAGTGTTGTCTTGAGCTCGACAGTCATCTTTCCTCTTCCAAGATCGGCACTGATGCAGCCGGCGCAACGTCTTCGGCGCACTTGTTCCGCGTTTTGAAGCAAACTTACGATAACTCCAAGATGCAGTACAACAAGGCTTGCAAATTGGCTGACCAGTTGGAGAAGTTGAGTTTGCGCGGCGATCGAATGCACCAAACCAACGGCGTCAGCGGGCTTTCTGCGGTGGAAAGTGAAGTTCATTCCGCGGCTACCAAGGAACAAATGGTCCAGGTGATTGTGGAGACGGAACAGCGAAGTCAGGACGTCCGCCGGAACTTTTTGTCGCTGTGCAACAATGTCGTGACTCCCCGAGATGTTTTCTCTACACCGCGGCGGAAGCTGGCACCTCCTACACCATCCGATTCGTCTACTTCGCCCCTCCGGATCAAAGCCTGCAGCAAACTGATGCCGAAGACACAGCTAAGTGTTGCGTCTCCCATGAGCTCGGCAAAACAATCGTCCAGATCCGTATCGTTCAAGGAAACCCCAGTTAAATCAGGGTCAAAACTGTTCACGCTCGCAGAAGCCATGGCACCGAAGGAGGAGCCTGCCAAGCTTGTACAAACTCCCCAGCCGACAAAGCCTAGTGTTGGTGTAGGCAAGGCACCGCAGCGACCAAGTCTGGGAGCCCCCGCTGCAGAAGCGAAGCCCGCAACGACATCTACTGCTGCTGCTGCACCAAAGACTAACGTGTTCAGCTTCCCGAAGTCGTCGAGTGGCAGTGCGACTGCGTTTGGTGCCTCAGCGGCGAAGGAAAGTGACAAGAGCGCTGCATTAACTACGTCAGCGTTTGGCGGATTTGGAGTCAACTCGCCAGCAGTAAAGCCGAAGCTGAAGACCGAGGCCAAACCTGCTCCTGCCTTCTCACTAGGAGGAAAAGAGGCGCCTGCATCATCGTCCGCCTTCAGCTTCGGATCCAAGGACTCGAAGAGTACGGATCAGCCCGCTTCGTCTACTGCTGCTACAACAGACTACAAGGCGCTTTTGGAGAAGTTTTACAAAGTGCACAACCCGTCCAAGAGTGGCAGCGTGATTGAGAAGGCTTTGACAACGTACAAGGGCAGGGAGGAAGACCTGTTCACTCGGCTGTTCACGATGTACGTCCCCGATTCGACACCCGAAAATGTCAAGAAGTATTTACATGGAGGACCAGTTCCCCCCAAGTCCACATCGGCGCCAGCCGCCTCGAAGTCCCCGGCGCCAGCTCCCACGGCGTCTAAGAGTCCTTTCAGCGGTTTTGCAACGCCAGCTACTGCTCAGAAGGATGGTGCCGCCAAGCCTAGTCCGTTTGGCGCGTCTCCTTCAGCCTTTAGCCTTGGCCCTGCAGCAAACAAGTCCACAGGTTTTGGTGCGTTTGGATCCACAGCGACCAGCTCTTCCACGACCGCGACAACTACTGCGACAGCATCTCCTTTCGGCAAACCTGCTGTCGACTACCGCCAGAAGCTGGTAGAATTCTACCAAAAGCACAACCCGGACAAGCTCAGCAGTGTGGATGCCACGCTTCAGAAGTACAAGGGAAATGAGGAGAAGCTCTTCCAGAACCTGGCTGTCAAGTACAAGCTGAACGACGCGAGCGGAGGCATCTCCGTGCCGCCTGCGAGCCCGGCCCTGCAGCCTGCGAAGCCTAATGCTGCAGCCAGCCCGTTCGGTCAGCCCGGAGCATTCTCTGCTGCCAACACCTCGAGTGGGGCAACTTTCGGCTCCTCCAGCTCTGTTGGGTTCGGCGCATCGAAGCCCACTCCTGGTGCCTCTCCATTTGGTGCGCCGAAGCCAACTCCCGCTGCGTCCCCGTTTGGTGCCGCTACTCAAACGTCCAGCGGCTTCGGATCTGCTAGTGGAAGCGGATTTGGCGGTGGCTTCCAGTCGAGTGCTCCTACGACCCCGGCGTTCGGTGCCCCCTCTCCTTTCGGTGCCGCAAGCAGCGGCTTTGGAGCTGCGGCAGGTGGCGTGAACTACCGCGAGAAGCTCACGGCGTTCTACCAGCAGCACAACCCAGCGAAGCTGAGCTCCGTGGACGCGACACTGGAGAAGTACAAGGGCCGCGAAGACCACCTCTTCTCGATGCTGGAGCAGAAGTACGTCAACAAGCAGCCGGCAGCGCCTGCCGCCGGAGGTTTCGGCATTCCCAGCACCTCGTCGTTCGGTGGAGGCAGCGGCTTTGGCGCGCCGTCGGCCTTGGGATCTGCTAGTGCCGCCCCTGCGTTTGGATCAGCCTCGACTCTAGGCGGAGCCGCTCAGCCGGCTTTCGGTGGAGCTGCAGGCTCTGGCTTCGGCATGGCGTCGCGTATGGGCGGAGGCGGCGGGTTTGGCGCGGCCGCCGCTGCTGCTCCTAGTGGAGGAGCCGCCGGATCGGGCTTCAGTGCCTTCAGCTCCCAGACACCGACGTTTGGTGGTGCCGCACCGCAGCCCGGAGGTTTTGGAGCCGCTGCCAACAGCGGAGGGTTCGGCTCGGGCTTCGGAGGTGGCGCTGCCACCGGCGGCTTTGGCCAGCCTGCCGCGTTCAACAGCTCCAGCTTCACCCAGATGCGGTGAGCTCGCCATGACGGCGAACATGGTCGCCGCCAACACTTGGCGCTCGCTACTTGGCACGACGTAGTTAGTAAACGAAGATACAATTGACACCACAGCTTTGCATGGACACAACTAAAAAGGCAACTTGCACGTTGAAGTTGCACCCTTCCGGGTCTGCCATAAACAGCATTGAACCCATGTACCACAAATAACGGTCCTACCCGGCCCGTTCAATCCAAAGTCATACAAACTGTAAACAAATCAACAAATACGGGCCGAGTTTGTCGTTTCAACGCACCTAGGATGTGGCATTGTACTTGTGGTGCATTGCAGCCAGTCATTTTCTTGGGTTGCCTTTTGCGCTTGCCACTGTTCTGTCATTCCCCAAACAGACTCCCTGGGGCTCAAGTCTCCGTCTTTGTATTTCGAGACAAATTGTATGTACAGTCGAGAGTGGCGGAGCCTTTGCCTTCCGCCCACTCGCAGTCCTATTTGCGACAGACTCGGCGTTGCCACCTCATGCAGCCAGGTCTTACAAGCGACTGCAAAAGCAACCGTTTATACCAGCGAACCGTCCCGTTGAGTTTGCGGCCTTGTTTCCCCCAAAGAGGCCGCGCAATTACGGATGAAACATCTCCCAACCAACAAACACTAGTGCATGATTCGGAGCAATACTAGAGCTATAGTAGACGCAAGCCATGAAGGCAAAGCAAATGCATTTGCTGTTACTGCAAGAACAGTAAAAGAAACGTCGTGGTGATGAAAAAAATATAACGCTCGAGATTTTCTTTCTTTCGGCTTCTCAAAACACTGCAAACACGGCCTTTATCTGCCGAACTCGCTCTCAACACGCGGCCATTTAGGTGGCAAAAGCTTGTCTTCCTCGTTTCTCTGGGGGTTAGAGAGAGCGAGGGACTGCGTGGGCGCGAGTGCTGCCCCGCAATAGTGTAGCCACCACTCTTAGGCGTCTCTCGTCCTCCTTCAGCTTAAGCCTCCTCGCACCACTTGTTCTCTTCGCGGATCTGGGCCTCCTCCTCGGGCGTGAAGTCGTTGACGATGTTGAACGTCTCGCGGATCTCTTGGGGCGTCTTGCCCTTGATCATGCTGGCCACCTTGGCGCAGGCCAGGTCCAGGAGACTCTTGATGTCCATGTAGTTGGCCGCCAGGATGAGCTCGAACAGGATCTCCTGCTCGATGTCCACGAAGTTGGCGTCCCAGTCCGACACCACGTCGTGCATGTCCGCGCTCTTGAGGGGCTGCAGGTAGGAAGAGCGTATACATGGGTTAGAGAATGCGTATACTCTCTAACCTGCAACAAGCGCATACTGTCTAAACGCAGCGACGCACCTTCTCGATCTCGCGCATGGGGCTGTTGTGGTGGTGGCTGCAGAACTCGATCACCTTGGACAGCACGGGGCTCTTGACGTTGGGCAGCGGGATCTCCTGCACCTCGTCGTCGTCGGCGTCATCTGCAACACATCCCTCGGTTAGAGATTCCCCCCCCCCTCCACGCGTTTAGCACCACTTAACCCCCCCTCCTTTTCCCTTAACCGCCATGGGTTCACTCCACGTACCCGAGATGAGCGTCTTGACCAGCTCGCTCATGGCCGCGACGCTGCGCGAGACCTCGAAGCTGTCGCCGTCCATGGACACGAGGTTCACCTTGCGCGAGTCCTCCTCCTTGGGCACATCCTGCGCGGGGGCGGCGGCGGCGTCCGACATGTTCTGACTAGGGGTTTGTATGCGGAAGGGGAAGCGAGCTTGGGCTTCGTCGAATGGGGCCTTCCAAAAATATGATCGCCCAAAGCCACGCAATAAAGCGTAATCCAACGCGTAAACAAGCCCCTTCAAGCGTAATATACGCGTAAAGTACACATTTGGTCCACTTCAACCCATCTCTCTCTATAAGCAACATCTATCAATCAATCCGAGTCTCCTGTGAAGAGGTTCGAGCCACTTCAACGCCAACTATGACCGGCGCCGCATCGACCCCTGCTTGCTCATGTCGGAGCTGTCGCTCGCGGAGATGGCGTCGGCCTCCGTCTTCAGCATCTGCGCGACCATTGCGCGCGCGCTCTCGTGCTTGGCGAGCTCTCGCTCCCGACGCAGACGCTCCGAGACCTCGTGCGGGACGGAGGGCACGACGCAGTCGAGCCAGACTTTGACCAGCAGCAACAAGTGCTCGATGCCGAACACGATCCACACCTTCTGCGTGGGAGTGACGGAGGGGAACGCGCGCTCCAGCAGCGACGTGGAGTACGCCAAGTTGAAGCAGTTGGTGAGCACGGCCAGCACGCTCATGACCTGCAGCACGTGCAGCCACACGCCGATGCCGCTGGCCTTGTGCGCGAGCGGCCGCTGCCGCGTGTGGCAGAGCTTGAAGGCGTCGGTGCGTAGCTCCAGTACATTATTCAGCAGCGCCAGTAAGGGCGCCAAGGGGAACGCCAGAGAGAAGAAGGACACGTAGCCGAACTGCACCAGCATCTCGGTGTAGTCCTCGAACGTGTCGTACTGCTTCAGTCCAGCCTCTTCCCACGCGCGGTCGGACGCTTGCTCCAGCCGCACACACTGCTCGTGGATCACGGCGTTGGTGCTCATCACAGCCTCAGGCGCGAGCTTGGTGGATGTCGTGAGACTGCCACGATGGCGGCTGGGGCCTCGGGGTGCCGTCGCTGCGCCGGCGCCGCTGAAGACTGTGGACTGGTTGAACTGCTCGTTGCTGCTTTGCTTCTTTGCGCGGGCATCGAGCCGCCGACGCACAAATGGGTAGAGTGTCTCCATGACGTTCTTCCAGATCTGCCCCGTTACCATGAACGAGGCTAGCTGAATAGCAACGCGGACCATGCCGTCGCTTGTTGCAGCTGCGGACTCCCCATCGGTATTTGAGCCGGAGCTGGAGGCGTGTGGCGCGAACGAGTAGTAGTACAACGAAGCGAAGACGTGCACGAACCGGAAGGAGAAGACCTTGAGGATGAGGTGGCTCTGGTACCTGGACTCGGTGCGGTGGTTCTCCCAGTTGTTTAGCGATCGCGCTGCTCGGGTAAACGCAGCATCGAGCACGGGGATCAACAATCCGTAGAGAAGTGGGGTGAGGAGAAGGTAGACCCAGAAATCCCATCGGACTCCTAGGCGCGCCAAATGCTGGATATCTTCTAACGTGATTGTTCTCAACCTCTTGATCTTGTCAGCAATTTCCGCAGCTTCGTGCTTCGTAGCAAGGGACTGAGCTTCAAGCTTGTCGCGAGTAGAGAAACCATAGTAGGCGAGCGTCACCACCGCAGCGATACTTCCAGCTACACAGGGCATCGTGACGCTGTACTTGAGAAGCCGCTTCCAGAGTGGGTAGCGCCTTTCAACCGGTTTCTGGTAATCGGTCTCCTTGTCATCATGAGACTTGTTGCTCCCATCCTCGCCATAAAACTCTGGACGCGTGACCTCTTCATCTTCGTACCCCCAAGTCCCCCAACGGTAGGCCAGAGCTGCCGCTCGCCGTTTCCAGGCAATGATGAAAGCTGACGTCCATAGCGCCATGAAAACAGCGTAAACTGGTGCTGCCGGGTGATCGAGGTGTTGCGAGTGAACTTGCAGCGCGAACAACACCACGCCTGCAACACTGGGGACCACAAGCCAGCGCGTGTACATTTCCATCCACGCGAAGTAGAATGCTACGCGCTCGCCGAAGTACTGCGCCACGTCATCCAGCGGCTGATGCAGTACACTTCGGACAACTAGGCACCGGAAGTTTGGGTTCTGAGTTTGATCGTGATCATGCTTGGCAGTAAGCAGCGAGGCCCGCCAGAATGTCACCCACCGAGTCTTCAACAGCGCCAGGTCCTGCTTGTGGAGCGGGTACATCTGAACTACGTGTCTTGCAGCCACTGGGCAGGACTCGTTAAGTCCGGCTCCGCCGTCGGTCTCAGATGCAGTCAGGAGGGCATGCACGATACTCTGCTTCTCGCTATCGAGAAAGTTGATACAACTCCGATCTCTGTCGAAGTCCAGAAAGCTGGATGCGAGTTCACACGAGAAGGTCATCCAGACTTTATCAAATCGTCGTTGCTTTCGAAGGCGGAGTCGCTCTGCACCAAGCTCCAGCATGCGTTGCGGAGCTCGAACCTTGAGTAATGATTGTTTCCCGTCCATGGAGAGTAGACGCTTGACGTGCAGCCCTGTATGCCGAATTCTGCTGATAATCACAGCTCGGTCGCTGCTGGCGTCGATTCTGGCGCTCGGCTTCAGCGTGGCCGTGACCTCGGGCAGATCCATGGGCTCTTCGTGCTTCGAAGGCTTTAGCAGAATTGCGATGTCGAACTCATCTTCATGTCGCGACAGCTTCCCGATACGTTCTGGTTTCCCAGTCACTCTGAAGCTGCTATCGTCCGCGCTCCGTTCGTCACCTGAGTCGCGACGGTAGATGCGTTCCACCAATTTACGACCCCGAAGACTATCGTTTTGAGACGTATCTACCCTCTCCGTGTTTTCAGACTCGCGGCCTGTGGAGAAAGTTGGCGAGACGACGGAAGGCTCAGCGACTGAGCATTTTTCAACGACGGATTCGCGGTCTTCTTCACCTGTTTGGAAAAATAAAGTTTGCGGTTGCTTGGGAGGTGTCAAGACTGCTGCAATTCCAGTCGAGGTGCGCTGATGTTGCGGCGGAGGCAAAGACTGATGGCGATGGTGAGTTTTCTTTCGACGAAGTAGTGGCAGCGCTGGTGGTTGATCTGTTGGTGGTGGAGTTTCTGCTGTAAGCTGTAGGCTTTCTGCTGACTGAGCATGACGTTGAGCGGTTGGCGCTGTGCTTGTTGGTTCATCTTCGCGTGTGTGATTCACCGTATTATCTGCGGCAACACTTACTGGGCGTCGATCCGGTTGAGCAGCGAAATGTACACTGGCATCTTGTTTTCGTTGCTGTCGGGTCTTTTCTAAATGGTTTGGTTTGTGGAGATGCTTCTGGATAACTTCATTCGCTCGGAGACGGCGTAAAGGACTTCTTCCAGGCAGATCATCAGCTTTAGTGGGGTCGCTAGTCGCTGGTTCGTCTTGAATCGCGATTGCAGTGTGTGGTTGGGCAAGACTATCGAGTTGTTGCTTCGCCTCCCCGACGACTTCGTGTTGATTCTTCACGTGTTTCAGCTGGTTACCAAGCGCAGTCTTCCATGGGCGACCATACGCAGCTGGAGAAAATGGTGCAGCTCGAGAGCGCTGTGAGACCAGGTCATGCGGAAGCCGTTTTGGCAGCGTGCCTCCGGTTGCCAACAGTGACGACGGTGCGAGCCTTCGTGCTGGAGGGAGATTGATTTCCCCCAGGGCCTGACTCACAGCAGCCGCAGCTTTGGTCCTTGGTGACGACGGACTAGCCATTTGCCTGCGTTTGTCGGTCTTGGAAAGTAATTGGTGGTGGACTGATCCGGTACATGCTCTGCGGTCTCGAACATGACCAAACCGTTGAGGGGTTTCCGCTTCGTTCATGAGAAATGGTTACATGGCCGGAAATACTCAAACAAATAACCGCGCCAAAGGTTGAACCCTCCCTTTGAGAGCGTACCAATCAACTTTTAAAGCTCAAGTAGCTTTAACGTCGGTCAATGGACAAGTCGGCAACGCCATGTCAGGGCTCCTTCAGAAACTCGTCGGCGCCTGGACGATTTCGAGCTGGAGGACGAGCCTTGGATGGCGCGGTAACTGCTCGAACTCGACGCGTTAGTCGACTGGACAATGCACTCGAAGATGCAAGAACAAGCTTTGGATGCTCTCCGTTCTGCACACCGCGGCTAGTGCGCAAGCAGATCCCAGTGGCGAAAGTCAAAATCAACAATGCAGCGGTTGATACCCTCCAAACTGTCTACGATCGAGTAGAACAGCGCAATAGTTCGCTAACGGATCTACCAGCTCGAATACCAGCTTTCTCGCCGATACAACTACAATGTGCAAAGCAGGCAGTGCAAGTTTTCGTTGACCAGATGCGGGACGTAGCTGACACCGCAGATTCGCAAGCCAGAGCCACTTTAGTACGAGCTTTGACCAACGACGTGATGCTGCCCGAAGGCAACCCAAACTCGAGAATTGCACCTTCCCGACAACAGGATAATGAAGCGGAGAAGCTGAATCAACTGAATGACATCACATGCTGGTATTCAGTGGGGAAAGAGATCGGTCGAGGGACGTTTGGCCGCGTACGCTTCGCCACCCACAGACTGAGTGGCACCCCCGTGGCAATCAAAAGCTACGCGCGTTTGCACGGTGCCAGGTCCTGTTTAGCCGTGGACGCAATTGGTAAGCGGGTTATTGGGGACTGCTATGGGGATGCACTCGAGTGGCGGCGAGTTCGACAAGAGGTACACGTTCTTTCACGCTTACACGCACACCCCAACATCATGCGCTTTGTGGAGGTATTCGAGACACCAACGAGGATACACGCCGTCACAGAGCTGATAAAAGGCACCAGTTTGTGCGATATACTTCGTCGTGCTCCCGGTCAACGACTTTCAGAAGCTCGAGCTAAAGGACTATTTCGACAAATCGTTGCGGGGGTGGCAGCACTTCATGCTCAGCGTGTAATCCACCGCGACTTAAAACTTGAAAATATCTTGCTGGACGAAAGCTCGGGGCACGCAACAGTGATCGATTTTGGCTTCAGCGACTTCGAAGAGTGCAGCGACCCCCAAACGCTTAATCTAGCTGATGACAGAGCTCAGAAGAAGAGAATGAGGAAGAAAAACTTTTGTGGGACTCCGTCGTACATGGCTCCTGAGGTCGTTGCAAGTGAACGATATGATGGGAGGCCGGTGGATATTTGGAGCCTTGGTGTTTTGCTTTACGTGATGCTCTGTGGTAAATTCCCCTTCCAGGGTGTTAGCTTCCACCAACTTTACCAGAAGCTCCGTAGTGGATCGCAGCAACTGGTACTGCCGCCGGCGCTTTCGATCGAAGCGCGTGCTCTACTTCAGTCGGTATTAGTTGCCGACCCGGTTAAAAGACCGACTGCTAGTGAGTTGTACTGCTGCTCATGGCTGCTGGAAGCACAAAACCCCGATCTACAGTATAAATCTGCACTACGAAAGTCATTTGAAGCGTGGCCAGGGATAACACCAGCAATTTGCAGAGTGCTGGCAGAGTACTACGATGTCCAGCTAAGACCTTTCAGTCTGGATCGAGCTAAAAGCCGTTCAGAGCAACTCAGACGGCTGAGTGCTTTTATCGACCTCGCTACTGCAGAGTCAAGCCGCCAGTTTGAGGAACTCGTCGGCAGCCTACCATCATTGTCGCCGGGCAGTGCTGGTTTGAAACAAAAGGAGATGACGGATCGTGAATTTCCTGAATCTGCCCTGCAAGTCGTCGAATCTTCGTCGACACAGCACAAGCAACAACTGGAAAAACTGATTGGGCTCGTGAAGTCATCGCTCGAAACGCGCACCCAACGTTGATGTTGATTGAGCAACCCGTGTAGCTTTAACTCTAGTATGGTGCTGTACACCCGTGATGGATTTAAGGTGCATGCTGTCTGGTGTTGGCGAGTCCGAGAGCACCTTATTGTACACGCGCAGCAATAATAAAAAGATGTGATAAAAATGCTTTATTTGAAGAATATCCGGGGGGAGGATAGACTGCAGTGTCGGTGGGTCTCCTTACTGGGCAGCGGCGTTGACAGCTTTTGCCGCCTTTTTCTTGAGAAACCAGTCATACATCTTCTGTAATTCTTCTGCACGGCCGAGTCGACTTTCAGCGTTTCCCGCAAACCTTCCGCGGTGATCTTGTTCTTATACTTAGTACCAAGCTTCGAACGTGGGTCTCATTTCCTTCGGCTCGGTGATAAGTAACTTATTAAGTGTCTTCTTGTCAAGCCAGTCGTCGAGCTTCTTTCCACCGGCAAAGACTTCATCGACTCGTGCCGTGCATAGTACTTTCTTGAAGTGATCGCCAGTACCAAGGAGCTTGTCGATTGCCTCCTTGGAATTCAGCTTAATCATCCGTTCCTCGACGCCCTCATGTTCAAGTCGTTCATGTCGTAGCTTCTGAGGGCTCTTTTGTTCGTTACCGTTCCAGCCGCGTTTGTTGTCGTCTCAGCCTCGCAGCAGAAGATGAATGTGGCAGCTGAGCACTCGCATCGTTGATATAGCGAGTACGTGTGCGGTGCGTGTCGTGAGGGGAGGAAGTTGGAGAATGGCAAGAATTAACGTGAAGGTTTGCCTTGGAAATCGGGGGCCCGCTGGCTGCCAGCCACCGCATACGTTGGCGTCAACAACCGCAAGGGATCACACTTTCGATACCCTTTCGTTTCGTTTCTAGGATGGCAATGCAGCATGTTATCTTGCGCTGTGCTCGCATGGGAAATATGCTGCATACAATTGGACTAAGTGCATCCATAAGTGAATCTTGCACCTCTAAAATGGTTGAACATCTTCCCAAAGAAGTCCGTACTCACGCTTAGAAGTTATCTCCCCAACACGAATAACTTCTAAGCGTGAATATCGGTAATATGTACACCCATACGGTTTTCGAAATATCAACGGATTAGCCGATACTATCGAAGATTGCTACTTTTACATAGCAAGCTTCGATAGCGTTATCGCTATTTAATTTATATCAAGGGATAACGCTATCGAAGATTGCTAAAAAAATGTAGGGATAACGTCATCGAAGATTGCTGCATGTATCTAAAACATGTTGGAATCTTCGACAGCGTTATCCCTTGATATACATTTTACGGTAAAATTACCGTGATAGTAAAGTTTTGTAAATTTACGGTATGCTTCTCGCGCTAGACCAACACATTCTTTGTCTTCACCTTACTTTGTCATCAACTTTCGACTTAGTGGATAGCTCCAGTCGAAAACCTCAAACAGTACAATAGCAAGAAAGGTTTTTCTACTGAATGAAGGCATTATGTTCGCCTTGTTAGTGGCATCCGTGCCCACCTACGAGCACATGACAGGGAGAGAATATCGCTAGCATACTCAATACGATCACCCACACGAATCCGAACGCATAGAGACCCACAACAACCGCAGCGCCCACCGGGGAAAGGTGATGCCTCATTTCTTCCAGTTGACGTGGTCCCTTGGGCAACAATCGGGTCGTCAAGAACACCACCGGAATCAACGGGATGATACTCGTGACCACCGACAGTTTCCACACCCCACTGAAGTCATGCGGTCGTCTCTGAAGATCCTCGAGTTCAACAGGCCAAATGTGGAGCAGCATGTTCGAAATCGTGTTGGCGAACGCCTGCGCGAGGTTCGTCACACTCGTGAGGAGTGCAAACGCCACTCCTTCTTGGTGATCAGGGCACACTGCCACGAACATTTGCGCCACCGGGAGATACTGGAACCCACGAGCGAACGATTCACCTGCAGCGTCACCCATCGAAAACCAAAAGGCAGGAATCCCAAGCGTCTCGTTCACTTGCAGCACCAGCAGAACGTTCAGCAGCGAGAAGCCTGCGACCACGAAGCCCGTAACGAAGTACACATCGTGCCATGGCGCCTCGTATCGGGGTAGAATATGCAATCGGTACACGACAATCGAAGCGAACGTGACAGTAGCTCCGATACCGCTCAGTGATCCGTACTCGAAGGCGCTGAAATCATACGCGACTTTCAGAAAATTCCCCCACGACGCATTCTGCACGAACAAGGCGTTCGCTAGCACCAGGAAACACACTGGCTGCCACGTTGCCCGACGCTGCAGCATGAGCCAGATCCCTGCTGCTTGCTCTTCTAGCGGCATGGGTCCGCTCTCTTCAGTGGGCTCGTAGAAGTACCTTAACGACGGGAGTACCGTGACCATCGGAATGAACGCGAGGAAGGCGAACTGCTGACCCATCGAGGCGCCCCACCCCCACTGCGACTTGTTACTCAGCAATGCTCCCAGCCAGTAGCCCACCATTTCACTCGCAAACCGACAGAGGTACACCGTGGTCTGCAAATGCGTCCCCTCTGGCTGTTGCTTGGGTTTCCGCCCGTCTTCCGTCTGTAGCTTCGTCTCCATTGACCTCTTGGGCGATTTCTGCTGCAGGAGCAGCACCCGATGCGCCACCAACGCGTCCGCCATCACGTCCGCCATAACGACGCCAACAGTAGCACCGAGCAGTAGCAGCGTGAACGACACGATCGTCAGCGAGTCCGTGGCGCTGCGAATCGACAGCAACAAGTGGAAAAAGGACGCCGTGACGCAGCCCACGAACAAATAGGGCGTGAACCGCTGGCCATAGATCGGGAAAACGTCCGGCAGCAGTCCGAAGAGCACCTTGAAGGACCAGGGCAGGGCTCGCACCACTGCCACCGTGCTGAGCTGAGCGTCGGAGGCGCCCAACGTCCTTGGGAAGTACTCGATGTTGGCTTGCGGGAACGAGTACATCAGACCCGTGATCATGTACGTCATGGGGATCGCCAGCGCCTCGAGACTCCACACCGACCCAGTGTACTGCTCCGGGAGGATGGAGGACAGCAGGAGACCCTCGTCCTGGCTGGTAGTGCGTGAGCGCTTGATGTGGTCGCTGAGAGACACGTAGCACGTCGAGTCGGACGCGCTCAGGGCCTCGTCCGGCGTGGCGGCATCACTTGGCTTGGCTGCCACTCGCTTCATGATGCAGCGGCCGAGCAGTAGTGCAGTGAGCGCATCTACGGATACCGTCGCTGCTAATGGAGCTCGTCGGAGCGGTCGCACCCTTTCGCGTCCCGTAAAGTATCTTTCACCCGTCTGAAATGTCCCCAGAGGTCTCCTACAAAGGGACTAGCGTAGAAAAGCGACTCAACAAGGCCACCACCAAATGAATCAAGTATGAACCTCACCGCAACTCGCGCAGCGTTGGTTGCTGCCCTCGCCGTCTCGAACGTAGAGGGTTACACGAACCCCATCAAGATCAAGGGCTACCGCATGTTCGACGCCGGGACGGGTGACCCCGTAGCGATCAAAGGCATCGACTACTATCCCCGTCCGAATGCCGGCACAAAGAACTTGAACAACGTCGACTTCTTCACGGACGACCAGGAAGACATCTGGGGACCAGACATCGAGTATCTCGCCGCCACGGGCGCCAACGCGGTGCGTTTGTACGCTGTGGATCCTTCCAAGTCGCACAATGCGTTCATGTGTGCTCTGCGAGCGAAAGGCATGTACGCTCTCATCGACCTTACGGCCAGGTAAACTGCATATTGTCAATGCAGTGCGTTTGTCGTGGAATACCTAACAAGCCTAACTGTCGCCCTGCAGCTGTGAGAACTGCGCTGTAACGAAGGGACCCGTACCCGGATTGCTACAGTGGTGATCTAAAGACCCGCGGGGAGCAGATTATCCTCGCCTTCGCAAAGTATGACAACGTGCTGGTACATTAAAATGGTTGTTTGTACACTAGCTCCGCAATTATCCCTATGGGCTAAACTATCGGTTCGATAGGTTCGATTGCTTGACAGGGTTTTCAGCGCTGGAAACGAGGTCAATAACGTGGTTGGAGATGACGCCTCGGTTAATGCGCCTTGCCAGAAGAAGTTCATTCGAGACATGCGCAAGTTCATCGCCGGCTGCAAGAGCATCCGCCAGGTCCCCGTTGGTGTCGTACTTGCTGATCCAGATCTATCCAAGAACAACCGCGAGCTCAACGCCAAGTACTACAACTGCCGCACCGATGACGAGGACGAGTATGAAAACGCCGAGTGGTATGGAATCAACGCGTACCAGTATTGCGACAATACGGCCAAGAAAATCACCGACGGCGGCGCTGGCGGCTTCAAACAGCTCCAGACGGACTTCCTGTCCTATGACTTGACGATCCCAGTCATGCTAACCGAGTACGGGTGCCTCAACGAGGGTTTCCCGAAGGTTGGGAACTATGAAGCTCAGCGCACGTGGCTTCAGACCCAGTGGCTCTACTCGTCAGACTTCCGTAAGGTCTTTTCGGGTGGATTCGTCTTCGAGTACTCCACCGAACTGCAAAACTCGGCGTACTCTAAGCCAGCATCAGCTTATCCTTTTACGAGTTTTGGCCCGCAAAACTACGGACTCGGCTACTTCTCACCCGCCAACTGCGATCACATTACCGAGCCGTGCGTGTACAACCCGATGCCCAACTACGATAACCTGGCCAAGCAGTACAACGCTACCGATATTTCAGGCGAAACCAGCATGAACGAGTTCACCAGTGACCGCGTCACGCTTCCAACGTGCCCGACCGGGTTCCCGAAATTGTCGGAGATCACGTGGGTTTCTGACCAATACGCGAGTCTGGCGTGTCCGACGGCAATGCAGGCTTACACTTGCTACGGTCAGAAATCGAGTGGCACTTGGGCAAGCGGCTCGGGATCGGGTACAGTCGACATCCCTCCTAGCAATAGCAGTGGCAGCGCCGACACCGACAGCAGTAACAACGTCTCGTCGTCGGCAATTACCGACGTCGACAGCAGTAACAGCAGTTCGGCGTCGGCAACTACCGGCACCACCAATACGTGCGGAGAGACTTCTCAGTTCCTCACGTTGCTCTGGGTGATTTCGAGCGCGCAGATTTAAGGACATGATGGTATTTGATGACAGCGGCAAAGCGTTCTGGTTAACATCCCCCTCCCCCCGTGATCCGCTGTCATTCCTCCAACTTTGCTTATTCATTTGAATCACGATGACTCTCTTGTTTTTTATGGATTCGTTCACCTAAATGTCCTGATCGTTTTTTTTCGGTAAAAATTTCACATTTAGTGACCATGAGGGATACGGTCGACACAAATATATTGTTTGTATGTGCTCAAATCACACCGGCTTTGGAAGCTCATATGCGGGGTCTTACCTTTCTAAGGTGGTAGCTACACTGGAAACGGTATTTAGTGTGTGTGAAATAATAGTATGAGTTCGAAATAGTCTTAGTGAGACTAATTCATAACAAAATACCAGGTATACTGAAAATCATATAAAGTTTTCTCACGTAATTGAGTCTCACTCACACTATATTATGTGAAAACCGCACAAACAAAAATAGTATGAGTGAGACTAAATACCGTTTCCAGTGTACCTGAAGCAGCAACTCGCTTTGAAGATTAGTTTTGACAATGTAACCACCACTCTCGTCGGAGTCTCTAGATGCAGTCGCTGTTACCATTTCTCTACCAATAACGCGACTACTCGGTCGCTGCACCATAAAGCGAGTGGGAGCCAAGCCGACGGAGTCCATCGGCGCTAATGGAGCTCGTCGGAGATATTCTTTTGATTGGATCATACCTGTTGAAGTTGATTTCATTAGTCGACCACTCACAAGCTCGAAGTGAACTGTTGTGAACAGGATGGCGAGAACGGTGCTGCTGGAAGCGCAGTACAGTATGAGGGCGTGACATTGATAAGGAGCAATTCTCTAAGCGGATAGCTTAGAGCCAGCGTCATTTCTTGTCAGACCATCAGTTTTAAACATTCGGTACTTTTTAATATGAACTTGAGTATTCAAAATCGGCTGGTACTACCGGTATAAAGCGGCAGAGGCGGTCGGATCGATGTATTTAACGAGTATTCAGTTTTGGAATAAAACGCCGCACGTGTGGGCCTTAGCGGACCGACTTCGGAGGCGGCGCGATGAACGATCGGCTGCGCTGCGCATTGCAGCCCATTGATCAACATTGTGTTCATCACGCCATGGCCCATGCCGAGCGCCACGGTGGGGCTCGTGGAGATCGCGTCGCCGCAGTACGTGGCGCACACAGCTCATAGAGCTGCGTGGTCAAGGCAATGATAAGCACGTGTGGGCCTCACCGACCGACCATTACTACTTCGGAGGCGACGCGATGAACGATCGCCTGCGCTGTGCATTGCTGCCCATTGATCAACATTGTTTTCATCACGCCGTGTTCGGTATTCGCTGGGCATGCTCGACGGCACGCTACATACGCTTGACCATGCCGAGCGCCACGGTGGGGCTCGTGGAGATCGCGTCGCCGCAGTACGTGGCGCACACAGCTCATAGAGCTGCGTGGTCAAGGCAATGATAAGCACGTGTGGGCCTCACCGACCGACCATTACTACTTCGGAGGCGACGCGATGAACGATCGCCTGCGCTGTGCATTGCTGCCCATTGATCAACATTGTTTTCATCACGCCGTGTTCGGTATTCGCTGGGCATGCTCGACGGCACGCTACATACGCTTGACCATGCCGAGCGCCACGGTGGGGCTCGTGGAGATCGCGTCGCCGCAGTACGTGGCGCACACAGCTCATAGAGCTGCGTGGTCAAGACAATGATAAGCACGTGTGGGCCTCACCGACCGACCATTACTACTTCGGAGGCGACGCGATGAACGATCGCCTGCGCTGTGCATTGCTGCCCATTGATCAACATTGTTTTCATCACGCCGTGTTCGGTATTCGCTGGGCATGCTCGACGGCACGCTACATACGCTTGACCATGCCGAGCGCCACGGTGGGGCTCGTGGAGATCGCGTCGCTGCTGTACGTGACGCACACCACAGAGCTACGCGGTCAAGACAATGATAACAGTATCATGACATGCAAATGAAACTCCAATTATTCTTGCTAGCTCGTCGTGCAATAGCATCTCATCGTACCATAACCATGGTGGATGGGATAGGACGCCGCGGCTATCGTCAGGCGATTAAACATTCCAAAAGCTGCACGTCTTTGTTAACGACCGACTTGAGAGTAGCCAGGTCAATATCACCGGGGGCAGTCAGTATTGTACTGCTCGCTAAGCACTGTACGTGATGCCGCCCTTCACGACGGGGTAAGCCCACCTGTAGATCGGCGTGGAAGCACAGTGATCTTGGTCGTATCCAGCGACCATAAGCGCCATGGTGATAAACAGCTACGCAGAAGTGAAGGGCTGACGCTGTAGTCGACAGGTGCTGTGTGGGCCGGGCCAGATTGAATTTCAACCACAGTACAGTGTAGAGTAGTGCGTAAGTAAGAATACAGCATAGATCTTCAAGGCCATGTTGGTTGCAGTGACAGCGAACCTACACCACCCGCTGCTGGTTTATACGAGGGCTGGACCATTAAGTTCTGTCGTAACCCAGATGGTCCAACCCTCGCATAAAGCTGCAGATCAAGCCTGTAGCAAGATGCAAGTTTGGTTTGCTGCAAACCGTCGAGCCGACGCCAAAGGACTATAGCAGCGACAGCGCTTGGGTATTATCAAGGCAAGTCCCAGAATTATTTAAGGCAAGTCCCAGAGACGCTTTACTTCAATATCCCTGTGCCTAGTGTGCGCATTCAGCAGAAACGAATTGTCAGCCAAGCACAAGATCCGGAGCTCAAGTGAAGTTGCGCCTCATGGCCGAAGAGGACCCGTTCGCTGAGATGGACGCGATGCTCGCAGAGCAAGTGCGCCTACGGGCACTCCCGCCGATGCGAACGGTCCGCGGGGTGCGCGAGTTCTACCTGACGCACAAGCCGAAGGAGGACGACTACGTTGGTGTGGCTCTGTGTGTCGCTGGGATCGAGGACCAGCCCAAGCTGTATCGGTACGACCTGGTCGACGCGATTTTCGAGGGCAAAGAGGCTGGGCTGAAGGCGAGAATGGCCAAGATGGACCGCGCGATGCGCAACACTATCACGTTGCAGGTGACAATGTGGAAGCCTCGTAAGCGTCCCCTGGGCGGAGTGCGCTGCCCGCACCGGGTTGGCGAAGTCGCCGTCATTGGCAAGGTCCGAAAGCTGCAGATGTACCATTCCCATCTGCAGGGGCAAGTGGAGGCGGAGGATTGGGTGGCTGAGCAGGAGCGCGGCCTCTAAGCGGTCCGACAAGTTGGAGGCGGCGGCGATTGCGGCAGAGTGACGTACTTTCATGAAAATGCTGAACAAGATGCCGAGCGAACTACCCACAACCAGTGTTCAGCAGTTTGCGTTGGATGATAAACATGAGCTTGGTTCATGCAGGGCCCACCAGAAGAAAGGTATTTAGCAGATCATCGTGGTAGGTAAGCCTAATTTAATATAACGAGTTGTCAGTGTCAAGCCATGTATTGTCCGTTTTAGAAGTTTGCTGGGAAGTAGTTGGGCACGTCGCTCTTGTGCCGTCCACCACCGTGATGCTATAGTACTGGTATGGCTGCGGCAGGTTCCTCAGCGACATACTTCGACCGTGTAGCGAGTTGATCAGCAGCCCCTCCAAGATTTGGTATCGCCGTGGATCTTGCAGCAGTTGCGTTCGTTGAAGAGCTGCATCCACAATAAAGTAATAAGGGCATGTACTGCATGGGATCGGGCTTGACGTCGGCAGACAGGACCAGTTACCGGTCGGAGGGGAAGCTCAACAGCTTCTCGCCCACGAATATGAGCTTGAGCAACTCGGAGCAATAGTCGACGATGATCTTTGACAACAGTGGCTTGGGTTTTGGGTGCGAGGGCAGTGTGGGGGTGAGCGTGTGGTCATCTTGACAGCGGGACCGAAGCCTGCGGTCATCTCGCCAGCACGCCCACGATCATCTCGTGCGTCGAGGCACTAACCTCGACTAATTGTGCAATTGTACTAACAGTGACGCACTATTAGTACAACTGCAGCCACTGGCCAAAATTTCATTTTCTCCTCCAATCCAATTTTTCAGTTTCATATTTTCCAGTAACCAAATCTTCAGGTATTTACTTCTGTAGTAGCAAAGAGCAGTTTTCTCGGAGACATCCAATGGAGGAAGAGACTAAGTGTGAAGATGGCGCTGGGTGCGGGCTGAGTGCACAGGTGCGAGCGATTCGTAGTAGCCCTATGTATGCAGTACTGCTTGCGGAACAAAGACGAATAAGAACAGAACGAGAACAAGCTTCGGATAGCAATAAGCGCAGACACAATGACGAAGATAACCAGCCGAGTCGGAAACGTCGTAAAGTTGATAGACAGCGGGAAGCAGAGTATCAACGCTTTCACCGGTTTCGAAACCAAGCATTAAGAGATGAGACTGCGTTTTATACCTCCGCGGAGCTCGATGCAATGGATAGCACTTTAAACATTAAGGTACCAACCGAGGTAGACCTAGCTAGACTTCAGCATTCTGCAGTTAGGATGTTTGAGGCTTCAACCGGTGAAGGAGCAATTTGCTGCGTGTGCGAGCTTTTGCATCCTATGAATGATGTACAACTGACACCTTTGACGGATACCATTGCCGAGGTAAGGTGTTCTCTGGTTAATTTAGGTGTCATGCGAAACTTCTCTTACCCTTGTGTTCGACAGAGCATGACGCGGTTATTGCGGATACCCGACAACGCAGATATACGAGAGTTTATCTTGAAGCAATACGACGCGTCAGCACTCGATGCTCGGATGAAGGACCTTCTCCTTTTCCCACCAGGTAAGATACAATGGAAACATTCAGCTACTACTGTGTTCTCATACTCGCTCTAATGTTGTAGCCATTCACAGAGAAAATAACTCAACAATTATGCAGGTTTGTCGCGACTGCTTCGAATATATCAGCAATAAAAGTAATCGCAAGCCTCCTGCTTTCGCCATTGCGAATGGCAATTATGTAGGTTGGCTACCGCAAGAGTTTCCACCACTTTCTCGTACCGATGAACAAGCCATTGCATTGGTGGCACCTTGCGTGTCCATATCAACAGTCACTGGAGGAAATTGCAAAACGATACGATCACATCACTACACGGTGAAAAATACTGAAGGGCCCGTCGTTTCCATGCTCCCTCGCGATATCTCAGAGCGCGTGCGCGTGACCATCGTTGGAAATCTAACTTCTGAGCAAGATGCAGCCTGTCGAAAACGCTATGAATCAAATGTTGAAAACTGCCGCCAGGTATGGCATTTCTAATGGAAAACAACAAGGTATATCGAGAACATAAAGATGAGTGGCAATTGAATGCAAACGAAAGTTGTAGAACCCGAATAATCCAAAGAACAGGTACATCAACATTAAACAGTGATAATGATAGTCTAGCCGAAGCTGTAAGAGACTACGCTACATACAACAACGCCGGATCTGCCATTGCCGAGGGCTCTGATAAATCTCTTGAAAATTGTTGGATAGGAACCTCTAGCCTTATCATGCAGCCACCTACTATCACGAATGATGTTGTTGTCAGAAAATCCAATGCGTTTGTGTCGGCAGATCGCTGGAAGGCATGTGTGCAAATGTTTCCGACATTATTTCCGGGAGGTTGTGGGGGTCTGAGAGAAAAGCGCCTCAATCCTATTTCAGTGGAGCGATGGATACAACGGCTGCTACATATCGGGGATCATCGATTTGAAACACACTATGCATTTTTACTCCTCGCATTTGATTATCTGGCACTGCAAAGTCCAAGACAAGCACTGCACATTAAACTTCATGTGTCATCTGACGCGTTAAAAGCAGGATTGATCTCCCGTTATGTAATTCGTCGTTCCGTGGAATACCACGCCCATGTTGTTACAGCAGAAGCGCATGGAAAGAAGCCAAATCCACCCCCAAAAGAGGTTCAACAGGTTATTAACCTACGTAGAGGTCTTCGTACCAGTGAGACAGCATTTTATGGATCGAAGTTGAGCAGAATGCGAGCACGACACGATCTTTTCGGATATATGAATCGTTTTGGACCACTACAGCTATTTTTTACGGTATCACCCGATACCGCTGGGACTTATACAATTGCTGAACAATCTGGTGTACTACCGCATCACGTAATCGAAGAAGCCAACATGCGTCTTTTACCAAACCGTGCTGATCGGAAGCGCATTGCCAACAACCACCCAATGTAGTGCGACTTATTTTTTGATAGAATAATGACTATTATAATTGATGTTTTTCTTGTGTGGGATCGAAAGACACATCAACCCAAGAAAGGAGGGGGAATTTTCGGTGTGGTTCGAGCATTTGGGGCTGCCGCAGAAACACAACAGGGTGGTGATCTCCATGCCCACTTCGCGGTATGGTTACACGGATTTCCTACCACGTCACAGCAAATGAAAGAAGCCATATCTTCGAACGCAGCATTCACACAGCGTCTAACCGATTATGTTGATTGCATTTCAACAACAACTATCTCAGTGGTTGAATCACCAAATCGTTGCTTCAATGAGGACGCTGGAGAATTGAAACCAGTTGCGGTCGGTATCGATGGATACCGGAAGCCATTGCCAGGACAACATGCACCGATTACTTCTTGTTGTCAGATTTGTAATGTCAAGTATAGAGACAAAGATGTGATTAATGCTGCGATTGATATTGCTGCGCGTCGCAATGCAGTAAAGTTATCACCTGAAAACATTGATTTTATTATATGCTCCCCACCGCGTAATAATGATAATAGCTCATTGTCGGCACTAGAATTAAGCCTCATCGTCCGCGATGTACAAGTTCACTATTGGAGCCACGCAAATTCTTGCCTTAAGCCTACACGCAGAACACCGAAAGCATCTGTCTGCCGTTTCTTTAAGCCGCATGAACCTAGACTAGAAAACACTTGCATCGACGACGGGAACGATTTGCAGTTGAGCCGGTCGATTGGATCAGAGTACGTAAATGCATACAATCGAACGTTAATTCAAACGCTAAAATGTAACCACGACGAGCAGCTTGTGTTTGGAGCCAGCGCTAAAAACGCAGCAGCATACATTTGCAAGTATTGCATGAAAATGCAAAATCCCATCGAAAACGAAGTTCGCTTTTCAGTTGGTGTATTCAACAAAGCTGTGGAAAAAGCAGATTGGTCAACCCATCACACTGCAGAACGGAGAGGGTACAAATTGCTCTCATCTATCTATATGCGCTGACGAACGGCCAAGAAGTTGCAGCACCAATGGCCGCTTTATATATTCATCGCGGTAGTCCATTTTGGTTCTCACATGAACATACGTATGTGAACCTCGAAAAGATGCTACAGAGTACAAATTCACCGACAGTTGAAATTACGACCCCCGAAGATATTAACTCGGATTCAAACGGGCCCGTATCGAATGGTAAACGCAAGCTAAGTATGTACTGGAAACGACAAGAAGAGTTAGATAACGTCAATTTTATCACTATTTGTGAATGGTACCACAGCGGAAAGAAACAAGACGCCGATGGGGCGCTACACTTTGAAAAAAATGCACATCGGCAACTTTTCATCATGTCAGGAAAGCAATTGCCAGATCTTAACGCTAACACATCTGATACTGACAGAAAGTTTTACTATTTGGTGCTTTTGACACTTTTTAAACCACATCGAGAAGGTAGAATTGTTGGAGGGTATCCAAACGCTGAACGCGCTTACATTGGGTTTAAATTCACGTGCTCAGCTCTTGAACAAACTCAAATGAGGGAATTCGAAGAGAAGTGGATAGATTATTACAGGTCTGAAGCTATAGAAAAAGAAGAGCAAGAATCACAAGAAGACATTCTGCTTCGCACAAAATCTCCTTCGAGAGCTTCATGGCAGCCCTACGATCGAGAAACAGAAATAGACAATGACGACTTTTCCGATGCGGCAAGGAGCGACGGCGATAATAGCGACAACGAGTTAAAAACATACATGGATCAATTAATCAGCGAAACATTGTACACGTGTCCTGTTGATGCAGTTCAGAATTTGCGCTCCACAATCAACGACACATGCGATAATTACTCACAACCAGCAGAGGCTTTTGTACCCGCTTACACATCATTCGAAGACTACACCGAACACGTCACTTCATACAACAGTGACAATAACACATCAACAGGAACTAGCGATTTCATTGCAGCTTTTCCTGAAGCCAAGACAAGATTAGAAAGACTCCAGGACTGCATCGAAGCAGTTCCCTGGGGGGCTGATCAAGCCACAGCCACTTCGATAAGTTCTATACCTGCCTTTCCTAGCATTGAAACGGTCTCAAAGGCCTTTAACTTCAACTTTTGGCAGCACGCGATATTTGAAATTGCAGCGAGGCATCTCCTATTTGCATACTTGTCAGATATCAAAGATGCTTTACAAGAACCATTATTTCCAGAAGGTTTTGTCTTGCAGCCCTATGCTATCAAAGAACAGCTTATAGCGTACGTCGGAGGAGAAGCTGGTACTGGTAAATCACGAGTAATTCTCGCACTACTACTATTTGCCGAGAAGTGGGGTCGAGAAGGAAGCGTTGAAACCCTTGCCTTTACAGGAGTGGCGGCAATGAATATAAAAGGCAGAACAATACACTCCGCACGCAACCTTCAGCTAAACGGTACACAATCCAACTCTCCTCCCAGTTTGCAAATGAAAAATGCTTTTCAAAAGGTGGTATTAGTTATAATGGACGAAATATCTATGACAGATCAAGGGTTACTAGGTTCCGCTGACATGACATCACGAGCAATGTCCGATCAACCCCACAAAATAATGGGTGGAAAGCATGCCATGTACTTTGGTGACTGGTTACAGTTACCACCTGTACGTGGAACACCATGTAAGTTCTAACCAGTTTTTTTATTAGTATCTTCGTTTGCTAATTGGCAATTCATATCATTCCCATGGTCGCAGGCTTTAAACCTCCACCTCGAGCAGCAAGCACCGCTAGGAATGTTGGGTTTGAAGTCTACAACTCCATCAACTATGTCATCTTTCTCACCGAAAATATGCGTGCCAAAATCGACCCAATCTACGCAGAAATTTTGAGGGAACTTCGATGGGGTAGACTATCAGACGCTCACCGAAAATAATTAAACTCCAGAGTATTTACAGACGCGCGACGTTCAGTGAGTAAAGCTGGTCGTTCTCCGGATTCCTATTACAATCCTGTTCTTGTCGCCACTAATGCTCTACGATGTGCAATTAATGACACAATGACAATCCAAGCATGTACAAAGACTAACACTACGATATACGAAATCTCGGCAAAGCCGACACCTCGATCAAAGGCAATCTTCAACAAAATAGTTAACGCAAACGACGATGAAACTGACCGAATTCCAATGAAATTAATCTGCTTCATTGGTATGCCAGTAATGATTACAAGAAACCACCCCGCTCTAAAAGATGCAAACGTTATTGCTAATGGAACAACCGGAATCATAGTAGGTTTCGCGCCTCCACTACAAGAATCTGCATGTCGTAATAAACTAGTTCATGGCACTATCGTAAAAGAGGTGCTTAACCCCCCCGACCTAATTATCATTCGCGTTCACGACTGCGAAAGCACATTGGTAGATGGATACCCTCCGGGAACTATCGGAATACCAGTTCTTAACGCACAGATTAAGCTGTCAAAATTCAAGAATCTAGCTCGCTCATCGATTTCAGTTCGTCAATTTGCAATAGTGTCAGCCTTCTCCTGCACAGCTGAAAAACTACAAGGGAAAACCTGCAAGGATGGCGTTACGGTAACGCCCTTAGAAAGACCAGGAATGCCACATCAAACTCTCTATGTTGCACTATCACGAACGACATCACTGCAAAATCTAACACTTACCGAAGATATCACACCAGAATACATGCAGCAGTTCCAACCTCCTCCTACGTATGTAGCCGAAATGCTACGACTCCAAGCTCTCATAGATGTGCCACCATATATTCCTTCTGAAGAGCTTAAAATTCAGTATCTGGCTGGAGAAAAACAACATACATACAGCAACTTGAAAAATAGCCGAATATAAAAAATGGATCCACTCGATCCCGATCTGGAAAGCGTACCAGCGTTGAAGTCGGCGTCTTTGCTGTTGTGAGGGGCCGCTACTTATCTGCCATGGATGTCTGCCGCGCGCAGGCTCCAAGATTTGCCATAATGATCACCACCTGCCCCCAAGCTTTGGAACATACCCACCAAGCCTCCGAGTCCACTCCGACCCAAAAGCCATCCAAGAGGCCTTCGGGGTAAGTCACGGGGTCATTTTAGCCGCCAGCGCGTTCGGGGACCACGTCCACAACCTGCCAAGCAACCAGCGGACGGGTAGATTCAGTGCGAGCAGAACGTGGCGAGTCGAGATGTCCACGTTTATCATGGGCGCGATGGAGACCCGGTGGTCCGCTGATGTTCGCTGGCGTGGCGCATTTCATGTTGGGGTTATTCTGCCCTAATTGCCAGCTCAAAAGGCCCGGCTTTAAGCATGCTGTCAGCTTTCCGACCGAAACCACGATGACTCCTGAGCAAGCTGGAGAAAGTTACCGACTCTCATCGCTCATGTACCAGTGCATCGGGCTCAGTTTGAGCGCCGACAGGTCTAGCAACATGCAGTTGTATCGGTAAAGCTGGTGTTGGTCCGCAGCGGAAAGTTATCGCCCACATGCAGTATGTTGTTTTCTCCGCGCCTACCATTCAGCAACAGCAATTGAAATAGTGATGCTACGGTAACAAATCCGGAGTAATAATGAATCACCTTGTATTATCGTGCTTTGCATCCAGGATTTAGTGTACTAGTTAGTGTTCGTATTTAGTGGTAAATCATAGAGGCTTTGAATGCAAGTTGCTCAAGTCGTGTTTCAAGCCGGTTTAGCTCCGAAACGACACTTTCTAGGAGTGCCAAAAGGATGCTAATCCGTACTGGATGTGCTAGATCATGCAGGAGATGGTGTTTCCGCACTACTTAGTGCTGATTAACCATCCACGACTTACAGCAATTCATACCTGAGTACGATTTATAGACAAGTCGTGCTCGATAAGTCGTAAAGTTACAGGCCAAACTCGCGAAGAAGTCTCGTTGGATGACATTATACTGGGTTGCAACAACTCACGCACCATGGAGTACTGTAGACCTTGACAGTTTTTCTTCCTGATCGTGGGGCGAGCAAAAAAAAGATAGTAACAGAAATAGCGATAACAATATCAGTTTCAAAGTCAGTAACTAATAGCGGTTGCAGTAGCGGTGGCATTGACAGTAGGGCAGTTGCAGTGGTAGCTGGCAGTGATCGTGACGCAGGCGAACAATTTCAATAGCAATATACCGAATAAGAATTATTGTGCCTTTCACTTATTCTGCCGTGATAATTCTGGCATAACTCTAATCCGTTATCGACCTTAATTATGCCCCGAGTTAGCTAATTCCCATGTTAATTCCGGGTTGTCCCTCCGTGGCCGAATTAGGAACGGCGATGGTGAGGCCGAGTTAAGGCGGAATAAGCTAATCCAGCCTTCGTTAGGCGGAAACAGAGCGATTGGCGGTTTCCTATCCGCCAATCCATGCCATTCTGCTCGTATCTCCGTTGATTAGCTCTCAAATGCTGATCGCGGATGTTAGGGGAAGCGCCCACAATCTTAGACAGAATTAGCACTAAATAAGCATTGATCACCCTTTTATGACTCTAATTCCGCCTGAATTAACAGCTCACCCGCCAAAATACGTGAAAGACACAATACGTCATATTGATACTACTTACGCAGCAATACAAGTCACACACATTATTTGGAAAAGAGGAGTGATTTACAAGGGTCTAGACGACGATAAGATCATCGATAATGTTTGGATCGCGTCGTTTTCACCAAGGTGGGCGGCGATACTCAGATGGCATCTACTTATAAATTTAGTTTGAGCAAGCCATGAAATGCCCCGTGATATTATGCAGCAAGTCAAGCAGTATGGAGTAGATTTTGGCAGTCTTTCTCAGGCATGAAAAAGAAAGCAGGAGCAATATCATTACAGTGTCATTATCAATGCTGAGATCGTAGTTGTAGCGTAAATAACAACGGTAGCGGTAGTGGCAGCAGATAATAAACAGTCGCAGTAGCGATAGCAGCAGATACGAACAAGCAATATCAATGACAACATTACTATGACATCATTAACAGTAGTTGTAGTAGCTGTAGTACAGCGTTATAGTGGCAAAAAACGCAAAACTGTTCGGTGCGTTTGCCTCCGCTTAGAGACCCGCACGCGAAGCGCGCCCCAGTCGCTATGCTTGCGTTTGGCTGTCGCAGAGACGTGTGTAGTCGTTATGATAAACCAACCGTTTCAGTATACTGAATCAAGTCGGTATCTCCACAAAGTGAACTGGGTCAAATGAAACCTACGCGTACTTAGCGTCTCAGACAGCTGTGATTGGTCGGGTTTTCAATCTGAACCTTTACTGTAAAGCTCACACGTCACTTCGCACTCGTCAGTGGACGAACGACCCCATCGCGCGTCCGCCATGAGCAGCTCCTCCTCCTCCCCAGCTCGTCTCAAACCTTTCGGTGCGTACCCCCCTCTCTGAACGGTTAACAGCAACTCGCATCCTGCAACCTCGCAGTTGTACCAACTGTGTCAATGTTCTGCTGTCTCAATGTTTTGTATCACTATCACCAGGCGCGCTGGAGCCGCTCTCTGCGTCCGCTCCGTGGGCGATTTTCCCTCGCAAGAAGCTGGACGTGACGTACCGCGACATTGGCGCGGGGCTGGCCGCGTGTCTGCAGCTGAGGGAGCACCAGCGCCAGGAGTTCGAGCAGAAGATCACGGGTCTGTGGGACCCCAGCGGCCATGCAATGGTCACGCTCTCGATCCGGTAACAAGGCTATGTGGTACTTTAAGAGGACGGCCTTTGAGGCTAATGATGGTGTATTTGTTATGTGTAGGACGGGGTTCGACTTGCTGCTGCAGACGCTCAAGCTGCCGGCGGGGAGTGAGGTGCTGTGCAGTGCCATCACCATCCCCGACATGCTCTACGTGCTGCGTTACCATGGACTGGTGCCCGTGCCTGTGGATCTGGACCCGGAGACACTGGCGGTGGATGTGGAGCAGCTGAAGAAGGCTGTTACGGAGGTACGAGATGGAATTTTATGTTGGATATGATATGCCTTTTGGTGGGGAGGAAGACTAACTGTTTTTTTCGTGGTCATAGAAAACGGAAATGATGCTGATTGCCCACATTTTCGGCTCGCGCTTCCCGCTGGATGAAGTGCTTGAGGTTGCGCGCAGTAATGACCTGATGGTCGTGGAGGACTGCGCGCAGGCGTTCATGGGCATGCAGTACACGGGCGAGAACCGGGCGGATGTGTCGATGTTCAGCTTTGGAACGATCAAGACCGCCACGTCGTTTGGTGGGGCTATTATTCACGTGAAGAACTCTGCTCTGCTGGAAGAGATGCGTCGTCGTGAGAGGAGGTAGTGTGGATGTGTGGGCAGTCAGTAAAGTGATTGGGGTTTCACAGGACGGTGATGTTTTTGCTATTATTTTGCAGATACCCGAGCCGCACAAACCTCTTCTTCTTCAAGCGATTGATGAAGTATGGTTTGTTGCACGGTATTTCCACACCGGCAGTCTACGGTCTTTTCCTTCACGCTTGCCGTGCTGTTGGAGGTAGGAATGGACTGATTCCTCGATGCATAGTTTGCATTTCACTGACTTCTTCTTACTGCCGTATTTTTTCTAGCCGATCATGACAAAGTCATCACGTCTGCCATTCGTGGCTTTAGTGGGGGAGAGCTTGTGTCACTGATCCAGTATCGACCTTCGATGGCGTTGCTTGGGCTCATGCATCGACGCCTAACATGCATGGATGAGCAATACGTTCTCCTCAGAAAGTATGGTCCATTACGATGTTTTTTGCTGGTTTGTTTGCTGGGCTGACTTTCACGTGTCTATGACTTCCTTGTCTAGATCGAAGAGTGAGCAGTTGGCTAATGCCATCAAGGATCTCCTCAACGTTTCGGTACGAGCTACATCTTTTCATACTGAATCTCTCGGCGGATTTCTAACATTTTAACGATATGACTCGGTAGATCCCTGGCCACCACGCTGAGAAACACTACTACTGGTTGTTTCCCGTGTGTGTTCCGTCCCCGCAAGGTGTTGTGAGCTACATGAACAAACATGTACGTTGACCGGTGTAATTTTTGGTTCTACAACCAGTACTAACGTACAAAATACTGCTTTTCATTGACAGGGATTCGATGTCACCTCTGGAGCTACGCAGCTCGCATACGTACCAAGGTACTGCATAAGGCTCAGAGCGCGATGTTTATGTTCCTTTCTAACGCAAACTTATTTGATTGTGTAGCCCGCTAGGACATGAGCACGACCCGGTCCACGCTAAGAGCATTATGACCAGGTTCGTAGTGATATTCAAAGTATTTTGCACTGGAGATTCACATCGAGAGCTGATAATACTATCTGCCCATGTACATTCCAGCTTGGTCTACTTACCCGTCACGCCTGAAACTCCTGACTGGGCCATCGAGAAAATGATGTGCTGTTTCCGCGATGCGCTGCACTCATCCAGTAGACTTTGAGCTTCCAGCACCGAAGCCCGTTCAAAACGGCCAAGAAAAGACACTCTAACAGACCAACCGACACTACTGTATCTTTTCTATTGACTAAACACCGAACACTCGTGTTCACTTCACCTCGTATGATCCGATTGAAACTTGTGTTGTATTCAGTGATATCGCGATGCTTATAAAATCTAAAACTTAATCATGCAAAGTGGTTTGTTAAAAGTACCGATACCGTCATATCGTCTAGAATAGCGCGTTCAGAATCGCCGAGAGCAGCGTGACAGCCACACCTGATGCTACTAGCGAAAACTGGGAGGTCGCTCCACTGGGGGTGGTGGCGGTAGTTACTGACGAACCGCTGCTGCTGCTGCTGGAAGTGGAGGTACTGCCACTGCTGCTGCTAGGCGCAGTGCCAACTGTACCCGATCCCGAGCCGCTTGCCCAAGTGCCACTCGATTTCTGACCGTAGCAAGTGTAAGCCTGCATTGCCGTCGGACACGCCAGACTCGCGTATTGGTCAGAAACCCACGTGATCTCCGACAATTTCGGGAACCCGGTCGGGCACGTTGGAAGCGTGACGCGGTCACTGGTGAACTCGTTCATGCTGGTTTCGCCTGAAATATCGGTAGCGTTGTACTGCTTGGCCAGGTTATCGTAGTTGGGCATCGGGTTGTACACGCACGGCTCGGTAATGTGATCGCAGTTGGCGGGTGAGAAGTAGCCGAGTCCGTAGTTTTGCGGGCCAAAACTCGTAAAAGGATAAGCTGATGCTGGCTTAGAGTACGCCGAGTTTTGCAGTTCGGTGGAGTACTCGAAGACGAATCCACCCGAAAAGACCTTACGGAAGTCTGACGAGTAGAGCCACTGGGTCTGAAGCCACGTGCGCTGAGCTTCATAGTTACCAACTTTCGGGAAACCCTCGTTGAGGCACCCGTACTCGGTTAGCATGACTGGGATCGTCAAGTCATAGGACAGGAAGTCCGTCTGGAGCTGTTTGAAGCCGCCAGCGCCGCCGTCGGTGATTTTCTTGGCCGTATTGTCGCAATACTGGTACGCGTTGATTCCATACCACTCGGCGTTTTCATACTCGTCCTCGTCATCGGTGCGGCAGTTGTAGTACTTGGCGTTGACCTCGCGGTTGTTCTTGGATAGATCTGGATCAGCAAGTACGACACCAACGGGGACCTGGCGGATGCTCTTGCAGCCGGCGATGAACTTGCGCATGTCTCGAATGAACTTCTTCTGGCAAGGTGCATTAACCGTGGCGTCATCTTCAACCTCGTTGTTGACTTCGTTTCCAGCACTGAAACCCTGTCGAGCGGGCAAATCCATGGGTTAGCCTAGCCATGAGAGCAATAAGGGACTCGAATGTCAGCCAATCTAACGTACCAGCACGTTGTCATACTTTGCGAAGGCGAGAATAATCTGCTCTCCGCGGCTCTTAAGATCAGCAGAGTAGCAAGCCGGGTACGATTGCTTCGTTACTGCGCAGTTCTTGCAGCTGTGAGGTAGCAGAAAAAAAGTGTTATTCACGTAACATGGCCATGATTGCGTTGAAACCGCGATTTCTCCAGCTTACCTGGCCGCAAGGTCGATGAGAGCGTACATGCCATACGCGCGCAGAGCACACATGAACGCGTCGTGCGACTTGGAAGGATCCACAGCGTACAAACGCACCGCGTTGGCGCCCGTGGCGGCAAGATACTCGATGTCCGGCCCCCAGATGTCCTCCTGGTCGTCCGTGAAGAAGTCGATGTTGTTTTCGTTCTTTGTGCCAGCATTCGGACGGGGGTAGTAGTCGATGCCTTTGATCGCTACGGGGTCACCCGTCCCGGCGTCGAACATGCGGTAGCCCTTGATCTTGATCGGGTTCGTGTAGCCCTCCACATTCGAGACGGCGAGGGCAGCAACCAACGCTGCGAGAGTTGCGGTGAGGTTCATACTCGATGGATTTGGTGGTGTCTTCGCTTGCGTGGTCGGATCGCTTATCAACAATGAACGAGGAAAATTCCAAGACGTGAATACATTTGATAAGGTCTCTCTGGTCGCATACACAGTCCGATTCAATCTTATCAACGCTCACTTCAACAACTATTTTCACTTCGAATATATTTATCAAACAACTTCGGTCTGATTTATTAGACAAGAATACTTGCAAGCGCCGCCACAGAGGCAGCCATCGCAACGGATAGGGTCAAAGTCGAGGACGAAGAGCTCGTGTTGCCTCCATCGTCCGTCGTACCCGTTCCTGATGTCGCAGTGGTGGAACTTCCGGCATTAGTGTCGGAATTCTTAGAAGTCTTCGATGACGACGTCGTGGAACTGGATCCCGCATCACTGGCCCAATCCCCACTCGGTTCCTGGTCGGGGCACTCATACTGCTGGGCAGTAGACGGACACGTCAGACTGTCAATGCTGTCCGCCTCCCACGTAGCATCGGCCAGTGCGGGGAATCCATCGGGGCACGAAGGGAGAGTAGTTCGGTCGGGCGTGAAGTCGTCCTTGTTGCTCTCACCCGACACATCCGTAGCGTTGTACTGCTCCGCGAGGCTGTCGAAGTTCGGCATCGGGTTGTACACACACGGGACCGACTCGTGGTCGCAGTCCTCGGGCGAGAAGTAGCCCAGTCCATAGTTCTGAGCTCCGTAGCTCGTGAACGGGTAGGGCGACTCGTCCTTGGCATTAGCGTTCTCCGTCGAGTACTCGAACGCGAATCCGCCGGCAAACACGTCACGGAACGTCGAGTCGAACAGCCAGCCAGCCTGCAGCCACGTGCGTTGCGCCTCATACCCGTCCACAGTCGGGAAGCTCGGGTTCACGCAGCCGAACTCCGTGAGCAGGACGGGGATAGTCAAGTCATAGGACGAGAAGTCCGTCAATAGCTTCTCGAATCCCCCGGACGACGCCAGCTCCGTAACCTTCGCATTGCAGTACTGATACGTATTGAGTCCGTACCATTCCGCGTTCTCGTACTCGTCGCTCGAGTCCGTCCTGCAGTTGTAGTACTTGGAGTTCACCTCTCGGTTGTTGTTGGTAGTGTCCGGGTCGGCCATGACCACCCCCACGGGGATGTCCCGGAAGCTCGAGCAGCCTCCGAGGAACGCCCGCATATCCCGAATGAACTTCTTCTGGCAGGGGGCGTTGGTCCACGCGTCGTCCACAATGTTATTCACCTCGTTGCCGGCGCTGAACGCCAATACGTTGTCGTACTGGGCGAACTCGGAGATGATCTGCTCCCCCCGAGTCTTGAGCGCGCCCGGATAGCACGCCGGGTACTCGTCCACCGTGATGGAGCAGTTCTCGCAGCTGGCGCCAAGATCCACCAGCGCGTACATGCCCTTGGCTCGCAGCGCGCACATGAAGAGGTCGTGCGACTTGGACGGGTCCACGGCGTACAGTCGCACGGCGTTGGCGCCCACGGCCGCGAGGTACTCGATGTCCGGGCGCCAGATGTCCTCGTTGTCGTCCGTGAAGAAGTCGAGGTTGTTGGCGTCCAGGTCCCCCGTGTTGGGGCGCGGGTAGTAGTCGATGCCCTTGACGGCGAAGGCGTCCCCCGTCTTGGCGTCGAACATCTTGTAGCCCTTGACGGTGATGGGGTTCGTGTAGCTCTGCGCCGTTGGCACGACCGCAGCGGCGGCGATTGCCATTGCAACGGCTGCAATGCGCTGCATGGCTAGTCGGATTGCAGGGCGACGTGAGGGGCGGCAGGCGAATTGAGGAGTGGTGAATGACTCGAAGTGTTCGAATGAGCGGTGTGGTGTGGTGTGACTTTGGGTGCAACAAATCCAGCGCATACAAACGCCAAGTAAGACGAGTTCAGCGTCTCTTGTCCAATGTGACCTGATGGTGGCCGTCCGACGGCAAGTGCCCCCATCAAGTCAGACGCTCCCTTCGCAACAAGGGGATTTGTATGCCCCTGATATCTCTCAACTGTGACCCTTGGACACTTCAGCGCGGACACGCCCGCTATTGTGGATACGCGCTTGCTGTTGCTTGTCGAGCAAGCCTTTGCTGGTGTACATGTAGAGATGTTCATCGAGTCCGAGCCATTCATGCTCACTGCCTGTTGACCAACCGCTTCTGTCGGTGGCAAACACGGAGAGCTTGGTGGTGCGCTGAAGAAAGAGCAGGGAGCACCTCAAGTGCAACCAAGAGAGGGCACAACGCAACGTTACTCACTGTCGTCTGGTCGATCGAGCAAAAGTTAATGCGGCTGGTAAAGATTACAGTTCACTTCAACGAGCACAGTACATTCGCCGACATGACAGCTCGACATTGCGTCACATGAAGCCCCACAATGCTCTCGTACGCTTAGAATACAATCTCTTTGCAGCTTGTTCATTATCTTTGCTCTAGCGGCTATCTGTCGCCGACCAGCACTTGCTGCGTGTTACGTCTCCTTCTACCACCCACCGACACTTAAGTAGGACACCCGCTTCCTAGAGCAGCGTAGCGATCACAGAGCCCAGCAGAAGCACCGAGGCCATGGACACGCTGACAGCCGAAGCATCTGACGAGTCGCCGCTGCTCTCGGCGGTGCCGCCGCTGGCCGCGCTCGACGTGGTGTGGTCCAGTCGCTGGCCGTCTGGCCCGAGCACTCGTAGTTGAGCACCTCGGACGGGCACGACTCGTCCTCCACGCTGTCCGACTCCCACGTCGAGTCGGCGAGGGCCGAGAAGCCCGAGGGGCAGTCCGGGGGGCTGGCGCGGTCCGAGTCGGCCGTGAAGTCATCGTACGAGGACTCGGACGAGAAGTCCGAGTCGTTGTACTGCGTAGAAAGGTTGTAGAAGTTGGATATGGGGTTGTACGAGCACATGGTGTTGATCCAGTCGCAGTCCTCGGGCGAGTAGTAGCCCAGCCCGTAGTTCTGCGCGCCGTACGACGTGAACGGATACGCTGAAGCGGATGAGCCCGAGCCGTCCGAGTTGGCCATCTCGGTCGAGTACTCGACGGCGAAGCCGCCCGAGAAGACCTTGCTGAAGTCGTCGCCCAGCAGCCAGCCGGCCTGACGCCACGTGCGCTGCGCCTCGTAGTCGCCCACCGTGGGGAAGCTCGGTTTACGCAGCCGTACTCGGTCTGCATGACCGGGATGGACATGCTGTAGTTGGTGAAGTCTGTCAATAGCTCCGAGAAGCCGTCGGCGTCGGCCAGCGTCGTCACGTCTCCGTCGCAGTACTGGTACGTGTTGAGGCCGTACCACTCGGCGTTCTCGTACTTGTCGCTCGAGTCCGTGCGGCAGTTGTAGTACTGCGCGTTGAGCTGGCGGTTGTTGTTGGTCGTGTCCGGGTCGGCCATCACGACGCCCACGGGGATACTGCGCATGGTGGACGAGCAGCCGCCGATGAAGGCGCGCATGTCTCGGATGAACTTCTTCTGGCACAGGGCGTTGGTGGCGGCGTCGTCCACGAGGTTGTTGATCTCGTTGCCGGCGCTGAAGCCCAGCGTGTTGTCATACTGCGCGAACTCGGTGATGATCTGCTGGCCGCGCGTCTTGAGCGCGCCCGGGTAGCACGCCGGGTACTCGTCCACCGTGCTGGAGCAGTTCTCGCACGTGGCGCCCAGGTCCACGAGCGCGTACATGCCGTACTTGCGCAGCTCGCACATGAAGTCGTCGTGCGACTTGGACGGATCCACGGCGTACAGCCGCACGGCGTTGGCGCCCGCCTCAGCCAGGTACGCGATGTCGTCCTTCCAGATGGAGCTGTCGTCGTCCGTGAAGAAGTCGTAGTTGTTGACGTTGAGCTCGCCCGAGTTGGGCCGCGGGTAGTAGTCCACGCCCTTGACGGCGAAGTAGTCGCCCGTGTTCGAGTCGAACATCTTGTAGTTCTTGATCACGATCGGGTTCGTGTACGCGCTGGCCAGCAGGCTGGCGGACGACGTCAGCGCCGCCACGGCCGCGAACGCCTGTGAGCTGCATGCTGTGAGGTGTCAGTCTGTCTAGTGTCTACGGTGTGTCAAGTCCTCTGTCAGGGAGCTGGAGGAATCTGCCGTTCTACTGGCAAATTGGGGAATGAGCACTGAAATGCGCCGGGCTCCTCTACCCCGGGAGAGCCTTTGAAAGGCATCGCCGATCGCGTTGGACTCGCCTTTCTCAGCGCGTGGCGCTCCCATTGATCCTTGCGCCAGCTGGGCATTTTGGGCACATGCCCAATGCCGAGTGCCCGATCGATCGATCTCAGGCGTGTCCATTTCGCTGCGCCCGATGGATTTTGTCGCCGCTGCTGAAAATGTATGGTGCTCCGACTCGACGCTCCGTCTATCGGAGACCGAGCACCGACCCCGCTTGACGAGAACCATCCCACACTGCCGAGTCTGTCTATAGGACATTGACCCGAGGCCTGTCAACGGCGGCAGCGCCCATCCGCCATTGCAGTAGTCATCGAGTACATACACCGCGCGCAGTTCGAGCTGCAGCACGGCCATCACAAGAGTCTTGTGAATCACAATGTGATGGCCAAGACACAGCGAGGGTAAGCTAGTATATGCTTCGAGGATGCCCATAGGAAGTCCTAGCGGGCCGCTAGTAGCGGCACTGTCCGCAGCGGCACCGCAGACCCAACATTTGCGTGCAAGGAGCTCTCGCTGTAACGAATCCTCGATCCCAGCACCGTGACTTTCATACTGATCTTCCGCCATCCACTTTGTGAGTCGCGGAGACTGGTTTGGCACACAACGACACGGCCGCTATCCTGTCGATCTCGGTGAAGTAGCGCTGTGGGCTGGCACGTGCGCCCCGACATGGGATCTCGATGGAGTGAGGGGGCCGCTTGCGTCGAGCACCAAAAACAAAGCCCTGTGTGCACCGCAGTCACACGGGTAAGACCCCTCCATGCCCACTGAGCTGAGCATTGCTGAGCTCATGCCCAGACACAAAAAGTGATGTAGTCCACACAGCGCAAGATTCGGAAAACCACGCTTTCAAGGGCTTCCACCAGCTTTGACCCGGCACGGTTCTCGCCCACCTACTCGCCAGATCCCCCCCCATCCAGCAGTATCACCAACTCAACATGGCGGTACGTCTGTCGCCACATCTTTTACTTCCGAACTCTGCGAGGTTGTTGCGGTCGGGGGCGCTGGAAGAGAGATGATACAGTTGCTGATTGGATACTAACTTCAAGTGTCGTGATCTTGGTTGCTCGATAGGTGACGACTACCAAGCCCAAGGACAATGCGGAGAAGCCTGTGAGTGCCAAGGACCCGGCAGACGAAACGAACCGAGCCCCCGATGACGCGGAGGAAGAGGACAGCGTCGCCAAGAGCGACGAGGAGAGTGCTGGCGCTGACGACGAGAAGGAAGACTCGGTGGAGGAGACGGAGGACGACGCAGCGAAGCAGGAGAACGATGATGATGACGACGATGAGGAGGAAGACGATGGGGATGATGGAGAGGAGGAGGAGGAGGAAGTCGGGCTGTCGTACCTCTACACGAACTTTGAGGACGACGAGAACGACGAGGACTTCAAGGTGGACGCAGCAGCTCAGGATGAGGATGATGACGAGGAGGAAGAAGAGGAGGAGGAAGAGGACGATGCTGGCGCCGCCGCGGAGGATGAGGATGATGGGGAGCAGGTCACTGCCGACGACGAGGACAATGGCGACGGCGATGATGATGTCGAGAACAATGAGACTGCCGACGACGCAAACGGAGGTGACGATGATGGAGCTGCCGGTGATGAAGAGGAGGACAACGAGGAGGAGGAAGACGGCCCACCAGGTATGTGCCGTTGATTGTCTTGTTCGCTGCGTACTGTACGTGTATCTGACATTGTTCTGTTGATTATTACAGCTAAGAAGCAAAAAAACTAACCACTCCTGGGTAAAGTAGTTTGTAAGAAATAGTGAGTGGTCCAGCAAATAAAGCTGGCTGGGGTAGCAAACCTTAGGGCAATTACGGGAGGTGTAGTAAATACAGACTTCTGTTGCAGAACAGTCTTTGTTTTTTTTAAAGTATTATAGGCTTCGTCAGCCTCATGCAGACACCTCATCAATGGCCGTGGAGCCGACGGCTGCAACCTCGAGGTAAAAGTTGCGAACGACAAAAGGCTGGGAAAGTCGAAGCAGCCGAGATTGCTGCATTGAAGCGATTAACGCCCGTATCTGTTGTATACATGACGCATTCCCTTACAGCAACATGAGCAGTCTGTTTATCCGACCATAGTACGCTTCCGGCCACGCAGACGGACTTGCGAGAGCTTCTGGAAGATCGCATCAGAGCGACGGGATTTCGCTCGGTATGCACGCAGCACCTCTTCAACCTATAGCACCAAGTTATCAGTACGCATCTCACTCAAGCGACGAGCCAGCAAGCACATACCAGTAGCTCTGAGTTCACGTGGGTGCTGGCAAATGCTCGCTCCATGACGTAAAGGTCCACAGCCTTGTCCTCCGGCAGCGGCTGCGAGTTGGCCAGACCAAAGTCGATCATCGTCTGCATCACGCCACATATAATATATTAGCAAAGACACCCACCCTCTCACAATTCTGCCCACTCGACACCTACCACATCCGTAGCGTCGTCGCTGCTCAGCATCATGTTGGACGTGGTCAGGTCTCCGTGGACGATGTCCGCGTCGTGCATCTTGGCGATGGCTGCGCCGATCTGGTAGGCCTTCTTCAAGGCCATCGGGCCATACTTGGGGTCTGCTCCAAATCAACGACACCCCACCATAAGTCTTCAAAGCACTCCCAATTCCTGCCCATTGCAGCGCTTCGTTCGTACCGAGCTTGTAGGCTCGTCGCAAATAGTCCTTGAGGCTGCCGCCTTGCACTTTTTCCAGGTAGAGGCGGCTCTTGTCCTCGTCCACGAGGAAAATGGCGGGCGTGAGGACCCCAGCGCGGCGGCACTTGAGGATGCAGCGAGCTTCCTGCACCAGGCGGCGGTGCGACAGCTTCTTGTCCAGCACCGACAGGCGGTAGCTCTTCTTGATGCGCTCCTTGACGATGCAGGGGCGGCCGGCGAAGTCCGTCTCGAACACTTTCTGTTGATTGAAGCAAAATAATCAGCTAGACGCTGGCATTGATATGTAGTTGTGGTGTGCAGGCAGGGCACGAACCGCCTCGGCGCCCTGGCTGATGAGCTGCCATTCGGTCTCCGCCATGGTCGCTTGAGCTCGGTTTGGTGAAGTTTGTATGGCGAGCGGTGATCTGGGTGTGATTGGCTGAAAATATTTGTGTAAGCTGGAGGGACTATTTCTGATGCGAGCTCAATTCTGATCTGGAACATCTGAGTCTGGTAAGGTGCCGAAAGTTGCCTTTTTTCCCGCGCTTCATTACGAAAGTGGAAGCGCTCACTGTCAATGCACAGGGGCCATGACTTGTTGCCAGGACCAAGAGCCCGTCGGTCGCAAAGGCAGGTTCGTCACTAAGATATTGCGTCAAATGGAGAAGATGCCTTGTCATCCTCGGCTTCTTTGCTGCAGAATCCGTCGGAATCCGCGGCGGATTGACAGTGCCAGTCGCGGTCTCTGCAGATCCATACGGTTGCCGTAAAGATAAATTACCGGATCTGCAGCCCTGATTAATTAACGCGACTGGTTCAACCACTCGGCCCCTCTGTAGCCATGACATCGCGCTGCTCGTGACGGTCGCTCACTCTCACTTCGCAATTTTCTCCGACAGCTCAACAGTCAAGGAGGGCCGGTCATGTTGTCTTCGCGAGGATCTCTTCTCGCTTGGGGCCTCTGGAGCCTCGTGCTCCTGTTCGCCATCGGCTGCGTTGGTGTCGCTGGAGAAGTGGAAGCAGCTGAAGTCGCCGAGGTGGACGTGGACGATGACGTGGGCAGGGACGTCGTGGAAATCGTCGAGGCGCGCGGATACTCAGTCGAGACGCACAAAGTGACCACTGCAGATGACTACATCCTCACCATGTACCGATTGCCAAAGACGTACGCTAAGAGCCAATCCAAGGCTAAAGTTTCTGCCAAGAAGCCCGTCGTGCTGCTGCAGCACGGTCTCCTTGACAGCTCACCTTCGTGTGCAACTTCCGCAAGCAGAGCTTGGCCTTCCTACTCGCTGACGCAGGCTACAGTAAGCACCGAGTCGATTTCTAGTGGCGCTGCGCTGAGAAGGCTATTAGCGAGTACCAGTCACGTGCACGAAGCAGCTAGTGTACGTGATGACCATCGTCAAAATGCAACGAGCGACGCGCAGCAACTGTAGCCAAGGCTCTGAGTGCCAGGATGCTTCCAAGGACCAACAGAGCTTCAAGGAGAGACGACCCAGCAGCAAGGACTACAACAGGAACAGGATCGAGGACGGACGACGCAAAGAGGGTACGCAAGTACTGGTAAAGATATCCGAAGCGGCGGCGAAACATAGCGAGCAGCAGTCAAGACGGCGGCGGCGACGGGGTGAACAAGCGGAGGAAGAGTCGAAGAGAGCATGACATCGAGGATAGCACACAAGGGGAGCGAGGTAACGCTGGAAACTCACCGACGTGCCACCTCACCCAAGGCAACGACCAAGACCGACGATTAGCCAAGGTGTGCAAGCCGTTGGCCGGCACCCATGGCGCCCACGCCACCAAGTGATGGCAGTAAAAGTGTAGTCAGTATCGAAATAGCGCTGTAGGGTACAGATCAACCCATACAGTAGAGCCAAGCAGAGTGTAACGTCAATACACGAAGCAGTTGGCCGTAGCAAGTCGACTAAGGTCAAAGTGAAGTCGAAGTGAAGAGCCCGGTCCGAGGTGACGAGCAGCGTGCACACAGAGTCACGGTGCACACGTGCGTCCATCGACGACCAGTACCCCGCGGACACATCCGCCGGAAGGGAGAACCCGCGAGTTGTGCGCGCACGTGGGCACAGTTCACAGAGGGACAGCTCCAGTCAGCTATCGCCTACCTGGGCCCGATAAGAAGCGGAGGGGTCGAGGATCACGTGCGAGCACCTGGGATTGGCGACGTACAAGGCGTTGTGCGTGTTGGATATCGCGTGGAGCGGTGTATATTTGTATAGGTGACGAATTGGCGTTGCTAGCCGCCGAGGACCCCGGCGCTGCAGAGCCGCGGACTCGGACAAGGTGCGGACGGTAGCTGCAGAAGGGCAGATCGCTTACTCTACGACGTCTGGCTCGGCAACAACCGCGGCACGACGTGGTCCAGGGAGCATTTGACATATACGGACGACGACGACGAGTTCTGGGAGTTCTCGTGGGAAGACATGGGCAAGTACGACCTCCCGGCGGAAATCAACTACGTGCTCAACAGGACGCGAAGCTCAACTCTAAGCTATGTCGGACACTCTGAGGGAACCACACAGGCGTTTGTGGGCTTCTCCACTGACCAGGAGCTCGCGAAAAAGGTGTCGTACTTCGCAGCGCTCGCCCCCGTGGCTTGGACTGGTCACCTCACAGCGGGCGTGTTCAAGACTATGGCCAAGGTGCATGGTATCAAGCGTTCGGGATTGCGGAATTCTCCTCCAAAAGCACGTTCATTCAGGAAATTATCGGCGGATACGCGTGTACACTGGCGGAGAAGCTGTGCAGCACCACGATCTCTCTCGTCGCCGGCCCATCCGTCAGTACCAACACATCACGGATACCCGTGTACATTTCACAGACGCCGGCGGGTACATCCGTGAAGAACATGGCGCACTATGCGCAGAGCATTCGTGACAACACGTTCGCATCCTACGACTACGGCTGTAAGTGCGACCGGGACTCGGATATTGACGAGTGCAAGGAGTCCAAGTGCAAAAACAAAAAGGTGTACGGCAGCTTCGACCCGCCCGCCTTCCCGATCGGCAAGATGGTGTACCCCCGCACTGGTTTCTATATTGGATCGGCGGACACCATCGCCACGGCGACAGACATCGAGCAGCTCCGCAAGGCGCTTCCGTCCGGAACGATCATGCACGAACGTGCAGTCAAGGAATACAGCCACCTGGACCTGACGTGGGCATATAACGCGAACGAGAAAATGTACCAGGACCTGCTGAAGCAGCTCAAGAAGTACCAGGGAGTGGGGTACACAGGAGATGCCGGCGCATCGAGCTTAAGCAACTCCTTGGATGGCTCCTCTGGCTCCGCCAGCGTCGGAGCGGAAGCCAGGACCTCGTTTTCTTTTCGCCAACTAGATTAGGTATGTCGTCTCCTGTAACCTCACCGCTTACGTTAAGCTTGTCACGAAGGTGTGGTCAAGAAAGATCGTAAATATCGCTTAACTGCTTTACTACATGCATCGAGTTTAGTATCCGTTGGTGAAAAGCATTATGGCCTCTAGCTCCATTCTTTTATTTTGTCCGTCGATTTTGAGGTTGGCAGCAAGCAGTTAAGTCTGTGAGAAATGCACGAAGCACTTCCCATGCTGTAAAAATACTTGTGTGCATTGTCTAGCCGGAAAATAGACGCAAAAGAGCACGTGGTTGCATTCATCGACTCACTTTCTCCGCTCACCTGCGCTCGGGACAAGCAAATCACTCCACCGACAAAACATGAAAGCGAACCAAGTAGCAGACGTGACACCAGGAGCTATCCCCGCTGACCTCGAAGGTGGTTGGGTGTCCGACCAGCAAGGACAAGCGTACGGTGGAAGCGGAGCCCAGCAATATGCCAGCGTCGTGCCCTTTTCCGACGACACGCCGCCCATGATGGGGAGTTGGTTGGTCGGCCTCTGCGGTTGCTGTACGGACTTGATCCCGAACTGCTGCATGGTGACGTTTTGCCCCTGCATCTCGCTGGCGCAGATCTCCAAGCGCCTGGGCGTCAGCTCCTACTGCTGCGGGCTGTTCCTGAGCTTCCTCTTCGGGTGCTTCTTGTCGGCGTGCTTGCCGCTCTGGATCTGCCACCTGCGCTCTGTCACACGACAGAGGTTCCGCATCCCGGGGAATTGCTGCGGAGACTACTGTGAAGCCTGTTGCTGCCCATGCTGCGCGATTGCTCAAATGGCGACTCGAACCGGAAGCTACACACCCGGAAGCTGCAGTTTTGGCTCTCGCGACACCCTCCCACCGTACAACCACATGTAGTGAGCTAGTTGCAACAGAACGAAGCAGGATGACTTGAACGATCAAACGCTGAACGATAATACAAAACTTCACTTAGTATTCACAATGACAACGACGTTGAATTGAAGTTCTTGGACTCACTTTCAGTATCCGACATCAACGTACTTGCCGATCTGGGTGAGCAGGTCTTGGTAGATGAGCTCGTTGGCGTTGTAGCCCCACGTGAAGTCCAAGTGGTTGTACTCGACGCTTTGGTCGGTGACGATGTCCGCGCTCGTGAGCTTAGCGCGCAGTTGCGAGATGTCCGTGCTGGTAGCCAGCCAGTCGTCGCTCCCAGTGTAGAAGCCCATGCGGGGGTACTTGATGGTCCCGAGGTCGAACGAGGGCGGCTCGAACGCTCCATACACCGCCTTGTTCTTGCAGATGAGCTTGGAGCACAGATTGATACCCAGAGCTTGGACGCAACTACACCCGTAGTCGTAGTAACGGAACGTGTTGTCCCGAATTCCTTGTGCGAAGTGCGCCATGTTCTTGACGGAGGTGCCGGCTGGAGTCTGGGAGATGTACACCTGCAACCGCGTGGTGTTGACGTTGTCCGAAGGCCCCGTGAGTGCGTTGATGATCGAGTCACAGGCCTGGTCCACGAAGGCGCACGCGTACTTGGCAAGGATGCCCTGGATCAGCCAGTTGGTTTCCCAGAACGCCCCGACGCCGAGGATCGTGAACAACACGTCCAAGTACGTGTCGGCCATGAGCTCGAAGATGGGCGAAGTGATGTGGCCCACGTAGGCAACAGGAGCAAGAGCGCCGAAGTACGAGACTTTCTTGGCCAGCTCTTGGTCGACGGAGAAGCCGGCGAACGCCTGCATGGTCCCCTCCGAGTGACCCACGTAGCTCAGCGTGGAGTGGCCCGTCGTGTCCAGCACGTAGTTGACCATGGCGGGCATGTCGTACAGCGCCATCTCCTGCCACGAGAAGGCCCAGTACTCGTCGTCATCGGTCGTGTACGTGACGTGCTGGTTGGACCACGTCGTGCCTCGGTTGTTGCCCAGCCAGACGTCGTAGCCCGCGTCCGCGAGCAAGAAGGCCAAGCTCTGGTTGCGGAAGTTGCACACGTACGTGAAGCTGCTGTCCAGCAGGCCATGGATGAGGTACACGGCCGGCTTGTCGGCCGCAGCAGAAGCGTTCAGTCGGCTCTCCGTGTACGTCTTGGGCAGTCGGTACATGGTCAGGATGTAGTTGTCCGAGGTCGTGACCTTGTGCTCCTCGACGTAGTAGCCGCGGGCCTCGACGATCTGCATGACGGTCAATCCATCGTCAGGGTCGACGTACGCCTCAGCGATGGCACGCGCGGGCTTCGTCATGGTCAGGAGTATGGTGGTCAAAGCCAGCAGCAATAGCGCCAAGCTGCGGGGGATCGCCATGACGGTCCAAGTGGCAGGAGCGGATCGAATTGCGTTATGGATGGACGGGGGACGCCATCACAGTCGGTCTCTCGTTTTGATGCACGAGGGCAAATCACTTGGTCGCGTCCACCTGGTGGCACGCAGGTTTCCAGGCGTTTGGATACCTGTCAGCTGCTCGAGGCTTCAGGCGGTCTGGTCCTGCGTTTGTTCAACACTTCGTTTTGCAGCACGCGTGACTTATGAGCAGAAAACGACGTCGTGGCCCAGTTTCGGCGGCGCAGGTTGAAGCGCTGCCACTGCAGCCATACAGCACATGCACTCCATGATGGAGCGCTTGCAGTGTGAATCAAAGGCTCGGTGTACGTTAGCGCGGAGCTGTTCACATTGCAAGCGCTCGTACGTGCATTGCCTCAACAGTACAGTTAGTGCTGGACGATTTCAATGACTACGACCATGTCGGTACGGTAGCTATCGCAGTTCACACTGCCGTACATCTTGGTGACCGAGCCGACTAACGTCAGTGTGGTCAGCGCAGACAAGCAAGCACGAAGCAGTTCTCAGCCAACTCGATTAAGAATCAGGCAGGATGTGCTTCAACGCTGCCAGTCATAATGGTGCGGGCGCTTCCATCTTTGGCGAGTAAGCTTGAAAGTCATCGTGATGCGGGAAGCAGTCGCTGCGTTGACGTTGGTACAGGGAAGGAACCAGCACGAAGCATGCATGTCAATCGCCCGGTCGCTTCAACACCCTACTTAAGTACCCGTTTTCCACGATCTTGAACCGCCGCAAGAGACCGTGAGCGGACGCGGTGAAAGATACCTACTCCACTGAGTCATTTGCCAAGCAGGACAAGACAAGATAGGATGCCGCTGGTGCCTCGATACACGTGGGAAGAAGACGCGTCCAGCCTCGCGCTGGAGCTGCATCTGCCCGGGACAGCGTTGCGCAGCACCGACATTTACGGTACGATCGAGCGATCCAAGCTCAACTTCATCCCCAATCCATCGAGGATGCTGGCTGACGTTCGTATTGGTGATCTCTAGTGAGCGATCTGGTGGTGAAGGTCAATGCGGCGCCCTACGTGCTGTTGCTAGACCTGCAGGACGCGGTGGACGATGCGTCTGCTGTTGTAAAGAGCATCCCGGCGTCGAATTTACTTCGGATCTCGTTGACGAAGAAGGAGAACCGACTGTGGAAGCAGCTGCAATACCAAGACACCAAAGCCGCTCTAAAAGAACGGCGAGAGGCGTCAATGGAGCGGAAACGAGCGAGTGAAACTGCGTTGAGCGAGAAGAGGAAGGAGCGGAAGTACCAGGAGGAGAAGGAGACTTTACGCGCGCAAATGGCAGTCGACGACACCAATCGTCAGATCCTGACCGACCTCAAAGCGGAGGAAAAAGAGCGCGAAGAGGTACCGGGTCTGATGAACGTACTGGCTGTTGGGGATGTTGCACTGACAGTCATATTGCATTGCCGTTTCGATAGCGGAGTTTGTACGAGTCGTTTCGAGATCTGCAGATCCAGGAGCAGGAACGGAAGAAGAAGGAAGCGAGCAATCAGGACGCTCATACCCAGGAGAATAGCACTTCACCTAAGCGCGAAAGCCCCTCGTTATCTGCTCAGAAGACGAAGAAGAAGGTGTCTTTTGCATCACCTCCGCACGACAGCTCACCCGAATCGAGGGACAATCAAGAAGACGAGGTCATTGAACTGACTGAAGATGGCAGCTTTGACGTTTCAAGTGCTGCGAAGCCTGCAGTTGATGTCGAGTCACAGTCTAGTGCTGCTACAGCCGAAGTCGCCGAGCCAAGTGATTGGGTCGAAGTCTCTCGTGATGAAGCCATCAAAGTCGAAAATGACAGCGATTCTGCTGGAGAAGCGGTCGAGCTTCCTCCTCCCCGGGAATGCGTAAAGTCAGAAATCCGCTTTACTCCTAGAGTCTTCCCGACACCTTCTCGAGAATCCAAGGCTGCCGAAGAAGAGGACTGGCTGCTGAAGAACCGCAAGCACATCAACAAACACCAGGGACTCAACCGCACCTCGGAATACGACATCAGCGAAACGGATCGTACGTCACGAAGCTCATACAACGAGATGCTTGCCGAGTGAGTGCACTAACATTTCTGTTTATATTGTGCTGTTGACGATCGATAGCTATTTGGTTGAAGGCTAAAGGTGACGACTTCTTCCATTCCAAGGACTTCCGCAGTGCTACGAATGCGTATGCCGAAGCCATTTCTGCAACGCCCAGTGATAATACGGACCTGATTGCTACTTGTCTGTCGAATCGAGCCGCTTGCCTGCTTCAACTCGGCGAGTTCGAGGTACAATATTGTATATTGCGCTTATGACTTCATTCTACTCTAGTGCTGATCCCAGTTGTTATAGGAATGCATTTCAGACTGCTCGAAGGCTCTGTCGTATCTCCCCGATACCCGCGATACGGACAACAGCTCGAGTTTATTGAAGCACTACCGCCTGAAGCTAAAGCTGTTCGTTCGGCGAGGTACCGCCTACTGTCGCGTTGGCCACTACAGCCAAGCGAAAGCTGACTACGGCGTGGCCTGCTCCATGGACAACCAGAACCCGCAGCTTCGAGACGACTTTATGGAGCTCGTCGCGATGGAAAAGGCACACGAATTGAAGATAGCCGGCGACGAAATCTTCCGACAGGGCAAGGATCTCGACCAAGCGGTTCAAAAGTACTCGGAGTCGCTGCAGCTGAACCCATTATCGATCGCTTGCTTGTCGAACCGAGCCGCGTGCTACCTGATGCAGCATTCTGCAAAGGAATGCGTCCACGACTGCACACGAGCTCTGGAGCTTCTGCAGCAAGACACGACAACAGTTGGTGCTTCCGGGCAAGACCACGGACTTGCCTTCTTCTCGATTGGCCCAGCCGCCGGGTCAGCCCAGCGACGGGCTTGGGTGGTGAAAACGCTTGTCCGACGTGGCGCCGCTTACTTGTCGCTTCGTGACTTAGAACGAGGTACGTTGTGATCTATAACTTGTTATCAAATCCAGCCTAATCGGTTTGTTTTACTTGTTTGTCGACCCGACAGCTGAACAAGACTACGCAGCAAGTGTCGAGCTGGACCCAACCAACGAAGCACTGAAGGCCGACTTGGCGAAGGTTCGCAGTGAACGATAGCGTAACGAAGTTGAGTGCGTCGAACCAGGTCCTATTCCCCTTCAGGCGTAAATCTTTAATGCACATCTATGCGTTTTCAGTCTGCTTTTTAGTTAAGCTATATTTTCTTACATGAATACATGAATCGAGATAGCATAAATACAATCTAGAGCAGTCCGATCGAAAGGCTTGGAAGCGCTACACTCGGACGCTGACTGGATGCTCGGTTACTGCACTGACCGGTTTCTTCGTCGCCTTCGAGCACAGACGGCAAGCGATCCCCTTTCCACGCCGGTGTGACTTTCACTCGCGGTTCTGGAGAGGAGCGTACACCCGCCAACGAGGTTGTGACCACTTGTGCACAGTAGGCAAACAGAGCACCGGGACTTCGCTTGGGCACTGGTGTGTCGTTATGAGGTTTGCAGTTGACCGACGGCAAGCCGTCGAGTACGATCTCATTCCCACCCACGGGCTTTAGCACGACTTCAGCTGGTCGGGTGCATGGCGACGGGATGGTGTACCCGACGTAGTGGAAACCTTTCCCCGGTAAACTTGACCTTTTGGAGCGGTTCCGTCCAGGAGCGGGGGGAGGGAGCGTAGCTTGTCGCGGTTCACTCACTCCGTCGATCTGCACTTCGTAACAATCGGATCGCAGTGAATTATCGTCCAAGTCGAGTTTGTTTGTAGCTGTCGGCGACTCGTGGCATTCCGGAACGTTTGTCGCGAGGCTCGCTCCTGTGGTCCAGAGTGTGTACGGCGAGTCGCTTCGTGGTGTCACCGTCAGCTCCAGGTCCCGACTCACAGATTTGACTACATGGCGTGAATGACGCTCGGCTTGGGCCGATCGCTGCACTTGCCGCATCCAGCTGGAGACGCGGGTCAAAATGGTGCTCACCTTGCGAGCGTTCTCCACTGCGGCTTGCTGCTCTTGCTGGACAGTCTCCAGCTGCAGCTGGAGCTTCTGCTCCATCTCTTTGTGGGTCCTGATCGCATGCTGCAGCTTCTTCTCCAGGTCGTCAATGTACTGGGCGTGCTGCGTTTCCATCAGCGCCAAGCGCTGCACCAACGTCTGGTTCTCGTTGCGGAGCTGCTGCAATTCACTGCGATCCTCACGACGAGAAGGCGAAATCTCCGAATCTTGAACATCCTCGCCACCTTCGTGGGGATCGTCGCTGTCTTGGTTGTTGTCTGCGTCCTCTTTTTCTCCAGGCCTCCACACTGATGGCGTCTTGCCGGCAGCCAGTGCATCCTTGTCCACGGAATTCAGCTTGTCCTCCCATTCGACGCCCTGCGAGCTGGTTGAGAATAGAGACGCCGCAGTCGGCAGACTTCGCGCGGCCGATTGACGAGTGGGGAGCTCAGCCATCACGTGCGAGTTGAGCAAGAAAAGCTGGAATGGACCCGAGCTCGCTGATGCCTCCGTCGAGCGGATAAGATCTTGACATGCATCCGCCAAAGAGTCCGCTGAAACGCTCCGCACGCACTCCACAAGCCACGCAGCGAGTGACCTCGGCCAAATTGACCTTATAGGCCGCCAATAGGTCAGCTACGGGCACGGGATCCACCGAGAATAACCTTGGGAGCTACGTAGTGTTGTGCTCTTCCACGCCCGAAAATACCTGTTGATGGTCGTGCTCAACGCCAACAAGTCCAACGTAGCGCGATTGTTGAAGTTGTGCATTACGCCCGATCGTCGCGTTGTAAAGCAGCAGAGCCCTCACTCAAACTCGAGTGAGTGAGTAAGCTTACGCCAGCGGCTGCGACCGGCCATCCCTTCAGCTTGAATTTCATTCGAGGCAGTGCAGTGCTGCCATCGTGCTGTAGCCCTGTTGCATAAAGGTCTCGGGATATAATGGAGACTCGCGCTTTCGGTGATGGAAACCGTTACTCTTCAAACGGTTTTGCCAGTCGCGTCTAGAACCAAAAATTGCACCAAAAGCCCCGGTGGCAGCCTACACGCGCGTGTGCACGAGTCTCGTTGCCAACAGCAAGCACCTCCCTCTTGCCATTGCGCAGAGAGCGAGGGAGGGAAGCGGGAGCGAGACAAATCGCCACGCCGAACCGATCGCTTGCGCTTGAGGAGCGCAGATGTTCCCCTTCGTGTCACGTCGTTACATTGAAACGCTACCATCGCGATTCAGAGAGCGATAACGCCCTTTCATTGGCTTAGACCATACTCTGATCTCTCTAAACCGATGCGATATCGAATATTCCAGTCGCTCAACGTTGCACGCAGACGGGCGCGGCGGACCGCGAGGGTGATCATCGGAGCTGCTCGCTTCATCACTCGAGGCGGCCGCCATTCATCATTCATCGCTCCCAGTTCTCCTCCCTCTGCTCCCCGAGATGCCGCCAATGCTCAACAGCAGCAACGCGCACGCGCACATGTCGCCGCCGTCCTCGCCTCGAGTGCGCAAAGTGGACGTCGAGTGCAGCAGCAGCAGCAGCAAGAGCAAAGGAGACCGAGACGTGGTTCAGTTCCTGCTCGACACGCTGCAGCAGCGCGTGACCATCGCGTCAATGCGCTCGCTCTTCAGCTGCGCGGGCGTCGGCGAGACGGAGCCGTTCAACCTGCCGCCGCAGCACCGCATGCTGGCGCGCATGAAGACCAACGCCAACTACTTCCTGACCAACTACCTGCTGCTCACCGTCGGCGTCTTCGCCTTCCTGCTGTGAGTGTATTGGTGGCTGCCATCTCCATTGCAATTGCGATGGCAATCCTGTTCTGACTTGGTGTTAACTGGCGGTTGATGCTGCTGCAGGATGTTCTTCCATCCGATTCAGCTGCTGGTGTGCATCGTGGTGGGCTACGGGTGGCACGTGTTTCTCACCAAGAAGGAGATCCCGACCGACAAGTTCGAGGTCTTTGGGCGGCGACTGAGTGAGCAGGACATTCTGCTCGCGGCGACAGGATGTACGTTGGTAGTTGCAGGTGTGTAGTTTGTGGATCTGGTGCTGACGGTGCCTTGTGTTATGTGGATCCTTTGCAGCGACGATGGTGTTCCTGCTCTTCTTCGTTCTGCCGTCGGTTATCTTCGCGTTATCCGTGTCGTGAGTATGCTTGTGGCGTTGCTATTGCTAGGCGCTCGCATCTTGCGTTTAACATCCTTTTGTCATATCTGACGTGAATTGGTGCACGTACCCGCAGATCGCTGGCTAGTGCGGCGCACGCGTTGCTGCGCAACAACCGGCTCAAAGACGACTCGTTTGAATCTCGACAGGGCTCGGTTGCTGCTTCTAAGGCGGAGGAGCTGGTGTAGTGTGCGTTTACCCACCGCGAGCAGCCACATCTATCTAGTTTCAATAGCGACCGACCAACAGATCCAGTCATTTACTGGACTCGAGGGGCGATGGAATGCGCTGGCACATTCCGTCGCTCGGCACGTCTGTATACTCGTCACCAAGATACGTTTATTAATCCAAAATACGTTCATAGTCTTCCGATTCAGTGAGTGTGGGGCTCTCTCATTCGTGCCGCTTCTTGACAGCAAACCTGACCGTATCGCCTTGCTCGTCGTAGCCCATTTGGCGCGTGTGCATCAGCACATTAGCCAGTACTGGAATTTTGAACACCAGGAATGGGAACGAAAACAAGCCGTACGCAGTGCGGATCCAGTAGAACAACGCTTGACGCTGCCACGACTCGAACGGAAGCCATAGTACAAGACTCGCGAGAGCCATGATCACGGTGAAAGATACCGTCTCATATCCGCAGAACTTCATGAGGTAGCCACCACGATTTAAATGCACTTCGTTGCCGAAAGCATCGTGAAACACGCGCCGTTCTCGCAGCTCCATAGACTTCGTACGATACAACTCTTGTGGCCGCACAGTGTACGGCAGTCGGAAGAACGCCGCCCAGACGAGGACGATCTGAAGCACGAAGAAGCACGCGGTACCGTCACTGAGCGCAGGGCCGCCTCCATTTTGGCACGCCAGCATCGAGCCCTGCACGATACACTTCGTGTACATGAAGATCCCAAACATCATGTGCATGATTCCCAGCGTAATTAACTGCGCCGCCTTGAAACTCACAATAAACTGGCACAATTGGTGCTCGTTCGTCTTGTCCTTGATGATAAACATGAAGATCCACCACAGCTGCCCCACCACCGGCAAAAGACCCACGCCCGTATACAAAACCCACCACGGATCCTTGAAGGATTTCCAAATCGTCTTATCACACGGGAACAAGTGATACAAAATATGTCCGCGGAGACGACGAAAGGGTCCAAACCTTCTCTTGGTCACTGGGACGACATCTCCTCGTCCGCTGGGTGGGGCGCTGCCACCTCCGCTGCTCCTTCCGCCGGCCTTCGCAGCTTTCTCTAATGCACTCGTAGGCGAATCCTGGCCAAACAGCTCGCGCGTCTTGCGGAAAATCTCCATCTTGACATCTGGCATGAACTGCTCGATGCCGATGTCAATGTTCGTCTTCAAATAGCTCGGCATGTCTGGGTCCTTCAGCGTCTGCTTGAGCCTGGCGGCGACGATATCCAGCGCGCTCTCCAGCACTTTCCTCACTGTGCGGTGCATGGCGAACTGCACCTCGTCCTTGGTGTCCTTGGCGATGTGGTTGAGTCTCTTGCCCGTGGACTTGATCATGGTGCTGGTACTGCCCACGATGCCGCTCCAGGCGGTGGGCAGCTGCTCCGCCGCGTCAGCGGCTCGCTCCGCGGCGTCCAGCACCTGCTGCTCCGGGAAAATGTCGGGGAACACGCGCTTGTACTCCTGCGCGAAGAGCTGCACGTCCCTGACCACGAGCTCGCGGCGCGGCTCCGCGTCCGCGTCGAGGCTGTCGCTGCTGCCGACGCTGAGTCGCCGCTGCTGCTGCTTGCGCGTGAGGTTGCGCCAGAAGCGCCGCATCTCGAGCCGCTGCTGGGCCGACAGCTGCGGCATCTGCTCCATGGCCTGGAAGAAGAGCTCGGACGTCACGGGCCGCTCCGCCGACTCGAGCTCCTGGTCCTCCCGCTCCTCGCGCTCCTGCAGGAACGAGAACACGAACACGCCCGCCGACATGGCCACGGCCCCGTACAGCACGCGCGACGGCAGCATAGCTCCGCTTCGTCAACGTTTGCGTGTTGGCTTCAAGTGGCGAACCCAATTAATACCAATTTGCGCATTTTGTGTGTGTTTACATTCTGAATACAGTATCAAATCTGTACAGTTACTAAACCTGGAGCAATCCTTAACTTTTGGCTCGCAGGATCAATTTGAAGAAAAGCTTGGCGCATTTAACGGACGATGGCCGAGTACTCGACGGAGGCGGAGGACCTGGTGCTGCGCGCGACGGATGAGACGCTGGCGGGCCCCGAGTGGGCTCTGAATATGGCGCTGTGCGACTGCGCCAACGCGCAGCACGCCGCGTGCGACGACATCGTGCGCCTGCTGCAGCGCCGCCTGCAGAGCGGGCAGCCCAAGGTGGCGCTGCTGGCGCTGGTGCTGACCGAGACGCTGGTGAAGAACGGGCCGGCCGCCGTGCACAGCCTCGTGGGCTCGCGGCTGTTCCTGAACGAGGTGGCGGCGCTCTCGGACGGCAGCCTGGGCGTGGACGTGCAGAACCAAGCGCTGCTGCTGATCCGCCAGTGGGCCGACGCCTTCATGGGCGGCGAGCTGCACGCGTTCCAGGACGTGTACAGGCAGCTCAAGCTGCAGGGCGTGGCCTTCCCGGAGGTGGAGAACGATGTACCCATCTTCACGCCGCCGTCCTCCACGACTGCTGCCTCTAGGGAGGAGAGCTCTGCTGGTTTCGCGGCTGCGGCGCCGAGACGCACGAGGGAGCAGCAGCTGGAGAAGCTGCACGCGGACTTGAAGGTGGTGCAGGAGAAGATTAAGCTGCTGAGGGAGCTGCACACGAAAGGACAGACTGGAGAGCAGCTGGAAGACGTGCTGGACTTCTTGCGCCAGTGCCAGCCCAGAATGAACACGCTCATTGAAGGAGGCGTCATGGGCAAGATCGACGAACGCACGCTCGAGGAGTGCCTCACTGTACGTGGCGCTGGAGTTGTATAGTGTGGGTGAAGGGTGCCGATATATATATTTTTTTTTTTTTTGCTGTGAGCAGGTGAACGATAATTTAATGAAGACGCTGGAGGAGTGCAGCAAGACCAAGACGAACGACATGATGACCTTCGACTCGCCGCCTCGCGCGAACCGAACGGCTAGGCTGTCGGACGGAGTAGCCGCGTTGAACTTGGACGATGGAGGTAGGGCGTCGGGTTCTGCTGCTGCTGCTCCTCGGTCGGTGCCGTCTCCTCGCTCCACTCTCACCACTATGGATGATGGTATGTTGTGTAGGTGCTGCCCTGTGACAGCGAGTGTGCGGGTGATTAAGCATACCTGGCTGCGTTGTGTTTGCTGCGATTGTTTATTAGACTTCGACAACTTCCTGAACAAGACGGCCACTCATTAGCGGACAAGATAGGAACAACAAGCGGCGGTGAGGCTCCGGCATCTGTATCGGAAGCTTCAATCACCATGATCTCAATCGTATATTCTTGATACTTGGTCGTTGTGGAACTACTGTACTGTGCTCAATGGATCGACATGTCTTTGGTGGTAGCTTTTGGGGCTCTCTTTACAATCCACTCCTTCTCCTGCTCAGTGGGCACTCGCGTCTCGGATGGATTATTGTACGCCGACACGAGGCCTGTCGAGGGGGTGTAAATGCCGTTGCCGGCATCGTAAGAGCCTAGCGGGACTACTCGGTTGACGCCCGTATCGAAGTAGTTGAGCTCGCCTGTCGGAAGGATTCCTCGAGGAGATACCGACTCCGAGTAGTACTGCCGGTTGGCGTCGGTGCAGTACGTCCAGCCCGTTGGGGCATACTCAAGTCCGTCCGAGAACGTGAAGGTCCCTTCCACTTGCTGTATAGCCGAACAAAGTTGTTAGAGCCTCTGCAATGAGGCTGGCAAAGACTTCAGTGAATTTTCTACCTACCTTTCCGCAAGCCCATTCCCCTTCCAGTTTTCCCTCGGGGAAGAAGAGCGTGCCTCGACCATGAAACTCGCCGTTCTGGAACTCGCCTTCGTATCGATAGCCGTCGGGCAGGTGTAGCACTCCCTTGCCATGGTAGCGTCCGAACTCCATGGATCCCTCATACTGCACATGCCTGTCAGTGCATCAACCTCGCAACAGCAGCAACACAAACGGCGTTTACCTTCGATTGACTGTACTCCATGACTCGGACCGAGCAAGAACGCGGCTTCTTAGACGAAGGAAGATGCTTGACTAACAGATCGCAACGCGACCTCGCTGGAATAATGTAGCAAGCAAGATTAGCAACGCCATCACCTTGGCGTTCTTGACGTTCTTATCGCGCTCACTATTTCGAGCATGATGCCCAAAATCCTACACCAACAGGATCGAGGACTGGTGCATTGTGCATAAAGTCAAGACGGCCATCTTCAAGCAGAGAACGAACGATTTTCTTGGCAGCGATGCCATGTCTGTCGTGTAGATTTGCTTGTTGAACTCCTGTTGGACGTGAACCAAGCTCGACGTGGATAACCAGCACGCCAACTCTTGTCTGCAGCCGCCCTCATCTGCTTCGGACCAGATCGGTTCGAAGTGAAGCCATCCATTGCAGTTAGTCACGAATGACAACTTCAACGAGCGTGTCAACAACTTCAAGGATGCGACTAAGCGAGGGCTGTGCCGGCCTGCAAACGACCGAAAAGATCCTAGGATCCTCTACTTCATGCTGAGACGACCGACCGACTTGAAAGTGCTTAAGTGTCGCTCTCACTTGTGTAAGGGGCCCTTACTAAGGGCATCGTCGAGCGCCGAATCGCGCGCCATGGAATCTAGAGCGACCACATGGCTGGGTGAGCGGGGGCTGGGCCTCGGACAATCGCACTTCCTCATCGTTGCACCTAGCAATACCTAATCGCCACCACTTGCTGATGGCACCGGTCACGTTGGACTCGTCGAGGCTTTGGCCGTCTTAGTAAGACTCGTACCGACCTCTCCGTGTGCCTTCCTCTCTAGCCGGCACGACGCTCACTTGCAATCGACAGTGTGTTCGACAAGCTTTGCTCTGGTGCACATCATGCTGACACTTCGGTTCCGAGACCTGGTCCATCTACTGCTCGGCCTTGGGCTGCTGTTCATCGTTTTACCGTCCGTGATCGCGGATGAACAAGTCTCCGAGGCCACCGTCGACCCGTACGTGGGCAAGACCGTCGTCGAGATCATTGAGGCGCGCGGCTACGAAGTCGAGACGCACAAGGTGACCACCTCGGACGGCTACCTCCTCACCATGTACCGGATCCCCAAGACGTACGCCGAGAGTCAATCGGGCTCCGACGCGGCTGCCAACAAGCCTGCGGTTCATCTGCAGCACGGACTGCTGGACAGCAGCTTCACCTTCGTCTCCAACTTCCGCAACCAGAGTCTCGCGTACGTGTTAGCCGACGCCGGCTTCGACGTGTGGCTCGGCAACAACCGCGGCACGACGTGGTCGAATGAGCACACGATGCTGACGACGGACGATGATGCGTACTGGGAGTTTTCGTGGCAGGAAATGGGTCTCTACGACCTGCCGGCGATGATCAACTACGTCTTGGACACCACGGGTCGCTCCACCTTGAGCTACATTGGCCACTCGGAGGGTACAACACAAGCGTTCGTGGGGTTCTCGGAGAATCAAGAGGTGGCAAAAGTTGTCGACTACTTCGGAGCGCTCGCTCCAGTAGCTTGGACGGGTCACGCCACCGCTAAGCTCTTTGTACGCTGGCCAAGCTCAAGGTGGACGAGGTCTTCCTCAACCTGGGCTTCACAAGCTTCTTGCCTCATACGGAGCTGCTCGAGACGTTGCTGGCCGACGTTGTATGCACCAACCTCGACGAGCTCTGTAACTCCGCCATCGGTCTTATCGCCGGTCCGTCGGACAACTTGAACGCCACGCGCATTCCTGTCTACCTCTCGCAGACCCCCGCGGGCACGTCGGTCCAGAACATGGCTCACTACGCGCAAGGAATCCGGGACGACACCTTCGCCAAGTATGACTACGGCTGCAGCTGTGTGCGTCTCCTGGGGATCAACCTTTGCTCGTCGCTCATCTGCAAGAACAAGGCCGTGTACGGCAGCTTCGACCCGCCCGCGTTCCCTATCGGAGACATGGTCTACCCTCGCACAGGGTTCTACATCGGCGCGACCGACACGTTTGCCACGTCCACGGACATTGAGCAGCTCCGCTCAGGGCTTCCCAGCGCCACTATCGTGTACGAGCAAACCATCGACGCGTTCTCGCACCTGGACTTCACCTGGGCCCAGAACGCCAACGAACTCGTGTATCAAGACCTGTTGGTGAAGCTGAAGAAGTACGCTGGCGTCGGATATTGATGTTGTTGCCGCTTGAAGGCTAGGACGCAGTGTGTATCTCGTAACTCGCTTGTATTTTCTGTTTCCTACTGTACTTGTTTGTTCTCCGTCGGCCTCCTGAGTACAGGAGGCCTCGGGCTGGAAAACGGCGTCTTCTTACTAAATAACAACGCGTGCGGCATTTCCAACGTCTGAAGTCCGGTGTTGTGAGTTCCAGCGCTGTGCTGGTCGCGTGAAGGCTCTCGTGCTTCATGGGTGCTCAAAAGAAGGAGAGCCCGGGCCCTGTGAGGAAGGCGCCTTACCATCCAACAGTCATCGAGCCCACGTCTTCATCCGAGTCGTCCTCCTGGTCCATCAGGCTTAATGCCTCACGGAACACCTCGACAGCCTTATCGTGCTCGCCCTTGGAGTGCAGGATCTTGCCCAGCATCGACAGCGACGCGTAGTTCTTGGGCGTGAGCGCCAACGCACGTCGGATGGCAATCTCAGCGTCGTAGAACTCACCAGCGCCGTGAAGCGCACGCGCCAGATTAATCCACACGTCCACGTCCTTGCGGTTCGCGTCGACCGACTTGCGGAACTCCACCACAGCGCTGTTGTACTCGCCGCGGTCGAGGAAGACCTGGCCCAGGTAGTTGCACGTCTCGGCGACGTTCACCTCCCTGTCCTCAATCAGGTCGATCTTCTTCTCCACCTGCACCGAGTACTGACGCTGTCGTCCCTGCACCTCCTCCTTCTTGTTGCCAGTGTTGTGGTTCTCGTCGTCTTCATCGTCGTCCAAGGAGAGGCGGTTAATATCAATGATGCGGTTGTTGCGCAGCTCCGCTACGTCCGCGTCCACTGCAGCGCGCTCCTTCTTGGCTTCAGCCGCCAGGCGGGTGGCGTCCTCCAGCTTCTTCTCAATGCGAGACTTGGCCAAGGTCAGCTCCTGCACATGCGACTCCAGCTCGCGCACCTGTTCCTGCATATCCTGGTACTTCTCCGTCGAATCCACATCTGTCCACGCGCGAGGACGTCCGCGCGGGTCGTCCTCGAACGGCAAGGCCGTCGTCAGCGTCGGGTCGCGCTCTGCCGTGTCCCGCACGATCCTGCGCGGGGTGCAAGACGAATTGAAGTAGCGGTCAGTATCCGACGGGCTCTGGAACGCCGAGTCGCGGCTGCTGGAAGATGTGGTGGTCATGGACACTGTGCTGTTGATGGAGCGCAGCGGTGGTCGGCCAGCGCCCTTGGGATTCGGCGTAGACTCCTGTCGCATCATGTTGGGCTCCATCGGGGGCAAGCTGCTGTGACGTCCATGGCCGTACATGTTGACCACCGCAGAGGGCGCGCCGTTCTCGCGCAGGTCATCGTAGCAGAGAATGCACACGCGCTGGGGCGTCTTGAGGCCCAAGTGGTGCAGCGGCAGACGCTTGTTCGAGTGCGTACTGCACACCGACTCGCCGCATGAGCGACAGTGGTGACGCGTCTTGAAGTAGCTGAACTTGAGCTGGCAGATGTTGCACCGCTTGTCCAGTCTCCAGCGCGGGGGCAGCGGCACCCCCGCGAGTCCGTCGGGCAGTCTGAGAGCGCTGCTCACAGCGTTGACGGCCGACCGGTTGCTGGCCCACTCGTCGTCCAGCGCGGCGCCTCCGCGGCCGCTGCCCAAGGCCGAGGGGAGGCTCCTGAAGCTGCTGACGCTGGTGGTGTCGTCCGGGAGGGGGAAGCCGCCGGGTTGGTTCAAGAAGGCCTGGAACCTGGCGCTCGGGCGGTCGGGCGCCTTGCCCGCGGCGCGCAGCTGCTCCTCCATCTCGACGAGGAACGTGACCTTGTCGTCCGTGAGCTGGTAGGCCCTGGCGAGCTCGGCGGGCGTCTCGCCCGTGGGGGTTTCCTCGAAGAGGCACTCGGCGACGTCGGGCGCGGCCTGCACGAGCGCGCGCAGCACCTCGAGCTTGGTGGCGGCCTTGACGGCGATGTGCAGCGGCAGCAGGCCGCCCTTGTTCTTGTGGCTGAGCGCGTTGGGGGCCACGTCCACGAGCTTCTTGACGGTGCGCAGCGGCACGTGCGTGTCCGTGCAGGCCCAGTGCAGCGGCATCATGCCGAAGTCGTCCATGTCGTCGGCGCGCTCGGGCTGCGCCGAGATGAGGCGGTCGAGCGCGCCCCACTCGCTGGACTCGGCCAGCTCCAGCGCCGTCTTGGCGGCGTCCTGCGCGGCCTTGGGCTTCATGCTTCCTGTGTGTCTCTGTGTGTCTCGAACCTCCTCCTTCCCTCTCTCGGCGCTTGCTGCGTGTTACACGTACACACGCGGCTGCGGGGCGCGGGGAGTTTTCGGTTGTGAGACCGTCGACGGAGTTGCCGAGCCTCGAGGGAGAGGAGGGCGACGTCGGTCTCGGCTGCGCTGGCCCGGCTCTGTTCCCGAAATTGCCGATGTACTGTACACCTTCTTTTTTGTCAATTTCGGCCAGCCCAAGTGGTGAATGCGTTTCACCCCAACTCGCTGTTCTCGGGCCTTTGCCAGCTGGGTGAGCTTGTCCCAAACAGCGAGAAAATCTTGCAATGCAGTGGCCTGCGTTTACAGGGGCGCTTACGCTTTGCTTTGCTTGTCTTGTCTTGGAACATACCAGAACGCAGCGTCAAGTTTTCTGTTTAGAGATTTTTTGCTTCGCGCCGTTGGAAAGGGACACATCAACTCGGAGATTTGCAAAGCCGAGCGTCGCGGTCGCCGCGCGTCCGAGCTATGGCTGTGGCGTGCCGAGCTCCGGAGTGGCGACGCCCGGGTCGAGCGAGCCGCGATCGATGGGCCGGCCGATAGGATATCGATAGCTCAGCCAACTCGTCATGGAGCGAGCTCAAGAGGATTTTTAATCTGCGAAGGAGCAGCACGCGCACGCGGATCTGCCGGTGCATGGAGCGCAGAGACGCTGCCCTTGGTGCACGCGCTCGCTTGTTTTCTGCTGCTTTTTCGCCAAGCAGCGGCATGGCCAAGCGCTTCTCAGGCGAAAAAGATGCCGAGCGCTTCAACTTGGGGAGCCGCACGAGCCCAAGGATGAGGTGGAGTGCCTGCATCTTTGATTGCAGCTCAGACAGGGCGCGGCTTGTACAGCAGCAGCGAGTTGCTGAGCAACAGCAGCAGCAGCAGCGCGGACATTGGAATGGCTCAGCCCACGATGAGCATGGGTGCTCTCTAAAGACAGCGCGTCCACCCACCACGACACGAGGTACGCCAGCAGCAATGGCAGGGCAGACCGCGGGCCCGGCAAGCGGGCGGATCCCACGCCCGCCGAGAGATGCAAGCACGCCAGCTACTTCAGTGGAAGCTCCGCCATGGTTATCAAACAATTCGGATCCGCTGTTGGTCGTTACGCAATGGCTACCGTCGGCAGTCCGCCGAGCGCGGTGACGCACTACAACCTCGGCAACTACTCTTGCCGTATATACACCGGGGCGCCGCGCCGCGAACGTTCCTCCGGGCGTTAGCAACGGAAGGTAGAAGGCGCGCTGGCGCCATGGGGCCAGCAGCAGCGATGGCAGCACGGCCAGCGCCGTCCCGAAGCCTGCGCTCCGTTTGCGCGGGGGGCAGCGAGCTCCGGTTGCTGCGGAAGCGTCCACCAGGCTTCCGTTCCGCCGACGTTCTACTCCATTTCGCGGACGACGACCTTTTCTCGGATGTTGGTGTGCGGCACGGCGCCCTCCTTGGCGTGGGCGCGGCGGTTGGCCATCTTCTTCTGCTCGCGCGCGCTGGCCTCGCGCTTGGCCTCGGCCGCCTTTTTGATGGCCTTGGGCACGTGCCGGTGCCTGCGGTTCACACGTGGCGGTTTAACAGCAGAAGGAGCGAACACGACACTCGTTAGTGGGACTGCGTGCATCCCCGCGGTCGCCGCTGAGCAACAAGCCCAACAGCAGCGACAACCGCAGCAATAACAGCAGCAAAACGGCACACGTACTTGGAGATGCGGCTGATCTCGCGCAGGTGCTGGTAGCGCTCCTTGAGCGACTCGTTGTACTCCATCTTGCGGCGCTCACGGGGGGCCATCTACTCGAGCCAAGCAAACACAGAAGATATCAGAACCGGTAACCGTTGAAGGTGGACGTGGCGCGCCACGTCAGCAACTTCAAAGCTGCAAAAAAGCGAGAGCTGTAACCGACACCAGAGCTCGCTGGTCGGCAGGGCAACTGGGCAACAGAAGCTTACCTTGGAGAGCTTCTTGGACGCTTCAGCCTTCCAGATGCGGATGTTGGTGTCGTCACTACCCGACAGCACGAAGTTGGCGTCGGCGCTGAACTTGACGGAGAAGATGCTGTGGGACGGTGTCAAAGCAAAAAAGATATACGACTGGTTAGTAAATTTCCAAGACGGTTAAGCGGATAAGATCCACCAGCGTAAGCGCGCAGGGCGCCCCGGCCCCGATGACGCCACGCTGCACGAGTAGCGAAACTGCGCCGGGTGCGACTCAAGTCATCCGTGAGGCGCCGGGGCGTTGCATGCGCATGACTCATCGAGCCTGAGGATGGCCGGAAAAACGAGACGTACCGCTGCATGCGCTGAGTGTGGTAAACCTCTCGGCTCTTCGCCGAGCGCACGTTGAAGATGCGGATCGTGCGGTCATACGAGCCCGCGACGAACTCCCGACCCGTGGGCGAGTAAGCCACGTCCATTCTGCAGCAGCAACAGCGACAACAAGCACGTCACGTTAGACACCTGGGCAGCGTTCGACCACTGTAGCCGAGTCAAAATGACGCACACTGCCGAAACGTGGTCCTTGTGCACCATCATCGCGCGGTTCATCTTGCGCATGTCGAACGTGTACAGGTTGTGGTCCTCGTTGGCCTGGAAAAAGCATCAAGGTTGCAAAAGCGGCGTTAGCACCCCCAGATGAGCCTGGAGCGGAGACCAAACAGTGCTGCCATTTCGGGAGGGCGTAGCACTTACGACTGTGAAGTTCATGGGCTCCATTGGGTTCCAGGCGAGCGCGTTGGACCGCATCTCCATGACGATTTTACGCATCGAAGACGCCATGCGGATATCGTACAGCGTGATGTTGCGGTCCGAGCCTGTAGAAGCCAGCAGCGAAGCCTCCGCCGGGTTGAAGTGCACCGAGTTGATCGAGTCGGCACCCCACGCGAACTCGTGCGTGGGCGTCGAGCGCGAAGGATCCCACACCTGCACCTTGGAGCCGCACGTGGCGAACATATTCTGAGACCAGTGGTGGTCAATACCCCTGCAAAAGCATCCGCATATCAGTACAAACACCACCGAAAAAATTCTAAGCTATAGTCGCTCCACGTACAGGAACGGCTCCTTGGACGTGAAGGTGGCCAGCGCCGTCGGCACGTCGTCGTCCTCGTCCTTGACGCGCAGCGCCCACTGCTTCACCGTTTTGTCCTCACTGCACGAGTAGAAAGTGTTGCCGTCCGGGGTCACCGCCAGGCCGCGCACGAAGCCGCGGTGGCCATACACGTTCCAGACGCACTTGCGGCGCGGCAGGTCCCACACGCGCACCTCTCCATCCGCCGCGCCACTCACGAACGCCACCAGGCTCTTGGGGTTTGTGGCCAGCGCCGTCACTCCGTCGCAGTGGCCGTCCAGCGCGCCGATGAAGGGCTTAGCGAACAAGCGCTCGAGCTTCACGGCGTTCAGGGCTCGCGTGTACTCGCGCGGCCGCTCGAACGGGTGGAGGGCCGGGTCATAGTTGCGGAAGACCTTGAGCTTGTCGGACTGCACCTCTTGCGTGAAGTCCTTCTCCACGCGGGAAATCGTCTTGACCTTCATGGCGGGCACGTAGAGCGGAGCAAGAAGAGGTGTCTGCGAAGAGATGTCAACGCAATGGAGCTCTTGGGTCGACTGGACGGCGTCGAATTTCGAATATACAGTTCGGCGATTGGCTGAAAATACAATAAACACCTCTGATTGGATGATAATGAAGAGCTATTGTCTTAATTAAGTGGATCAGATGGCGGATCTAACATTTCATCAATACTATTTTTGCGCGCGTCACACATGAAATGCCGTGGTGCTTGCTCCCGTCTTCAACTCCTGTTGCGCTTTACAGCTTGAACTTCTCGTCGAGCGTGTCTTCGCTCAGCGTCCACAGCTTGCTCGCGTTCTCGAGCGAGTGGCTGGACTTGGCGCCTGCCTCGAGAGCGGGGTAGCCACGCATGTGCAGGAAGCCGTTGGGGCCATAGTACTCCCCGCCCTTGACGCTCTTCACGGTCGCAGCGTACAGAATGGGGAGCGCGCCCATCTGCGACGTCATGAACGGCAGCCACGACACCAGCCACACGAAGAGCTCAGCCAGCCAGTATGGGAACGTGCTGCGGTAGTAGCGGTTCCAGATGTCGCTGTGTGTCAATCCAGGGTGCGCCGCCACTGCCACCACGTTCTCAACCTGTGCGGACTGCAGGCGACGCTGCAACTCGTACGTGAAGAGCAGGTTGGCCATCTTGGACGTCAGGTAGTCGCGAAGGCTGCCGCGGGTGTGGCCCAGCGTCGAGAAGTCCAGGTACATCCAGGCGAAGTAGTGGGCGAGACTGCTAACGTTGACTACGCGAGCTTGGCCCTTGGAGCGACGCAGCGAGTCCAGCAACAAGCTCGTCAGGTAGAAGTGGCCGACGTGGTTGACAGCAAAGTGAGCCTCCAGTCCGTTGGGCATGTGGCGCTGAGCGGGCACTGACACTCCGGCGTTGTTGATCAGCAGGTCGAGGTGGTCGAACTTGTCGTGGAATGCACGAGCGAACTCGCGGACGGTATCGGCGTCACCCACGTCCACCTGCATGAACTCGACCGACCCCACGACATCGCTAGGTAGCTTGGTCAGCTCTTCGCGGATCAGCTCTTCGGCGCGTCGAGCGCGGCCCTCATTGCGGCACGCGAGAATCACGTGCGCCCCATGCGCCGCCAGTGCCTTGGCTGCCTCGAAGCCTATACCGGAGTTGGCGCCCGTGACGACTGCGAGCTTGCCCTTCTGGGACGACATCGTCGAGCCGTCCCAGTTCCTCTCCGTGCTTCCGCCAGCTCCCATTCTTCTCTTGATCTGAGTACTTCTGCTTCTGGGGTGGAGCTTGCTTGGGGGGGATTTGCTAGCTGCAGCGGAATGACATCCCCGTTGGATGAAAGCTATCGTCCCAGGTCATGTCTTTGCAAAATGGGTCAGCGAATCCAAGCAGAAACGATGCAGTTGATGGAACAGGCAAGTCCTGGTGTTCATGTCGGACCAGCAGGTGAATTGAATCGGATGTAAAACCTCATCTTGCACGACTACAGCAGCTGCGCTCTTCACTTCAAGCACATTCGGCGTCTTCGAGTTGGTCCTCCTGTTGCATGATTCCAATCGCCCTACACCTCAAACTTGGCATCCAGCAATTCTTCGCTCAACTTCCAAAGCTTCTCGGCGTTTTCAAGCGAGTGGCTGGCCGGGTGTGACGTATCCAGCGCAGGGTATCCTCTCAGCGTCATCCATCCGTCCGGCGCGTAGATCTCGCCGCCACGCACGCTCTCCACGGTCGCTGCGTACAGCGTGGGCAAAGCTCCAATCCTCTGCGGTAGGAACGGCAGCAGCCAGATCGCCCACCTCGCCAGCCACTGCAGGAATGGCCACCCCGCGAGCTTGGTGCGGATGTACTTGTTCCAAATCTCCGTGTGGCAAACTCCAGGGTGCACCACCACGGACAAAACGTTCTCAACGCCTGCAGCTTGCAGCCGTCGCTGCAGTTCGTACGTGAACAGCACGTTGGCCATCTTGGACTCGGCGTAGTCGCTCATGGAATTGCCCGGGGTGTGTCCCATCATGGCGAAGTCCAACTTGGCAGCATGGTGCAGACCGCTCGAGACATTCACCACTCGCGCCTGCGGATTCGACCGGCGCAGCAGATCCCACAGCAAACTCGTCAGGTAGAAGTGGCCCAGGTGGTTGATGGCGAACGTGCTCTCCAAGCCTCTCGAGTTGTGTCGCTGCGGCGGACACGCCACCCCCGCGTTGTTGATCAGCAGGTCCAGATGGTCGAACTTGGCTCGAAAGGCGCGAGCGAAGTCACGGATGCTGTCGCCTTCGGCCAAGTCCAGCAGCATCAACTCCACTTCACCGACAGCATCACTGGCCTCCCGGCTCAGAGCTCGACGGATGGACTCCAGCGCTTGGCGGCCGCGGCTTTCGTCTCGACAGGCCAGCACCACATGAGCCCCGCGCAGTGCCAAAGTCTTGGCCGTCTCGAAGCCGATACCGCAGTTGGCGCCTGTCACGATGACCAGCTTGCCCTGCTGTGAGGTAATGGTGGAGCCATCCCAGCGGCGAGTCGAGGAGAATCCGACGCCCATGTCCGCGGAGATTGTGCGCGAGTCTCGCCTTAGATACTAATTCGTAGATGGAAGGGGCGACTCCGAACTCTTGTCAAGTAGGTAAGTGCCTTCAAATTCAACTCAAACATGCATCGCTCGCTACGTAGCAGTCCTTAATTCTTCCTCCTCTGCTTCTTCTTCTCTTACACTGTTTGTCGTGTGGGCCATTCAGCACACCAAAGCTTGTGATAGATGCTTGACCTCGGAGCGGTTCAACACGAGCTGCACGGACTGCGAGTTGCTGGCACCACTGTCGCCCAGCTTCACGCGACCTAGAAGCACGGGCGGCCGCTCCATCTCCGGCGGTTGCCAGCCAAACACGCTCTCGCCGCGAGTGATAGCGTTCGTGACGTCCTGGCCCCAACCGTCCTTGCGCATAGCGGCTCCGACGCGTTCACGAAGGGCTGCCAGGTCCCGCTGCGCGCGCGACTGCTGCAGCTTTTCAGCCAAGAGCTGCGCGTGTGCTGAAGTGCCCGTAGGTGACGCGGCTCGCTTGAGATCCACCAAACGCGGCATCGACAGCTGAGCCTTAACCTGGCGCGAGAACGTTGCCACCTCCTTGAGCGATTTCGTCAACCGATCCGAAGGTTTTGCTGCCTGGGAAGCACGGGAGCTCGCGCTGGCACTTGATCCGAGCAACTTCTCCAATCGCTCCTTCGCAAGCGTCGAGCGCACAGTGTGCAGCTCGTTGTGGAGCTGCTGGAAAGCGCGTCGGAATGCGTCGGCGTCTGCTGCGCTCATGGCTGACCCCTTGCCGCCCCCAGCGCTGGCATTTCCGGCCTTGGCCGCGCTGCCAGCGTCGCTCGAGCGTTTCAGCTGCTTGCGAAGATCCCGGTTGAGCGAGTTCAACAACGTCTTCTCCTTGTTCGACTCGTCAAGCGCAACGTCGAACTGCTCGCGCTCCTTTGCAAGCTGCGCCTCCAGCTGAGACTTCTCACTCGTCATGGCAGCCACGCTCTCCGTCAGCTGCAGCACTTGGCTCTCCAGTTTCTGGGCCACCACGCGGTGTTGGCTATCCGCGCGCTCGAACTCTCGGATACGCTGGTGTAGCGCATTGCACAGCTCTGTCATCTCAGCCAAATTGCTACGCAGCGTCGAAGCATCCACGAGCTCCTGGTGAATAGCCTGGGCACGGATGCGCCATTGCGGTCTACCATTAGCTCCATCCCCATGCTCATTGCGAGTACGTGGAGCCACAGCATCGGTGAAGGCACCACGACACACCAACTTGAACAGCAGAGCCAGCTTCTCCTTGAACGCCACAGTGTGGTCATAGATAGCCTGTTGCGTGAACTGCACCAACTCTTCCGCTGATTTAGCGTGCTCCAGAAGACCATCCTGGGACAACTGCGATTGCAGCGCACTAGCTAGCGACTGAGCCTCCATGGCGTAGCTCTGAATAGAAGTCACGGTCTCGCCGCCAGCAGCCACAAGACCGTCCAGATCATCATCTGAGGCAGCTAGATCGATCTCTGCGCGGCGGTAGAATAGCTGCGCAACATTCAGCACTGAGAGCAGCTCGCCAAGACATTTGTCCAGAACCGGAAGCAAGTCCGTCCGTAGCGCTGCAGTTTGTGCATCGTCAGGCATCTCGGGGCTAGCAATGAGGTTCTTGGTCGCGCGCAAGAAGGTGACCATTGCAGAGATCGAGAAAGCCATCTTCGCCACATTTTTTCGCGCACGCAACTTGACCACTGCGCAGCGAGCACTGAAGCTCTCAGCACCCACGGATGATGAAACCTGAGTGACTCGACCAGCATGCCACTCATCCGAGGTCTGCACAAGGCGATCATACAGCGAAGCAACATCGCCACCACCACGGGCACCATTGAACAGAGCACCTTCGGAGAACGCAGACAGAGCCGAGTCCAGCACACTCTCCAACGCCGACGTCTGCGAGGTGTCGAGTGCTGAGCAGCCCTGGGAGAATTCGTCCTCCGTAGTCAGGTGGCATTCCAGCATGAATAGGTCTTCCTTGGCTTGGCACGAGACTGCCGCCAACTTATCACCCAGTACCAACTGTTCCACGCTCACACCCGCAATGGAGACGCTGCCATCATCCTTTTCGCCCTCCTGAGGGCTGCTCGTTGGTTGCTGGACGACGGTATCCAGATCCTTCTTCAAGTGCTGCAGCAAGATGTCCGATTTGCCTGCAATGCGTCCTAGCGTCAACCGGACACGAAGAACCTTCTGGTCGGTCTCTGAGAAGATCGAGTTCGGCACCACAGCGCGCAAGAACGAGTTCTCCAGTCTAGCCTGCTCAGCGATGATCTTTTGTTTAGCTGCCTCAGTTTCGTGCTCACGTGCAGCTGCTACAAGGGCGCGCAGCCCCATCGTCTGGTTCAGCGCCAAGTGTGCAGTATCCTTCAGTGACTCCACCGCACCACTCTCCACACGAAGCTTCGCCTTCAGCTGCGCAATCTCTTCGCGGTGACTGTGGGCAAGATCGCGGAAGCGCGCAATTGTGCGCTCCTTGTCCTCAAGAACAGTTTTCTGGTCCAATGCAGCCTGCTTCAGTTCCTGCAACGATAGCCGTTGAGAGTCGATTTCCGCACGCAGCTCAGCCTCGTACTCGGTATGCTGATGTTCCATTTCCTGGTCCACCTCGCGCAACGATTCCAGCGATTGCACCGTGGTCTCCAGCTCTGCCAACTTTTCGCCCAAAGTCAAGTTCTTCTCGGTTAAATCTTCGACCATGGACTCGTAAGCATTCGCCACATCCAGCATCTCCTTTAGCTCCTCGGCTTCGCTTTCGAGAGTGTTCTTTTTCGTAGTCTGCGTAAACGAAAAGTATCCGCCAGCGCACATATTTCGCGTCAGTACCTCTACAAGCACCACATGCAGCACTATCACGTACCAGCTCTTCAACCTCTTCCCGCAGCGACACAAGTTCAGCGTTCTCACGTTGAGCCTGACGCAGCTTCTTGCTCAGATCAGCCTTTTCCTCCGACGCGCGCTCGTGCAAGGTCTTCACCGCAGCTCGGAGCTTTCTGTTCTCGTCTGCCAAGTCCCCACTGCTCGCAGATACCTCAGAATCCGATCCAGTAGTAGCCGACAGCGCCATAGCAGCCTTCAACTTCTCGACCTCCTGCTGCAGCTCCTCGGCGTGCTCTTCGGCGATTTCCTTATCCATCTCAATGGTCTCCTTCTCCAAGGTCATCATCTCGATCATATCCTGGAGCTCTGCCAGTTGCTTCTCCAGCGCTTCCACCTTACGCGCGCCAGAGCTCGACTTGGCAACCGCCATGGCGACCTCCTCCGCTTTCTTCTGCTCCGCAGCCGTGAACGCGGCAATGCGCGTCTTCTGCTGCGCCACCTCCGCCTCCAGCGCCTTAATCTCCGACGCCTGCGTTGCGTTCTCGAGCCTCAGCTCGTCCAGCTGCTCCTCGTGCTCAGCCTGCAGCTCCGCAATATGGTCCTCCAGCTCCGCGCGCACGGAGCGCACGTGCTCCTCCGCCTCCTCTCGGATGAGCTCCACCTGCTGCGCCAGCTCCTCCTGCGGAGACAAGGCGTCCTGCTCCTCCAGCACTTCATCCTCCTCCATCTTCTCGTCTCCGTCTTCATCTACCTGTGCCTGTTCCTGCTCTTCCTGGCCAGCAGCGGCGAGCTCCTCGATCTGTTTCTCCTGCTCCTGCCCCTGCTCCTCCAGCAGCTTGATCTTCTCGCTGTTGGCCGCCGCCGCCTCCTTCATCACCGACACGCTCTGTCTCAGCTGCTCCACGTGCCTGTTCTTCTGCTCCAGCTCCTCCTCCAGCTTTGAGATTCGCGCGCGCGCGTCAGCGAGCTGGTCGTCTGACACCGAGGCGCTGGCGGACGCGGCGGAGCCCCCAGACGTGCGGCGCTCAAGCGACAGCCGCGAGGCTGAAGCAGAGGCCGCGGACGCCGCCGCAGAGATGCTCGAGCGACTGCTGGGCGTGATCATGGACGCGCGCGTCCTGGGCGTCGACAGCCGCGAGCTCGCGGAGCTGCTGCCGGTCGAGGAAGGCGCCGGGATGGACGAAGACGCCCCCACGCCCGACAGGCGGCGCGCCGTCCCGCTACCCACGCCAGAGAGCCGGCGGCTCAGCGGCGCCTTGGCAGCGCCTGAAGCGCTGGAGGAAGAGGAGCCCAGCACCGCGCGCACCATGGACTTCTTGACGAAGAGCCCGTGGTTGGGCGCGCACGTGAAGTAGACGCGGCCGTTGAGCTCGCCGTTGTTCTTGCCCTCGGGCCGCTCCAGCTCGATGCCCACCCACTCGCCGCTGGCGAAGTCCGTCTCGCCCACGAAGCGCACGATGCCGCTCTTGCCGGCGCCGAACGCCACGCGGGCGCCCACCTCCAGGTCCATGGCGCTCGATCAGGAGGATCTGTATCGGACGCGCGAGCTTCAAACGCAATGATGGGAGGGGCGCAATTTGAATCGCAATTATTGGTTACGAAATCAGTGAGACAATAATTGATATTGGACAAAGTGGTGTGGTGCACATAATGTGCCATCGTTTGATCGTTTGACGCTTGCCCAGCTTGTTGCTGTGATGGCAGATGGGGGCACGCCTTCGTCAGCTCGAAGACACAACATGAGGAAACTGCAACGCGATTTGAGCACTTGGAGGCATCGCCGCCAGCGATTCGCACGGGCTCGCTAAAAATGTTTGAGGCAGGAAGCATTGCCTCCGAGGCAAGGTCAGTGCCTCGACACCTGAGGCTCCAAACCAGATGTTCCGTGTCAATAATGTTAGATATGACTGTTGAGAGGTTGTTAGTTATAGTCAAAAGAAGGAACGTCTAGACGTGTATGTGTCGGCGTTTTGTCGGAGAGCTTTAAGACAAGACTGTTGGATCCATACTTCTGGCACTTTCCACATTCAAGGCCACGCAAGCTAATATAGTGAGGGGATCATCGGCACGTCTGGCCTGAATATGGCGGATGTGACCCTGAGTTGCTCAGTTGCAGGGTGATTCTTGCGAGCTGTGGATCCACGAATCAGCGGGAGTGTGCTAATTGACTGCGCGAACAGCTTGACTCAGCAACTACGGCACGTAATGACCCAAGCTGCCAGGTGCTGTCTGCCAGCAGGCGGCGTAATGCCGACGGTAACGAAGATTTCTTGTGAAATCTTGCCCATATGAGCGCTATGATTAACCGGAGGTCTAATTGCTTGTATTTTTAGGGAAAATATGGTCCGCCCCCCGCTAAAACTGGCTTCTTATCCCACTGTCAAGATTTGTGGCCAATCGGATCGAGTTAGCCGGAGCCACAGAGACTGGCCAGTCAGACCAAAAAGCGCGCGATTCCAGCCACCGACTGCGGCGTCTGCCAGCCCGCCCAGCGTGGCACGTGAATCCGGCGTCGCCCGGTCGTCGCCGCTCCGTCGGAACTTCTTCAAGCGCAGTGTTCTCTCTCTCCATTCAGAGAGTTTGGGCCCCAGAGACAGCGACACAGAGGCCAGTTAGTGGCGAGCACCGACATGACAGTGGGCAGCATCGTGCAGATGTTCGAGAGCTTGGCGGCTTCCGCGGGTGCGGAGCCGTCCGCCCAGCCGCTCGACTCCCCGGGACGAGGTAATGTCTACGGCTTGGTGACGTACTACGACGCGCTGGCGGTGGTCGAGGAGCCCCGCGTGATTCTTCCGACCAAGACCGTGCGCCTCGTGAGGGAACAGCCTGCGACCGAGGACGCAGACGAGCAGGGGGAGCAGGGCGAACAGGAACAGATGGAGGAGGAGGACGAGGAGGAGGAGCAGGTGGAGCAGGTCGAACAGGAACTGGAGGTGGAAGAAGCGGAGGAGCAGGAGGCAGTGGAGGCTGTCGAGGAACAGGAAGAGCAGGAGGACGATGAGACCATCGACGCCGACAACCAGGAAACGAGCGAGGTGCCCGCTGTTGCGGCCAAGCCCGCTCGGAACTGCTCGCTGCTTATGAGCAAGATTCCGCCGCCCAAATCGCGCGAGTTCCACCTGGCGGCCTGCTCGGTGCGCAAGCCCTCCTCGGAGGGCGCCCCGCGTAGCCGCACGTCTTCCTCTTGCTCCAATGACGCAAGCCAGCCGCTGTACGTGCCCCCGCCGACACCTGTCTCCCTTCGTGTGCGCGCCCCGTGCACGAGCTACGCCGCCTTCGTGTCGAGGATCGAGAACTCGTCGTCTCGGTTGCTGGACTTTGAGAAGGACGAGCGGTGGCTGGAGCAGGTCGAGAACATGAAAGGCCGTGTCGAGGCGCTCAAGAGGAGGAACCACCTCGCTCTAGCAAGGGAGGTGGCCAGCACCCCGCGCAAGTGCAGGAGCATGAGCGAGTGCAGTGGCGTGTCAACGGCGTCCACAGCGTCAATGTCGTCTATGGATACGCCCGAGGTCAACTGCCAGTAAGCCGCGCCGGACGGAGGCCCCGCCTCCTTTGAGCACACCTAACTTATTATCTAATGTTAAGCTGCGCAAGCAAATGTTGCTCCACACAGAGCCCCCACGTACAGTGTCCCCAAGGTGTCTTTAAACGTCCCAAAGTGTCGATTTTCAAATTCAAAAAGACCCGCGAACAATTAATTGTATGTATCATTAAATATTACCAATAATACGGAATATATTCGTGACATTATTGCCCTATCCCCCGAGAAACAGTGGAAGCCGGATTTGCCGTCCATACAAAAGCCAAGTCAAACGGCCTCGGAAGAAGCGCCCAAGCCCGCGGTAAAGCGCGCGTCTCCAGTTCCTCGACAGCGCGCGTGTGTGCGAGCACACAGCTAGACAGCATTCGCAGGATGACCACCGAAGCCAACGCCTCCGTGTTGGGAGGCACCGTGCTCAACGCCGGACCGCTGGGAGCCGAGTACGTGCCTTGCCGTCCGTCCGATGTGTCTAAACGACGAGGGGAGGGAAAAATTCTCTAACCATCTCTAACCATTTTTTCACCTAAACTTTGTCTTCACCTTATCTAGAACGACCTACGGCAAACTGCCGCCGCTGAACCCGGATGACCTGAAGCTGCCGCCCCCGCCGCCTTCAGCCGCCGACAAGGTCACGAACACGGCGGACGCCATCTCCATTAGCGAGGTGTGGGAGGAGATCAAGGCCAAGACGCGGGAGATGTACGTATCCACCTTTATGGCAACTACCAACTTTAAGTGAAAAGTGGGGGTCTTGTATTCAGGAGTGTTAACCTATGGTGTGTATATTCCTTGCAGCATTATGGGCTCCTCTGTGACCGGCGTGCTGTCCGCCATGCGCATTGTGAACTTGACCATGGCTGGCTGCATGATCGCTCTCGCCGTGGGACAGATTATCCAGTCGGACTCGGCCTTCTCCGTCATGGCAGACGCGCTCTCCGTCATCTACACCATGTGCGTGCAACCCTGTTGCCATCACCAGTTTAGGTGGTTTGTGAACCTGACGTGTTATCCCATGTATCTGTTGCCTTCCGCAGCTTCTTCGCGTTGATCCTCGTGGGCTACGAGCTGCGTACCGCGTACATCGACAAGCTGCTGCGTGGCAGCTTCGGCTTCATGTATAGTCCGTGGGGACGGTGCCTCTTTCTGAGCATGTACGTGGCTGACACGTTAGCCAGAACATGACACAATGGATGCAAGTGCTAATTATTATTTGTTTTGCTGCAGGATCTCCATCTTCCCGTTCGGAATGTGCGGCATCTACGGCGTGCTCGTCTTCCTGGCGGGCTTCGCAAACGCGTACTTCAACTACTTTGTCATCACGAAGCACCCGTCCTTCACGCGCGGTGTCCCGGACTACACGCCGCCCGATGAGACGCCGGCTGCCAAGGCCACGACGATCAAGGAGGAGGACACGACTGTCTAAAGAGATCGGTGGAGAGTATGATCCAGCGGCAGGCGTTAATCAAGCAAGTTGAGCCGAGTGGATGCTTGCATCCTCTGGTCTGAGTGCTCTGGCATTGAGGCAGGAAGTCATGCATATATCTTCATAATTTACGAGCGTTCATTCGTGCCGCAGCGTTGCTCTTATCTTCGCTCTTGTATTGCGCTAATTCGGTGAATCTCGTTGGCTGATACGCTCGATACCCCAGGACGGCCTCACAATCGACAGGGACGTTGACAATAATGGCCGCCGAGAAGGAACTGTGCGAGCGCGTGTGCAAGAAGCAGGCGTGCGCCATCCAGTTCTGCCTCCAGCGGCGCAACTACCAGGAGAGCAAGTGCGCGGAGGTCATCAAGCGCTACTACGACTGCTGCGCTGCTGCCACAGAAGCAATGCAGAAAGCAGAACAAAATACCAAGTCGACTTCTAGCTGAAGTAGCGAGCAGCAAGAGTAATAGCAACTTGAAGACGCTCGGTGATATCTACTCCATCTTGTGTTTTGACAGCTCCGCGGGTCGGATTGCACTGCGGGGCAACACTTTTCGGCGCACTTGGCCAAGCTTCCAGAGAACGTGGGAGCTGCTGAGCAACAACGCACTATCACACAAAGCGAGAGCAGTCGAAGTTAGAGCCATGGCTACAGTCTGAGAGCAATCGGCAACATACCTCATCATTTCCCAAGAGTACAACACGAATGTTGAGAGTACGAGCTGCAACAGTAGAAGCAGCACTTGAGCCAGTGTCAAGATCGCGAGCTGCACCCGCGGCTCCCTGAACGCGGATTGTTTGATCTGCAGTGCCGGGTCTGAATTGCCATCGGTGGCTGCGTTTACATCTTTCGAAGAGCTACCGCGCGACTTGTTTTTGGCTTTCTTTTTCTGAATACGGAGGAGCATGGGAGTTAAACACTTCGAAGTTTACACGGCTCAACATATTCGCTGGCGTACCTTTGTGGTGCCCAAGAGAAGCTGTTCGGGTTCGAATTGATCGATATCCTGCCATATACCCTCCATCAACTTGGCCCCGCGCCGTTGCTGCTTGTTGAAAGAGCCGTTCGTATCCGTGCCAAAGCAGTGGAGCACCACGTACTTTGCCGAAAGAAGTTCTAGCACGTGAACAAAAGCTGTTGCCGCCGTGAGCGCGAACGCCATCTTATCGAAAATTAACTCTTCCTTCTGCATGCACATTAACACCAGTATGTTAGCTTCTCCGTCGAACAACCACCAACTCGCACGGTCCTTACGTAATTCAAGTATGTAGAGAATCCCGCCACCAAGAAGGTGGTTTCCACCGCTGAAAAGACGATCTGTCCGGGCGTAAGGCGGCCCTTAGCGCTCGTAACGAGGAAAATGGACACAACATCCAGCAGCAATCTGAACCCAGCGCAATAACACCAAAAATCCATGAGCTTCCTCTCATTGCCCACACAATACGGCACCTTGTTACCCTACACGATAGCGAGAAGCACGACTTGTGGCGTGTTCAGGGGCACCTCTGTCCGATAAAACCAAGCTCCCAATCCACCCAATGCGAGCATGAAAATTGCACCTCTCCAGTAACTTTCACGGCGGCTGCCGCCTCGAAGAGCGACGTGTGGCAGCAGCATCGCCACAAAAACCTTCCTCATCATCCACACCCCAGTCCCAACTACCAAAACGATCTGTGCCATTGACACACCCTGCCCAAGCATATACACACAAACTCAATCTCAATTCATATATATAATAACTGTGCTGATTGCTCTTGCAGTGAAGGATTGTACCTGCGCTATCATGAGTGCGTTTTGCACGACGAGCGCCACGAGGCTGTGCAGCAGCAGAGTGCGCTCCAAACTCGCTGGAACTCCCACTACATCCGCACCCCATTGGTCATAAACCGCCTTCATCTTCGCGAGCGACTTCTCAACGACCTCCAAGTCCACTGGAGCCTCTCGGCTCGTTGTCGCCGACGCCCGCGGCGCTGCCGCCTGCCGCCGCTTCTTGGCCATTTCCAGATCGATCTGAAAACCTTCTAAAAGCGATGCCTTTCAAAACGTGGTGCGTGTGGTGTCGACGCCCTCTCATTGGTCGAAAACCCGTGAGCCCATCCAACAACAGGCTCACTTCACAATCGCGACCCAAGCCACCAGAACGCAAATGCTGCGGCGTGTGGCTCTCTCCTCGCTGCGCTGCGCGTCGCGCCGCGCCTCGGCGCCGAGCTTCAAGGCGCTGTCGACGCTCGCGCCTGCCTGCCGACCCGTGCGCGCGACGGTCGCGCCTCGTCACAGCTCGCTGCGGACCGCGCGCTTCTCGTCGGACGCGCCGCCGCCGCCGCCGAACATGACGGAGCACGAGTTCATGGAGCTGGCGGACGAGACGCTGCACGACATCCAGAGCTGGCTGGACGGCATCGAGGAGATGCTCGAGGAGTCCGACGTCATGTTCTCGGTGCGTTGTGGCGCGTTGAAGTGACTGAGAGATAGAGTGTGTCATACATCCTGACGTCCTACTGGTGTGTTAACAGCAAGGCGTGCTGAAGATCGACCTGGGCGACCACGGCACGTGGGTGATCAACCGCCAGGTGCCCAACCGGCAGATCTGGTGGTCCTCTCCGATCAGGTACGAAGCGCTGGGGCTGGGAGTTTATTTGATGGCTACATGAAGGTGGAGTGGACTCTGACGTTGGTGCTGGTGCAGTGGTCCGCGTCGGTACGAGTACGATGGCGAGAGCGGCAACTGGGTGAACACGCGGGACAGGGGCGAGCTGGTGGAGCTGCTGCGCTCCGAGATTCTGGACGCTACAGGCATTGAGATCTATGAGGCGGATCATTGAAACACTGCCGCTGTGGAGTAGAGAGCGTAGCAAGAGATGTTTAGCCACTTGAGGAAATACAGTGTACAACCCAGCAGAAGGTGGAGACAACGCGGCGCTCTTGAGTGTCTGCGGGGGCTTCGTTTTGTTATGTCGTGCTCGCTCTGCGCATTCCAGATTGGATGAAGACTTCCATGCACACAGCAGTTGGTTTAACTACAGTCTAGGTCTCTTCGTTCTCGTCCGTCTCGTCCTCCTCGCCAGTCTCCGCTGCCGATTCCACTTTGTTCAAGTCTACTTCGTGCCGCTCGCTCATGTAGTTCTGGTTGGATACAGACACGTCAGCACCTTGGGGTATTTTACATCGTCACTGAGCATAAAGAGAGGGTACTTACTTCAAGCAAGAGACCTCGGAAGTACTCGGCAGATGCCTCTAGGGTCGTCGAGGCCAGCAATCCCTTCCGGCGAGCTTCATCCTCTTCCCAATCCGCAATGGCGCGGTCGCGCATGTCCAGAATGTGGTCGCGACGTCTCTTTTCGTTCTCTACCTCCGTCAGCTGCGAGTAATACTCTTTTTCCTGGTAGTCGCCAACACAAACGCGCGTTGGCACCGAGGAATCGATATAGCAACTAGCTAGCGGTACAAGGTTACCTCATCCGTGCATTTGCGCCACATATCGCCCATGATTTTCCTCGTCTCGGACGCAGATCGGCGCGTCTTGCCTAATGCCTCCTTCTGCATTTGGCAGTACACAATGAAAGGGTTGATCGGACGAGGTAGACGGTCTTCCTGCATAGCCGAAAGCAACAGAAGTTGTTAGTTTTCATCGCACGGCTAGGTTAACTTCTTTCAAGAGGTCGATTCACTGGGCCAGCACATGTACGAACCTTTGCTACTGGGCGTGGAGGCCGCTTCGAACGCCCATTGGTTTGCGAGGCCGTCGATGGGCTCTTCCAAGTTGTAGGTCTGCAAAACAAAATTTTCGTTAGTCAATGAGTTCATTAAAGACGAACTACTTAATGGCAGTGGGGCGCACGCTCGAGCAGCAGTTTGTCTCGCAGATAAATATGTCCTCTCTTCTCTGGACAGCTCACTTAAAACTGGCTGCCATAATTCTGTCACAACAAACATGGATCAATAAGTTAGACTCCCCATAGCTGCATGCGTGGCAGGCAAACTCAGATACAGTACTTACTTGCATCGGCCGTGCTACGAACGACGTCATCAAGTGGCGGCATAACTTCAATGTAACCGGCGCTGGAAGTTGGCAGCGTGACACCGGTACCCTTCACTTGAAAGGGATTCGCCCCTATCCATTTGCTCCCGCTCAGTGCGATACGATAGGCTGCCACCTGCTCGTAGATCGAAAATACGATAGCTGGCTCGAACTTCTTGGGCAAGTTCATGTCTGCGCAAAGCGTACATGCAAATGTCTGCGTCGCGATGCAGTCATTTGAGATATCCCATTCGAACTGATCGCGGAGCTGTAAGGTGGAACAAAGCATGCGGTAGGTTAGAAGAAAATAAATCTAAGAACCATTCTCAATATTCTACTGCACGTACCGAGAAGCCGTCAATAATGAGATCCAAGTAGATAGGGTATATCCGCCCACCCTTCTGCTCGGTGCTCAAGCAAGACGTAAACGTCAGAATTTGTCTCCGGATTGACTCTGCAATAGCATCCTGAAGGCAAGAAGACGACACAGTCAGCGCACAATAAAAAGCGAATCAAAACGCCAGACAAAAGCAAGTACGTACTTTCAGCTTATCGCTCATTTTTTCATCATGGGCAATTTGCGTAGCAATAACTTCCGGTGAACATGTCGTCAGGGCACTACCCACATTAATCAACACCAAAACCAATGTTAGCATAGCCGTCAAGGCAACAACTCCACCATTCCAGCAGCCAAGCCAATCAAACGTACGCATTGACAATGAACGTGTCCTGGAACCGAACGCCATCCAAGTCGACATCGAGACGAATAGGGCAGATAAGCTCGGACTTGGTCAATCGCTGAGGCTTCCGCACATCAAGCTGATCTGTCGTTGAGTCTGTAACCCCCTTCTCCTTGTTCGCTTCCTCTTTCAGCGCAGCGACCTTCATCTTCGAGCGTGAAGCGTCCAAAGGCTGCACGATGGCCCTCCGCTTCCGCTTCCTATTGCCCGTATTCGTCTGCTCCGCCTCCGCCGCTGCCTTCTACACACCACAGCCTCACTCAGCATTCTCCCAACAATAATAACTTACAATATAACCTGCACGAACCAATTGCGCAGGCGTCGCGTCTGCATGGATGATGCTCCTCCTGTCGCTGACGTTGCGTCCAAACTGCACACAGCACCACACCACAGTCGTCAGCGTCCTCTTCTTCCGCCACGAAGTTCCTTCACCGCTCTCCGACCTGCGTGGGCACCGTCGACCGCCTGGCACCGCCGTCCAGAGGCTTGAGGGGCTTGGTCGTGGCGCTCTTGAGCGACTGATGCGCCAGCGCCACGCGATACCGCATCAGCAGCTTGTCCACCGCCGTGTCCGCAATCTACAGTTCATATGCAGCACAGTTAGAGGGCGATAATACTGCCAGAGTGCGGCTGACTGGATGGAAGGAGCGACGTACGTCGGACGCCGCCTTGAGGCGCCGCGCCTCGGGCGACAGATACGCGCGCAGCTGCTCCTCGGGCCAGCCCAGCTGCCTTGCCACCTTCTCGTCCGGCACGGCGTAGCGCTGCATGAAGAGCGCCAGGCGGTCGGCCGCCGAGTGCCAGTCGCCCGATCCCCCGCCGCTCATTAAGTTCACGTCACGTAGCTCTTGGTTACAGTACTGTACGTATGGAGGGGAGGTCTGCTCTAATTGACCACTTTGGACGGAAGCGGCGGAATGTGGCGTACACCAGACTTCCCCCTTTGGTGTACGATTGGTGTGGTAGGTCAATGCTCCGCAGAAGGTTATGTACCACATTGGTGTGCACTATGTAATCCGATTGACTTTTGGGGAAAGAGGTGGTGCAAATTCAAACTGGGTTTTCGCGCCAGCGATCGTCATCAAATGAGTCACCTCACGATGACAAGGGTATCCGTGTGTAGATGGAAGAGCGGACATGCAAGTCAGACATGCACTGGTAGATGTATACTGTAAAGGCAAACTGCATATATAGCAAGTAGTGATTCCCCGCAAAACTAGGTTGGGTTTGGCACCGATCGATGTATGTACAAAACTTTCGACAGCCACAGCCTCAACCTGTCGACGACTCGATGCGATCGGATCCTGACACGCAGACAACTCGGACACCACGTCTCAGGGGATGTCTTGGACGTTCTGCCCATCTCCGACGTTCTCGGCTACTCCCAGCAAAACGTAACATGCGAGCGTGAGCGAGTCGCGTCTGATTACAATTCCTCCGACGTTAAAGCAGCGTCATCGTACCTTGACCTCCGTGGCGGCGGATGCTTGGCACCTCTTTCCTTCTTGCCTGCTGCTCCTGTCCCTGTGCCTGACGCAGCGTCTGAGCTCGACGGTCCTCTTGACTCATAAACACGAACGGGGACCGCGGCGAGCCCAATGCGTCAAACGACAGCGATCCCGGCACGATGGCATTGCGCCGCCGAGCAGCCAGCGACTGGCGGAAGCCTTCGCGCAGACCAGCTTGAGACGGCGCGAGCGTCGGCTCTGATTGCGTCGCAGCGTCGCTCTGTCCACGCGGCGAGTCCGGAATGCTGAAGCCCATGGTTGCAAGTCGAAGGTCAAAGACGCCGCCTAGAGCGTGGAGTTGAGTATTTCACACTAGAGCGGAGTTGGGGCTTCCGGTCGCGTGCGAAATTGGGGAATGGCAGCACCAGGAGTTTTGGTGTTCGAAAGAGGCACCGCTCGGAAGAGGCTGTGTACTGTACCATACCATTTCTATCCGCGCACTGATCGATTGATTGACGGTGCGAGCGAGAATCTTCAATCACACATTGCACCTGATCTTATTCTACCGACCCACCAAAACCTGTCGAACCTGATCGTATGTACCCATCTCTACCGAGTGTATCCGTTCAGCGCAGATAAACTTCCATCGACAATGGCCCCCCGAGGTGGCGGCGCGCTGGACGCGCGCAAGGCGATTCTGCTGGGCATGGGGCTGCTGTTCGTGGCCTACTTCGTGGTGGTGAACGTGTTCTTCGACCTGTCGGCGCAGAGCCCGCACCTGGCGCAGCAGCCGGACGAGCCCAGGGAGTTCGCGGACGCCGTGGCGCAGGAGGAGGCGAAACTCGAGGAGAAGACGCCAGTTCCCGAGTCCACGCGCTCCTGGGAGCCCAAACCAGACCGCAAGTACGTGTGGCTGGACGTGGCTATTGACGGCGTCTACGTGGGGCGCGTCACCGCTGAGCTGTACGCCGACGTCGTGCCCAAAACGGTGGAGAACTTCCGAGCTCTGACCACGGGCGAGAAGGGCCCCGACTACTCGTTCAAGGGCAGCACGTGCCACCGCATTCTCAAGGGCTTCATCGTGCAATGCGGAGACTACACCAAGGGCAATGGCACAGGAGGACGCAGCATCTACGGCGGCAGATTCGACGATGAGCCGAATGGACTGAGACTCAAGCACTCCAAGAGGTACATCCTGCAGATGGCCAATGCCGGCCCCAATACCAACGGCAGCCAGTTCTGCTTTATGCTGGGTGCTGCGCCTCACCTGAATGGCAAGCATGTGGTGTTCGGGGAGGTCGTGGAAGGCTTCGAGGTTGTGGACAAGATGGAGGAAGCAGGGGTGGAGAGAGACGGCATCCCTCTGCAGCACAAGGTCAGCTTCACGGATGGCGGCGAGATTCTCTTCTAGATGGGATACGGGAGCAAGAATCACGGGAAGAACTGAGAGAGAAATCAAATGGCTCGAGTGCAGAACGCCGCAGAAATATATACTCTATTGCGTTTGATGGGAACATTGCTTGGTGTTTTGACTAACCTATGACAGGTGCCCCATGGCCTCTGCAAACTCGATGTAGTCGCGCATGGACTCCTTGGATGACACTGGAGTAATACCGCGAAGTGCTTCTTCGAAATGCCGCTTACAGACCTTCTCGGCCTCCAGAGACTCGCGCAACGCAAGCAATGCAGCCTCGCGACAAAGGTTCTACGATCAACAACAGCGTTAGAAAGTGATGAATAGATGAATACAAGTGCTGGCGCCCTACCTCGAGTTCAGCTCCACTGAAGAACGGCGTGCGCTTTGCCAGCTCCAACAAGTCGACGTCGTTGTGAAGTTGCATGGGACGCGAGTGAATTCGCAGAATATCAACACGATCAGGTTCAACGGGTAGATCGACGAACTGGATGCGATCAAACCGCCCAGGTCGCATGAGTGCTGCGTCGATGCAATCTGGTCGATTAGTTGCACCGATGACCAGGGGCCCTTCGGCTGACTCAACGCCGTCCATTTCGTTGAGCATTGTTGACAGCACGCGCATGGCAGTGGAGGAGCCGCCCTCTCCACCGCCTGATCCATCAAACTCACGCTTGGCAACCATGACATCGATCTCGTCAAAGAAGATGATGGCTGGAAGGGCCGCACGCGCATCGCGGAAAACTTGACGCACTGCAGCCTCTGCGTCACCGAAGAACGGCGAAAACACTTGGGCTGCAGACAGCGACAGGAACGTAGCGCCACTGGAGTGAGCAGCTGCACGGACGATTGAACTTTTACTGCAGCCAGGTGGGCCGTAGAGCAATACACCACGGGGTGGCTTGACTCCCAGTCGAGCAAACGTCTGCGGGAATTTAATAGGCCATTCGAGTGCCTGCTGCAACGCCAACTTGGTCTCAGCCTGACCGCCAATGCTATCCCAGCCTTGTCGCTCGAAGTCCTTACTGCAAAGTGTGTTAGTACCTAGCAGAAACAAACCGTAAACAATGGAAAGCAGTACTTACGTAAATCCGCTGGCACCTCGAAGAGCTGACGGTACAACGGTTTGCATCGCTTGCTCAAAGTCCTCCATGGTCACCTCAAATGCTTCGATCTTCTTCTGGTCGCGCTCACCGTGATGCGCAGGGGCAAAGGTACGTTTGCCTTCGCTACCTAATAGATAACCGAAATACTCCCGATCAGACTGCGGTAGGCTCGTGCTATCCGCGGTTTTATCGATATCATGCTGGTTGCTTTGCTTAGCCAGAAACCACAGTGGAATAATCGCAGTTGGATTGGCGTGCCAAGCACGACCAGCAACCACAGCGCCTAGGGTTGATGACGCGTTCTGCAGAGCACTCAGAGGCTCTACTCGGCGCTTCCAGTCTGCCCACCACTGTTCCAGTTCGCGATCCCGAGATAGAGCCACAAGCTGCCGCGTTGAAGCCACCATTGCAGCCTCGCGACACAAAGCAGCGATATCGGCACCAACGTATCCGACGGCTTTCGCAGCCAATCTATCGAGGAAGACATCACGTCGAGCCTCCGCATCATCCAGAGAATCGCTGCTCAGAGCGTAGGGCGTCCTGCTAAGATGAACCTTGAAAATCTTTTTGCGCAGCGCGGTGTTAGGTGGTGCCACATAGATTTCGCGATCGAATCGACCCGGCCGTCGCAGAGCTGGGTCAATGGAATTGGGTAGATTCGTGGCAGCGACAACGACGACATTCTCGCGCGATAGACCGCCTTCCACACCATCCAGCAGTGTCAGCAATTGAGCAACAATTCGGCTGTGGGCTGACGAGGCGCCTCCTCCAGCAGCCTCGCGCTTTGGGCAGAGGGCGTCCAGCTCATCGATGAAAATGACACTGGCAGCGTGACGTGCACTACGAGCATGAACCACAGCCGTCTCGAACGTTGACCGAAGAGCCTGCTCTGCATCTCCACGCCCGCTAGTCATAATCTCAGATCCGTTGATCACCTGTAGATTAAGATCCAAGGTCGCACCAGACGCATCTTGCACTTGACGGCACTCATGCACCACCGATCGGACAAGCAGAGTCTTGCCCACACCTGGCGGGCCACAGAGCAGCACGCCTTTAGGGAACTCCACACCCAAATCCGAGCGCAGTCGCGGGTGGGCAACCGGTAGCAGAATCAGCTCACGAAGCGCAGCACGCTCGTCCTCCATGCCTCCCACCTTCACTCCCTTTGTCTGCTGCTGGTCCGGCATCGCCATAATCGAGTCACCGCTTCCGTCCTTTCCATCTTCTCCACCAACTTCGCTCTGATCTGTCAACGTCACACGCGTGGCAGCCGTCACACGAGCGAACCCTCCAGCGGGATACGTCGACACCACACGGAAGGTCATCACCTCACGCCGCCCTTCCTCTTCTAGGCCTCTGCTCTCCGCCACGAGTCCGTTCAGCGTCGGAAGTCTTACTCTTGCTCCGGCACATACAATAAAGTTGCGCTGCAGTGTCTGCTGTAGCAAAGCGCGGGTGTCTGGGTCGCGCAGCCGTTGGTGCTCAAGCTGAGACTTGGACGAGGGGATCAGCTCCAGCGTCGCGGCCACAGCGGTGCGTACGGCTGCACGAGAGATCCACTGCAGCCCATAGCTGTTTCCAGTATTGATATCAGTTGCCTCGCTGTTGTGAACAAGCAGAGACGACTGCAACTCCTTAAAAGCCCGTGAATCCCGTCGCAGTGTCACGGACGCGTCCGCCAGGGGCTCTTGGGTGGCAAAGGAGCCGGCTGCTGAGCTCAGCGCAACGCGACAAACGGCGAAAAGACCCTCGCCAATGTTGCAGAGCGCGTATTGACCAGATCCGCGAGGACGCGAGCGCAGAGCCGTCGGGGAGACGCGGCAGCGGCACGTGAAGTTGACGCCGGCGACAGCATGGCCATCGATTCGCATTTTTGGTCAAATGGGTCCAGCAAATACCGCAGTCAAAACTTTTGACACATTTAATGTGCTTTTTGGTCCCGATTGACATGTGAGCGCCATAAATAACGACACGCAGACTTCCACAAATAATTCACAACTTGTGGATGGGAAGTGCAGTGTAGTGCTGAGATCGGCGGCTCAAAACCTGGCGTCGATTCAAGGATAGTAGATTGTTCATTACGCTCTTGGCAGTGAGTGGTGTTACATCCCCGCAGCGAATTTTTCGTCATGCCGTTTGTTCCAGTACTTGAAGTACTCGGACCATCGCGCTCTACTTGCTTCAGTCTTGGCAGCGGCGTGGTGCTCCATGTAGACGAAGAGATTGAACGGATCTACTTTCTTCGGGTAGAGCTGCTCGTTGGTCCCACCGTTCAGGAACAACTGTGCGTTGCGGAAATCCTTGTCCTTCATGGCCCTCCACTTCAGTTTTAACTTGGAGACCAACTTGGTGATGGCCTCTTTCCTCAATGTGCGCGCCGACCTTCTCCTCGCCGTCGTCACCAGCACCCTTGTCAATTGTATTGGTTCTCAGGTTTCGCTTGTTGCCAGTAGCCAGCCTGGCATTGATCGATTCGATCGATTGAACCGCGACGCTCGTCTCCTCCGAAGCTTTTGCTTCCACCGCGGCGAAGATGATGGCCACGACCATGACCAGGAAGCACAAAGACTGTTTACATGTTAGTATTGTTCTTGGTAAGCACTGGCGTGGTAGGTTTTCAGCGAATTCTGGAATGACGGGTGGCCGGCCAAGCTACGGAGCACGACGTGCCTTTCAAAACTGTATTCCCGCCGCATATGATTACTGTTGGTTTTGGATTTTGAAAGAAGCGGCCCAGGGGCATGTGCCGTCGTGCGTTGACTTTCTTTTTTCACTACTGCATTTAAGCAGGGCACTTGTTGCTGCACCCGTCCACCATATGGAAGACTGGGCTGTGATGAGACTATTGTACCCGTTTGCGCCCGACCACGACCGTCAAGAACCGACCAAAACTGAAGCAAGTTGTATACCCCCAGACCCCACCACACTCCATGTATAGACCGGTTAGATGAAGAATGTTCGAGAAGGCCCAATGCCGACCACCAAAGCGACTAAGCACTTGTTACTTGATGTTAAAGAGGGTAGGACACTCTCACGTTGGCTCTCGCCTGTGGACTTAGCAACGGCACTTCGAGGGGCGCCGCTGCGCGACCTGCCCCACCCCCTCGAGCCTTACGCTAAGTCCTCGGCTCGGCCAGGCGAGGTATCTGGATTAGATAGAAACTCCTACTTAGGCATACCTTCCGGCCCACGCGCCGAACATTGCAGACCTATGCTTTGCTTCGGTTGCAAATGGTCTCTCTGAGGCCTCTAAGTGAAATGACTAAGTGCATAGCTTACGGGGAGCGAATTTTCGAACAGTACAGGACACTACACACCTCGGACAGTCCATTACATTGTTTTTTCCATCGTTCTCTTACGTTAACTCCAACCAACAGCTCGCAAGATTCTTGTGGCCACGCCACGAGCTGTAGTCTTGTACAGGTAAACAACTTGAGCGCATGCGTTGACCTAGCCAAGCAAACAACAAACATCACCACCGGTACCCGACTGAGAACACCGTCACCCGTCACCGTATCCGACTGCCCGACTGGAAGCTTATTTTCCCCGACTGATACCGCTGTACCCGACTGACGATAGCCATAGCGAGCCCCGCCCTCGAACTGATCCCAAACGCTGAAGTCTCACGCATTCTGCTTGCGCTCTTTCGCTTGTTCTCCTGGTAAAGCTGTTTGAAAGCGGAGCAGGAAGTGCCTTCTGTCTCCGCCGGTTAAAGCTGGCCGCTGCGCGTACAGACACGAGTATGAATACACCAAGTAATGCATAGATCTCCCCCGAACAGTTACTTGCCTGACAGGACTGAGAGGTGGCCTGATGCTCGTGCATCTCTTCAAACGCGCGCAGGGAGGAAGGGGAGGGGCTCTGACGCCTTTTGTGTTGCGTCGACCGCAGTCTTGCAGCCAGCCAGGGAGCGCTCCATGTCATCGTCGCCACGAGGTGTCGCTGCAGCACCACTAGGCGCTACCGGTAGTCGTCGACATCATGCGCATGCTTGTACGGCCAACAGGGCGACCGCGCGGCGGGGGGGGATTCATGCGTGTGGCGGCTCGCCGCAGTCTTACGAATGAATGGTTGAAAGTCGAAAGTATACCGCGTATACGAAGTTCGGATGGAGGTCAGAAGCGTGGTTAGGTTATTGGTGCAGCAGAAGATATATAAAGGCATTCAACGCCATTTCCACCTACCTCGAGCTGGACTGGCGTCGTTCAACTAACAAGGAGGATGAAGCGAAAGATAGCAATGTTTCTGACCCCTTCGCAACTGTATACACGCTTTGTTGTTTATCCCGTACTGAGATTATACCAACGATAGTCACTACCGTCAAGGGCCCTTATAATACATGTAAATGCATCAATAGGGAAACATGATTCATTTCATCTTGGGAGAGAACGTTGGGTGTTTCTGGGGAGTGCGCTACCGGAGACCAACTTGGTCTGACCAGAGAGCGAAGTCGCCGACACAGCTGCCAGGAGAGTGGCGATGGCCACAAGTAGTGCGAATCCGCGCATTGACTTCCTATAGTAGCGCTCTCTACTGAGGTGGTACCGCGTCTGGGGCAAATTCTGGAATGACTACACGGCGACTTTTGCTCGTGCGGCACCACACGCGGTCGGACCGCCGCACTACAGACAACGACTTACAAAGCCGGCATGCTTAATGCCATCCTCCTATATAAAAACAACGATAAATTCCCTCCCGTCAAATCTGTAAACTGTCATAAAACACACGGTGTGTTGCATAAAGTACACAAGAAAGCATATAAAGTACACAAAACCAGATGGTATACAAAGATGAAGTCATTTGATTGAATCTGATTGGCTGGTTTGCTCATGTTAAGCTTTGCTTGACTTCGTCTGCCGGCTTTTTGTGTCTGCCGGCTTTGTAAGTCGTCTGTATGCATGGTTTTTAAACAGATGGGTCAAGGTAACAATATGGGATTTGATTCTGGATTTGCCGATCATTTTGTACCGTACAGATGTAGAGGAATTTCCATAAATCAGTGATTTTCACTGAGATTTGACAAAATGATTGTGACAGTTTGCCTGAATTCACTGACGCAGGTATAGTAGTATAGTACTGGCACGTCCATACAATTTTCAAGTCAAATTTGGAACTATAGTAATACTACAAATAGTACACGTAGGTAGCGTGTTACCTACAAAAATACTATATAAAATTGTGGTTATACTTTTTGCACTATACAACTTGTCTGTTATTCTGCACTAATATTGAAGCAACTTTATTCGTTGGTCGTCTTGAGGACTCAACAAAATACAAGGGTCTAAGCTTCTCCACTATTGTTTTGCATCTGCCCTTCCGCCGACATAACCCAGCTTTTTCGCGATAGGACAAAGTGTATAAGCTCAACGGACCCAAGAGATGGTGCATTCCCTAAAATAAAATTGTCATTTGGTTTCCATGCATCCATACCGCAATTCGCATGTAGAGAGCTGCACCCTATGTTCACCCCGGTAATGTTGATCTGTATTCGTACTTAAAAAGTATCATATACAAAATTCAACATGTTGTATAAGTCACAACTGTAATATTGTGGTTATATCTTATTTGCCGGGTATAATAATTGGTCTGATTGGATAAAAATATGTAGATCGCTTCATATGATTGGTCGATGTAGGTGCATCTCATAAGCGGGTGCAGCTCTCAACATGCGAATTGCGGTAATAGCTTTAGATAAAATAGGTTATCTTCAATAGACCAAGGTTATGTGAAGCCAAGTACCCAGTCCTATTAAAGTGACAAAGTAGCAATAGGATAGCCTTGCGGAATACCAACCGCTCCAACCTCCTCTACAGGTCCTTCGTCCACGGACCCTGCAAACTCAGGAATGAGCCGCGTTCGAGTAAGAGATTCTGATGTGAGATCTTCCTTCATTAATTCCTGTATCTTAATTTCTGAGTCTAGAATCTTCTAAATAGTTAAAACCCAACTTTAACGGGAGGCTTCATCTGATCGACTTGAAATGATCGGGTTTGGGCTGCGCTAGCAGCTTTACTGCTATCCCAGAATAAATGTAGTTTGGAAATAGAGACATTTTACCAAAAAAATAAATGCAGTTCGTGTAAACATCTCGTTGAGGATGATATTATACCGTGTTGCAGCAACTTGCGCATGCTCATAACAGCAAATATTGTTCGTACTGGTGCACGCATTTATTTCATATTGCGCAAAAAATGCGATGCCCAGTTAATTATTTCAGATAGAATACCAGTGGTTATTTGGGCTTTATTAGCCCTGATCGTTAGCAAATAGCTTCGCGAACTACTTGGAAAAAGAGCTACGAAACAGCGGGTTACAGTTATGCAATTGTAAATATTGCGATAAGGTGACTACTACTAGTATATTGACGACTCATAGAGTAACGGATGTCCACCTGCAAACATTGTGCGCGCCGCAAAGGTTTTCGGTTCATATTAGTTTAGTATGTTGGCTCCCAACGGTACTCAGTTCTCGCAAGTTTCTTACCGCGGCAACTCTGCTCAGTCGTGAAGGGGGGAATCATATCAACGCATACTTAAGTACTTCAGTAGACTACAGCCTTCGCCGTGGTGTCTTTCTCCTTCGCATCGACTCGCGGCTTACGCAACGAGATATTGCAACAACCCCTCGGTTCACAACGGAATAACATAGCAATCTAAAGGCTGCACAAATACTACTGTATTATTACTATTTACCAAAGCACTGAGTCAGTAGTTTCAAGCTATCACAACATTTTGTCAAATCTCAGTGAAAATCACTGATTTATGGAAACTCCTCTACAGATGTACCATTTCCCAGGCATACACGCCCCAAACTGCTCTCAGCCACTCACTACAATGTTGTGCAGTGGATGACTAAGTCTCAGCTAGTTTCGACCACTTTTGGTGTTGTTCGTGCAGGGTACAGTAGTGCTCGGGCACCGATGTATGCAACATCTGAGGTCATATGCATTTTACCAGTCTGTTCACTTTGCCTGGGACGGGTGATGGGCAGATATGCAAGTAGCCTTTTTCATGCAATTCGCCTATTACTGTAGCCTGAAAATAAAAATTGTGTGGCGCCACACAGCATGGAATTAGAGCTAGCCAACGAGCCATTTTGGGAAACTTTTCAACGGGCCTGGGAAATGGTGTAGTGGCATGATGCAAGTAGGATGCCACTACCATCCTACTTACACTTTGAGAACTCTACATTAATAAAAAATGTAGAGTTCTCGAACTGTCTTGAGAATTTTTTCTCAAGATACAATTCTATCTGACGTCTTTCATCCCAGACGAGTATTATTTTCACCTTTATTACTGTCAGAACACCAACAATGAAAGTGAAAATCCACTGAGTCCGAAATCCGAAACTAGTTCACATGGGTGACGAGAATTATAGTATAGTGTATTCACAATGTGTCGCAGAGCTTCCTCAACCTTTATTACATGTAGAACTACGGTACACGTATATGTACGTATTCTATTGTACTAGGGCACTGTACCGCGATGAGGCGTGTGTTTGCTGACCGTGCTTGCATGTCACCTCTCCTCTTCATTGTCTGACTACTGCACTACATGCAGCCACTTGCAGGCTTTAAATGTCAAATTTTGAAGCACCCAAAATAACACGCTTTAGTTATTGATGTGAAACGATGGTGCGAGACTTCCTCACTATTTTTTAAAGCTACGCCTTACGTGAACTTTTGAGATGGCTCGTCGTTCATGCCCTAAATTCCTGTAGACACGGTTTTGATTCTACATGTACAGGCGTCCCCGGCCTATTCGCCACAGTGGTACTTATGATGTTTGCGAATCAACAAGATTCACGCGGTCTGAACATAAATGAGTATGTACTGACTTACTTCAAGCTTAGCTCAAGAATACGGTGGAGGTATTCCCGCAACGTGCCACTTGTCGCAGTAGGTCTCGCTGTACACTCATCTAAATCAATATGCTTGCAGAAGTAGCGCGCAAATCTTGAGAGCTTGTTGTACTTCCTGTGCGAGGTACATAAAAATATACAGCCGGGACTAGCCCGGGGACGCCTGTATTCAGTTTGGAAGCCTGATCATGCTGTTTCTTGGACCGCATGATAACGTACCAGACGTAAGGGGGTGAGTTATAGACCCGCCAACTTGCCGGGTTTGTGCCGACCGGATACTGTACACCGAAGTTACCGTACAGCAGTTAGTTTGGTAGTCAAAACTTTGTGGCAGCTACATGTAATGACCGAAAGAAAGCAGTTTCCCAAGGACCACTGCTTGCCCAGAAAAATAGCACTCGTTTGAAGTCTTGAAGCTAGCAGATTGTGAGTATGTATCTTTAGTATGAACTGTTTTGTATCTTCCTTCATTCTAACCATCGCTGCTTCAAACATTTCTAATTGAATCCCTTCGTGTACAGTAAACAATCGCTGAAGGATTTCGTTTTTCTTTGTTTTTGTATACAGTAATTTGCCTCAATAGCGCAGTCGTGGCATCGAATACCCTGCTGAAACGAGTATCTGTGCACACCCCAAATCCAGCCAATGAGAGTTCAGCTAGACTCTCCTATTCAATTAGCTTAGAGAATGTATAAATGTAGCCATTGCACTATTGAGGCAAATTACTGTATATGCATGTACATAGTAGTACGTTCTAATGGTTAAGTTATACGGGGATAGGAAGCAACGTTTCTACTGCTATCGCAGACCAAATCGGATTATATCCGATCAAGCGCATTTCAGTTTTTTTTACCACGTATTCATTCAAGGTATCTACCGTAGCTGAAGGCGCTGCGTAGAAATAGCTCGACGAGTATTTGAGTATTCGAGTAAGGTAGGTCCCGGAGAGTTACCGAAAGCGCAGAGAAGGTAAACGTGAGTTGAACGTCATGGTAAAACAACCACGTACTTCCTGTGGGAACAGCCCGAACATGTTAGCGATAAGCTGTACTTCGTTAAGAGCTGTGGCTTTTGTGTGTACCAAGCAGTACCATGGCCAGACGATCAACAGTGCACCATTAGTACTAGCATAATATGCTAAGCATATAATATGCAGGGCTGTGGAAATTTAGATTGTTTATTGATTGACGGCTCAGATCTGGAGCAATCAATTATTGCAATCTCGACAATCTCAAAAACAAAAGATTGCAATCTAAGTTCTCGCTTGTACTTCCTCTGCTAGGTTCATATTTTTACTCGCTTGGCGGTGCTATTGCCCTAAGACCTTTGCTTATTTGATTACATTGTTGTTAACCTTCAAAAACCTTGGCAAAATGCAATGTTGGGTTTTATATTCATCATGTTGAGCGTGTACCCCATCCAGGCCCCTCGAATCCGCATTTCGAAGTAGCAGAAGACGCAGAAAGGCTTTTTAGGAGCTAGGATCGGTTCCATGGGCTTGGTGTTGCATATTGCTCTACCGGATCACTGGCAAAGACTCAAAATGAGTATAGGAACAATATGGGAACGGGATTGCCGATTGAGATCACGGAACAATCCATTATTGTGATGGACAATCTTGGCAATATTACAATCGCAATCATATTTTCCACAGCCCTACCGGTACTAGCATATTATTAACAATCGCTTCGGAATACAACTGTAGCTTTCCAGCCTCCCGGTAAGCTGAACCATTAGAAATTTTGCGCTAGAAAATATTGTGCTTTGCAGTTATTTTGCCGACCATTTTAGACGCTAAATATGGCAAAGCCTCTAAATATGTGTGAAAGAAGATACACGACCTGCTAAAATTATGCATAAAATCCACCTCCTCATATATATATATCGACTTGGGAGGGCCTGTCAGCAGCCATGCATTGGCCCCGTACACCACCGTTCATGGTCCCCAGCACATCCACCCTCTTATGCATAATTGCCGTGTGTGTAGGTGCTTGTGGATAAAAACCGACAGAATTGCAGCTGCACAGCCACAATTGCACTTTTGAAAGTGCAATTGTGGCGCTTTTAGCGTAATTCTAGGCCTCCACCCATTTATGCACCTCGATTTATCGTAATTTAAGATTTGTAAACCTAGCAGGTGGTCGTTATAAATACAGCAAATCTCGCCTCATATTGCCAAATCATTGCAAAGCAAAATACTGGGTAGCGATATAAATAAAACAAACAAATTGAAGAATTTTCACGTTAAGCTTACCTTGCAGCACTCGGTGGAAGCCGAGATATTGGGCGGTGAACACCTTCGCTGCATGTCATTGGCTATCCGAACCTTATTTTACCACTTGGCAAACATCCAGTTACTGAAGAGCTGTAGTGTTGTTGTGTACTTCATGTACGTTGCACTAAGTTCGAATATCAGGACACCGCTGTTTCCCCACACACGACACATTACATTACATATCTTCCTAGAGCTGCAAATCCCTCACTAAATCTTACCTAAAACAACGAAGCAAAGTGCACTTATGGGAACGTAGCTAGTGAATCATACTCTGCGTTGGTCCTTCGAGCCCCTAAGAGTGTTTATAAGATAGATATTCGTAAGTTAGTTACCAAGTGCTTTACCACGCAACTTGCAGCGCAAAACTCGCGTCGTAAACGACTTACCGGGAAGGCTACAGTTGACTCCCGAACCCGTTGTTAATAGTCAGCATTCGCCTACATCATCCTATAAGGTAGCTTCACAGGATCGAAGACTTCAAAAGAGCTATCCTGTAGTGCCCAATCGACAGAACCTCGCAGATATGGAAATATAAAGCTAAATTGCCACTCCTACGAAAAACTTTACATTAGCTGTTCTACCCAACTTTTCGGTGCTTCTCGATCGATATCGTATATGCAATATGCATTGATAGCTTTACAATACTCCATGCGGACAAATTCACGTTTTTTGAAACGCGCATAGGAACCTGGTTTTCTAAGTCACTATCCGATTCAATGCGGATATGAGTGGACGATAGGATCTGTATTGGCAGGATCTAAGGGAAGCAAGTGCACTCAGTGTTCTGCAAGTGACTAACGTCGTGTTTTGTTAACACCAGAAGAACGCTACATATCTTGTTAGAAATGTGGTGCTCGATGGTCGCTGAGTCGATAAAAGGCATGCAATCATCGAAACTTAGCACCACCTAACGTTAAATATGCACACTCCTTTTCAGAAAAACAAAAGCGATGATCGTAGCAAGCATGGCGATATTGAAGTGGTTGCTATCTATTCCCATTCGCTAATAATCAAACAGCTCTCTCCCATTCGTCGAAATCGACCCCATATTTTCAGCCAATCGCAGTTGCGACTTCTCCGCCGCTCATTTTCAAGGGGGACCCAGACCAGCGGAACGCTACTACCAAAGCCCAGGAGCTCCGACCCGACATGCGCGCCGCCAGTTTCCTCGCTCGTCGCATGGCCGCCGCCTCGGGCCGTCGCGCCATGTCCTCGGCGCACGGCCACGGCCACAACTACCCGCACGGCATGCACTTCCACGTGAGCCCCGTGCACAAGAACCTGGCGCTGGCCTACGGCACCATGCTCTGGCTCTGGGTCTTCTGGCGGGCAAAACAGGACGGCCGCGTCGTGCTGGTGCGTGCATCCTAGCGTTATATAGTTACTGCAATAATTATTTATTAACTTGTTAATGCGTTTGTGTGTTTGTGTGCATTGTGCAGGGCCTGGAGCACCCGTGGGACCACGGCCACGGCCACGGCCACCACGAGGCGCACTCGGAGGCGGCGCCCAAGGGCTACGCGCTGGAGAACGGCAAGATCAAGTACGAGCGCTCGGAAATCGGCGCGCTGCCGATGCCCGTGGAGATTGACGGCGAGGAGGAGAGCGAGGACTCGGCTGACGACGACGTCATGGACGACCTCCACGACGCTGACGAGGAGTAATCGCGCTTGGATCTACACACAGCAGAACAGGTTCTTGCCAGCGGAGACGCGGCTATTCATAAAGTGCTAGCTGCCGAAGGCTGCTGGGTCGTTTTATTCGCTGGAGAGAAGCCTGGTGAAAGGACAATAAAACCCGACAAAAATGAACGAAAGGGTGGATTGACACTGTACCTGGAGAGCTGTAGAGAAAACATCAGAGATACGGGCGCGGCGAACAGAAACTTAAACAGCATTGTTTTATGTGCATACAGGGGAGGAATCTGTGGAAATCCTTCGGAGGATTTACATGGTCAATAGTTTGGAATGGAGATCTTCGAGATCTTCGGTCGTTCGGTACGTCATTTCTGACGCTCTTGCCGTGAACCGCTTGTGCAGATTCCGGAAGCTGCCGCGAGTTGTCACCTTGGACCGCTTGAACTGGCGCGAGTCTTCTTCCAATGCTGCCTGAATACTGTCCATCTGCAAAAAGGCCTCGTGGAGGGCCGAAATGTGCTCTGCCGTGCGCTTCAATGGGGAGATAGCCCGCTCTGGCATGTCATCTAGAAATGAGACTTGTGATACGTATTCCTGGAACTGCTGGGTGCGCTGGTCCAGCGCCTTCTGCTCGAGCTCCAAACTTTGGTTCGATGCTGTGAGCTCCCGTAGCTTCAGTCGCAGAGCTTCGAGCTGTGCATCCAAACGGCGTTCCTCCCTCTCCTCATTCGACAGCGAGGCATCCTCCTCCTCTTCTGGTACTGCTGCCTTCTCTCCTCCATTCTCCTTGTGCCTCTCAGCTCGAATCTGAGCCACTTCGTCCGCTAGAGCCTCCGGCACCGACACAATGTTGCGCCGCACATACAGCTCGAACTTGTCGAAATTCTTCTCGAATGCACGATGAACCTTGGACATGTACTTCCCAGAGCCCTGCACCACACACAATTGAGTCACAAACATTGATAATTGGGCCTCCCACAGCTTTGTAGTATTGAACTCTCTTCCCCACCTTGGCGACAGCATTCAGCTGCCTTGCCTGCTTCTTCTTGCTGCCTGTCGACTCCAGTTTCTGAAGTATTCAACGTATCACGCTATTAGCATGAGTGTTACCCGTTGAAGCTGCTGGACTGAGCATCTCCCACCTGGTGCAGAGCATTTTCCACCTCGCCTGTGACATCGACCACACTTTCGGAGATATTCTTGGCCACTGCGACGCACCCAATAACGGGAGAGATAGCACCGTTAAGACCACAAAAGAAAGGAAATATCAGTGGTACTGAAGATAGGGGGCGAGGATCCCTGGGGGGACGACGTACGGTCTGGCAAGAAGCCCGCCAAGATGCCAGTCTCCGCCTCGGCCATGCTGCTCTAGCGCGACTGGAATTTGAAAAATAGTTGGTGTACGCAACACAACGAGAACTCTTTTTACCTATGGAAGATTTACAGGGTTTCAGCCAATGAACGCGGCAGTCGTTACTTTTCCGCTTGGTACGACCTGCTCCGTCTACTTCAGTTTCCGTCTCCCGTCCAGCGGTTGCAGTCTCTGATACGGCCGATGCTGTCAGCGGTGCTCAAGCGCGTCGCTCCTCACGCGGAGGCGGCAAGTCGCTGCTTCTCCTCGCAACCCTCCAAGGTGTGGGAGCTTTTCCCCGCGAGTACGGCAGAGTGTTATTTTTTCAGATGGCATGGCCAGTTTGTAGTGGTGGTCTGACTTTAGACCTTTCTCCCCGTTGATGTGCAGCAGAGCCCGCAGCAGCAAAGCCCCAGGCGCCGCAGTACATGATGAACATGCGGGACAACCTGGAGTTCGCTCTGGAGCGCATGCGTCTCACTGAAGGGCCTGTGGCTCTGCAGCTGCTTAATCGCAATGCGCGTCAACCCAGAAAGGTGCGTTCCGGTGTAAAGACGGAAGATCTGTAAAATGGAGGAGTCTGATGTGGATGCTGGCGACGTGTGCAGGCAAACCATGGCAAGCGGCCGTGCTCTCACTACCGCAGACGGTTAAAACGTCTTGGTCGCAAGTAGACGTCGCCCTTACGACGACAACGATGGCTGAGGAGCGCTGGATGCAGAGGTTTTATTGCTAGGTTTACAGAGCGACAGGATGCATAATAGACTGCAAAGATAAGCTGTGGTGTTTGCCACAGGTTGCAACGGAGTGGCTCGGGACGATATTGTGTCCAAGCAATGGATTTCTACTTGATATCGGGGATGCCCTTGACGATGCTGTCACCTGTCAGCTCGTACATGTGAGCGATCTCATTCTTGAAGCGCCTTTGAGCGTCGGCTCGGCGGAGCTTGAATGTGGGCGTTAGAAGCTCGTTGTCGACTGTAAAAAGCTCGTGGTGCAGATAGATCTCACGCACACGCTCAAATCCTGCAAGTTTTGCGCGTTTCGAGGCCTCCTCGATCTCTTTCTTCACGGTTCCCCTGATCGAGTCGTGATCGCAAAGCTCTCGGAAACTTGCGTTCAGCAAGCCATTAGCCTTTGCAACCAAGCGAATAACTGCTTCATCAGGAACAACGATCGCCACGACGTGCGAATGGAAGCTATCGCCATCCACGAAGATTTGCCCGATGCTCGGACACGTGACGAGAACATTTTCGATCTTTTCCGGAGCCACGTACTCACCTTGGGACAACTTGAAAATGTTCTTCTTGCGGTCGATAATGCGCAGCTGACCCAACGGGGACCACAGGCCGATGTCTCCGGTGTGCAGCCACCCACTAGCATCCATGGCTTCAGCTGTCTTGTCTGGCTGCTTGTAGTAACCTTTGAAGACGAGCGGTCCTCGGACACAGATCTCCCCGCGCCCCATGCAGGGAACAGCAGCAGACCCCTCTCCATGCGATCGATCCATCACAAGGTACCCCATGTCGGGAACGGACTCGAGACGGATCTCCGCGGCCGTGTTTGGAGTGCCAACGAAACCCGTGGACAGATCGTGGAATGGCGTAGCAGTAACTCCACCGCAAGTCTCAGTTTGCCCATATCCCTCGACAACAGTGGCCAAGAGGGCAATTCTGCAAAAGTCGAGGACTTCGGGGGCTAGTGGCGCTGATCCAGAGATAATAAACTCACATCGATCGAGTCCAAGCCCCGCTCGGATCTTGCGGAACAGCAAGCGGTCCCAGAACGCGTGGCGGGCGATTCCGCGTCTCCGCAATCGGCGAATCTTCGTACGCACTCCAGTGGTGAACAGGAAGGCCACGGACTTCTTCCCATTCAGCATCTTGGCGGTGATCGAGTCGTAAATCCGATTGAGTAAGCGAGGGACGGTGACGAACACGGTCGGTCGCAGTGCCTTGATGTCGTCAACGAGTTTCAGGGGGTTGTTTTGCGAGAAGCCTATCCGACTTCCCACGCTGAACGAATGCACGTGTGATGTGCGCTCGAGAATGTGCGCCAGGGGAAGATACGACAAGTACACACTGCCGGAAGAGAACGCGTGGCCACCCGCGATGCAGAAGTCTTTAACAGCAGCGCACCCTGATAGGATTCCAGCGTGAGTGAGCATAACTCCCTTCGGATCGCCCGTGGTTCCACTCGTGTACATGATGGTAGCCATGTCATCTCCAGTCGGCGGCTCGGCAGGCATGGGGTGCTTGTGTCCTTCGGACTCGACGATCTCCAAATGCAACACGTTGAGACCAGCTCCGCTAGCATCGCACTCGGCTTCAAATTGTGCGTCGCCCGTTGACCCGCCCGAAATGATGACAGTTTTCAGGTACGGACAGTTGGAAGAAATCTGAGTGAGCTTGGGCAGCTCTGCAGCTGTGCAGACGATAGTCGAAATCTCTGTCTGGTTCAAAATGTACTGCGTTGAGTCAGCCCCCAACGTGTCGTACAGTGCCACGACAACCGCGCTGAATGAATACGCTGCATACTCCACAACCACCCAGTCAATCGAGTTCTTCATGTACACAGCCAACATTCGGTCGCTTTCGTCATCCCCCACACGCGGCAACAGGTCTAAGTGCATCATACCCGCACCGGCATTGGCAATTCGAGTAGCGACTTGTTCGTACGTGAGCCACGTGAACGGTTGCGCGACACCGTCAACAAGAGGCTGTACACCGAGGCACTGGAGTGCGGGGTAGCTCTCAGCAGTGCGGATGAAGTTGTGATATAAGCTGGGTGCTTCTGGCCTCGTTAGACCCACGAAAGGATCGTCTGGATTAGCCGGGTCTTGCAGGATAGCGTCTCGTGGTTGTGCCAGAGAGCGATAGATAGGTCCCGCTGCGTCTGTCTCGGTCCCCTGCAACACCTTGGAATACCCCAAAGGTGTTGGCATAGTGGTCTTAACGTGTACCTAGGCGCGGCAAAGAGAACGGAATCTGAATGGGGTTAGTACCGCATAAGGTGCACGCAGACTCGAGGCTGTCACTAGGTCAAATTTAGCAACGCAATCAGAACTCCATGTCATGGCATGTGGCTTGAAGACCCCACTTGGTCTATATATGTGCATTGATACACAGTCTAGGAACCACGTCCAAGTCCTCTAGATCTTGGCGGGTTTTCGGTCCTTGGAGTTGATCTGCATCGTCACCGGTCCATCGTTCACCTACAGTTACCCACGACGACGTCAGCAACTAGGCCAAGAGCAAAGCATAACGGACACCCGCTTGCAGAGATTTCGTACAATGGACACTTCCATGTAGGCACCGAAGACACCCTCCGCCACCTTCTCGGGTACGTGCTCACGACGCACACGGTCGCAGAATGCGTCGTAGAACTCCTTTGCCGGCCCAGGACCCACTAAAATGATACGAATACACCAAACACAATGCATCAAGCAATCAGCATCTCCACCCAACAGAGCAACTGAGAAGTCGACGACGTACTGGCGAGGTGGAAGTCGGGCTTGTTGCCTGCGAACTGGCCGTGCAGCGTGAACTGGCTCACCACCAGCACTTCGTAGCCATTGCTCTTCAGCGACGTCTTCCACGCGCGGTCCGACTCGTCAGGCCACAGATGAGCGTTCTTAAACAGCGTAAGCATATAGCCACACGGAGGCATTGCATTGGGGTTAGTAAGCGGATAGTTTAGTGGTCGGCCATGTTGTGACACAGTGCGATTCTGTACCAGCAGGCGGCGGCAGCACCACTCTGCGTCGTCCTCCGTGTCGTCGTGTCCGATTCCCACGAAGCACAGCAGTCCCTTGCCAATCTCGCCCACCACTTTTCCCTCCACGCGCACGGAGGCGCTGGTCACGCGCTGCATGAGCACCTTCATCTTTGGCCCAAGAGCTCCAAATCCCGAATGACGTCAGGCCGCTTTTTCCACCAATCATGGTTTTGATCAGGATATTTCACCAATCAGCGATGGTATCCACAACGTTTTTCGTCCAATGGTGCTTGCTGACCTTTAATGCACCGGCGACTACTAGCGAGCATGGCGCCGCGCGAGGTGCTGCTGTTCGGGCTGTCGGCGAACCCGCCGACGGGCGCCGCCGGCCACATGGGCGTGGTGAGGCACTGTCGCCCCATGTTTGACGAGATCTGGCTGCTGCCCGTGTACCAGCACATCTACTCGAGCAAGAGGCAGCTCGCGCCCTTCGAGCACCGCGTGGAGATGTGTCGCTTGGTGCTGGAGTCGCTCCAGCGAGCAGACGACGCCGGCGCAGCGCTGAGGGTGGTGCAGGAGGAGCGCGAGATGTTCGAGCGCGCGGCTGCAGCTAGCGACAATGCAGAGCAGCTCCGGCTCGGCAGCATCGACCTGGTGCTCTACCTGCGGGACAAGTACCGGGACACGAGCTTCACGATGCTGCTGGGCGGCGACACGTACGCGGATCTATTGGCTGGCAAGTGGAAGCGCGGGGATGAGCTCATGCAACTGGTCAAGCTGCTGGTGGTGGATCGCAAGGGCGTCGAGTCGCCGTGGCGAGACAAGCAGGAACAGGAGCAGGAGCAGGAGAGGGTCAAGTACCTGCACGTGCCCGAGCTCAGTGACGTGTCGTCCACGAAGGTGCGCGCGACCGCAGATCGCACTGAGCTGGAGCAGCACCTGGATCCGGCGGTGCTGAACTATATCGTCGAGCACAAGCTCTACGCGTTCGCCGCTGCGGAGTAAGCAAGATAGAGAGAGTCATGGGAAGTTAATAGAAAGAAGCGTACGTCGATTTTTGGGCGAGCTCTGTCTGTCCCGGGTGCATCCTCCCGGCAATGCGATCTTCTCCATCTAGCGCCGGCAGCGAGCCGCTTCCTCTCTTATCTGGCAGCGCGTCACATACAGCATCGGCAGCAGGTCAGGACAGTCCAGTCGACACCTCCATACACACCCAGCAGCAGCCGTCTGTCTACCTGGTTGCTGTCCGCGTGAAGCACTGGATCCTCGTGCCCCCCTGGCTGAGCGAGCACTGGATGATCTCCCTCTTGAGCCCGCACTTGGCGCTCTGCTCGTCGATCTCCCGCTCTGTGTCCTTGTCATAGCCGAAGCTCGAGCACATGAGGAACACGCCGCTGGGCGACAGCAACCTGTCCACAGTCCAGAAGAGCAGCGGCACCACCTCGCGCGCGTAGATGACGTCCGAGCCGACGATCAGCTCTGTGGCGTGCTTGCTGCCCGCCGGGCCGGTCTGCAACCTCTCGAGCGCCTCGATCTCCTTGGCACCGTCGGGTCCCCAGCGCAGACTCTGCGTGAGGCACGTGGCCTGCGCGCGCTCCTGCTGGCCGGTGTTGTGCTCGATGACCTTGAGCACGCCCGGGTCGTGGTCCGTGAAGATGACGGTGGCGTCGGGCCGCAGCTGGGCCACGGCCAGACCCGTGAGCCCGCAGCCGGCGCCCAGCTCCACCACGTTGCCGCTCGGGATGGCGTCGCGGTGCGCGGCCAGGTACTCGCAGAGCGCGGGCGCCGCGGGCCACACGTAGTGGCCGGACTGCAGCGCGCCGGGCTCCTCCTTGGCGTACGTGAGCAGCACCGACACGTCGTTGTTGGCGCCGTACTCGTAGCGGCACGTGACCTTCTCCAGACACGCGTCGAACATGAAGCCCACGTCCGTGAGCAGTCCCTCCGTGCCGTCCTCCATGTCCAAGGTCTCCATCCTGGCCGCAGCGGTAGCTTAGCTTTTCGATTGTGGGGACCAGTGGTGTGTCCGTGCAAGATGATTGTCCCTAGCTGCTTGATTGCGTATGTGAAGTCAAATCGGGTAGGCACACCAAATAACTACCAAAACCCATATAATAGACCATATTATAGTCCATATATGTTCGCCACACCATGGTATTTTTGGCGGGAATCATCCAAAAGTTCAGAAAGACCGCGCGCAATAACATAACATAGCTTCAGTCAGTGACTGGCTCAGTGCTCAAGTGGTCATCCTGCTGCTGCCATGAGCTACGCGCTGCAGCGGCGGCTACCGCTGGGGCCGCTGGACCGGCAGGTAGCGCGCGCGGGCATGCAGATCTGCCACAGGATCGTCATGCAGCAGCTCTACATCTCGCGCGCCGACGCGGCCAAGCAGTGGGTCGTGGTGTCCAACCCGTCCGAGGAGTGCGTGGACCTCACGGGCTTCCGACTCAGCTGCAGCGGCACGCGCGACGTCTTCCGCTTCCCGACCAGGTACACGCTGCTGCCAGGCGACGAAGTGACGGTCTGGTGCGCGCCCGGAGGCCTCAAGCTGGACGAGGACAACCTGCTGCAGCCCTACCTCTTCTGGACCAAGGCGGACGGCTCGCTGCGCCACGAGCCCTTCTTCTCATCTAAAGCCAGCGCCAATGAAGTGCTGCTACTGGACCCGTTGATGGTTGAAGTGGCGTCCCTGCGCGTCGCTGCAGACGGCAGGAAAGAGTTCCGCGTGCTGCACTGCAAGTCGGGGCACTCCAGGACCGTCCGCAGCGAGATTGACACTCGGTTCTGCGTCGGGTGTCTGTCTCCGCCTGAGTTCGAGACACGCACGTCGCGACCAAGTCCCGAGAGCGGGAAAATCACGTCGCCGGCTCCAAATGAGCGCGAGGTTTACGTGTTCTCGAGATACTGGGGCGTGGTGTCGGACAAGTCGCTGTTCGAACACTTTCTGGCGGTCTTCTTGGTGCCGCTGATTGAATCGTTCCGCGCAGTGCTGATCTACATCATGATGTGCACGTTCCAACCGGTGTCCAAGAGCGGACTGGGTCCACAGCTGCGAACCAAGGTGACGACGTTGCTGCTCATGATGCTGGCGTGCGACGTCGTCTCGCGGAGACTTATGCTGTTCATCAAGAGTGGACTGCTTGTTACTATTGCCAGCTTCACGTCCGTTGTACTGGATCGCGTGGCGGTGGTGGTGCTGTATTTGTCGCTGCAGAGGCTGTACCCGGCGCTGGGCTCGTCGTTCCAGTATATGCTCACCTTTGACTTGGGCATTGGCTGTGTGAACGCTGCCGCGGTGCATGTGCGGTTTCTGGAGGCAAGACGCGACTGGCATCCGCTGTTCAAGCAGTTCGCTCGATGGGGTCACCGCTCTCGAGGGATCATTTGTGCCTGTGGCATTGGTCGCGAGCTGTTGCTTCACCTGCTGCTGCTGCTCCCGTTCAGCGATCACCCGTCGCCTGTATGGAAGGCTGTGGGTTATCTGCTCGTGCCGCTCTTCACGGTGGCTTCGGGTGTCGACTTCTTGCGCGCTGTTGCCACCATCCTACACATGGTCAGATACCCGATTGTACAAGTGACAACTCGATGGCGACAACTCCAACAACGCGCGCAGACCTACCATGAAAATGTGTACGAGTACGAAGAGGAAGAATGCTTCTCTGACGAGGAGGAACCTCAGAAAGAGGCCCCACCCGTTGTGTTCTCCACGCCCAAGACTCTCCGCTTCCGATCCCTTCGCCCGTATAGTTAGAAATATTTAGCAAAAAGTAGAAGTAGACATAGCAAACAAGCTAATGCTGCCAACCAGAGCTCATACATCCACAACCACCAACCCACACGTCAAGCAATTAACTTGCCTCCAGCATCAGCCAAGTATGCAGTATTATCATGCATTAGGCATTACTTGAGTGACCGGAGCGCTCTCTCTTCTCTCTCCTGATTCCCTTCATCGTCTCTCTTCCCCTGATCTCCTCCCAGGTGTCAACCGCAAGGAGTCTCGCCTCTGGCCAGCGACACGCTTCTAAAAGTTGGTGCCCTCAGGCGGCTGCGGCAGGCGTCGGTTGGTGGGCGAAGCCATCTCGGCGCGGATGGCCACCAACACGTTTTCAATGCCGTTGTTGCGGTGCCAGCTGCCCAGCGCCGCCAGTCGTCGCGGGTCCACGCGGCCCGACTGGGGGTCCACGCAGCTCATGTTGATGCGGCTCGTGAAGTGCACCTCAGGCGGCATGTGGGGGTACTGGTCGCTGCAGTGGATCCGCAGGCTGTAGATGCGGCCGTCGTGGCACGTCTGTACAGGCACGAATTGATACACACGAAAGTAAGTCAGCCGATAATTCGCCTTCAAGAGCTCAGATCTTGCAGTAAATGATGACTCACGCCAGCAGGGCCGAGGATGGTGCCGATCCAGTTTGTGAGGAAAATGTCGTCTGCCTGCTCTAGTCCGTACGAGATGCTCATGTCGCCATGGCCCTTCTCGCTGTTCTCCAGCTCCTCCAGCAGCTTAAAGTTGCGCGGCACTGCCCAAGAGCAACAAAAACACAACCAGAAACCTCGATATTAGTCTCTTTACCGCCTCCATCCTCCGTGAATGGAGCCGTCTCCAGCCTCGTCAGTTGACGCACCGATCACCACCTCTGCACCGTGCTTAGCCATGGCTCCAAACGCGTGACTCGCTGCAACAAGAAGTACGGTTAGATTTATGCCTGTATCTCAGCCTACAGAGATCGGTTCCGGGTCTGGAGACGCTCAGCAAAGAGGGCAGACGCTGCTGGACATGAAGACGGTGCGTATAGCGGTGTTGCGCGGCTGTGGACCTCCTAGCGGCACGCGGTTAATCGACGTGATCTTACCTGGCTCTTGCGGTGCTTCGGTGAGTTCTCGCTTGGAAAGTGGCTCTCGCCTCCCCCCTCAAAAGGACTATTGAAGCGTTGTCATTGGAGGAAAATGAGGAGCTCTTTTTTGACGAATCAGAGTCGAAAGATGCAGTAGAAGGACAAAGGTGGACATATTCCGTCCACCAGCGTCTACATGGAATCTATTTCTCCTTATCTATCTATCGATCCAGTATATCACAGCTGGAACTCCTTCTCGCGCACCAGGACGGCACGCAGGCGCTCCAGCTCGCTGCGCCAGAGTTGAGCCGGGGTCGTGGCCTGCAACTGCTGCAGCTTCTCCTGCTTGGTGTCGTGCTCCTTCTGCAGACGGTCAGTGAACTCCTTGGTGAAGCTCATGAGCGACGTGTTCAGCAGGTAGTCGTAGTCGTCGCTTCCGTCAGCTTCGGCGACTGCGTCGTCCTGGACGCGGCCCACGGCAGCCAAGCCGAGGTCCCCGACGTGGTCAATCGCCTCCTCCTTGAAAGCCGACGCCGGAGAGAACCCGTGCTCCTTCAACAGCTGCACCAGCTCGGCCTTAGGGATACGGTCCTTGAGGACCTTCTGCAGCTCGCCGAAGGACACCTCCTGGATGAAGCGGATGCGGTTGCTCAGGCGAAGAACCTCTTTCGTTTGGTGCTGCTCCAGGTGCTGCTTGCGCTTCGAGTACAGCTCCCGTCGGATACCGTAGAAGTCGCGCAGAATGTCCTCGCTCGTCTCGTACTTGACCAGCTGTCCATCTGCGTTGAACGCGTGCATGTTGCTGGTGCTCAGAGGCGCTTCAAGGCGCAGCACCTTCACCAAGGCCTCACTGTCGCCGGCATCCCCGCTATCTTCCTCCTTCGCGCCGTCCTCCGCGTACTTAGCAAGATCCGAGCGGGTCATCGAGATGTCGAAGCGCACGTCGCGATCCGAGTGGTGCTCCGAGAAGGACCGGATAGCCTTCTTGCCCACCAGGTCCCACAGGAACTTTTTGTAGTCCTCCACCCACTTGCCTACTGGCAGCTCCGTAACGCGCAGTGTCGAGGTGTTCACTTGCTGGACATTTCCGCGAGACACGAACGAGTGCTTTCCTGTTTGGCGAATGTCTCCACTGAAGCCCTTGGTCCACGGCGTCATGGACGCCAGCTCCACCTTCGACTGATCATCTCCAGCCTCCTCTGCATCAAGGAGCCTCAACAGGTTGTCGATCACCACTACTGGGTGGTGGCAAGGGATGGATGAAGACCAACCTGTACCGATACCCTCCGCGCCATTAACGAGCAACATCGGGATGATAGGCACGTAGTACACAGGCTCAACTGGGAAACCATCGTCGTCAGCGTAGCGCAACAGCGCGTCATCTTCCTCAGGGAACACCAGGCGCGTGTGCTTCTGAAGCAGCGTGAAGATGTAACGAGGACTAGCGGCGTCCTTGCCTCCCTGCAGTCGAGTACCAAACTGACCGGACGGGTACAGCAGCGGGAGGTTGTTGGAGCCCACGAAATCCTGCGCCATGTTCACAATCGTCGAGTGCAGCGAAGCCTCGCCGTGGTGGTAGGCCGTGTGTTCACTACAGTAACCTGCAAGTTGCGCCACCTTCACCTCACTCGTTAGCTTGCGCTTCAGACAGGCGAAGAGCACCTTGCGCTGTGAGATTTTGAGTCCGTCGACCACCGACGGCAGCGATCGCGCGTTATCAGCGTGCGAGAACTGGATGAGCTCACGGTTCACGAAGTCACGGTACGTCACGTCGCCCGAGCTTGTGTCGAGGTAAGAGTCGGGCGAGTATTCGTTTAACAGCCAAGCCTTACGGTCTGCCGCACGCGCTTTACTGAATACCATGTCCAAAGCATCGCCGTCACTGTCGCCGCTCCAGTGGAAATCCACGAGGTGGTTGTCCAGGTCGCTGAAGTATTCGCGTCCTTCAGCGCTCGTGCTTGTACCCAGACCCTTGTAGTACTTGATGGTGTAGTACTTGAGATCGGCCGGGTCGAGTGCAGCCTTCCACTCGAAATACTCGGGCAGACTGAAGAAGCGGCGGGTCTCTAGGCCGCGCTCAGTGCCCACGCGCTTAGAGGTCGGACTCACCTTGATGATGGGGGTGATGAACTCGCTGATAAAGCCACCCTCCTTCAGCAGCTCAGGCCAGAACGTATGGAAGAGGTTGAACAGCAAGCCTTTAATGTGCGAACCATCGTGGTCCTGGTCCGTCATGGCAATCACACGTCCGTAGCGTAACTTCTGGCGAGCCTCCTCCGTGCCATAGTGCTCATCCATGCGAAGACCAAGAATCGTACACAGATGAGCGAACTCGGCGTTCTTACCGAGCTGCGCGACAGTTGCATCACGCACATTCAACAGTTTTCCGCGAAGAGGAAACACGCCATATTGGTCCCGTCCAACAACTGCAAGTCCAGCCACTGCTAGTGCCTTAGCTGAATCACCCTCGGTCAAGATAAGCGAGCATTCACTTGAGCGAGGTCCACCGGCGAGATTGGCGTCCTCGAGCTTGGGCACATTCACTGAAGTGCTTTTAGCGCGCGTGGACGACACCTTCTTGAGCAATGCAGCACGCTGACGAGCGCGCGCACTCTGCACAACGCGCTCCACAATACCAGAGTCTGAGATCACGAGCTTCAGCAGCCTTTCGGAGAGTGCGCACGTAGAGCCGTACGTAGGCGGTCGTGAGGACATGTACTCCTTCATCTGTGAGTCGAAGGTCGGGTTCTCAATCTGGCAGTTGATGAAGATCGCCATGTGTGGCTTCACCTGCGCAGTGCTGACCGAGAGCTCCGGATACTTTTTGTTGACGTGCTCTGCAACACGGCGGCAGATCTGGTCGCTCACGTAACCAACGTGGGAGCCACCACGCAGAGCCGACATGCCATTCACGAAACTCACCTGGACAAAACCCACATCGGACGGCAACACACCAATTTCCCACCGCTTATTCACCCGGGAATACATGTAGTCCGCGCCAGAAGAAGCCTTGCTGTCGCTGTCTTTCGATGCTGCGTTTGACTTTGTCGCCTTCGAAGCAGGAGACGTCGTAGTGGAATGACAGAAAGCCTTGATATACGACTCAAACCCAGAAATCGGCACCTTCTTACCGTTCAGAGTAACTTCCACATCCGACAAACATCCCGCTACATCGTACACGCGCTTCTTCAGCACACGGGCCATGCTCGCGGTCAGCTTCTCCATCTCAAATCTCTCCAGGTCAGGCGAGAACGAAACTTTCGTGAAATCTTTGGCCTCTTTTCCAGTGAACTCGGTGATCTCCGGTTCTCCACGCGTGCGCATATTGTCGTGCCAGACCTGTTTGTACCGCAAACCAGTGGAAGTATCCCCCGTCTCGACCACAAACTCGGTACTGAAGATATTCGTCAGCTTGGCGCCATATCCGTGTCTTCCACCGGTCAATCTCGCAGCCGTATCGTCGAAATTGGATCCCGTGAGCAAGTGTCCCAATACCAACTCGGGCACGTACACCTTCTCGGTCTTGTGGAACTTGACGGGGATACCTTTGCCGTCGTTGTACACCGAGATCCACGGCCTGTATCCATTGGCCTTGTTGCCAGGCTCAATGACCACGTCCAAGTGCCGCATGCTCGGGTCGCGCACCTTGTTGTCCACTGCATTGACGATGATCTCGTCGAAGATCTTGTACAGCGCAGGAACGTACTCAACGGCCTGCTGCTTCATCCTGAGCTCGCCTCCGTCCTCCTTGGCTGCGCTGTCCGACGGCACCATCCACATCGTGTCCTTCGTGGCCTCCACCGAGCCAATGTACATGCCCGGACGCAGCAGCACGTGCTCCAGCGGCGTCTTCTTCTGATAGATGCTCTCGACGCTGCTGAAGCTGCGCAGGTCCAAGGCGGACAGTCTGGCGCCCACAAAAGGACCATTCTGGCGTTGCAATAGCAATGACCTCTTGGAATTACTGCTAAAACCGCGGTTAATAGGTCTAGAAGCCGACGACAGCAGCGATGCAGCCGCGCGAGAGGAACAGCGCGCAGTTGCGGCCGCTGCGCGCGTCACCTGCAGCCCGGAGTTGCACGAAACCGCGGCACGAGCACTGGAGAACGACGTGCCAGCTGTAGAGCCGGCATTTGACGCCTGCGCAGCGCTAGCGACGCCGCGGAAGGCACGTCGCCGACCAGCTCCGCAGCGCCACATCTTTGGTCCGACTTGACGTGTGGAGGAGATCACCAGTTACAGTACGTCTCCGAAAGACTGCACCATGCTTTTCCACCAATGAAACATTACTGTACATATCTGCCAATCCAAGCTTGTCGTTCTTGTAGAGAGATGTCACTAAGTTCTCCCCCTCACCAGTCATTTTTACGTAACTGATCGTAGAGTTTCAGTAGGTATGCGAGGTTTTTCATAGCGTTTCACAAATTTTGCATTTTTCGAGCTCAACACCAAGGTCGAGCTCAAACATCATGGCGCGCAACGCACACGCTGCGCCCTCGTCGGACACGGAGAGCGAGCCACTTGAGCAATCGCAACCAGCATCCACTGCATCTCCGTCTTCTCTGGGCAAACGCGCGCAGGACGACGCGCTGGCCGCCGCAGACAGCAAGAAAGCGCGAGCGCGCAAGGGCAAAGACGACCCCAAGCGCCGGAAGAGCGACGACGAGGCGGAATCAGAGGCGCTGGCTGCAGCATCTGATCCCAAAGACGCGCAGGAAGTGCCGGTATTGGAACCGGCAGATGCAGTGCAAGAGGCGGCTGCAGCTTCCGCCGTGCTCGGAGATGCCGCGCAGCCTGTGGACATGGTGATCACTTCGGAGGAGGCGGCGGGTCTCAACGCTGCAGTGGCGGCAGCTGCTGTGGAGCCGCCGCAGGTGCAGGAACAGGTCCAACCTCCAGTGCAGACTCAGACGCAGGCGCCGCCGCCCAAGCCCAAGAAAGGCCGGCGCGTCCGCAAGACCAACCTGGAGAAGATGGAGATCCTGGCCTTCGTGGACCAGGGAGGCTCGCAGGGCGCGGCGGCGGAGAAGTTCGGCGTGTCGCGCACGGCTGTGACCAAGATGGTGAAGGAGCGCGCGGCTATCTCGGCCCAAGCGCTCGTGGAGAGCGCCACGAGCAGTCGAAAGGTGCTGCAGTACCAGCACAAGCTGAGCGTGATCGAGGACATGCTGTACAAGTGGCAGATGCAGATCGAGCTCGACGCGCCGGCGCTCAAGATCACGGGAGATCTTTTGCAGTCCAAGGCCATGGAGTTCCGGAACAAGATCCTGGCAGACTACAGCAGCGAGCTGTCGGACGAAGTTGTCATGTCGCTCACGGACTTCAAGGCGTCGAACGGATGGCTGCATCGGTACATGCAGCGGCGCAGCATGCGCTCGCTGCCCAAGCAGCACGGCCAGGCGGGAGTCGCGTCATTGATGACGGACAGAATGACGAACGACCAGCGCGTTCAAAAGATACGCGACCTGCTGCTGACGGTGTCGCCGAGCTGCATTTGGAATCTGGACGAACTCGCGCTGCGCCATCGCACGACGTCGGCGAGACTGGACTCAGTCGTTAACATGGATGTGCGTAGTCTCGAGCGGATTTCAGTCCTGATGGCGGTGAGTGCTACGGGGGAGAAACTGCACTTGCAAGTGGTTGGCAAAGACCCGAACCCGGAATCGTTAAAGGATGTGGACACGCTTTCGACGTATGGAATTCACTATCGCGATCATTGTCGCGCCTCGCAGGACGCAAATACGATTGCAGACTTCATCCAGGCCATGAATCACGAGGCGACCGTGAGGAAAGAGGTGTGGTATCTGGTCTTGGACAGCTGTACGGCCCACGTTGCTGCCGCTCATGCGTTGAATCCGTCGGGGTCGTTCCGAAATGGTTTTAGCTTCGACTCCATCGTACTTCTCTTCTTGCCTCCTGGTCCCTTGGGCGATTCCCAGCCATTTCACCAAGGTGTCGTCAGATGGTTCAAGTCGCAGTTCCGGCGCGAAATGCTTCAGACTTTGCTTCACGAATATGAGCAGTGGGCGGAGACGAATAAAGCCGAGGGGCAGAGCAACGGGACAACGGCGAGTGACGGATCTCCGGTGAACGAAGTCTTTGACGTCCACGCGCACACTCATTTGCGGAACGCGATGGGCTGGTTACAGAAGGCGTGGGAATCTGTGCCTCCGTCTTTGATTCGACAAGCTTGGTCGGCGTGTTTGTTCCTGGCTGCAGCGCTGCCTGGCGACGGTGAAGCAATTGATAAAGAAGAAGAACTCAAGGCGTACACAGAGCTGCTCGAGCGACTGACAAAAGTACCAGCACTTCAGAAGACTCTCGGCCTTGACTTCACCGACAATCCTAGTCAGTTTATGATCGACCTCGTGGATTTCGACAAGTCCGAGGCGAATGGAACGGATGAGGTCGCAAAAGATAACGAGATTGTCATCGAAAGTTTAGCAGCACAAGGGCTACTTCGTGACACACAGAGAGCGTTGGTGCTGGAAAGTATCAAGAGCGATGACCTACCGATGCTTACTGTGACCGAGGCCAACTCGAGCGTATCGCGGTTACTGCACTTTATGTCGCAGGACAGCGATAATTTGTTGACACTGTCAGAGAGGCGAACGGGGCGTGCCAATTTGTTGATTCTGCAGCGTCTGCTGATGAAAGCTCGCGACAGAGAGCGCGAGAGGGAAGCAACGACAGACTTTACTGTATAGCTACCAAGTCAATCATCATGGTGCCTTCCAGTCGGTACGTGGGTGTTCATGGATAACATTGAGGAGGAATACATACGCCTACGTGGCTGCTGATTTGTGAGGACAACGACAACGGAAGGACTAAAATGACATGATGCTGTCAGCTTTCGGCTGGATCGCCTGCTGCCTGAGCGCCACTACTGCCATCTTTATTCTTGTGTAGTACAGGTGCCGAGCTAATTCGTGTTACCCCCTTCGACTGTGCGCCGCTGCTCGTGCTCGAAATCGGTGGCAGCTTCTTGCTGTTGGAGGAATGCGACGGACTGGACTCCATCCCACCGGCGCGACCTGCCCACTCGGCTTCTTTGCGTGCCTGGCGCTTCGCCTCTTCCTGGCGTTTTTTACGCTCAAGAGCAAGTCGTTCGCGCTGCCGCTTCAATGCTGTAGCTGACAAAGGACGACGCGAGAACAACCGGTTGCTGCTGTCCCGATCGTTCGCGGCGGACGACTTCATGCCGCCATCTCCGCCGATTCCCGACAACTTCAGCTTTAATGCGCTGTTCGGTCCAGCCCCCGTTGATGGCTGTGCCGACACTCCAGTAACACGCGCGTCGTCAGCAAAGTCTATCAGGAGGCTTGTGCTGGCACTGCTGGTGTCTGCCTCCGTCTGCTCTCTCACGTCCACGACGCACACTGTTTCAACACCGATGAGAGATGCATGCGTCGATCCCGAGCTTCCAAGTGCTGCGGCACTCGAGATCTGAGCGTTCACAATGGCTGCTTGGGAAGCTGGAGAAGTGGTGCCGAGCGCCTCAATTTTACCCCCGGCGTGGACGTACACATGCTTGATGCGGTCGTTCCGCTCGAGTGCTTCAGCCAGCACTTTGATGCCGTCTTTGCCGATCTGGTTGTTCCTCAGATCCACTTGACGCAGCCGACACGTCGAAATACAGAGCACAGCTGCAATAGCACGCGCGCCTTCACTGGAGATCGAGTTGCCTCGTAGCTGAAGCTCACGGACATTGGTCGCGTTGCGGAGAAGTGCCGCGATGGCGTGCACCTCCTCGTCACCGACACCGCTTTCTGGAAGTTTGAGGATCCCGGATGAAGCCGAATTACGATCGTCGCCAGAGTCGGAGGTGGTGATCAGTGCGCGCGACTTGACCTCGTGCACGTAGCGCAGCAGTGTCTTGCGTTTGGCGTCTTCCTCCGTGGTGAGCCGCTCTTGCATCCAGCGGGTTTTGCGCGAAAGGTGCGCGATTTGGTCTTCTTTGGCTACTAGCTGCTCCTTCACGTCGGCTACCACGTCTTCGCTGGTCAAGATAGTGGTTAGCAGTGCTGCGATACGCTCTACTAGGAGCTGTTTGGTGTTCATGCTCTTCTGCGCGCGCTTGAGGAAGGCGTTGATACCCACTCGCTCAAGGAAGTCGATGGATTGCTGCTGGGCCTTTGGCGTGAAGTTTGTTCGCTTGGCCTTGATAAGCAGCAACCCACCATGTGAAGCGCGGCACTCGACAAAGAATCGGCCATTAGCCGCTGCGGCTGCGTCCTCGGGGTGGGTGGGCTCTTGGTTCCCACGTTGGTGACCTTCCTGCTGGTTGTCCCCATCAATGCCCATCGTCATCGGCACCCCAGACTGCTCCATGGCTAGAGCCATCTCGGCCATTTTCTTCTGAGTAGCCTCGAACTTGATCGCTTGTGCGTCGAGTTCGTCCTGCTTACAACGGAGAGCTTCAGTCACGACGCGGTTGCTCTCAGCTGTCGCGTGGAGTTTATGAGCGAGCTCGGCCCCTTTCTCCTGCAAGGTCGTGAGCTGCGCCTGGAGTTTTTTCGTTTCTTCCTTGCTCACGATCTTGGCCTCCTCGTCGGCTTGCATCTTGTTGAGCAGGAAGGCAACACGAGAGCTCATGGTTTTGATCTTCTCCTCGAGCTGTTTGCGCTCGTCGGCCTCTTTGAGCTTCGCCTTTACTTCGTCACTGCATCGCAAGGATAGCTGTGCGTTGTGCTTCTTGAGTGCCTGGAGCTGCTCCAGCAACACCTTCTTGTCCAATTCGGACTTGACGCGAGCTTTGCCCTCCTGGGTCCCCTCCTTCAGCAGTCGAGCGTTCTTCTTCTTGAGTGCAAGCAGCTCCAGCTCCTTCTGTTTGAGACCGTCGATCGCTTTGGTCTTGCCCAGCTCGGCCAGTTTGAGTCGCTCCAGCAGCTGAAAGACCTTTTCAGCCATCTCACGGAGCTGGTCGGCAGAGTCTCGGTTCTCCGCCTCCATACGTGAGCGCTCCTGTTCAGCCTTGTCGAAGCGCGTCTGCAGCTCTTGCTTGTCTCGCTGGAGATTGCCGTTCTCGATGAAGAAGTTCTTGTTGGCATCACTCTGAGCGCGTTTGGCCTTGGCTTCAAGCTGCACCTGCGTTTCAAGCTCCTGGTTGCGAGCGTGGAGCTTCCGCGCCTTCTCTTCAGCTGACGCGAGCTGGTCGTCGCTCTGTCGTTTGGCTTCCTCGAGCTGCTGGAGCTTCTCAAGGAGCTGGTACTGCTTCTCCTTGCGGACACGGAGCTGTTCCTGCAGGGCCTCAAGCTCTACTTGTGTCTTCATCTTCAGCTCAACGTTGCATGCACGCAGTTGATCGCTCTCGTTCCGTAGTAGACGCACTTCTTCAGCTCGCATCTGACCCTCGCGTGTGGCACGAGTAGCTATTTCTTCGTGAGTCTTCGCAGATGCCAAGAGCGAAGCATATCGAGTCTCCAATGCCTCAAGATCCGACTTCAACGCTGCCGTCCGCGTAGCTAGCGACGCGCTCTGCGCTTCTTCATGCTCGAGCAGACGCAGAAGCTCAGTGTTGTGGTCTGTCAGAACACGCACTTGAGTCTCGCGCTCCTCGATGCCAGTCTAGAGAACAGCGAGATGCATCAGCAAAAGGTCATCAATACCCATACAACTCAGGCGCGCGACGGACCTGAGCTTTGATGAGCGTGGTTTCGGCGGCGCGCGCTTTGCTCTGCAGCTCGAAGTTTTGGTCTCGAAGGCTGCGGTTCTCCTCTTCGAGTCGGAGCATGTGCATCTTCAGCGTGCCGATCTCGTCGTCCATTGCATTGAGCGACGTCAGCAGCTGCGTGTTTTGGCTGCCGAGGATCTTCATCTGCTCGTCCTTCATGGCGAGTGCCTCGGCCGCCCGCGTCTCCTTGGTGCCTTTCTGGGTCATGGACGACACCATACCTGCTGCATCGGGGCCCGAACGCTACAGCATCAAAAGAGAACCGCTTGGAATTAGATCGCAATGGAGTAGATACCCACTGCAAGGGACGACTTCGCACCTCCAAGCCCGACCGCAGGGGCGACTGGCTCATGGTTGTTGATGCTCGCCAGGCAGCAAGCAGCAGGGAGAACAAGCGTTGAGCAAATGCCCAGCGTTCTGCTGATCCGCGGCTGTAAACGTGGTCTTGGTAGCCTAATCATAGCCCTGCGTCCGTCTAATTTGGTCTGCACTATAGCACTTCAACTTCGCCCTACCAATCACCAATCACCGGTGTGCCGATGATATAATACCTTGCTCCACTGCTGCCCTCGGTCTCCACTGTACTGTACAGTGGAAATTCCTCTGGCGACGACTTTTTTCGTTTGCGCGACGCGCACGAAGAGATAAAAGTGCCGCCCACTGGCTGTTGCTCGCCCCAGCAAAATCAAGCTGCGTTTCGACGGGCAGACAGACACGCCGGAAGCGACTGCAAAGCGCGCAAACTACGCGAAGCAATCATTTGCTGCTGTGTTTTGCTGTTCGAACTGACACGCATGACCTCGGAGGTCGTCGAACCAAGGAATTGCTCGCTGTGCGGCGGCTTGGTTGCGGCGCTCTGCCCGCTGTTTCCCCTCGAAATGGCTACAGCATTTCCAGAATTGATACGCATATTCGTTCATAAAGGTTGTTGAGCTGATGTCATCAAATCCCACGCGTGTCAAAGTTGGACCATTTGTGTCACCAATGGACCATTTGCGTCCACTTGGGGGCATCATCACACGAATCTGTTTATGATACCCCGCAGGTGTGTCGCGCGGCAAGACCGTCTCGTGCACAGGGGGCAATCCAGCGGCCCGCGCGCACGTTGCTGTCTAACGGACCATGGTCTCTGCTGGCGGGATTCCCGCGTCAGGTCACCCCCTTGGTTTGCCCCGGCACATCAATTCAGGTGCGAGGCTTGCTGCGTATGACAGCAACGAAAGCGTAGCCATACCACCCTTCACACGGTTGAAGCTGCTGCCCGCAATCCACTCAGTGCCCGCCGGGCGATTGCGCTGCAATGTCGCTGACGATCAGTGAAAGTATCTTGTGGACATTGAGCTGAGCAGCGGTACGTACACCAGTGCTTCATTCTCCGACTTACCAGAACCCTCGACAAGGCAGGCGGCACCACCATGTGGCCAAGTGAGGACGACCGGCGATTCTATTGCCCCGTTGAGCAGTGCGGCCGCGGGTTCAATCGCAAGTACACGCTCACCGAGCACATGAAGACGCACACAGGGGACAAACCTCACGTCTGTCGAGCCCCCGAGTGTGGTAGGAGATTCGCCACGTCAAGCAACCTCGCGCGGCATATGCGTCTGCACGGCCCGCTGCCGCTGATTAAGTGTCCGCGCGACGGCTGCTCGCGCTCCTTCTTGAGCGACGTGCAGCTAGCCAAGCACCTGAAGCAGCACGACGCGCCGCGAACGCACCCCTGCAAAGTGGCGGGATGCAACAAAGTATTCACCACCACAGGCAACTTGAACCGGCATCTCAAGAAGCACTTGACGGGCGCCAAGCGCGAGCAGCTCGCGCGCTCGTCGCTCGCGAGTTGGGGCGTCCCTCGGAGGTTGAGCCCCACGGGAGTGGAGCAGGATTACTCGGCAGGTGTGAGCGCTGATGTTATGATGGACGTGACCCCTGCCCCGATTGACAGGCCGTGTGACGAGCCCTGGAGCCCCGAGACGCTTGAAATTCTGGGGCACATGTTGCTGAGTTGAGTCATGGAGTGCGTAAGAGTAAACGAAGTCGAATTGCGAAGTCTTAGCGTATGTAAATGAATAAGTGTGCGGTCATACAATACTTGGAGGTTGCGCGATCGAGAGCTAACAACGAAAAAGGCAGCCAAATGTGCCGTTTTGCTGTTCGAACACTGGCTGAGAGCATCCCGAAAGAGAAAAGGGAGCACGCCGCCGACTACCGCAATGTGTTGCTGGAGACAGCTTGCTCTGCAGTAAGCAAGCAGCGAGCTAGCGCTAGCCCAGCTTCGACGGTGAAGTGCATCCGCCACCCTCGTCTTACAGGAAACGCAGACTCACGGGGCATGCGCGGAGCGGCAGCGGACACGCCACGCTTTCCTGTATCGCCTGGTGGTTTGCGCGCGCCCCAGTGGACATGCTGTGCAGCACCATGCACTCGCCACTGGGCCATGGACCATGCGAGCGCATTCGTAAGCGTTGGTGTTTTCATTAGCCGATCGAGTTGAACTCTGCTTGGATTTTCTAACGCTGTGACGGGCACAGTCGGTGCACGCGGATCCCCGCGCCATGAAATCCGCGGTCGAGTCGGTAGCCCGTGCTCGCGGCGTGCGATGTGCCGGTCACACGAGGCGGGTCATGAATGTTGTGTGAGCAGCCCGAGCAATTTTGCGCGCGGCAGATGGCCAGCTGGGGGAGCAGGGACGGAGGCAAAGGAGACTCGACAACTGTATGGGCTGATGACCTGAGGCAGCTTTCGCTCGCATAGCCGCCACTGACGAGCAGGCAAATCGCGGAGGCTGAATCGCGTAAGACATCCATCACGCTGCGCTTGTCCAGCGTACAGCGAAAGGCCGGTCGATTGCGCGCGTCTCCGGGCTGGGTTCGGGGGGACAGTACCGCACCAACTGCAGCGTCAGCATCGGCGCTTTCGAACAGCTTGCTTCGTCGGTCTCATTCCCCAACTTGCCCAACACTAGCAACAACAACAGTCAGCGAGCGCCATAGCTTCAGCTACTACCACCACCCGGCTACACCACAACAGCTCAAACATGCAGGCCCTCCAGCTCGATCGCATCGTGATCCCGACGGACACGACCCCCAAGCAGAACAGCAGCAGCAGCAACGGCAGCAGGGCCTTCCAGTGCCCCGACGTCCGCTGCGGACGCCGCTTCAACCGCAAGTACACGCTCACGGAGCACATGAAGACCCACACGGGCGAGCGTCCGCACGTGTGCCGCGCGCGGGGCTGCGGCAAGCGCTTCAGCACGTCGGGCAACCTCTCGCGCCACATGCGCCTCCACGGCGCCATCGAGCCCGTGCACTGCCCCGTGAGTGGCTGCACGTGCAAGTTCATGAGCGACATCAAGCTGGCCAAGCACATGCGCTCGCACTACGTGCCCCGGACACACACGTGCCGCGTGCCTGAGTGCGGCAAGTCGTTCAGCACCACGGGCAACCTGAACCGCCACCTCAAGAACCAGCACTCGGAGCAGGAGCGCAAGAAGTACAAGGCGCCCGCCCCAGCATCGCCCACGCTGAGCTCCATGTGCAGCACCCCCACCGGCCAGAAGTGCTCGACCCCCTCGCGCGAGAGCCCCACGGGCATCGACCAGGAGTGGAGCAACAACGCCTGGGACCTCGCCTCCGACGAGAGCGACGTCGAGCTGCCGGAGCCCTTCGAGACCGCGTGCACCATGCCGTGGACGCCCGAGATGCTCGACATCCTGTCGCGAATGCTCCTCGACTAAGCGAGCGTGTAAACGACTTAGCAGATAGTGTACAGTAATTTATCCCGAATCAACACTTTGACAACCACCACCAGAACTGATCGATGTCTTGATAACCTGCATGTACCACAGCATGCACCGCACCGCGCGGCTACAGTACACAACGAACACATAAGACATCAACGCCTTGCCAGGAAGCAGCCTCGATGGAGGAGGCTATTACTGCGACCAAAGCTACGGAGTAAGCAAATAATTGCTGCGCGTTACAGCTTTAGCTGCGCAACAGCTGAGGTTGACTTTAATCGCACAGCTGCAATGCAGCAATGACAAAGAGACCGAAACCTAGGGCCGCGTGCGAGCCTATGGTGTTCTGTAGCTCTGAGGTTCTCGTTGAGAAGATTTGGACTAGGGGACTGGATTCCAGGTCATGTCTTCTGGGCCCAAGGAAGACCGACTGTTCCAGTCACATATTCACGCTGACGCCACCTTGGATAACAATTTGTCGCTTAGACTTGGCTACAGGAATCCCGTAGAGAGAGAGAAGCCGTGGTCACATGTGTAGGGGAAAACGTCAAAAGGTGTATGCGTTTGGAAAACGTTTGTCAATAGGTGTAGTGGTCGTGGGCGTCACGTCGCGTACTGACACACGTTTTGGTTGCCGCGGTATTTCGGCCGAGGTCGGGTCATACAGACCCAGGATCGAGCTTCCAAGCACAGTAGTTTATTAACGACACGCTCGTCCGGTTCGTGGTGCCCATGACTTTGATAGCGAATTGTACGACTGAGGGACTACAATGAACGTCGTTATCCATTGTAGCCAGGCCTCAGCGTTGCCACAGTTCTACAATACCTACACTCTCCCCCGGTTGGGGGCTCTCACTAGAGCTCGTTCACCTCCGAAATTCAGATGCAAAACCTACCTAGTACAGCCATGCTATAGACGCTTGCGGTTTGCGTTGGTAGTTCCTTGTAGCCACAATAGCGAAGTTGTCGAGTACAGTTGCTCTATATGCAACTGTACTCGACAACTACAGTTGCTCTATATGCTATTATTAGTTGACCGTGTTCGCTGCTAGTTGCATCAGGTAGAAGCCTTCCTAACCCCGGGTTTTATGGGTTTGGATCTAAGCCCACACGCCAGTCACCGCATTCGTTGCTGATGCAGCTTTATGATGCACCTTAGTGCGCTTGGAACCACATACACATACTGTCATACCGACAACCTAGCATACACCTAATGACACGAGGTAACCGCTTCTGACAAAACGTTTCAAATTCACACACCTTTTGACGTTTTCCCCATGTGTAGACAAAACCTCGAGTGACAACTACCGTAATTTAGATTTCATACTACATATAGCTGATTATTGAAGTTGTCGTGTTGCAAAGTGGACACGAGATGTACATGTACCGACGATTTTATGTTCGTATTCTGAAGTGCATCATGCAAAGTGGTATTTACCGGTACCCTTAAACACTGCTGTCTAGATCTATCTACTCCACGGCAGCTAGCGTATCGATATCTCTGTTCGGATCCACGACGTGACGTATCACGGGGACTTCATCGAGGAGTCTGGAAAGCAGCTCCCAGTCCGGCTCGATATGGAGCAACCGCTGCTCCTCACTGCTCGCGAGTGTTGTCGTCACGTCTTTCGGAACGAGCTTGGCTTTCTGAAATCCGCTGACTATTACGGAGCTGGGCAGAGAGTTCCACGCTTCCTGTCGCTTTTTGGCTTTTACTTGGGCTGCCGTGAGCGAAGGGTAGAAGTAGTTGACTGTGTCGCGCATTTTCTCCTTAGTAACGACTGCGTCGTAGAACTCGATCACGCTGAGCTTGTGTTGAAAGGAGACAGTAACACGCTTAAACTGCTTCGGCAGCTTTCCTGTTCCTGTTGTGCGTGTCCGCCCTCCCTGCTGACCTGGAGAGCGGGACATCACTTTCCGCGGACTTGGCGTGCGCTCCATGGTTGTTCTCTTGCAATGACTGGCCCTCTTTTGCTGCATTTGCTCTATTTATACCCTACGTATTATGAGAACTCAACTGATGAGCTGGGTAAATGGCGCGATATCATTGGCTAATGCCTGGTATGAAGTAAGAGATCTGTCTGTAGTATGAGATCTAAATTACGGTAAATGGAGAACCAACGCGAGTACTCGAACAGAGCGTCAGTGCCCTGCTCTGTAGACGATTTACTTCGAAATACATGTATTTCATGACACCAGCATTCAGTAGCAAACCACAGCTATCCGAAATGTTCTGCGAGTATACCGCAATAGCTCAAGGTGTTTGCTGCCGCGAGTATATGTATGCTAGCCGACGGCATCAGTTGCAGGTGCACTGCACCTGGTGCAGCCCGACCTGGTGAGACGTGTGCACATTCAAAGGTTTTGTGACAGGGTTGCCTTGTACCGGGCCGAGGTATGCTTGGGACAAGGCACGGCTCGAGCCCAAGTGCATCCACCACCACTTCTAATTGTGAGAGGTACTGTAGCAGCGGGGTAACAGCATTACAAAAGCTCTTGCGCATGCGTACAGAAGACGCGGACCCTTGCAGGTCCGCGGCCAAGTTCAACATGTTGCCTTTGTGCTGAGAAAACTGCAAAAGGCGCGTACTGGACGAGTTTTTCTGCTAAAGACGCATACTCGGCAAAAAGCGCATACCGAGTTTCTGATTCCACATAGGAGTCAGACGATCAAGCAACTTACACGGGCGCGCGCACACCGTCAATGGTTACAGTTCCTTCGCTTCCTACCTCAGGGAAGCCCGAGGACTGGCACATCATTCGGCCGCAGGACTCCTGCATGCCTGACAAACTTGCGCAGGCTATGGGCTATCGGACGCACGAGTATGGTACGCAGCAACTATACCTCAAACTCCACCTCGAGCTGCGAATTCCGCATCAATGCATACACCTGATACGGCATGATACGGCCCAAGGGCGGTGTGAGCATGCTAGCTGACACCGAGGTGTGGGTACATTTCGCTAGTGTGGAACAGATGCCGGTGAGCAACGTGGACACCCTTGGATACCATACTCGCTCACGTCGACGTATATTTACTAAGTTACCGGACAACACCGAAGCACCTTTCGTAGGTACACTGGCTGGTGGATGGCTGCGCCTCCTAAATACTAACAACGCACGGTGGGGTCGTGCAGCGCGCTCACGAGAGTGTCGAGCATCTCGGAGTTCCACACGTCCTCGAACAGCTCCGAGCACGAGCGTGTGGGCGAGTAGATGGCCTGTGGCCCTTGCTGCCCGTACGGCGGCAGCATCGGCTGCTGCTGCTGGGCCATGATCTGCTGCGGCCAGCAAGTCGCCATGCGTGGCTTGAACACGGGCACCGTCGGTCCCATCGCGGTCCATTGCTCGGCGCTCGTGGGGCTGCGGTGTAGGAACTGCGGCGGCATCACTTGGGGCGCGGTGACGACCACCTGGGGTACCACGACCGTCGGATTCTGCTGAGCCTGGAATTCACCTACCGGCAGGTCCGGGTGCTGGTGTTTCAGGTGGCGGTTCAGGTTGCCCGTCGTGCTGAAGGTCTTGCCGCAGCCCGGCACCAGACACACCTTGACCGCGCCGCCGTTGTGAAACTTCATGTGCTTCTCCAGCTTGTTGTTGCTCGGGAAGGTGCAGATGCAACCTTGCACGGGGCACTTGAGCGGCTCGATGTAGCCATGCAGGCGCTTGTGGCGCGAGAGGTTGCCCGAGGTACTGAAGCGCTTGGCGCAGGTGGGCACGGGGCAAATGTGCGGACGCTCGTCCGTGTGGGTCTTGACGTGCTCGGCGAGCGTGTACTTGCGGTTGAACTCGCGGTGGCATCCGGCCTCGGAGCAGCGGTAGACGCCCGACTCACTGTGTTGGCGCCGGAGCTCGGGGCTCATGTTGGCCTGAAACTCGGTAGTGATGGGGCTCATGGTGCTCATGCTGTTGTGTGGTGGAAGGCAAATGTGAAAGTGAGCTGCTGAGGACGGCGCGATCCGCCCAGCGGCCGGGGCGGACCAAGCCACTGTCGATCGTCGGAGCTGTCCATCGAAACCACGCGCGGCTTTTTATGTCGAGGCATAGTGAAACCAAGACAAATCTGACTCCCTAGCCGTTACTGTACCCCACAAATCGAGTCGGAACGCCACACTGACGTCTGGAGTTCGGCTAGCCGAACGGCGTGTGACAGCGCTCACTGTTCGTAGAGGAAGAGCCACAAGCGAGCACCTCGCCAGCCTGAGATATCGGCGCGCTGCTGTCTCCGCCTGAGCCAAGCCAGGGCAGGGCTTCCATGTCCACTTTTGCCTCGCTTGACGCCGAGTTGCCGTTACTTCGCACGGTACCAGCCGAGTCGAGTCGCAAGAGCTCGATCTCCGGGCCTGGAGCTTATGCTTATGTAAAGTGTGAAGCCCGTGGACACGCTTCGAGGCAACGAAATCCGCGCGGATGGTGTCATGGTCCGACGCGCGGCGAAAAGGACGAGCCTCTGAGATCCAAGGACTAAGATCCACCGCGGGCTTTGCCGCAGGGCCGAGGGCGGAATGAAGGAGACCGAGAGCACGAGATCAACTCGATACCGAACAAGAAATCTAGCGCTCTGTAGTTGCATCGCGCGGGCGTCTGCCCTTAGCGTAGTGTCGTCTATAATAAATGCAAGCAACAGTTCGAATAGATGGCGAAGTCTACGGCAAGATCCATGCTAATACAGTAGAAAGCGTTGTGTATGCATTAACCCCTCCAAACCGGGTGCTGCATAATGCAGCTTAGATTTGAACCCTTAAACTGCATATATGCAGTTTAAGGAAAAAATGACTTGATTTTTGTATGATTTGTATTTTTCCATGACAAGAGGTATACAAACTTTAAGATAAAAGTTTGCATTGTTTCTGTTTGCGCCTTTCTTTTTCTTACATACGAAATGCCACTCATTTGTCTAAATTCGAGATATAGGAATTTGCAGTTCTTGAAAACTGCAACTGATCTACAACTATCTTTGGAGGGTTGCGGCACGTTCCAGGCACGTTCCTACATTGGCTGGACCACGCCGCCTTTGTGAATTCAGCCTCATTCGAGAATTTGCGGCCGGAGGAAGCAAGTCAAGTCAAGGCGATGGTGAAACCGTGTGGAAAGATCCTGCGCGACTGCGAGGTCACAGCGCGTGATCTATCGTTCAGGTCCGTCTGGCGAGAGCTCAAAGCTCAAGACTGGACGCAGAAGGCGCCGCCACGACGAAGTCTGGACGATCGCTACTTCTACATCAGACCCGGCGGCAGTACAAGCGGGGCGTCGGGCGTCGACTACTTTATGGGCGAGGAGGGAGTGCTGGAGTATTATGCGAACGGTGGGTTTATATTGAATGGTTTGTATTTATACAGAACTGACACAAATTTGCTGCTTTTCCTTCTAGTTCTTCGGAGTCGTGCGCGTGTCCCCGCCACGACGTCTGCCTCCTTGCCGTCGACGCAACTTGCTCCTGGCGACGCCCAGTTGGCAGCTGCTGCTCACGTTGTCAGAGAAACCTACGGCGCTGAAATCGAAGCTACAGAAGCCCGAGTGCGCGAACAAGCGCGAGTCCGAGCTGCTACTGGCTCACTGCCCTCTTCGAGCTCAGTGCCACAGCCTACACCAAGTCCGCTACCTGCTCGGCGTCCCAGCGCTGACGTGGAGACGCCTCCAGCATCAACTTCGCGTCCGGTACCTCCTCCACCGCCCAGCTCCAGCAAGGAGACGTATCCCGCTCCTGTATCTCGCGGCCACGGAAAGCAGCAGGCAAGCCGCTCGGTCCGACGGTCGCTGGAGCCACCATCGACACCGTCGACGCCAAGTCGTGGCAACCGTCGACCTTCGCGAGTATTGATCGCGACCTCACCGCATGTCGACCAAGGTGGATCAAGTGATGATGACCCAATCTCGAGTGCTGCGAGTGCACAAGAAGCCGTGGATTCCTCAAACGACTCGAGTGACGGTATGTTGCATCTTATGCTGACTGATATGCTGCATTTTAAACGGAATATTATGCAGCTTTTTATACTGCATGCCATGGTGTATCGTATTCTGCATACTATCCTGACTGTATTGCTGAATACTAACATGCTGTGTTATTCACTGTAGATGGTGCAGTCACTCACGAAAGCACACCGGGCGACGAGTTGCTGGCCGACAACATTGACGACAACTTGAACACCGTGGATGCAGCTGACGGTGCATCATTCGGAGCCATGGAATCCGGGGATGAGGCTGAGAGAGATGACGTGGAGACTGGTGAGCACGGCTCGGACGACGGTGCGGAGCAGTGCGCACCTGAAGATGTTCACGACGATCCTGATGAGACTGAAGAGGAGGTGGCTGCAGAGGTGCTTTTCGCTGAAAATTTCCTCGAGTCAATTGGAGGCGAAGACGAGGTTCTCGCCGGAAACCTGGAGAACGCTGTCCTGCGCAACATGACTGCCACAGGTTGGGAAGACGTCGTCGAGCCCGACATCCACAAGCACTTGTTGGCTCCCTACGAGCCCATCGACAACGCGTCTAGCTACCCAGCTTTGCGCCAAGGCTACTCGGGGCCAACAGCGGATGCGCTTCGGCGAGATGACCCCCCCGTGGCGCTATTCTTCTATTTCCTGCCAGTGGTGCTGTAGCATCACATTGCTGCTTGCTCCAACGAGTATCATCGGGAGATGCTTCCACAGCGCATCGACGAAACGTATCGGCGGTACCGACGGAAGCAGCACCTCAATTCAGACCTACCGAAGAAGACACGACGCGACATTCAGCACGATTTGGAAGGAATGAAGCCTATTTTACCTCACGAGTTGTGTCAGTTCATAGGCTTGTTGGTGGCGAGGACGATTGCGCCCAATCGCGGAAAGCTTTCCAACCACTGGAAAACCGCTGACGAAGGTGCCATTTCGCGCGGGTGCTTTGGCACTGTGCTCTCTCGCGACCGCTTCATGGAGATCTCTCGAAACCTCTACTTCAATTCCAACAAAGATCCACGCGCTAACACGGATCGCGCTTGGAAGATCCGCAAAGTGGTTGAAGTGCTTCAAAGGACCTTTGCACGTGGGTATATTGCGCCTTCCCACCTTGCCTTTGATGAGGCTGTGCTACCAAGTCGCTCAAGTTTCAACAAGATGCGTGTCTACATGAAGGATAAGCCTCACAAGTGGGGCGCGAAGCTTTCATGCTCTGCAGTGCTGTCATTGCGTACTGCATTCGGTAAGCTTTTTTTTGGTCGATTCAACTCACTATACTGTATTATGCAGTTTAGGCTGACTACTTCTGTTTTACTTATGCTGCATATCGACAGGTTTGAGGTCTATTGCGGCAAAAAGCAGCACGCAAGTGATGCACACAAGCCGGATATGAAGTCCGGTCCCGCCGCCGTCGTGCGGAACTTGCTGGAAGTGTTTGGTCGGTATGCCAGGAAGCAAGGAATGCGGCTCGTGGTGGTTGAGCGCTTCTATACTTCAGTTGCGCTCGCGATCCAGCTACTGCTGATGGGTTTTTATTGCGTTGGGACAATCATGACGAATCGACTTGGGTATTGCAAACAAGTGATTGAGAAGAAGAAGAGCAGGCCCGACTCCATTGCTCGAGGATCCTTCAAAGTGGCCAGATCTCGTATGGTGCCGAACATGACGGCAATAAGCTGGTGGGATTCGCGCCCCGTACACTTTCTGTGTACTGGTGGCAGCGTCGAGATTGATCGCGTCGTGAGGCAAGATCGGTCTGAGAAAGTCGAGGTCCCGTGCCCGAGGGTGATCAAGGACTACCACGCCTTCATGGGTGGCGTGGACGTCCATGACCAGCTGCGACTGCAACGATATTCTCTACAACGCGCTCTACGATTTCGCAAGTACTACAAGTCGTTGGTGCTGGGATTGATAGACCTGGCTATCGTGAATGGGTACATTGTGCATAAGGCGTTTCACAAGAACAAGGAGTCACGGCCGCTTACTCACGTCCAGTACATGAAGTTGCTGCACTTGCAGCTATGCCAGCTGCAAGCATCGGACATGTATGAAGGGAATACTTTTGGAACGCGGCGCCAAGCCACCCAACCGGCCTATACTACCCTATCGACCAGCAGCACCCAGGCATCTACCAAGCATACTGCGCGTCAAAGTGATGAGTGGAGAAACCAAGGCTCTCAGGCAAAACGTCGCCAGCGGACCTGCAAGGTCTGCTCCATCCTTCGCTCCGGCGCCCAGCGCGCTTCCACGACTACCTACTTCTGCAGCGACTGCAACAGCACAGGCCCGATTTACCTGTGTATGCGAGCGCGCCGCAAAGTCCGAGATGTAGCAATGACGTGCTGGGATATCTGGCATAAAGAATGGATGAACGGCAAGCTGGTCCCCATGGACAATGGTAAAGTGATTCGGATCCGTGTCAAGGCCGACGAAGACTCTGAGGCTGCGCCATCAACACCGGGAACGCCTGCAACTTCAGCATCGCACAAGAGACGCCGGACAAGCCAGTAGAAGTTAAGCTGCATATTATCGTGTCGTTATGCTGAATATGTGCAGGATAAGTCTGTTGGCATCACCAATCGTTTGCATAAGCGTAATCGTGTGTACAATTCGCTTTTTATATTGTACCTGTCTACTCCCGTGCTCATCTCGTTTTGCATCCTGCCTACCTTGTCTGCGCTCGGTCACATCCCAAGCAGTCCGTTTAACAACCGTTTCAAAATGTATGCTTACCAGTGAAATATATGATATCTAGCTCACTCAGATTTTGTATGGTGCAAACAACAAGTAGCTGGCAATCAAGTGATTGCGTTACGTTGTAGAGGCGACCCCCCCACCTTTGTATATGCATCTTTGTATGGGAAGTTTCATTTTCCGAATTTTAGAGAAACCGTGCTGCACCCAAGCGGGGTGTGCTCAGGTTCTGTTCGAGGGTTGCCTCGTCCCTTTCGTGATAATGCTGTTGTTATGCAGCATAAAGAGTCATCTTTGAAAATAAGAATGCAGGATAAGGCAGTTTTAGCACCGCTCACTCACCAAACTCTCATCTCAGCATAATTCCCCTCGCGCTCGCCTAGCCCATTGTATACAAATGCCAAGTCTAATCAAACTGCATATGCAGTATAAGAATGACTTTTTTCCCGGTTTGGAGGGGTTAATACTGGGGTATTGGATAATGCACCCCGAAAACGCCCCAAATCCCAAAGTTTTTCCCAAATGATTTAAGACCATGGGAACGTTTTGGTACATATTTAGGACAGAATAACCTTCAGTATGAAAGAGCAGCACAGGGCGGACACTCGCGCGTTGGCTCTCGTCTGCGGACTTAGCGACGGGTCTGCGGGGGGCCCGCCCCTCTCTCGCTTCGCTCGGGGGGCGCCGCTGCGCGGCCTGCCCCCCCTTACGCTAAGTTCCTCGTCTCGGCCAGGCGCGGTGTCTAGAAAAAATAATATCGGGTTGCAGCGCTCGCGTTCGCTCGCTCGCACAGACACACCCCCGCCTAATCGGCGGGTGTTGGCGATTAGTGAATACATCGAGTGAGGCTCGCGCTCGCGTCCACTCGCCCTCGCCCATAGACTATAGACCATAATCAGTCAACTCCGTTTTGGTACATATTTGGGATAGTTTTACGAGAAAGCAGTCATATACTTGGCCCCAAATATGTACCTAAATGTTACAGAGACAATTCATTATTTGGGACATTTGGGGCGATTTGGGCACATATTTGGGATGCATTATCAGCTTCCAATACTGGTATGTTCGACGCATATCATTCTTGTTGACTTCTTTTAAGTAATTCCTATGTGCGACGTGTTGGGTTTCTCTTGAGTCTACGAGTTCTAAGGGTAGCCAAGCTCCTGCACGTGGAAGCGGATGATGTCGTCCACGAGGCAGCTCTGCCTGTCGCCGCCGCACTTTGGGCCGTCGAGCCCCGTGTCGATCAGCAGCGCCGACAGGTTGTCCAGCGTTTCGTCCAGTGCGGCGAGGTGATCCTCGATTTTGCGGTTAAAGTTCGCCGCCGACTCCTGCGGCAGCGGGTTCGTGCCCGTTGACCACGCGCGCTTGAGTCGGCACTGCGGGGCCGCGAGCTGCGTCTCCGGCCGCCATGCATCGGCCGTCGTGGGGCTCCAGGCGCCCAGCGTGACGCTGCTGCGCGGCGTACGCAGCGCCGGCGCAACGTCGAAGTGCTGGTTCTTCATGTGGCGGTTGAGGTTGCCCGTGGTGGTGAAGGTCTTGCCGCAGCCGGGCACCTCGCACAAGTGCACAGGCCCGCCGTAGTGGAACTTCATGTGCTTCTGGAGCTTGAGGTCGCTCGGGAAGCTGCAGATGCAGCCCTCCACGGGGCACTTGAGCGGTTCGATGTAGCCGTGCAGGCGCTTGTGTCTGGCGAGGTTCCCGGACGTCGTGAACCGCTTGGCGCACGAGCGCACGGGGCACACGTGCGGCCGCTCGCCCGTGTGGGTCTTCATGTGCTCGCTGAGCGAGTACTTGCGGCTGAACTGGCGACGGCAGCTGGGGTCGGGGCAGCGGTGGAACATCGGGTCCTCGGGCGCGCCGGCAGGTGCTTCGGCGTTAGTGTCCACCATCGATGATGCGTGGATTAATACAGTTGTATCGAGACTGCTGTCTGCGTGGCGGTGCCAGCGGCTGGTTGGGAGACTGCAACTGGTAAAGTGAGCGCCCGCTCGCGTCGTCGCCGTGATGATGGCGTGGAGTAGCCTGCAGCAGATTTGCTCGATCCCAGTTGACCCAAATTCGAAGCCCAACGGCGGCGATCCAGCCGAGCGAAACAAGGTAAGGCTCTTGATCTATGCTGTACACTAGTGCGTGCAGTGTGTTGACGGAGGACCATTGTTGTCGCCTCGCAGCAGCGGCGAGAGCGCTGGTGGCCATGCCGCCGCATTGACTTTCCTTGGTCCGCCGCACGTGCGCTCCAGAGACGACGGGCGGCGGACGCTCGACGGAGCGATTGCAGGCTGTAACAGCGGTGACGCTCACATCAACGCTTCAACTTTGCGCCTTTGCAGCGTATGACACACGCGCAGGAGTGGCACTCGCCCGAGTACTGTGGCGACCCGGCTCTCTTGCGGACAGCGAAAGCTTCACGTCGGTGGACCCATCGTCCGTAGAGGGCGGACCGCCCATCGCCGCGGAGTGCAGACTTCGCCTGCAACTCGGAGCGCCGCCGCCGCCGCCTCCCATCGTCTTGATACTCTCGAGATCGGCCCGTAGTCCGTCTCGTTGGGAGGTTCGGCGATGTTCTCCCTAGCGGTAGCACCGCTACAGAGCGCAGGAATCGATCGTGGGGGTTTATTTGACATGTTGACGCTCCGAAAGCCTCCCGCTGGTCGAGCTGCTGCGACCACCGTCATCCGCAGCCAGCAGTGATCTTGCGCCACACACGACTCAGCTGCGATCGATGCTCGGTCGCGTGCGTTGAAAACCTCGCGAGCATTCCGCACGGGCCTTTGCCGTTCGCGCTTGGGACGATGAACGGAGCCCTCCTCTGTCCGCGAGATGGCTCCCGGCTCACGGGCGGTCGCCGCGAGCTTTTCAATCAAGTGGCCGGTCCCCGGTTCGAGGCGGTCGAACTTCGACCGCCTGAAAAGTGGACACGACGGGGGCATAATCGTAAAACGCGGCGTTGATGCCTCCCGCAATGGGCGACGAGCAGCCAGATGGCGCGCGTGCAGCAGCAAGATGTCAGCGTCTGCGTGCGTGACTGTGTCCGCCTTAGACAAGCCGGCTGCTGCAGTGCAGCATGGTCATCTATCACCGCGTGAGGCGATCGGATTCCTTTGAAGTGTACACGCACAAAGGACAACGAGTCACGCGTAGCGCGGCTTTCTCTAGTAGCAGGCATTTCGCTGGTGCCGCCGATGTCACACGTTTCGCCGACGTACGCGCGTGCATCTCAGGGGCCAGCTGGGCGCGACTGGAGATTCCTCCTCCTTTTCGAGGTCCCACCTCACCTCGACGAGACCAGCACGGGCGTCGGGTCGCGCTTGCCTCCATCACCGCGCGCTGTCCGTCGTTCCACCGCCTCGCATTAGTCGTCTGTACCTGTACCCTGCCTACTTTGCTTTCCCTGGCTCACATACGCATCATGCCGGCCACCGATACCACTTTCGAAAGCTCGCTCGCGCTGCAACGCCTCGCGTTGGCGTCGCTGTCTCAGACCGAGAGCTCCGCTACTGACTCGACTCGAGCCAAGCCGTCGACCCCGACGGCGCACCGCTGCACGGAGCCCGGCTGCGCGCCACTTCAACCGCAAGTATACGCTGATCGAGCACATGAAGACCCACTCAGGCGAGAAGCCGCACGTCTGCCCCGTCAGGACGTGCGGGAAGCGCTTCAGCACGTCCGGGAACCTGTCGCGCCACAAGCGCCTGCACGGGTACATCGAGCCGCTCGAGTGCCCCGTGGAGGGCTGTCTGAGCTCGTTCCCGAGCAACAACAAGCTCGAGAAGCACATGAAGTTCCACCTCGGCAGCGCCGTCCAGGTGTGCACCATCAACCACTGCGGCAAGACCTTCAGCACCACGGGCAACCTCAACCGCCACATCAAGCACCAGCACCTGGACGACCTCCCGAGCGGCGCTATGTCTCCGTCCCAGTTCAGTGCACCGAGCCCGACGAGCGCCGAGCAGCAGTCCATGGCCTCGTACACTGCACTTCTGCTGGAGAGTAGCATGGAGGTCTCCAATCCGCCTGCCATCGACGTCTCTGTCCTCCCGCAGCTCACCCCAGAGCAGTGCGAGAGCTTCCGGTTGCCGCCGCCCCAGGCTTCGACGACCTGGCACTCGGACGAGATGGTCGACGCACTCACGGAGATCTTCGACGAGGCTGTAGCTCAGCCCGATCAGCATCCTCGACGACATGGTCAACTTCCATGTCTCCCACATGTCCTAAAGCAAGCGTCTTGCGTGTGTGTTTTAGATGTAGTACGAAGTAAAATAAGTTAAGAGGGAGGAGCTGTTACCCGACAGCTCCTGTTGATGTTTGTCATCGCGTTTTCACTGCTCGCGCTTGCTTCATTCCGTGCCGTGGCACCGCTTTAGCAAAAGCGCATTGCATACGACTGAGACGCTCTTTAGAGATCATTGGAAGGTCTTCTCAAGGAAGACAAGTTGTTCGTTCATCCGATAACACCATCGAGTGTATCCACAATCATGGCAAACTTCATTAACTTATTACGACTAGGATAGAACACGTGATCGTCCTCCTTTATAGCTCGATGTGGGCGACGTGGAAGCTCACCATGTCGTCCAGGAGGTTCTGCGGCTGCGGCTGAAGCGGCGGGGCAGGCAGCGGCTTCTCCGGGTCCGCCGCGCCGTACTCCATCTCGTCGAAGATGGAGGACAGCACGTCGGCGATGCCTGGGTTGCGTGTACCCCGCGGGGTCACCCCGACGGGCGACGGCAGTTGAGACGGCATCACCTGCGCTGGGCTCGGTCGGGTGTACTCTCCGCTCCACCGACTGCCGGCGCCGTAGTACTGCTGGGCGGCACCGGGGGCGAACGATGGCGGCACCAGCTTCATGGGCGGATTCATGACCCGAGGACTCGGGAACTGGTAGCCCATGTCCACGGGGTACTGCACCTGCGGGACCTGAACCTGGAGATGCTGCTGCTGTTGAGGCGGGTGGATCAACAGCGGCGCGTTGGGCTGCGGTGGCGGCAGTGGACGCAGCGTCTCGTTCGGGTGGTGGTGCTTCACGTGGCGGTTGAGGTTGCCCGTGGTGCTGAAGGTCTTGCCGCAGTTGCCGATGGTGCACACGTGCACGGGGCTGCCGAGGTGGAACTGCATGTGCTTGTCGAGTTTGTTGTCGCTCGGGAAGGCGCAGTAGCAGCCCTCAACCGGGCACTCGAGCGGCTTGATGACGCCGTGCAGGCGCTTGTGGCGCGACAGGTTGCCCGACGTGCTGAAGCGCTTGCTGCAGGAGCGCACGGGGCACACGTGCGGCTTCTCGCCCGTGTGGGTCTTCATGTGCTCGATCAGCGTGTACTTGCGGTTGAACTGGCGGCCGCAGCCTCGATGCGGACACTTGTGGGGTTTGTCCACGCGAGGCGGAGGCGGAGACGACGTAGAGGAGGGCGAGGTGGCGCCGGCGTCCGAGCTGGGATCGCTGTATGAGTGCTTGTGGACGGACTCGAATTGCATCAGTCGACTGGCAAAAATGGAGGCAGATGTCTTCTTAGCTAGCTAGCCACGATGTCGCTCGGTCGTTCTCGCCTTTGTCGGTGGAAATGGCGCAATGAAGGGAGCGCAGCGCGCGCCGCGCTTTCGCGATGATGGCTTGGAGTGTGATGCTCGGGGGATCCCTGGCGCAGATGCCACTGTTAGTTGCTCGAGCCATTTCTCAGGGCCGGCGCGTGTGACATCGCACGCACCGATAGCCTGATGACGCTCGGATGGCGCTCAGCTCACCTGAAGCTGTGTCTGGGAGAAAAAGGAGCGCGGCGACTGGCAAAACAGGGGATCGGGCGTCTGGACAACCTCACACAACGGACATCACGCAGCGAGGAGATGAAGGAACGGCAAAGGCGACGAAACCCCGCCAGTCGGACGCGGCGGGCCGTCGACGGCGGACCGCGTGCGCCCCGCTCAGGATGTTGCAGCTCACCATCTTGTCCACCGAGACGCTGGGGGCATAATCGCAGCCGCGAGGTCGATGACCCGACTGCTGGAAATCCAGCGAGTCGGTCCGCTTCAAGTGGTCCCTCCGCCTTGAGCAACACGGTTCTGCTACAGCCTGCTGCAATGCATGTACCGATCCGCGGCGTACACTGCACGGGGGTGGGAAGGCAACGTTGCCTGAGATGCATTTTGAAGCGAGTCAAGGCTGTCGATCTTGAGCTTGCATTCCGGCATAACGTCACGAGTGAGTACTGTGGAATGCCTTGCTCACTTCCTTCATCTACATTGCCCTTGGCAATACTGTATGAGTAAGATTACTTTGTGGTGCAATTCTGCAGTAGTTTAGTGCAAGGTGCCAGACAAGGTGATTGACAACCTTCAAGGCCTACGCTATCGCTTATTTTAGGTTTGAGAACACAAAATATGCATTTCTGTAGCAGATCACTTTGCTATCGCACCCGATCCAAACTAAAGGAGACCGACCGACCACCAAGACAGCATGGGCGTGACCAAGGAGATCCTCTCGGAAGGCAACGGGCCGACCCCCACCAAGGGCGCGTCCGTGACGGTGCACTGCACGGGCTACGGCAAGGACCGCGACCTGCAGCAGAAGTTCTGGAGCACGAAGGACCCGGGCCAGACGCCCTTCACCTTCAGCGTGGGCCTGGGCCAAGTGATCAAGGGCTGGGACGAAGGCGTGCTCGGCATGAAGCTCGGAGAGACGGCGCGACTCACCTGCACGCCGGACTACGCGTACGGTGCCGGCGGCTTCCCGGCCTGGGGATATCCTTTTCACCAAATACTTTTGTGTTGTTGGTAGCTGCATTTTACTAGAGTAAGGACACTTTTGATCCATGCTGCTTCCTTAACCGTGACGTTGTGTACAATTCAGCCGAACTCAACGCTGATTTTCGAGATCGAGGTGCTCAAGCTCAACTAAGCAGGAAGGGGTGGGTCCTACCTATTAATCGCTGTCAAAAGGTTTTCAAGCTTCGTAAAATAGGCGCCAAGCTGAGCGATGGAGACAAGTGTGCAAGAGAGTCCACGAAGAGAGAAATGCACTGCATATTTTGCGATGCAATTACGGTTCCATTTGCTTGACCTATGGTTGATACCACGACGTTGCAACATAGACTACAACGAACGGATTCTTGGAATCAAAGTCGATGTTTGTTGTTTCGCAGCATCACCACCAGTTGGAAGAGGGTCTGGTCGTGCCACGATGGGTGGTGGAAGCGTTACCTCTCCCAGCACGACCGCGACGTCGTCGGTCTCTGGTCAACTCGAGCTCTTCCGTGTCTTCACCGCTGGATTCTGGCACGTCACGTCGGTTGTACCGGTGCTCGCTGTCGTCTCTGCGAATCCCTCCGATGCCCACATCACGACGTTCTCTGCGGACTGCAAGCACCAATCGCAGTTAGTGAGAGAAAGTGACTTCGACATAGCTTCAGTAGTTACCTTGGTCGCCAGCGCTACCCATTCTGCCCGATACTTTCATCAGTTCCAACACGATAGCTGCAACCGAAGTGACCACCTTCATAAACTCGACTATCCCTGACCGCTCTGCATTGCAAGCCTCTCCTCCTTGCCGAATACCCCCGGGGGCTGGCAGAAGAATCACGACGATGAAGCAATCGAGACGCCCAAGAAGAAGGCGTCCAGTTTCGATAGGGAGAGCTCCATGAGCCCGTTGAGAGACTGTGAAAAATGAGACGTGGTGAGTCAATTCCATCCTTGCGTTATCCACGACCGAACAATTACCTTTTGAAAAAAAACATCAGTGGATTCGCTATGCATATTACGATATAGTTGAGCATACCAACACACAACAACGGAATCTCAGATTGGCTTGCTACCAGAGGCAGCAACATTCATTTGTTTGGCTTGGGTTACGCACGATTGGACAAGACCAAAAGAGAAGCTAGATAAGTGCGACGTGTGGTCATTTTCACGTCCTGCTACGCCGCTTCATCGCTTGGCGCTTCAATAGTACGGACCACGGCGCGGTCCAGCAACAACAACCCCGCCGCGAACAACACGTCGACCAGCGACAACGACCTCGTCGTTGCCGAGTGCCTCCCCATCATCCGTCAGCTCGTTGTCAACACCGCGGAGCGCTACACCAGAGAATGAAGGCATTAGTAAGTAAGCGACGCTACGCTACGCGTAATACAATACCTACCGCGATAGCCGACACCACCAAGCCCTCCAACGCCGCCGAGGCCACCGACTCCACCAATGACACCAAGCCCACCAAGTCCACCGATCCCACCAAGACCGCCAATGCCGCCCAAGCCTCCAACACCTCCAATTCCTCCAAGGTCACCCCCGCCACCAAGATCATCGTCGTCTCCGATCTCAAACTTTGGGTCCTCACCACTTGCCAAAACACGCTTGCCACCGGAGTACTTCTTCGAGGGCCGAGCATGCTTTGGGTGCTCCATATGCCCCGGCATATGCGACGCCATCGCCGCAGCAAACAGAACGGACGCGAAAACAAGGAACATGGCCTTCATACTTGGTTCTTGGGGAGGTCCTGCGCAGTCCCGGAGATATTTGCGAGTGAAAGCCCCAGCGAACCAGGAGCCTTTGTTTGTGATGCCAGTTGATCAACTTGCGTATTTGAAGCCGCTCCCTCTCTCATCCGGCCCGTTCGTCTAAATGCTCAAAGATCAGCCGCATACCGCATCAAATTCGGAGAATGGCCCTCAAGAATGTGGTAGTAACTTTGCCAAGAAATCATGCATTTAAGGAATTTGCTCGAAGTCACGCACTAAATACTTCGAAGCTGTCGCTCCAACTGTTTGATCTGTGCCCAACCGCAACAAACAGACCATGTAAAAAGTCCTCCTTGTTTAACACATGCAAAAAGGTGCAGTACCTTGTCATCCCACGCTGCGACTTCGTCTTGGAATTTGGACTCTTCCTGCGCACATTGCTGTTGCAAGCTAAGCTCGTGGCGACGAAGTTCAAACTCGATGCGCTTTTGTTTGTCATCACTGGTAGCGCCGGATTCTTTGAATTGGCTTGCATACTCTGCTCCATGCTAGATGCGTACACAATCGTTTAGCTATCCCAACCGCGCAATAGCTGACAAACCAAGTCTGTTACGAACCTTGATGCCCTCGCCTAAGAGTCGACTCAAATTTTCAACTTGGCGGAGCTCCGAAGCCAATTCTTTTTCTTGTTCCAGTAACGAGTCTCTTTCGCGGCGAAGTTTTACTTGCTTCTTGATGGTGCTCTTGCTCTCGCGGTGATGTCCTTGATGCTTGCCATTAAGAGCTGCGTTCTTCTCCTGCGCTTCATTCACCGCGGCACTTAGGCTCTTGACTTTCTCTTCTTGCTGCTCAATATCTTTCGCAAGTGAGGCGATTTCGGTATCCAGCCCCTCTGTCGTAGACTTTGCCACCTCAATCTGAGCGATGAGATCCTCCAATGTGGCGTTCAGCTACGAAAGTACTTTGCTTAGTTCCGCCCACACGACAACAAATAACGATGCACTTACTTTAGTGTGGTCTTCATCCAGTAGTTTGAGGAGATTCTGCACCAATGTCCACGCCAAGTTAAACAATACCAGCTCACTGCAGTGAATCATCGGACCGTACCTGTTTCTCTTCCAGCTTCTTCTGAGACGATCGAGCATCCTCGCGCTTTGAGACCAACTCTTCCTGAAGACGAGTTCTATCGAAGTTTTCTCCACTGCGGCCAATTGCAGACATCGAACTCGACAACTCGGCGATTGCGCCCTGTACGTAACCTCCTCAGTAACAATAGTAGCTCGAAAACACGCTGAGATACGTACCTCAGCAACAGCGAGTTGTTCATTACGCTCTTGGAGCCTGACCGAGATAAGTTGCGTGAACGGTCAAAACAAAGCGAGCATAGGAAAGATTAGGACAGGCATACCTCCCTTCCAGTGCCTCGCGCTTGGCACTAAGCGCGTCAATGACAGACAGCGCATCCTCATTCGTCATCTGACCTCGTTCGAGCTCTGAAATAATGTTAATGGTGTCAGTCAAACACTTGCTTGTAGAGCCACCATGGCCAGCAATTTACCAGATGTGATGAAGGAGATTCTGCGTTTGAGTGAGCTGATCTCGTTTTTCGTCTTCAGTCGAAACTTTCTGCGCTTGGCTTTCAGCTTGCCTTCCAACTTCCCTGCACATACGATGTTAGAGAAGTAGCGAGTTATTTCACTGAAAACCAGACGTACCGTTTTCTCGGGCAACACGGAGAGTGTCCTCGCGCAGACGACTGAACAAGACCTCGGTTTCTTTCTCTTTGTAGAAGATTGACTCGCGCAGTTTGTGAGCCTCCTGCTCGCACTTCAGCACCTCGGCTTCGAGCGTGGTCCTCTTTTCCACAAGTTGACTTGTCTCTTCCTCCATTTGGGCGATGAATTGCTGAGTATATCTGATCTTCGCGCGGAGCTTCTGACGTGAAGTCCGCTGTTCCGTCGGCTCGGCGCACTCACCCAAGGCGGCACCAACTGTCAGGAATCCAACACAATTGTTGTTAGTCAAGTATCATGGCACTTTTTACCTTCCAATCCGCGTACGTTTGTGTGTCTCCATCTCCACAACCTCTTTAGACTGGGACAACTTCTGCAGCTGAGCAGTAGATTCCATGATCTGGTGCCTCAAGCTCAGCATAGCGGCTCGCTGCTGCTGAAACCGCGAGCGCAGCACCTGCACTTCACTCTCCCGCTGCGCCACAGCGTCTACGACGACAAGCATTAGATATATACGCAACAAATTATCCCCGTCACATGCCTGTCTACCTTGGAATTGTCGATGCTTGGCTTCGGCAACTGTTAACGTCCACGTACGCATCTTCAGTCATTCTCGCATCTTACCAACTCATCCACTCGTACCAACTTGTTTCTCCTCAAGGTTCTGAAGCTCGTTGGCATCCTCCGCCAGCGCGCCCTTCAACGCCTTGTAACGTGCGCGCTCTTGTGCGACCAACTCCTGCAGATTACAGTGAGATTGTCTCGCAGTATTTAAAACCTCGGACTCCTTGACGCACCTTGAAGTGTTTGATGCGGGCGTTCACCGTGGCCACATTGCGTTCGTTCAGCTTGATGCTCTCCATGAGCTCCATCTCCGCCTGCATCATCTCGACTGCAAGAGAAACACCGGTAACCGAGTCGCTCGTCAGCACGAGCAAGAAGAGCATGTAAAAGAAAGCTCGGAGCGGGGGCCACACACACCGATGTACTTGCGCAGCTCGCCGATGTCGTCCGCCATGAGCATCGCCCTGGCGCTCGCTTCATCCGCTCGGGGCTTCTCCATCTTCTCGCCGCTCGCTTCCACTTGCGCTGTCGAGTGCGGAAAGCGAAATGGATTGCGGAATCCAAGGGAAACCATGTGACCATCACTCTGACCTCCAAGTTGAAGTTCGCGGCAACTTACCAAATCTTGCTGGGGGAGGGCGCAAGATGAGGTCCTGACATCCATCCATGACATCCGTCATGTCATGCAGATGCTATTTTGATGTACACCAGCAACTGACGCTGAGCCTGAGCGAATCTGTTGAGGCGGGAAGAGTCACTTTAGTAGCAATAACAGCAGCAGCAGGCGCCATGGTCTCCGCTTCCACGGTCGGCGTGACGACGGATGTGTGTGCCTTGTCCGACCAAGTGAAGAAGTACCGCGCTCGTGTCGTCCAGAACGGCCAAGGGGCAGTCAGCGACGGCAAGAATGCTGCTTCGGGTTCAGCCATTCCGTCGCTGCTGCTCATGTGTCTCAAGATCATCTCCGACCGCTTCCGTCTGCAGCCCAAAGCGCAGAATGTGCCTCGTCAGTTCCTACCGGAGGTTATGGCTCGCCTTCCGTTGGACCTCGACGTGTGCGTGACGGCTCCTAATGTGACGGACGAGAACTACTGGAAGCGCTGCTGCCTCAGCAAGACGCAGTGGAAGAACATCCAGATCGCCGACCACGGACTCACGTGGAAGCAGCTCTTCCTAGAGAAGCATCTGCAGGATCTACTGGAGGACTTCGATCCATCGCTGGATGATCATGACCACTTGATGGCCGTTGTAAAGGCTTCCAGTGAGTACATTTTCACCCTGGAGATCGACCAGCTATTGTCGCATCTGGACTTGAACGAGATCTGTGCGCAGTTGCGCAACTTGACCAGGCTCCGAGTGACCTACGGCGTCAAGCAGATCGGGATGAAGTACGAGCGTATGCTGTTCGGAATGAAGATCTCCGACGCGACCAACCTCTCACACATTATCAAGTCGTCGAACTCGCTGACGACGTTGTGGCTACCCAGCAATCTGCTAGACGACGACTTGCTACGGATGCTCATGACGGGGCTCGTGAAGAACACCAGCATTACGTCGCTCGATCTCTCACACAACAAGCTGACGAACCACGGAGCGAGGTTACTGTCCAAACTGCTAGGCCCCGAGAGCGTGATCACCACGCTGAAGCTGTGCGATAACCAGATCCACGCAGAGGGCGGGAGATACCTCAGTCGCGGGCTCAAGTACAACACCAGCTTGGTAGAGCTCGATCTTCGGCTCAACCGCCTCACCGACGATGGCGGTCGCATGCTGCTGGAAGGTCTCGTTGAGCACACCTCGCTGACTAACCTGAATTTGAGCAGTAACATGCTGGGCAAGGAAAGTGCCGAAGCGTTAGCTGAAATCCTCAGCGACTCACTAACGGCACTTCGCTCCCTTGACCTGAGCAGCAACGCTCTGACCGAAAGCGATGGAGACGTGCTGCTGCAGGGTTTGCAGCAGAATAACACACTCGTCGCACTCGACCTGCGCCAGAACACGCAGATCCCCGCTGATACCGATTGCCTCGTGAAGATCGCACAAAAAATCCGACAGAACGAAGTGAACATGAAGACCCCGCCCTCCACTGAAGGGGGTGGTAACAGCTCATAAGTCACTTGCACCATCTTGGCAGGTAGGATATGGATATGCCTATTCCTCCGCACTCGCTTCCTGGCGCGACACCAACAGTGCATGCGTTAATGAAATGTACACGACGCTCTGTGCCTCACTCCCGCTTCCATCCTTCTTTTCATCGCCCTTCTTGTCTTCACCGTTTGTCCGCACACACGCGAACAGAAGCTTCTTTTTCACCATTTTGGCCACACGACAGAAGCTCACGAGATCAACGCGCGCGAATTCTTCCTCGTAGTCTTTCACCACCACCAGAGCCACTGCATGTGTCTTTTTGGGGTCATCTACTCAAAACAACACACAAACCGTCAGTAGCAAACTCGCCCTTCCTTCCGTACACAACCCGCGTCGGACCTTTGTAAACGAGGAAGTCGGCTCCAAACTTTGAGCCGAAAGTCACGACGTAGCCTCGCTCCCACAGATCTCGGAAAACACGCAGTCGAGTACGACGTCGTGACGCTGTGTTCAACCATAGCGTTTTAGTACAGATGCACGTCAACTAACAAGTATCCAAGTAGTTCGTACATAGTCTCCACGTGACGCCATCACCATCAATATCCTCTCTTTGCCATGCATCACCTCTCAATTCTTCTGTAATCTGATCCACTAGTGTCCGACTCTTCTCCTCCACACCTCCATACACAGTAGAGTCCACTCCCGGCGTCTCCAGTCGAAGGAACCCTTTCACGACCCCCAGCGCCATCTCTTCCAGAGCCAACCGCAATCGTGGGGGTGCCGCAGCCGCTGTTGGAGCCACCCCATCAGGTGAACCATACAAGCGACACTCTAGCTGTAGAAATGCAATTTGCTGCGGGTCGGTAACCAGCGCGTAGATGGCGTCCGCGTCCGACGCCTCCATCACCATCGCCAGCGCCATTGCTGGAAGTACCACATTGAATGCTATGAGCCAATCACATATCGCTACATCAACCTACACTTTTAGGACGCATCCTACAAATCGTTTAGTCAACGTTGCGGGTTCAAGTAGCCCCAAGCCTTCGGTCCGACGGGCACCGGCGGGACCTTACCACAAGCGGATCGATCGACCATGGCGGACGAGAGCAAGATGACGACGGTGGAGACGGACGTGACGACGGAGGGCGACTCCCAGACCACCAAGACGGTCGCGCGCACCACGACCACCACCACGCGCGTGGTCTCCCCCTCCCCCGAGGCTCCCGCGTCCTCCGACTCGGTGCTCGCCAAGACCTCGCCGCTTCTCGCCGCGTACGAGGCGTGGGTGGGCAGCCACACGGGCCTGGCCCGCAATGTGGAGACCACGCTGTACGTGGCGCCGCAGCTGGTGCCGGTGCGTGGCTTCAACTCGAGAGATCTTGAAAGATTTTTATGTTATTATTGTTGGTACCTATAGATTTTCTTAACGGCTTGCTTGATGCTGCAGAAGCGGGTGATGGAGCCGGAGGTGGCCACGCAGTTCGGCTACTCGCTGGTGGGGCTGCTGCACCTATACCACGACTACGTGCTGTGGAAGAAGGGCAATACCGAGCAGGAGCCGCCGACCGGCAGCCAGAAGTGCGTCTGGAGTTGAAGTTGCTGTGGTGGCATAATGTGACTGGGTTGCTGATTGCTGCTGTTCTGTTCCGTGCAGACTGACGCGGTTGGTTCGGGTCCCGCTGTCGCTGATCTCGCACGTGCAAGTGCTGGCGGAAGTCGTCGCCCGCCGAGTCGGTGGAGACGTGGGCAAGTGGCGCCTGATCGTGTGGGTGGAGGTCGTGAAGAGTGTGCTCCGTCTCGTGCTGCTTGCACAGCGCCGTCGTGCCATGATGATCCGTGGCGGCAAAGTGAGTGGGCCGGGCCTACTGGTGAGTTGTGTCATGCGAATTTAGACTCACAGGTTTCCCTGCTACAATGATACAGTACAAGGGCGTGGAATCTGCTCCTCGGCCATCGGCGTTCGCGCGCTTCAAGAAGCCGAAACAGCCTGGTTCCCGCACGGGCAAGACCTTCGGAAAACGTGAGTGGCCGAGTGGCCGAGTTGAAAGCTTCATTTGTGCTAAGTCGTTGGCATGGTATCTTTTTCGTTGCGATGATGTAGCTGCGGTGTCGGAGCCTGAACCGATGAAGGAGAAGAGTGTCGAGGAAGCCCCCAACAAAATCATGTTTGAGGTGAGTAGAGGAAAAATCGGCACCTTCTCGTTGCATGCGCTGATTAACCATGCTGTGTGTTATGCTGAATAGGACGCAACGATTGAAGTTGCGGAAGGCTTGCGAGAGGACCTCCTTGTAGCGGGAGAGATCTGCCACATTTTGCGGCCTGTCGTGTATGCACTGCTGCGTCGTCGTCGACCGGAGACCTCGTGGACACCTGTGGTTGCATCGCTTCTCGTTGAACTGTCTGGGTACGTCTTTGCCGGATGAAACACTGTAGCAAAAATGGGTCGTGTGGCTTACGCTGCCTTTTATGTATATGCAGTTTGGCGCTATCTGCTGCAGCTGTCAAACCGGTGGAACCGAAGAAGACTGTCACCGCTGACGAGGCGAAGGACGAAATTGCAGCCCGAAAGGTTTGTTTGACTTCTACGGAGTGCTGTGCTATTAGTCTATCGGAGTGCTTACAAATTGTTTGCGTATTGTAGATGGCTCTTCTTCTGTATTTGCTTCGCGACCCAGTGTTTGCAACTGTCACGAAGCCTGCTACTGGAAAGGTAAATATTTCCAGCTCGAGGCTTTTCGAAAAGTTATCAGCAACGTGTACTCACTGCTCGATTGATGCACGTATACAGGCTGCTGACGTGCTCGACTACGTGCCACTCGTGGGCAAGCTATTCCGCTTTGGCACGACTGCTGTGCTGGACTACTACCACCAGTTCCACTTCTACACCTCGGCGTCGTAGAGTTCCTTGGTCTGGTAGGCTTTTTCTCCGATTTCGTTTGTATGAGGTCTGCGCTCCTGTTTCCTTCCCATTCCGACGCCGTAGTGTTGAGAGTTTGCATAAAAGGATTGTGCTTTTCGCTGGAATTTCTGTTGAATTGTTCGTGCCATTTTCGAGGATTAACTCCGGGGCTGCTATGACTGGTTTCTAACATGGAGTCGCGCCGGCACGACCAGCCAAGGACGAAGTAAAAACTCTTCTCGGTGAACAATGAAGGTTCTAACAAGCCTAATGGTGTTGGTGGAGATCGTGGGCGCTTTGGTGAATGCTGAAGAAGGTGCTGTAGCTACGGTGGCGCTATACAACCTCGGGTGCTTATCTATCGTGTTGTTTGTAGGAAATGGGCTGGACCATCTGGAGGATCAGCACCTGACCGGAACGATGACTGAGCTAGCGAACTTGCGTAGCGAAGACGATGGGAGCGGCAGTGAGTCTGGTTCCGGCGACAGTGGTCGTCGCTATGGCAACAGCCGTAAGCTGGCCGAATGCGTTGAATACGACGGAAGCGGAAGCGGGAGCGAGTCTGGATCCGATGACAACCGTCACGAGCTGGTTGAAGACGACGACGTGAACGCTTACTGCCGTCCTGGCGCCAACGATTGGCCGGCGTGCCGCTCCATCGGATACCCGGGGTGCAAGCCAGGCATGGTTCGCTGGCCGCAATGCCGCAATGATCTCTGAATGCGTGACGTAAGCCGAAGTGTGAATATCCACGAGCGCCTGTGCGAATGCCAACGCTGCGAAGCAACAACTTAGCTATACGAAATAGCTATCTAACAACATGAAATATGACTTCCACAACGCAAGAATTTTTTATCTGCGTTCCGTTGAAGTATTGAACTGTGGTGTATTTGACAACAAACGTTTATTTCGTGGGTCACCTTGTGACTAGTGTGTAGAAGAGAAGGTAAGCCGACGTTAGCGTCTCTTTTCGAAATGTTGCCTCGTCAAGCACTGAGACCACGTCATCATCGATCCGAAGCCACTCGGCGGCATCTTGCCGAGAATGGTGATGCCGCACATACGCGACGTAGTGACCAGAGTCAATCGAGTTGCCAAGATGAGCGCACACTGCAGCCAGCTGGAACGTGACGCGCTTCTCTTCGTCTCTGAAAAATGCATTCATCGTGATGTCCAGCAGGTCATCGCTCCCACACGGGAAGCTCACGGGCGTATCCACCTTCTCTGTTTGTCCTCTCGTCGACGTATGCTTGAATCGTTGCAGCCGAAGAATCAGCACAGGCGGCACACGCTGTAGCAGAATTTGCGTGAGGCGTGTGGTCTTGGCGCGGCAGTAGCCATCGCAGTACACACGATTCTCGCCTGTGAGCTGTTCGGGGTGACGAAAGTGCTCCAGACACTCGGACAGCGTTTGTTCGCCCTTCCCCGAAGCGATCGCTAGGGAAATAATCCTGTTCGCAGCAACCACCGAGCACGATAAGCCAATTCTGCTAGACCAAACCACGTCGAAACAACTATACTCACCGTTGCTCTTCGTGAAGACACGTGAGGTTAGCACAACTGCAGCATTGCGAGCCTCGCACAGTTTGCCCCGAAAACAGATCCGTAATCACTGATGCATTCTGCCGGAGGAAATGGCTCCAACGCGCCTCGCCCAGGTTTGCTGCATCGAGAAACACCAACAGCACGAAACATGTCAGTTCATCTGCATTGCCACCAGTTCACCAATCACACCACCACACCACATACCAACTGCGTGCATGTACGACCTCGGGTCGTTCGGGTCATAGCTTTTAAGCTTCTTGAGACACCACTTCTCCGCCTGCAGGAACTGCTGGCGTTCCTCCTCCTCTTCTCGTTGCGGCTGCGCTGGAACCCGCAGCAGATCGTGCAGCAGTTCCAGCAAGAAGGACAAGAACTCCTCTGCGTCCTGTTGCTCCTGTCTGGACGCAGCACTCGACACCAAGTAGCTGCACCGACTCGCAGCGGACCTGAAGCGCCGCATGCGCTGCTGGTTGTCGTCCCTAGCGTTCCTGCGTATGTCCTGTCGTTCTCCTCTGCGTCTCACGCCCGCCGCTTCAGCCTCCAGCTCCAGCTCCAGCTCCACGTCTTCTTCCTCCACTGGGGAAACGCCTCTCAGCAGACTCACGAGCGTCTCGGCCACCAGCAGCTTCTGCGCCTGAGCGTCGTCGGGCTGCCGCACCACGTGCAGCTGCGAGCGCATGCGCAGTGCGCGGTCCACGCTCTCCAGGAAGACCGGGACGGCGGCCAGACACTGCAGCACGGCGTTGGCGAAGCACAGGTTGCCGTTGTTGGGCAGGCCACAGGGCAGCGCCGCGTCCTGAAGCTCTGCAGAGGGAGCAGCAGCAGCGCTGGACGTGTCGTCCGCCTCGTTCTCGGCGCTTGGGACCGCCTCGACGTCGTCCAAGGACCCGATGCCGAGCCGCATGAGCGGCCTCTTGAGCCAGCGACGCAGCCAGAGCAGCGCCTGCGTCCACCAGAAGAGCAGCAGCCACGGCAGGCGCGCGGTCTTGGTCCGGGTCGAAGCGCCGAGCCATGGCCCAGCCATGGTATAAAAGGCGTCTTGTAGAATAATTTTGAGTTTGTTAAAAATAATAATGGAGAGACGGCTTCTGATTGGTGGAGAGAGAGAAAATAATACTCGACCACACACACTGCAATATAGACAATAGACAATGCTGGGTCGAGCTGGAAGGCTGACGCCGCTGCTGGGCCGCTCGCTGGCCGCGCAGACGCGATGCTTCGCTGCGAAGCCCAAGATCCAGTACGTAGAGCGCTGTTGGGGGTAGTGGATTCTACCGTTCTATAGCTAATAACTAACTGGGTGGGTGGGTGTGGTGCGTAGAGTGCCCGTGGACAAGACCAAGGTGCATGAGACGCCCATCGTGCAGAACTGCGGAGGAGACTTCATGCGCTGGATGGGGCCCGGCAGCCGCTTCCAGATGTACTGCTCTCTGCTGCTGTCGGGCAGCCTCGTGTACCAGGCCGACGCCAGCGCCAACATGCTCGAGGTGCGAATCGAAGCGAAGAGCTCTTTTAGGAGTATGGAGGATGCAGAGGTGACTGATTGAGTTGGTGGCGGGTATTTGAAGGTGCTTGCGACCAGTGGAACCATTTGCAGCGCGTCGATGACCGTCTTCTTTGGCGCCAAGAGGCTGTGCGATAAAGTGGTGACGGACATTGTGTCGTGCCGGAGGATGGGTGACCCCAACGAGTTCGTGCGGGTGTCGGTCATGGGCGTCGGGGTCAAGGAGGTGCTGGAGGCCTCGCCGAAAGGTGAGTGAAGGTTGTTGCAAAGTGCAGGGTTCTTGGGCGGATTGAAGTTGATAGTTGTTTGGCTTGGGGTGTTGCGTGGGGAGCAGACTTGAAGTTGCTCGGGCACAACGGCAAGGACGCGTACAGTTTTGTGCTGGGTGGACGACGACTTCAGCTGGACACGTCCACCGGCGAATGTTTGAACCGAAAGGCGTTGGATATTCTGATGCAGGGCAGACCGCTCGTCACGAGGAAGGTCAAGCAGGGCAAGAAGGGATCGCGCAGATAGAGTGTAGGGGTGGATTGCGTTTTGATTTCAAATGCATTATCAATAGATCGCTGTGTCAGCACACTTGTGGGCTGTGGATGCTTTGGAATGGTTGGGGCTCAAGATGCGAACGCTAACATGGAACCAATCCCTATAAGTGATGCATCGAACGCGTATAATCTCGATGCTGCCGATAAACAAATTCTTGCCGGACTAAAGTAAAATGTAAGAGGCGAACTTCTTACGTGTACTCAAACTTTCACATGTAGCAGTGGCTAGATCGTCATCTCATCGCGAATGGTGATATAGTCTTTTTGACTAAAGTATACTTGCCGCAGAACAGGAGCGGCTGCGAGTGCAAAAATTCTGCACGCAACGTGTTGGATTATCTGAGCTCCGGGCGACAGCGATCGCGAATTCACACGTTTTCTCTTAGAGCCCGCTTCCGTAACTGTTGACCCAAACCCCAAAACGCTCAGGAATGCAAGTCTACACTTGGTGGGCACCAGGCTGAACTTTTAGGCCAAAGTCAATAGTCCGCCGAATCGAGCATGAACGAGTTTGGGCACGCAAACCATTGCGGCATCCATAATGTAGGTTTCACATATGCCCGCCACCAAACTTGTATTATCCGATGCAATTCGAGGCAGACGTTGGGTTGTCTTCCTTTCACGCCAGCGCGCCGCAAGTTGCCCGCGATGTCATTATCAAGTTCAGAGCTGTTTTGTCAGATCCACCACATGGACCGCTAGCGTTTCCGTGTCTATGTTGTTTGTGTTGCGCATGTACGCTCGAGCTCTCTAACGGCGCACGTCGTGCCCGCACCATTTTTCGAGCTCTAGGCACCACCACCACCATTAGCTGCCAACTAGGATTGCAGCTGCACAGAGCTGGCAAAGCTCGGACGCGGCGTCGGTAAGCACTTGCCATAAGGGAGCACGTAGCGTTTGTAAATTTATCTCTGCAGCGTGATGCCAACCGCTGGCGACAGGGGCCCGCGGGCAGTGCTTGCTTGCTTGCTGAGTTCGTACGTTGGTAACTTTCAGCCGAGCCTGACTTACGGACCGACGGCGCTCATCCACGCGATGGTACATGTAGCCATGTTCTGACTACTTGAGTCGGTAGCCGGTTTCCGCCGATTCAACCAAAATTTCTAAGATCGTATCGCGAGGACGTCCCACGGCGTCCACCCGTTGGCCTCCAAATTCGAACTTCGAGCACAAGAGCTTGCATGTGTTGCAGTTTTTGCGCGTTCGATTATGCAGGGCGGACCTGCCGCTGCTCACCGAATTGCAGAGAGATTTCGCTCGGCCATGCGGCGGTGCCGAACGGATGGAGCCGCTCCGGATCACCGGCGGCAAAATCGACGCGCGCATGTGAGAGTGTCGCTCGCCCTCCGCGTCCTCGACGTCTTGGCACCTCCAGCGGCTCTCGCAGACGTGGTGTCCGCTGATATCGCTCTGATACCTGGCTGAAAATTTCTGACGAACCACGGGGCGACTCGCCACGGCCCAAATAGATCGGCCAAGCGGTGTGGGGCCTAGGCATCCGCGACCTGCGTCGGGCAATGACGAGCTCAGCCAAGTCCTGTCCGCCCGTGGTGGGCGCTACCGGTATTGATAACTGCTGCCCGTCAGCCCGCTATGGCCAGCGGTGCATTGGGGCACTTGCTCCACGACAACGGCGAGCGGCGAACGACAACCCATGTGTCGCGTTGCAAAAATTAGTCGCCAAGGACGACGAGCTACTGTACACTGTAGCCTCGTCTTGCGTCGGGCCGTTATTCAGCGTCGCTTCCTCGCGAGCGAGGTGGCTTCGGCGGCATTGTCCACGTAGCGCTGCCGGCCCGGCTTGCACCGCGGGCGTGGAGGAGGTCAAGGGCAAGCTCGGGCAAGACGCAAGCGCGCGCGATCGAAATCAGATACGAGTACGGACGAGAGGATTCTGCTTGAGAAAAAGTGCCTGCGCGCTTGTGAAAAAGTTTCCCGATGCGATACGGGCGCATTCTCCTGTTGAAGCGCGAAATTGGGCCGTCTCCGATAATATTCGCAGCACTTTGGCCCAGATGTTCACCCACCCATCCGACGAGTGTAACTCGGTCAGATGAAAGAACCCACCTGCGTTAGCGCTGTCAGCCCCCACCGAGCCACGAGGCGATTTTTCACCTTCACCTGTGCGGCTCAAAAGAGTTCACGGTCCAGAAATAGCGTCGCCAACATCTAAAAAAGTCAACAGTCTCCATCTAGCATACTAAACCCAAGTGAATATTTGGCATACTAAGACCAAGACAAAATTAAGCCAATTTACGCCCCTTTTATCCCATCTGAGACCCAGTCGGCACATTTCCAACGCCAATTTTTCGTCGACACACAGCAGTCGCCCTGCCCGAAAAATTTGATGGCATGCCCGAGTCGACGGCAGCAGCTCATTTACCAAAGTGATCTGTCGATCGCACCCGCGGCACAGCAATAACAGCAACAGCAACAGCAACAATAGCAGTCAGTCAGCGCACCCTCTTCCGGCCCGTCAGCTTCGACGCCACCAACATGCTGCTCGTAGACAAGCGCCCGCCGCAAAGCCTGCCCGTGAACGCCGGCCGCAAGCGCAAGATCGTGCTGAGCGACGACTGCAGGGAGAAGCGCCCGCGCTGCAGCAGCGCGTGGACTGAGCTCGAGTACGAGATGGTGCTCGAGGAGGCCACGCTCCTGCGCGAGGAGCTGGAGCTGCTGCTCTTCGTGGCCGCCGACCTCTGCCGAGACCTGCGCTGCGACGACACGCCCGTGCGCAGCTTCGCCGCCGCACTGGAGCAGATCGGAGAGCTCATAGCCTCGTCGCAAGCGCTCACCGTCCCGCAGATTCGCGAAATGTGCCAGCAGATGCTCGCCATGATGCAGTACCTGTGCCGCGTGCACTACAGCCACTTCGCCCTCGTGGACATGCAGGACCAGCTCCGAGAGTGCCGCAACCGCTTCATGCTCTTCATCTGCAAGAACGCGACGATGATCGGACTCTAGAGAGACCAGCCTGCAGCACCAGCACCACACCAATCTAAGTTATGGGCTCCACCGACGCCCTGTATCAGTATTTTTGCCACACTAGGGGCTAGCAACCCCACATAATATATCGCTCCGTTTCAGTCGACGTTATGGCTTCGATAGCAAGCGTTTCTGGCGTCAGGTGCAGCTCATGTCGCGGCATTTGATGGTTTAATGGGAAGTATACGGAAGTTTGAGACCAGTCGCTTGAGCTACCACCCGTCGTGTACTAGTACTAGCACTTGCACTAGCACTTCTGTCATCAGGGGCTGAAAGGAGTTAAACATGGAGGCTCAATCTTAGCGATCAAGCAACTCAGACATCGATAGCATACCTTTCAATGCTGTTCTCTCTCCACTCTTGATGCAGCCATGGTTGAGTGACTTAACATCGACTGGTGCGTGGCTTTCAAACGCGACACCAGGCCGCGGTGGCCCTGGTGTTGCAGTTCTGCTCAAGCGCATAATCCAACTTTTTATCGTACTTGCACCACCTGAACTGCTGTTTCTAATAGAGAACAACGTACACATTACCATCGGCTACCCCCTGGTGGAATGAGAAATGGTAAGAACTTACGCTGCGTTCCAGATCATCGAGAGCTTCAACACAGCACCCAGATCACTATCAACTTCGATAGCAAACTCAGCAAAGGCTGCCTGTAACCGCGCTGCTTCCTCGGCTTTCCTCCGGGGAAATACGAAGCAGCTTCAGCTAGGGATACCGCAAGTCAGTGGCCTTCGTTCATGATCCCATAACCCCGCTACAAGCACGAGACTGCTGGTCAGAAGATGAATCTCTTGAACACTTGCCGATAACATAACCCCTGAGGGGTCGTACCTCAACGAACTCCACAAGCAACGATTTTGTTTGATCGATGAGCGATCTCAATGCAGCGGTAATCTCACCTGCATTGAGGTTACCTCACTGCAGTCTGTCTCGGCTCTTCCATCAACTTGCAGAGCTTTAGCCTGTATAGCCTCCAAGTACTCCTCAACAACAACTTACGATCGTCCGGGGTCTAAAAAGTCATAGTTCTTCCGCGCATAATTTGCCTTTGGTGGTGCTGTCTGATGATCCGGTCTTTCTTGTAGAGCAAGCTGTTGTTGGGATGTCTAATGCTCATTACAGTCACTCCATCTATGAGTAAAACTGGCGCTGCACATTTTCAAGCACATCCCGACACGGGACAACAGCGCGAAGCTTGATGCACATCAGGAATGCCCCCGCAAGCTTTCGGTGCAGGGAATACACCTCTTGAGGCGGAGGTGTCAGACGGCCGTGCATGAACACTTCAGTATGCTGGCCGAGTCGAGTGGTGAGCTTGCTCTTGTGGAAATCGAATGGTTCGTGCGATCGGAATGGCTCACCAACAACCATACCTGCAGCAACGTGGGCGCGCATCATTGCAGGAGACTCGTCGCCTGTGAGGAAATGCATCTTGATCGAATAGTCGACCATGGTCTTCTCGTCTTCATTTGCAGCAGCCCACACGATGTTGAAGTAGTCATCCACGAAGGCCTTGGGATACTCGCGGGCGGCGCCGAAGTCCACAAGTCCGATCGTGTCCGTGGACGCGTTGTACATGAAATTGCTCCAGTTCGGATCGGTCTGCATGAAGCGCCAGTTGAAGAGCTCGTGGATCGTAAGCTCGAGAATGCGACGAGCAATACTGTTGCGCACGTCTTGTGAGAGGTGCACGGCCTTATCGACAGCAACTCCGGAGATCAACTGCGTCGTCAGGATACGCGATGTAGACAGCTCGCGGTACACTCGTGGCACGACGTACTTCTCACCCATTCCGCTCTGCTCAATTAGCTCCCTGAATCGCTCTTGGTTCTCTGCCTCGTTCAGGTAGTCGCACTCGGCTGTGAGCTCTTCCTTGCCAACACGAATGATCTCATCGATGTACAATCCGCGCGGCAAAATGTTGGTGTACGTCACCAGCCTCTTCAAGTTCGACAAGTCACTGCCGATAGACTCAGCCACACCTGGGTACTGGATCTTGATCGCCACACGCTCACCGTTCAACAGAGTAGCGCGGTGCACCTACACGACGTGGATACGAGCCAAAGCAGTATACATATTACAACACTGCTCACCAAAACAATAATTAAAAGTTCATGCAAACATGATACCTGTCCAATGGACGCAGCAGCAATGGGAACGTCGTCGAATTCCAAAAACTTGCTGCGCCAGTCCTCACCGAGCTCGGTCTCGAGTTGCTGGTGCAGTTGGTCCTTCGGCATCACGTGCGCACTACACAGCAGCAACAAGCAACACTTTGTTAGTCACCATCTCAATCTGCACCTTCAACGCACCCACATCGTACTTCTCGCGAACGCGATCTAGCGCCACAGCGAACTTGGACGGGATCATGGCCTCATCCTGGATGCTCAGCATTTGTCCGAGCTTCAGGGCCGCACCTCGCATTGTGCACAGCGTTTCCGCCAGCTTCTCCGCATTGGAGTCGGACACGAGAGCATTGTACGTCCCGTTCATGCCTCCACTGCGGACGATCTCGGCCGCCGTGCCCACCGCAAGTCTCGCCGCCAGACCGCCGAAGCCCAGGATGCGGGACAGCGGCGACGACGGCACGTGCTTCTCCTCCCACACGCGACGCGGCGGCTCTTCCTCCACCACAGGCGGAATGATGGTCTGCTTCACAGGCTCTGGGGCCTTCTGGACAGGCTCGGGGACCTTGTGCACGGGCTCAGGGGCCTTGATCTTCTCAACTTCTGTCTTAATCTTGAGCTCCTGCGGCTTGGGCGCGTCTCTAGGCGCCTCCACCTGCTGCTTGAGCACCGGCGCCTTCTCCTGCGTCTTGGGCTCGGGCTGAGACGGCGCAGCGGGCGGCGTGGGAGGCGCAGCGCCCTCGCCGTTGAGGAAGTAGGGCACGAGACGCGCCAGCTCCATCGCGTGCTTGGAGAGCTGCGAGCTCTTGGCCGCCACCTCGGGGCCCTGGGCGCGCGCCAGCTGCTCCGCCACCTTGCCGGCGCCCTGCAGCACGCGCACGAAGTCCTGCGTCCACATAGTGTCGAGTGCGGAAGTTGCGGGTGTGCGGCTACGGATTGATTGCTGCTTGGAGTGTTGGTCTCTTTTGCGCGTCAAGGTGTAACGGGTATGATGTGCGACACACCAAGTTCAACCATTTAACTGACTAAGTGCGGGCTAAGTGCGCCTGGGATCCATCCCCCCGAATTCGAGGAGCTTCAATACGACAACAAGCAACAACGACAACAATGGCCGGTGCGATGCTGCGTGCTTCGGTGGTGCTCTCTTCTTTGTGTGTGGATCTAATGCTGTGTGTGTGCGATGGCGTAGAACAAGTCCGCGCGTCTCACCTGCTGATCAAGCACATCGGCTCGCGTCGCCCCGGTACGCATAACGAGAGGAACAGAGGTGGGGAGTGAGTATCTGCTGACCCTTTTGTTTGTGTCTGATGCAGCCTCGCGTCTGTCGAACAACATCACGCGCTCCAAGGAGGAGGCCATCGCCCAGCTGCTCCGTACTGTGAACCGCAACTGACTGGTGCTGCGGCGGCGAGGAGAAAGCTGATGGGTTTTGTTGTATTGGACAGAGCTTCGCGCGCAGATCGTGTCGGGCCAGGCCAAGTTCGACGAGCTGGCGGTGCAGTACAGCGACTGCAACAGGTGCGAGACCTTATCGCGTAGCTGGCCTATTGATGTGTGAAGGGATGATGTTGCTCATGGTTTATGGATTTCTATTGGCAGCGGTACTCGCGGCGGAGACCTGGGACCGTTCGGCCGCGGCATGATGCAGAAGCCCTTCGAGGATGCCACGTGAGTATCTGTTGTACACATTTAGCAGCTGATGAGATCGGATACCTGACGAAGTCCTTCCTGTTGCTGCGACTGCCAGGTTTGCGCTGAAGGTGGGCGAGCTGAGCGACGTCGTTGACACGGACAGCGGCGTGCACATCATCCTGCGCACAGCGTAAATGGAGTTAGTGGCGCAACTTCATCGGCAAGTCTGATGACGTCTTCGAGTGTGCTAGCAATGCATGTTTACAACAGGATTTGATTCATGGAATGAAACTACTGTGCTGATGATCTCACGACCTGTACGCTACTACAATTGATAGATGGCCCAGGCATTGTTCGGGCCCCACGATGATGTCTTCAGCTGGCTTGAGCCATCTTGCGTTGGTAGAGTTGCGCGTCACTGCGCTTACGCTGCCGCTGCACGATTGACCTTAAAGGAAAAAGCTTGGAGATGGAGGCCAGAGGACTGGCAGACTCCGGCTGGTGCTCGTACGCTGGCGGTGCATCGTTCACCCGGAGCTTAGAGTCGAAAGTGTCCACGTCGATGCGGACAATCCATTGTAGATCGCCGGCCTTTACAACTTTCTTGAAAAAGGCATGCAGCTTCGCTGTCTCCCGCTGAATATGTTTTGAGTAGCTACCGAATGGCTCCTCTTTAGGGAGAGTTGGGATTTTTGTACTCGGGTTCTCTCGTCCAGTTGCTTCCGCCCACTCGTACAGAGCGCTGTAGCCAAGCCACACGAGCAACGTGTTGTGAACGTCCGTCTTTATCTGAAGCTGGAACTCGATGAACCGTTGGTGCCGAATTTGGCTGCCCACGACCCTCACTGACACAACTTCAGCGTAGTCGTGTTCGTCGTAGTTTTTGGTGGGCAACGTCCACGCTTTTGTCCGCAACGCTGACGTCGGAAGAGTTGGTGACTTAATGCGCCGCTTGTACACGCACGTGGCATCGTCTACACGGATACCCCACTCGAGGTGGTGAGCCTTGGTTGCTGCTTCTAGAAATTGGTTCAGCTTGATAATGCGGTCTTGAATGATCTTCTCCGAGAAGTTGCCGAATATCTGCTTACATGGCAGCTCGGGGACGCTCTTTCGTGAGTTTCCTTGCTGGTTTTGCAGTGTCTCGGCCAACTTCCGGAATGTACTGTAGCGGTGCCACACGAACAGCGTCCCACGACTATCAGTCTCAAGCTGCATCATATACTCGACAAACTGCTGGTTGTCACGGTAGGCGATACGACTCTCGATGATTTTTGCCGACACCAGTACAATTTCCTTCTTCTTCGCCAGTTTACTCTCCAGCTCCACCACCTGCCGCCTCAACTGCTCGTTCTCGAGTCGCAACTGCTCGTCTACGGCTGCCTTCTTTCCCTCGACACTCTCGTTCTTGGTCTCGCCAGCGGTGAGTTGCTCTCTGAGCCAAATGTTCTGAGCCACCAGCTCACGGTTGAGCTCCAGCACCTCCTCGGCGACTTGTGGCACACAGTTCACAGCAGGACTCGCCCCGGGAGGGGATGGAGGAGGAGGAGGTGGCATCCAACGCCCATTGTGGCTGCTTCTCTTAAGGTGACTTGCGCTTCGTTGTGTCTCCATACCTCGTCGCCTGTTGCACTGCTACTTGCGCTCTACTTGGCAAAAACGCGACTGAACCTCATCTCATGGAGCTCAAACAACGTTTGGTGCGCGAACATTCCCACTGAAACCACTTGCAGTGGTAAGTGGTGAGGCTCACCAACGGGGTCAGCTCGTGCCTTCAACCAGTACGCGGTGCACTGTACCTGTCAAACGAAGCTCTGGAGTGATTGTCAGCTAGTTGAAGTTGAAGTTCATCAACTAACTGACCATCACTCCTGCCGAATCTTGCGCACTCCGCATTCTCCAAGTTGCCGCGTCATGGTAGGAAGACCTCAGCACCCCGTCCGCGCGGAGTTCCGCGTCATCCCCAGCAGCACCAAGCGTCCAAGCGTCGAGTGCCTGCACTGCCAGGCCCAGTTCCGCAACGCGCAGCCGGGGAGCACGCTCATGGCTCATGTGGTGCGCTGTCCAGAACTCTCTGAACCTGCGCGATGCCGCTGGAGACTGTACGCGGAGCGGGAACGCGAGGCCAGCGACGCACGCAGACGTCAAAGAAACCGTCTACAACGGGGCCGCGTAGCGCCGGAAACCGTGGGAACGTCAGCCGAAGTCTACGACTACTATCAACTGGTCGCCAAGACGTTCATCTCATGCGACTTCCCGTCCTGGAGCATCACCAACGCCAACTTCCGGAAGCTGCTGACGTTGGGACGGGACGACGTCCAGTCGCTCGATCGACGCAAAGTCGCACGGCTCATGATCGACTTGACGCCAACTACACTTTCGCTGGACGTCGACGTCTGGATGCGCGCAGAGGTGGCGCTGTACCTCTGTAAGGACATCGAGCAGGGTCAAGTCGTCGTTGACTCGCTGGAAGATGAAGCTCTGGGCTGTCAACTGCTGGCGAAAGCGCTCGTTGCGCGGCAGATCCCGTCGTGGGTGATTGAGAACGAGGGTCTACGAGAGGCTCTGATCCAAGGCCGTGTCAATGTGAAGCTCCCACGCCAACGCGAGCTCGCTGCGATGATGAAGTACTTTTCTCCGTCGACAGTTTCGATGAGTGTGAGCGAGTGGATGAAGTTCGAGAAACTGGGATACATACTGGCGCAGTTCGAGGACGATGCCTGACTGCGCCTTTCATCGTGTGCGTGTTCCTCCTGGGCGATCGTCGGCCTCACAACATGGCTCCAATGTCATAACACATATCTGCTCGCGTGCGAGTTCGATGTGTTCCAAGCAAGCAACGCAAACCGACTGAATGGAGCAGACATCAAGAGTGAGCGAATAAAAGCATTACGCAGAACTTCCATCTAATGTGACTTTCTTGCTGTTGCTACTCGGTCAGCTTCAACGCTTTAGCTCTGAAGTTTCTCGCCACGAAGCAGACGAAAATCGCACGCGATACTGCATTCCCGTCCCTTGACTCGCTAGTCGAGCCGTTCATCAGGCGGGATTGGGGCCGCCGCGCAACCATCAGAGCAATTGTTCTTTAGTCCACTCGCGCTTCTGCACGATACACTTACACCTTTAAGCAGTCTAATTTCCAGCCGTACTGCCACGACGGAAGCTGAACGACTTCATCGACAGTCGTGATGATGAACGCGGCGACGACGAGTGCGTGCTGGCAGTAGAAATACTCTCGCGCGACGCGTTCTTCACACGACGCTTGTACACGCACGTGTCCTGGTCCACACGAATGCCCCACTGGAGGTACTCGGCGTTGGTGGCAGCCTCCAAGAACTGGTTCAGCTTGGCCACACGGTCCTGAATGATCTTCTCGGAGAAGTTGCCGAAAAGCTGCTTGTTCGGCAGCTCCGGGATCTCCTTGCGCTTGTATCCGTTCTTGGTTTGCAGCGTGGCAGCCAGGTTACGGAACGTGCTGTAGCGGTGCCACACGTACAGCGTACCACGCGTGTTGGTCTCGATCTGAAGCTTGTACTCGACGAACTGTCGGCCCTCACGGTATGTGATTCGGCTGTCCACCACCTTGGCGGAGATCAGAGACACCTCCTGCGAGCGCACCAGCTTCGTCTGCAGCTGCAGAACCTGCTGCTTCAGACGCTCGTTCTCACGCAGCAGCTCAGCGTCAGCGTACTCAGCCACGTTGGACGACAGGGTCGAGCGCAGGCGGTCGTTCTGGGCCACCAGCTCGCGGTTCAGCTCCAGAGCAGCCTCGGCAGCCGACTTGGCATCGCGCGCGGCCGACTCAGCCTCGGCAACCTTGGACGCCGCCTCCGTGAGGGCACGGAGCGTACGCGGCGACACGGGTCCAGACGGGCTTGCCTCGATGTCATCCTCCTTGTCACTTTCGTCACTCCAGTCATCTTCCACAGGCTCCTGTCACGCAAAAAAATCCTTAGTAAACAGGTCGCAATCATAACATTTGCGCCAAAGTAGAAGCTTACCGGCTGGGGGTCGCTGTGTTCGCGCTCCTCCATCGACTTCTGGCGCAGACGCTCGGCCGCCTCCTCCTGAGCGATCTTGCGGAGACGCTCCTGCTCACGCTCACGCTCCTTCCTGACACGCTCGAGCAGCAGAGAATACAGGAAGCGCTGCTTTCGGCCACGCTCCATAGCCTGCAGCTTAATAATGCTCACGCGCAGTTTACGGTAACGCTTCGCCTGAAGACCACCACGAGTAATCGCCTGGATCTCCACCACAGCGGAGCGCTGGCGCAGGAAGCGCTTGCGGTGCACGTAGCCGTGCAGCGTCTTCTGAATAAGGATGGCGTGGTCCTTGAGGATCACGTTGCGGCGGTCCTCGAGTCTCTGCAGAAGACCCGAGCTGAAGTACACCTTGGTCTTACCCACAGCAAACTTAGTGTTCTGCATAGTGGTAGCCATGTCGGGGATCAGCTCCTTCAGGAGACCGGCAACCATTTCAGAAGGGTCGGCATCGCGCAGAGCCGACGGGCAGATGATCTGGAAACGCTGCTGGAACTCCACCAGAGGCAGACGGTTAGGGAAAGCCGCGCGACTGATTCGGATGGCGGCAATCACACCGGCGCATCGAAGCTGCTCCACAATCATAACGCGGTTGAACTCCACGGCGCTCTTGTTGGCGTTCGGCTTGATGCAGCGCACGTACTGCGACGACGTCTTGTTGATGGTCTCCATCAGCTCCGACAACTGCTTGCGGAAAGCGCCGGCAATGGTATTACCCACAAGGAAACCCTTTTGGCGGCCCTCCTTGCCGTTCTTGCCGCGGCTGTTGCGCTTGTTCTTCTGCGTGGGGGTGAAAATGCCCGAGATGACGCCGTTCTGGCTGCCCGACAGCAGCTGCACCATGTCGGTAGGCAGAGTGTCCTTGTTCTTCTCCAAAAAGCCCGTACCGTTGTACGTCACGTCGCCAGCGTAGTGGTGGATAGTGAACTCCAGCGGGTTAATTCTGTTCTTCTCGATGCTCGGGTGGTCGCTACAAGCGTCGAGCACCTTGCTCACGAACGTGTTGTCCGTGGCCTGAGGACGCAGGACTTCTTCGTTCAGCAGGCTGACGATACCCATGCGGCCTTCAATCAGGTCGAGGATCGGCTGGTTGTCCTCGAACGTCACGAGCGTAAGAGGAATGCCTTCGTCCACGTACTCCTGCTGCACGTCCTTGAACACATCACTGTTGAACTTCTGCTGCAGCTTCTCGTTCGCGTAGTTGATGCAAAGCTGCTCGAAGCCGTTCTGGTCGAAGCTCTCGAAACCGAAGATATCCAGCAGACCGATGTGCGTCTTCACGTTGTTCGTGGAGCAGATAGCCTTGTTGATACGGTGCACCAGCCAGTCGAACAGCTGAGTGTACATGCCCTTCGCCAGAGCGTCACGCAGGTCCGAGGCCTGCTCGGCGTTCAGCGGGATCGTGTACGACTCGGAGCCGGCCGTGATCGAGCGCTCCAGCAGCGTCGAGTGCAGGGCCGCGCTCTCAGTGCGCAGCAGAGCGCCCACGTTGTCCACGATGTCCTCGTTGCTGACGTGGCACTTCTCGCTGTCGTTGCCGTTCTGTTCAAACTCGACCTCTCCGAGGTTCAGGATCGCCGCGACAATCTCGAAGATGGCGTTCTGCTCGTCTGTCGAGATGCCAATAGTATCCAGAGCGTCCTGCGTCTCCTTGAGGCACTGGACGTCATCGATACCTGTGAGCTCGGCATCCGCACCCTCCGACACGTACTTGTAGTTGGTGGCGTCGCCGCTGAGCTTGAGCTCGGCCTTGCGCTCCTCCGGCAGGCAGAAGATCTGGTGGAAGACGTGGTAGTTGCGCTCGCCCTCCGTCTGACCCACTACACGGCTCTTCTCGAGCAGGTAGGTCTCACACAGACAGCCAACGAGCGATCCGAGGTTGTCGAACTGCAGCTGAGCGAACTTGCCGAAGCGACTGGAGTTGTCGTTGCGCTTGGTCTTGGCGTTACCGAAGGACTCGAGCAGCGGGTTGGACTTGAGCACCTGGTCGATGACCTTCGTGCCGTGGTTGCCACCCCCGGAGATCGAGGCCAAGTGGTTCATCATGATCTTGACCGTCTCGGTCTTACCAGCTCCAGACTCGCCACTGACCAGGATACTCTGGTCCACCTGCGTCCGCTTCATGTCCAAGTAGGCGGTGGCCGACAGCGCGAACGGGTGCGGCGCCAGCGAGTCCCGGGGCTGCTCCAAGTACTGTTGGTACAGCTCGCGACCGTACAGGTCCAGCCACTGGTACGGGTTCACGGCGATACAGATGGCGCCAGTGTACGTGTAGGGCATTTTCTTGGCGAAGCGCAGCTCCAGGTTCTTGAGCACGGCGGGCTCGTGCAGGTGGTTGAGCGTGCACATGTCGTTGGCGCCGTCCGCCTCGAACACGTTGCAGATAGGCATGGCTTCGTCCGAGACCTCGCCTGCGTTATTGACAACGATATTTCAGGTCACAGACAAATTTTAAGTTAGTGCTAACCCGACTTTAAGATAGTGCTAAACCAACTTTAAACTAGTGCTAAAGCTGGTTTAGAGAGGTGAGTACATAAATATATGGGAAGATCGTACCGGCGAGCCGCGCGATGTCGCGGATGTTGACGACCTTCTGCAGGCCGTCGTCCTTGTCCCACTCGCCGTCCTCGCTGGGCTGCAGGCGCACCTCGGCGCTCACGCCGTCCTCCATGCGGCGCACGACCACGGCCTTCTTCCAGACCTGCTCGTCGTGCGGCACCCAGACCATGGCGCCGTTGTCCAGCATGCCGCCGGCGGCAGCAGCAGCGTCCTCCGCCATGATGGTGGCTCGGTTGTAAGGTGGAGTTAACCTCGGGGCGTGGGCGGGGAAGCCTTCCTTCCTTCCTGTTGCGCGGGGCGAGTCTCCGTGTGCCTCGAGACCTGCCTGCTGCCTGATGCGGCGATCGTGGAGTCGCTCCGGCCGGTTGTTTCCCTCCCTGCCTGCTGTCCTGTGGCTCGGCGCTGACTCGATAGGCGGCGGGTCTCTCCCTCGTCCCTCGTCCGTAACCGCCCGCGCAGCCAATCAGCAGCTGCGACTGATTTGCCGAAATAACAGCGGCGCAAGCATACGGGTCGCGCACCCAGCCGTGTCGAGGTGGTGCATTCGTGTCGAGGTGGTGCATTCCTATCGACAATCGACTGCAATTGCAACACAGCTTCTGGACTGCACTGCGACCGAAGCTTCTGCCAGGACGGTGGTGATGGCGGCATTAGATTCATGCTTGCTTGCCGCAACATGTATGTAGCCAAGCCGCTGGCAACGACTGGACGCTCTCGCGCTTGATCACGTTCGCGGGCAGGATGCGCCATGCACTGCGGATGGCAGATCTTGCGCCACTGCCCCGCGGGCCGATAGACTTTTACCCGGTAAGTACTTAGAAGTCCGTAGTTGACGCGACCAGGATGGCGTGCACATTTGTCTGCCTTATATGACGCGTCGGTGCTCTCTGCGCGTGGAAACCCCAAAGTTATCGCTGTCGTGGGCGAGCGGCTTTCGTCCGTTGCAATGGCGCGACAATGCGTCATTCGAAGGAAGCCATCTTCGTTGTTGTCGTCCTCTCGGTGCGCGCGCCGCTCAGATGCGAGCAAATCCTGGTCGAAACCTTTTCCTGTTGCATACTTAAACTGTCAAAAGCAGCGCTGGCTCCTTGTCCAGCGTACCCATCTAACGCTCGTAATGCTGCGCTGCGACCTACGCCAATGCCAACGACGATTTCTGGTCCTTCGCATGCCAACGCGCAGCAGAAGCATTAGGCCCCAGGAGCACCCTAGTGGATGGCGCCACGAACAATGGCGTGGGCGTTTCGAGGGTGCTCGACAAATACCCAGCGCCAGAGCAGGCACGCCACCGCGTGCCCTTCCTTTCGAAAGGGCTCGGAAAGGGGTCCTGTAAGTGGGTCACCGGGTGACTTCAGTAAGACATCGGCCTTTTCGGCCAAAACAACTGGAGGCTGCCGCTTTCCCGGAGGTTGTCCATTGTTGCTACCGACGGGATCAGCTGAGCTACAGTACTTCCACCTTGACGGCCTTCTAGAGTGCAGGATTCAGCAACTGCAGCATGGTGTCCTTCGAGTTGCGTCGTTGCGTGTCTACTGTAGTTGCTTGTGGCGAAGTTAAATGTTGTGCACCCGCGTCCCTGTAGGATCAGGACCATTGAGTCAGTCATTGTGGCAGTGATACCGTGCTACGACTCCACAGTTTGTTGTTGAAGTGCTGTCGTATTATTGTAGGCACAAGAACACATTTTTTGCTGCGGTCACCGGCGCCCTGCCACTAAACCAATTACTAGCATAAGCTACAACTTGCGCGTTTTGGAAAATGCACTCATCCTGGGAAAAGATTTTTGGTGGCAAATTGTTATGCCCATGCCACAAGGTGGGCGTAAGAACAAAGTTCATACATGTCTATTTCAACCCTTTGGCCCTCGAAAGGGATAACCTAGGTAGAGTATCATCGCTCAGTCACACGACCTCCAGGTCTCTCCGTCTTACAAGTGCTCGCGTCCCGTGCTACCGATAGGCGGCAGCAGGTGCATAGTGCTGTGCTATGGGGAACGTTTTAAAACTTAAAAGGGATGTGAATCAATTTTTTCTATTACCGGGACATTTCAATACTTGTAGTCGTTTTTGCTCGTCTACTGCAATGAAGCGCCCTCCAATAAGATTTGGGGCAACAAGTTCCGAGAGGCAAGTGCGAAAGTGGTGGATCTGTGTGACCGTTATTAATAATTCAGCTGTGCGACAACACGTCGGCCAATATATTGTGCTCATTAGTCGGGAGGGCTTGCACATTCTAGTGAACTAACCTTACAACAAACGTAGACCTCAGACAAAGGTAAAACCAAGTTGGAAGTGCGGCACAGTTTGTCGGCGAAGCAGCACCAGTATGTGAGATTAGAGGAACGCTATAACATAGCTTTCCTTAGTGTCAGTGCCACCACAAGTTATGCAATTCCACATGAACTAGAGGGCTACACTCATTTTTCCTACTAGAATTGCCGTTACTCAGAAGTCAGTCTCGTTTCCTCAAAAGTAAGGCAGTTCCCAATAAATCAACTAACATGCCAGTAGGGATTACACTAGTCTACACGTTGACTAAGCTCTGTTACGATAGCCTACCTAGCTGAAATGCGAGGAACGACGGGGGCGAGCAAGCGGCTTACAACTCTATAAGTTACGCAAACTCGGAATGAAGAGTCTCCAAGTAAGAATACCGTACAGTACACGGTGCTTCGAAGCCAAAAGATTTCGAGAACTTGGAATATGATGAACACGCTCAGAAGCGCTGCATCACGGTGCATTTGCGTGCGAAAAATGTCAATTGCGGAAGTACTACAATGACAAGCGCTCCGGGATGCAGAATAAACCCGCTTACTGCTCATGGTACTTACAAGCCCGGTGCAATGGCAACTTGCCGTCGCTTTCACTTCTGTAGCAGCTGCTAAAACTTACGCCTTCGTCACTGTACCGGCACCCCGCTCGCAGTTCTAGGCATCGGCAGGAACAGTCATGGAGCAGTCTCTGCAGTCATTACGAGTCGTGAGGCTAGAATAAATTGAAAATCATGTAGCTAGGTGCGTTCGCTAGTGCGGACGACTTGGAGAAATTACAAGTGAGCCGTGACGCATGTGCTGGGATTCACCGAAGCGAACTGAGGCAGTGGCCTTTCCGCCACTCTACGAATAATTAGTGACCAAAAGTGTGAGTTGGTTTGCAGTGAGGCAGCAGAAAATGAAAAGTGCGTTTCTCAGGAATATAGTGGCGGAATTGCGCAATGGAGGGGGCTGTAGTCCAAGCATCACGATCAAAACAAATGAACGGTTTCCTTGTATTTGAGCTCAACCATCGCTACAGCGTGACTTGAGTGGCTACCGCGCGCGCAACTGACTCGCTACATTTACTGGCCAGGCACCGCAGTAGCACCGCACTTGGTCGAGCAGCAGCTGTGGAAGGCGTCTCCAACGTGGCCCTCGTTACGGCACTGCTGGCTGATGGCAATGTTCGACTCGGAGTAGAGCGTGGGGCAGCCAATGGCCTGGCAGTAGAGAGGGGCCGACTGGTCTTCGTCGGCAGCGGCGAAAGTGGCGACAGCGGCGACGAGGACGAGGGCGAAGCACGTCTTGAAGTTCATACTGGCTGGGAGTTTGGTGGTCTGCGTGTGTGTGCTGGCTGGGGCTAAACGCGAACTGACTCGAGCGGCGGACAATGCACACAAACGAACACCAGACGAGATAGTGATAATCGGATGGGACCAACGCCAACAGCAGTCCCTATGCAAACCGTACTGCGACGCAGAGAAATCCCATCCCGTGACAAAATTTTAACAGCGGGCGAAGCGCCTTGATTGGAGAGCTGGAAACAGGAGGAGAATGTTGCTCCTCGAAGAAAACGTAACGTGGTGTGTCCACAGCGGGTCGCTTGGATCGTCGAACCGAGCCACTGTTCGAGCGGAGGAATGTTAATTCTAAGCTTATCCGAATAGGAACTGCTGCTCGTGAACGAGAGGAACCGGACCACTCGCTATTTTTCGTGGTCTGCTGCGAGTTTGCAGTCGCACGAACGAGTCTACACCAGTTGTTATCCATAGGTAGCCAGGGGAAGATTCGATTCACCAAGTATTCATTTGATTTTCTTTGCCGACCCTAGCACGGTTGAAATCATCGACTGGTATCTAGTATGCCGGACACCACAACTCACTTTGTCTTGAAGAACATCTCGAGTTGTAAGCGGATACTATTGCTACTGCCCTGAGCCCAAACAGCAGAAAAGAACCAAACTAAGGCTTTGGTCCGAAGCGTTTTGATCTGAGGCATCGTGCATGACTTTTTGTTAGCATGTCAGAAACCTGTAAGGCATTGAAGTACTGTAAAAACTGTAATTTACACCGTGGGGTATTGCAGCAGTACCCCCCTGCCAAACTGGGGCATTATTAAGAGGGGCACTATTAAAGGGAGTGGGGATAAAAACAACTACACTGCCTACGGTAATTAGTCTGACCTAGGCTATTTTTGATTGAATGGTTCATTGCTCTTCGACAATAAATAGTCTGACCTAGACTATATTTTATATATAGTACACACACGAAAGAGTCTTACTCGGAGTTTTCATCGACCGACTTACCTTCGAAGTTCTCGCGGTGTTTCGCGATAATATAATGAAGATGCGGGTAGAGCTTCGATTCCAAGTGAAAGTCCACATCGAATCATCGCCTTGGGCGCATAGGACATGCCATTTTTGTCCTTTTGAAGGTTGACGGCTTTCACCGCCTCTGCAGCAAGCTGGAGGAAAAAACTTTTCCCCGGATTTTGAACCACAAACAACAACAAAACTTGCAAAGGAGAAAAAGGTGTAACGGGTCAGTCGTGGTGATTAGAGCCTTGCACCCTTCCTTACCCGCATGGCACAGGAGAGACTAATTTTGAAGTTGAAGTGGTCAGACTAATTATGAATTCTACAATTTGACCAGTACAATAAATAGTCTGACCAAGACTATTTTCGCACATAGACTATTTCCGCACACAGACTAATTACCGTAGGTAGTGTAGCGTTAAAAAGTCTATTTACAGAACTAGGGCTCCGCAAAGCTGGGATAGGTTTTTGGTATAATCGCTTTCTATTATTATGAGTGTTTTTTTACGAACCACGGGCATCTCCTGCGCCTGCTTCGCAGCCGCAGCGTCTGCCCGGTTATTCACCTCAAAACTGTAGATAGTGCTTATACACAGTGATAAAACGAACCTTGCTCGAGATCTGTTTGAAGCTTGTAGAAAATGAAAATGTTTACCTTTGTATGCTTCTGCAGCAGTTCGTCCGTTTCAATCATTCACTTGTACTTCACTCCTACTATTCGATATATGCTACTGACTCATACCGGTTCAATTTGCCCACGCATATAAACCTTTTGGAGGGCCCAGTGCGGCACCGCGGTCGTACCGGTGTAATGGGTTTTCTACCAGTTCAGCTTGCCCACGCATATAAACCTTTTGGAGGCCCAGTGCGGCACCGCGGTCGTACCGGTGTAATGGGTTTTCTACCAGTTCAGCTTGCCCACGCATATAAACCTTTTGGAGGCCCAGTGCGGCACCGCGGTCGTACCGGTGTAATGGGTTTTCTACCAGTTCAGCTTGCCCACGCATATAAACCTTTTGGAGGGCCCAGTGCGGCACCGCGGTCGTACCGGTGTAATGGGTTTTCTACCAGTTCAGCTTGCCCACGCATATAAACCTTTTGGAGGGCCCAGTGCGGCACCGCGGTCGTACCGGTGTAATGGGTTTTCTACCAGTTCAGCTTGCCCACGCATATAAACCTTTTGGAGGGCCCAGTGCGGCACCGGGGTCACACCGGTTTCAGGACAATGTGTCAAGAGGGATCACCTTTTGACTTGACGTACCACGGATATAATCCTGTTTGGTCTGCGATAGCAGCACTAACGTTGCTTCCTATCCCAGTATAAATTTGACAGTAATCACTGACATTGGTAAGTCGACATACAAACCTTAAGAATATGATGTGAAATATTTAGACTTTATGAGGATGAACTCAGAATCAAATTCAATTTTTCAGATGAAAGGTTAGGGTGGGGCTCTATTTGAGGGTTGGGCATAATTACAGTTTTTACAGTAGGTTGCCCATTTAAGCACACGAGATTCCACAAGAATATCGCGAAAAGGCTCAATTCCGCTTTTCGCCAAGCCAACCACACACCAAGGCCGTCCCAACCACCCCAACTAATAAAGACGATGAACCTCAAGATCTTCGTGTTCGTCAGCACCGTGCTCGCTACCTCTCTCGTGTCTGTCACAGCGCAGTCGCAGGTGTGTGGTGCACAGGGCTGCGGAGCCCCGTTCTCTGCCAGCAACATCCAAATCAGTTCGTGCTGCTCAAGACAACCAAACTTCAACGAGTGTTGTCGCACTAGCTGCAACCTCGGCTCTCCTTGCCAGTAACTGGGCTACGGAGCATGGACAACCACTGGGTAAGTGTCTTAACAATGCGCAACTGGTACACCAGCACCGTTTGTCGATGTACTGTTCTGTTTGGCTTCCTATCGTCGCAGTGTACATTACCTCATTTAGGTTGAAGTGGGATAGCGATCGCAAGTTTTGTATCGCACTGTGTCTTCTTCACGCCATCCAGCTCTACAGAAATGTCGACTATGGTGGTGTGAAGTATCACATGATGAGGTGACCTAAGCGTGAGGCTTTACCTTATGATACCACAACAGGTACAAGCCAATACCGCAGCCCAACAACCGAGCACACCGTCCGCAAACTGATACCCACGTGAAACATCTCTCATTCTCGTTTTTGCCAAGCCAAGCCCAGTGTCCCAAGACCGATCTCAAGACGTGCGTCTTCCTCGTCCTTGCCGTTGGGCTCGCAGCTTCACCCACTCCAGTCACCGCGCAATTTCCCGGTGTGTGTCTGGCACCAGGCTGCGCATCCATCACCTCGCCGCAAAACTCGCGCACCAGCGCCTGCTGCTTGGGTAAGCCGGATTTCAACGAATGCTGCCGCATGAGTTGCAACCTCGGTTCTCCTTGCAAGTGACTGAGTTCGAGGCATGGAGTACCTGCAGGCAACAACTTTCGTTTGTTTTGGTAACACAGTAAGAGCACGAGCGATATGCTTTCAACCAACATCCACCTTGTTTCTTCTTCTTCTTCTTTCTCGATCAGTTGGATTGACGCTGCTGATCGCAGTGGGCGCCGCCTCGCATCCTGCTTCTCGTGTGATTTTAGTTGTTGTTGTTGTTGTTGTTGTCTTAGTGCCATTGTGGTGTTTGGATCCCCACTCAACTCCTTGGTAGGATTCCCTCCCTTACCGTTCGTGTTCAAACAAACGATACATCGGTAAGGTAATGTTTCTCGCAGCCGTAGCAAGACCGAGGTATGATTTTTCACGGAAAGCATACTTTGACGGAAAAATTGGGATCTGGCCCATTGTTGAGCGCACCAAGGCAAAAAACTTCTAAAAATCGAGTTGCCGGCACGCCGATTACCAAGAATATCAGCATGTCAAGAAAAGTGTACGTGGAGAAGCTCAAGGAAAAAGTTTTTCCTGCTATTCGTGCAAAATGGCCGGGTAAGTTTTTTTTATTTCGAAAATACTTTTGATTTATTTATCTTAACTTTTTTTTATTTACGCGAACAGGTCGAAAGACTTCTGTTATTCGTGTCCAACATGATAACGATGGTCCGCATGTGGAGGAAGATCATGGTGAGGTCCTCGCCGCTGGTAAGGAAGGTGGCTGGGATATCCAAATGTTGTGCCAGCCACCTCGCTCTCCAGAATGTAATATTCTTGATTTGGGGATTTTTAACCCTATTCAAGCGATTCAGTATCGGCAACCGACAAACCAGATCGACGGGCTCATCGACGCAGTAGGTAGCGCTTTTAACAGTGTTAAATATCAAACTATTGAGAAATGCTTCCTCACTTTGCAAAAAGTGTTGGAATGCATTATCACTAACGAGGGAGGCAATGATTTCAAGCTCCCTCGAGTTCGTAAGACTGTCGGTCTGACTGGTCTCGGTCCAACGTCACTTGCAACGACAGCGACAACTATAGAAAATGGGTACAAGGCACTGACGTCTCAGATTCTTATAGGTAACCCGGAGCGTTGCTCCGGGAGGGTACACAGGTCGACGAATAGTTTCATGGACGATGATAACGGATAATAATTGAGTAAATCCCAAAGTTGTTTTGTTTTTAATCCTTAAAAGCACTACCAGCCCAACTCTCTAGTTGATTCTAACATGGGCATCTACTGCGCCTGCTTCGCAGCCGCAGCATCTGCCCGAGAATGCGTAATTGAACAAATAGATGCGCACATCGAAGTGTATCGATACGGAAATGATGTTTCAGCCAAACATTTGTGAGGCTGGTAACCAACAAGCCCCGCTCTTCTTTATCGTGGTGGGTTCTCAGGAACCGAAAGTCACCAATTGAGGTTGCCTGGTCTGATGAGGCCATCGGTGACATAACACCCTGGTCAGCGTCCAATGGCTGCGTTGGCGCCAGCAACGAGAGAGCTATTTCATTCATTTTGCAGGTAAGGTATACCGTGCTCATTTTTGTACTGTGTTGTGTGCTAACGATCAGACGAGAGAGCTACAGTAGCGGGACGAAGGAGAGACGCATGGTGCGCTGATCTTGACCATTTAACTTGAGTATGTTAGCTAAGTGGCAATAATGATCCTCAATTCAAAAACAAAACAAACAAACTTTTAACTTGAGGGCTTGGGGGATAAATTGCGGAATGATAAATACGCTAATGGGCCAATTCCTTGGAAGTGGGTGCTTCAACGCAGGAAAAAGTCTTGTTCAAACGAACGATGCTCGTGTCACTGTCGAGTTGAGCTGATTGGTTTGGCGACAGCCACGAGGTTGGGCATCTTCGGCTAAGAGTGATTGGGTATTGAGCAAATTGGCATGTAAAAAAATGCAGCCTGCAGCTAGACAAGTCATGCTGTTCATCTTCAGCTAAGCTTGGTCGATTATGGCGCAAATTGATACGCCTTCAGCGAAGTCATGACTCTCTCATACTGTACTAGAGCGTCCGTAAGTGGTTGAATGCAGGTTTTGGTCAAAAATAAACGATTAGTATCAACCTTTGGTAAATGATGTGCATAAATCTTAGCATTTATCGACGGGTACCCGATTCCGGCAGATATTAGCTTAAACATTACAATTAAGAAAGAGAGACCCGGTTTGGTACCCGGTTTTGGAAAGTTACAAGTTTTTTGCCGCCAAGCACAGGTCTTCGACCTGTGAAATCAGTAGAGCCACTTTTTAAAACCGAGCGTTTATTTTTTAATTGTGTATCTAAAACCTTGAAGATCGGTGATTGGATAAAATTATCATGTGATTTGACCGAAAACAGCATAACAGGCAATAAAACCTCACATATTTGAGTGCCTAATTCGGAGTGTTCCGCATGTTTCTGGTCCGTGTGCTATTGTGTAGAGAGTCGCCAAGTTGGAGGAATCGTGTGGTAACTTTTTGTTGTAATATAATTAATTTGCCACAGAATCACGAAATAAAACCTTATTTCTCTTAAATGTGTGCTTGCATTTGTGTTGTTATTTACTTGCTGAGAGCCGTTATCAGATCGCAAAAAATACTGTAAACAGCGCTCTACTACGGGCTTTACAACGCGGGTACGCTGGGCTTTGGCTTGTTTGTGTAGGCGAACTTATGATAGAAAAACTCAACTACCTATAAATTGGTGGGACAGAGAAGTACAGGATTATCTAAAATCGGTGGCAAATTAGAAGTACTGTAAACAGTTCACATTAAGTTCGCTCAAGCGAACTTACCACACTGGTGGAAACATGCATCCTCAGGAACCACAGCCAAGCGTGGCCACAGAAAAGGATTTACAGAGGTGCCAGTCCCAAAGACCTTCAGGATTGGCTACCGGAAGGCATCGCTTTCAGAGTACGTGCTTTTCGTTGAGTAGCGCCGAAAAAAAAGGGTTGTAAGGCTAACATAAGCGAATATAAAGTCCATTATAAGGGCTATGATTGACGCCGTTAGAGTTATTCATAGCCTTAATAACTAACTCCGTGCAGTACCGCAAGCGAACGACTTACAAAATAGCTAAGTGTCGTTTTTGCTTCTTTATATTATGATCGTTTACCTGACTGACTGGGGGTGCTGTGCTTCGAGCACCAGGCTTCTCAAGCGCACAAACATCGGGCGCAGGTCAAGTAGGATCCGTTCTCGGCTGAGCGACTCTACGTCGACTAAAAACAGCTTTAGTTAGGGCAAGCCCAAACTTCACAGTAACACTCGACATAAAAAAACTAGCTGCAAGTACAAAAACAATCGGCTACAATGTGTCGAATCCGATATTTATACGAACGTGGAACATGTCGAGCCTTTATGGTTTGTGGAACCACTCGTAGAGCGTAGCTATGTGATAGTGAGGACAAGTGTATCCTATTTGTTCCACGTTTTTGGTAAGATTAAATCATTTAATGTTGATCGATTTGCTCTAGGTTCATGGCCTCTGTAAAGTTGGCGTTGCGAAAGGTTTACATATCGTAATGTGTAAAACTGCTGCTCTGTGGTATTGTTTTGCCAGGCTTACAAAACACGATCGATAATACTGCATAACTAGACCCCTCTGGTATGTCACTAGAAGGTGAAATCGTGGCGAATTTTACCACTTGCATCCGCCAGCACCCTTCATGAGCACACCTATTACTACAATACTTACCGTTCATAGGACAATCCATACAGCAATTATTGCCCTCTAATGTATTGTTCTTTTTGTTGAAAGGTTCAGGTGGCAACTACAGTATACCCGATTCATTCCGTACTTAGCCATCTACTGTTTTTGAGCTCCTTTGAGCACCCCCAAACTTAACACAAAGTCTACTGTGATGGCCAATGTTTCGCTGAATTAATTTTTGGCTTTTGGATAACCCAGTACATATGTACTGGATTATGGAAATTGCCCTTTCATCGGATACGCATCTGGACTTCGATAGCGCAAGTGCCATATCTAGTCATTCTCTTTTTGTGTCTTTCTACTCAGCGTCAATTCATTCCCGCATGGCTGTAAGCTGCTTCGAGACACTTCGGACCAATTAGTTGCATGGACTGCCGGTTCTGCAACTGGAGAAGCAACACGCTTCAAAGTTCCCACCACGGCTCTCGCAGCACTGGCTGATCCGAAGGTTGGACGGGGAGTAGGAGTTGACCGCACAACCCAGGGTGCTCGGGCAGACTGCGGCATTAGTCGAGGGGAGCGAGGCGGCAATCGCGGTACTGAAGAGGGCGACGACGCAGAGCTTGAGGTTCATCGTCGATTGGGTGGCTTGGTCTGTTCGAGTTCTTGGTCTTGCTGAGGTTGTGCTTGGCTTGGCAACTTTGAGAATGAAAATATGGCTGGGGTTCTTCAGGGCATCGAGTGTGAGAAAGGCACACCAGCGGCCCGCTGGTAGCAGCTACACTGCACTTTGATTAGGGGGTTTCAATGTAGCTAATCATTAGATGATGCACATGCATGTATACGGACCTGGACGGGTTGGGGTGGCTCCCTCCCGGGGAGCGGCGCAGCGGCGTCGTTCTCGGGGGCGCTAATGTGGCTCCGCCGCGGGCGCCCTGAGTCTTTGACGGACAAGGATATGAGGCTAGTGTCTCTGGGCTGAGAACTCGACGCGGGCACGACTCGCGGCGGCGGTAGCGGACGAACCAAGCGCGCTCAGTGCTCAGCCACCGACTTCCCGTGGGCAGATGACCACGGCATCGCCCAGGAAGATGCTTCAGCGGCGAGGCGCAAGCTGGTGCACAATACAAGGAATTTATTTACCTGGTCCTCCAGCATTTTCGTACTCTTGTTTTGTTTCGTCTTCACACAGACAGAACCAATAACGGTAGGCGCGGACTCCTTCTTCTCATTGGTATTAGCAGAATCGCATCCCCTCAGGTTGTACGTGAGTTTCAATACAGTGAGGTTATGGGAATATTTGTTGTCCCGATATCCTGCCATCATGCCTGCAGTTTTATCTTTTGCTTGGTATCTACTGCGTAGCCTCTAGTTGTCTCGACATCATAATATTTTAGTTTTTCGTAAAATATATATGTACGCTGCGCTGATTGTATAACACTGTGGCTAGCTTATTTATCAGTATTTACAAGCTTGCAGCTACTACAAACTCTTTGTTCCAACTTAGCATCCCAAACAAAATTTACCTCTTCGCTCGATTTGTTGTGGCGGGAGTAGTGGTAGCAATGGCATACGTGAGAGGAGGCAGGCAAGTGATTGAGAAAAATATATGAGTTTGGATCTATTACTACGGCGTCCATTTAGAGGGTTGAGGCGCCAACAATGGCGACCATTTAGAGAATAAAGAGGTTTTTGATCAACACATATAGTGAAATCCATATAATCCCGTTTGCAGTCGAGGAATCCTAACCAGATAGGGAACACATAGTCAGTTAGAGGGGTTCATTTAGGGAGGTATCACTGTACATGTAAACGGAAAACCGAGCATCGCGATAACAAGTACCGTACCTCACAGAAAGAATGGTTTACAGATAGAATGCCAAAACAAGATTTTCGAGCATTTGGCTTCATTTCATTGCTTTTTCTTGCATGTTAACACATAAAAGCATTTCCAAATCGGTGGTTAACATAAAACCTGAAGCGTTCCCTACCAGAGCTCGCAATCGGGTACCCGAACCGGGTAAATTACCCACCCGAACCCGGTACACCCGAGTTCGGGTAGGGTGCGGGTAACCGAAACAATCCCCGGGTGAAGCTCGGGTACCCGAGAGTAAGGATAAAAATAAGTGGAAGGTTTCGCATCCCGACTCTTATGTGTATTTGACGACGCCTGACCCAATATCCAAGCATGGAGACCGATAACCTCCCAAAAACACGACATGAAGTCTCTACGGTTGATAAGGTACACGAAGAAGCTAAAGGTGAGGTCCAATGCGGACATGATTTAATGGACACGCAACCAGAATTCACAGGTGAGTGAGCTTTATTTTCATAATAGACATCACCACTTCTTTGAAAGAAGTGGTGATGTCTATTATGAAAATAGCTTCACCTGTAACATTTTATCGGGTCCTTTCAGGCTTCCTGGCGAAGGGGGTCTCATGAGCAGGAAACGTGTTACCAGATTCTGGTACACGGTAACATCCACGGTTTCCTTGGGTTTTCATGGTAACTGTGGACGTGTACCTGCGCACACTACTTCTTTCATTTACTTCGCTTTGACCGTTGATAGAATGTAGCACCGCCCAGAGTATAATTTATCTCGGGCTGTACCGTCGGGTGGGTTCGGGTACGGGTACCCAATTTTACCCGCCGGGTGGGTGCGGGTACCCGAGTTTCGCTGATTGCGAGCTCTGTCCTCTACTGAATATAGTGTTAGAGCAACAGGCCTCGGTGTGGAATATAAAGTAAATGTTCGACCGCCTCGGGCAGGTTCACAGCCTTAATAACGAGCTTTTCCAAGAGCACATGGGTCAACCGCAAGCCAACGAGGGTAACAATTTCCTCCTCTTGAATCAGACAGTTGAGCCTTGAGTAGATCATTTTCCAGCTTCTGAAATTACCGAGCTACATCTTAACATGAAGAATGCATATTTGCCTTTCTAGCAAATGGTAACAATAGTATCAAACGCGCTACACCCAAAGTAATCTTTCTGTGAGGTACGGTATAGGGATGAACAAAACAAGGTTCTTTGTATTTCCTTTCACAGAGTGCAGACTTTAATGCATCCGTTCCCTTTGTATTTATTCAAAGGCTTTGTGCGGGTCGTCGACGCAACTTCCGGGGCTGCCGGAGCTGCAACTGGCCGCGCAACAGGCTGCAAAGTCCCCACCACGGCTTTCGCAGCACTGGCTGATCCGAAGGTTGGACGGGGAGTAGGAGTTGACCGCACAACCCAGGGTGCTCGGGCAGACTGCGGCATTAGTCGAGGGGAGCGAGGCGGCAATCGCGGTACTGAAGAGGGCGACGACGCAGAGCTTGAGGTTCATCTTCGATTTCTGGGTCTTGCTGAGTCTGTGCTTAGCTTAGCAACTTGCAGAATGAAAATTTGGCTGGAGGTTTCTTCACTCAGCAAGCGTGAAAACGGCACCCCCGAGCGGCTACTTGAAAGGCTGATTGATTATGAGTTGATTTCCCCAGCTACGATCTTCTAATCTCGAGATGCATCAACGTAAACCATGATTTGGTGGCTCGTTTCATGCGGCACATAGCACACGGGGGTAGATAACGGTGAAAATATGACGGATACGCTTTGATGAATTCAGGATAACCGCCAAATCATTTCAACGACATCGCCTGAACGAGAATATTTCTTTTTTTTAACCCTGGGAACTCCACGACACGAGCTTACAACAGGAAGGATTTCTGATGCATCTGGAACGTTGGTGCTTGCAGCTCGCGCGCTTGCAACAGTGCGTCAGCCTGCAAAGCTGCGGGGCCGCTCACGAGCAACGCCACATCAGCTCCCATGCCATAGTTTTCGCGAATCTCGCCGTGAACATCGCGTAATCGCGCACCCAAGTCTGGGCGCTCCTTCTCAATCAAAAAGTTGCGACTGAGCAGGGATTGCGCGGGGGTTGGCAACGAACGTGGCGTGGCAGGCGGTGCAGGGCTGGAGATGTCCAGACCAGCAACTTCCATTTCGCCCATTGCAAGGCCCATGCTCCCATCGTCGTCTTTGCGGGAGTTCTTGCGCTTCAGCAAGTACAGCACCATACTAGCTCCGAGTACTGCTCCGAAAGCACCTGCGCCCAGGAGTAGCGTGCGTCTCATGAACGATTTGGCCGTGAATTCCTCCATGCGGAACATCCACACCATCATCATCACACAACCCAGAGCAGCACCCACGAACACCGGCAGCCCGAACATGTAGCCATGCCCTGAAAACGCATGGCGCTCCAACGAAGACGGATAGAAGCGCTGAACTCGAGGCGAGGCTTCCTCCGACATGTCGTCCGGTTCCGTTTGGGCATCGTCATCTTCGTTGTCGTATTCACTATCACCATTTCCAGCATGTGTGAGGTGCAACCACACTTTGCACTTCCACAGTGAACACCGTTTTACCGCATCCAGCAACTCTGCGTGTGCCTCCAAGAACTCCATATCGCGGCACGTCCAGATGATCCACAACGTGCGTGGCAGCCCCGAGTCGTCAGCTGCAACCTCATCACGGTCACTCGCATCCGCCAAAGCCTTCAAGTGATCCAGAACGCTCAAGAACGGGGTGATGCCGCTGCCTCCAGCCACAAACACCATATGCGGAGCCAGCTTGATCTCGGACCCGTAGTAGCCGTCAACGTGGACGGAGTTCAACTTCTGCGACTTCATGAGAGGCAGCAATCGCGACGTGAAGGGCCCTTGCACCTTGGCGTCCAGCATGAACGAGTGGCGGTTGCGTAGTGGGCTGGAGCTGATGGTGAACGGATGCCACTCGTTTCCGATCGCGTCCACCTTGATATACACATATTGTCCTGGCAGAAAATCTGATCCCTCGGTAGTCGACCGCCGCAGTTCCAATTGGAAAACCTTGTTGCTCATTGCCGTTGCCGACACCACAGTTGCTTTTCCGCGCCCGAAAGCGGAGACCGCTCGGTAGATTCCGTACACCACAATTGCCGGCACCAACCAGAACACTGCGGGGTAGTAGTGCAGCCCCGTAAACACCACAAAAATTGCACTTAAGCAGTGCAGCATCACGAATCGTCGGAAAAACCTGCGTCGCACCCACTCCATCGAAGACACGGCAACAATTATCAAGGGCCATATCGCCACTGCTCCGAAAAAGTTGCGGGTCGACCCGTAGCGCTGTTTAGGCGTGCAACTCTCGTCCAAACACGGGAACAACATTTGCTCTACCTTGCCTTGCATGTACCACACATACAGGTACAGCACGCCGTGCAACATCAACATGATGAATCCGAACTGTCCCGTTAGAACATGGTACCGCGCCGCGCGCTCACCGGACAGACCGAAAAACTTGTGCAAAAACGACTGGCGCGCCACGAGGATGACGGATAAAATCATGGCATACAGCCCGTTCATGCCGAACGCGCGCGCTGTCCGGGGCAAAAAGCCCGCTTTGGCCAATTTGCCGCTTTCCTTGTCGATAAGCAGTTTGCCCACCACGAGGTTAAGTTGCAGCAGCAAAAATCCGCCGACAAGCACCACGTCCACTGCGTCAAAGCCGACACTTTTGCCGATACTTGGGTGAGTTTGCACCCATTTCACCAGTCTCAGTTGCCGACCCCACCTAACCATGGACCCAACGGTGGATTGCTTCCAATAGAAGACCGTCCCCGCCAAAAGGAACGGCAACACAATGGCAAACGTGACAACGGCGGGCTCCACTTCGAATTTGTCGCCGAACTTGGTCTCCAGCGCCGGGAAGAGCGTGCGGTAGTAAATCGGCCAGCGGACCCACAGCAGCGCGGATAAAATCCAGACGCTGCAGATTTTTAGGCAGAGTTTTGCCCCATCGCGCCGCGCCGTGGATAGCAATTGCAGCGCCTTCTTCTGCTGCGGCTTGTGCAGCAGTCGCTTCATGCCGCTCGTGTGCTTGGGGGACGTGCGGCTGGCGAGCAGGCGGTCGAAGGCGGCGTCGTCCAGCTCGTCTTGGTCCAGCAGCAGGTCCAGCTCTGCGTCGGCCTTCGGGGGGCGCGGAGGAGACGTGGGCACGCGTCGGCGCTCCATGTCGGGACGAGCGCTCATAATCAGCGAGCAATCCCCGGAATGCCTGCGTGTCGGACTGTGTCAATAAGGTTAAGAGGCATATAGCAGTTTCAGCCAATCATCGTAAGCTATAGCTTATAAGGTTGATCAAATACAAGGACCAGAACTGAAACCAGGACGCTGTGCAATCTGCAGGCGGAATTGATCTTTACGGATCCTTTGCTGGTGCAGCGAGACCGCTCTGCGTTTGCTGTACTGGACAACGTGTATGTGTTGCTTTAATAACTGTTGGTGCTGTGCATACTGTAGTGTAGTGCTGCCATTGACGAGACGCCCCAAGTGACGAGGCCGCTTGCCGCCGGCCTCTTGCCGCGGGCTATTCGGTGTGGAGCCGCAGTGAAACAGCTACCCTCGAGCCCTTCCTGAGTCAACGAAGCAGAGCCACAGACACCAGCGATCCTGCGATTGGAGAACTGTTCTTTCGCTGGGAGGCACTCACACTCCTCCGCGCAGTGTACTGTAACCAGCGGAAAAGCACGAACCGTGTCGCGGCAAAATCCGTTCGCGCCGGAATCGCGCCCAGCCTTTGCTTGGGGGAACTCCCCCGCAAGTTGGCCCCGTCGCACCACAGTCTACATGTACGCACGACTTCTTCATTATGACGATAACATCGCTGCAGTCGTTGGCTGGCAACATTTCACAGCTCTGGGCTGATCAGCGGAAGCCATCGCCGCGGATGGCATTACTGCACAGCAGCGGAGGATCATAGCGGAGACCGTGCCTAATAAGCAGAGCCCGTTGCAAGTGCCCGGCTGCAATCTACGGAGCCATTGCCCATTGCCACGCACTTGCGCGGACTGGACCGACGTGGCGCTCCCACTCCTCCGAGATACAACGCGACGACGCCGTCGTTAAAATGCCATCCGTGGTGGAATTGCATCGCGCGCTGATCGCAACAACGGTCTGCTCGGTTGGGCCTCCCCTCTCACTGTTGCCGTGTGCCGACGGAGACATGCCCTCACCGACGTGTCTTTCGTAGCGTTACGCTACGAGCAGCGCCGCCGCATGCCATTTTGCCTCTGCCACGGAGGACGCTGCGGCGCGCTTTTAGGTGGTTTTAGGCTCGGGAGACGTGCTTTTAGCGCAAATCGTGGCGAATTAAGCTGGTTCTGCCTCTTTTATGGATGACGGCGTGGGCAGACATCTCTCGACCAATGGCAGCGCGTCCTGCACCGGCCGAGCGAAACTGAACGTCGTGGGGACAAGCCGCCAGCTGCCCGCTGCCGCATTTGCGTCGTCGCCGAGTTGTTTAGCACCAGGCGCGGAGTCAATCTCGCGAGGAAGCAGCAGAAACCAGTTTTCTCGGGCGGCAACGACGGCGGCAGGCGCTCCTTCGCTTCATCCCTCCCCCTCCCCCCTGTCGCTTTAGACACACCCACACCCACACCCAGACACAGAGTACGTGGCGCGGCGACCGATTCCCTCCGTTAGCACTACCTTAAAAATAAGAGGCAGGTTAGCACTAGCCTAACTGAGTTTTGTTGTTTGTTGCCGGCAGACCCCCCTCTTCGCTTAGCATACAGGTATGGGCACGCCGACCAAGCGAACGGAGCGCGTGCTGTCTGACGCCGCCGACAAGGTGGCCAAGGCCGAGGAGGCCGCGCGCCAGTACGAGGCGCAGCTGGCCGAGGCGGCGGCCAAGAAGCGCCAGCTCGAGGAGGAGAACGAGAAGCTGCGCGCCTCCATCCTCAACATGGCGCTGCAGAACGCAAGCGTGGACCTGCGCCGCGAGCACGTGCAGCTGCGGCAGACGCTCGACTCGTACCAGACCAAGATCGACCAGATGCGCGAGATCTCGCTGCTCTCGGCCAAGGTGGTGGACAGGTGCGTCGCATTGAACATAGGTGTATGCTTTTTCTTTTCTGGCGAGGTCTTAAAGCTGACAGGGCTCGTGTGCGTGCACTTGGGGATTGTTTTGTTGCAGCCGCATTAAGACCAAGCAGGGCCGGCAGTACGTCGAGTACAAGCTGCAGATCGAGACAGACATCCGAGGCACGCTGGTGCTCTGGCATCGATACAGCACCTTCTTGTAAGTGGCTTGGAACCTGATATGACGGAAGGTGTATGCTGGCGGGTAAATTTTTTATCAGGTGCTGAAGGAGACAATTGCTGTTGCTTGATGCTATAGGAATTTGGCCGCCACGCTCAAGGCCAAGAACCCCACGAGCGAGCACGACATCCCGGAGCTGCAGACGCAGAGCCTGACGGGCTTTTTCTCGGACCAACTCATAATCGACCGCATCGCCAAGCTCAACGAGTTCCTGGACGTGGTGACCAAGGCGGACGAGTTCCAGTGGGGCATCCGGATAGATAAGGACACGTGCGTGTACAAGCGCAAGAGCAAGCGCGTGGACCGGTCCTTCAGCGTCGGCTCCCGGGAGAGCATCTCGACGCTCACGCCCAGCATGCGCGACAGCATGTTCATGCCGGCGTCCTCTCGAGCGTCCACCATCTCCATGGACTCGTATTAGAGCGCGGAGATGTCCGTTCACATTGGATTATCGGACGAGGCTCGAGGACGTTGGTGAAGGACCCTTTTTGGAGAGGACCAAGTAGTAGTGTATCACAGGAAATTGCAGGACAAGTCGCGACGTGTGGAAAGGAGAAGAAGAGAGGCCGACAAGCAAAGAGGCAGCAAGCAGAGCAAGCGAGCGGCAGCGGCCAGGACGGAAGGAGGCCCGCAGTGTGGCCTTGTGTACAGGGTGTCCGGCGAGTTGGACGGACTCCCAGTTTAACGACAAGAGAGGGAAGGAGAGCGAGACATAATGCAACGTTGTTTTTACATAACGTCGGCTTCGGCCTTCCTTAGTGTGTTGTGGTGTTTTGTTGACTGTATTGTGTGTCTAGTTGTCCAGGTTAAGCAAGAACGCGGCGCCCATCATGACCCAGTAGTTGGGCGGTTTGTTGCTCGGAAGCTGCACGGCGATGACGTAGTTGGTGGAGATGCCCGTGGTGGACAGCGTGCCCTGCCGCACCGACGTCTTGTAGACCGGACACGGGTACATCATGATGCCGGCGCTGAGCGTCGGGTTGCAGGCCACCGCCGACGTGGCCGGCAGGAAATGCACGATGGACATGGCCGAGAACATCTCGCCGGGCTTGGCGTCTTCGAGAAGGCGGTGCGTCGGTGACCACTTGGCGCCTTGCAGCCAGAGCCCGTCGACGTAGATGCCGTCGGTCGGACTCTGCGTGAGTTGCTTGGCGTTCTCGACGTCCATGACGGTGAAGGTGAAGGCCAGCGAGTCGATGGCGGTCTGGTACTTACGCGCGAAGTTTTGCAGCGTTCCGGTCATGAAGCCTTGTGGGAAGAAGAAGACGTTGAGCTGGAAGACCACGGGCTCGCCGTGGATCAGCCACTCGCGGAAGAACGCAACGCGATCCAGCATGTCGCGCACCCACGAGGCCAACGGCTTGAGCGACGCGAAACTCACCGAGGACCAGAGCTGCGGCACTCGGCCGTTCAAAAATGCCATGTACATGTTGTCCAGGTCGGAGCTCATGACTATGAGGCCGTTGATGGCCTTCTGGATGTCCCTCAAGGACGTGCGCATGCGACGCAGGAGCGTGTTGAACTTGATGACTTCCTGGCCAAGAACCGTCGCCAACGAGTCCATGACGACGGTGCCGGCCACTTCTCGAGTCTTGAACGTGGTGGGCCCGGCCTCTTCGACGTTCAAGTCGGCCGGTAGGCTCTCCTGGATCGAGATGGCTAGATCGAGCACGCGCTGGTCGTTCGACTTGCCGCCGCCTCCGCCGCCGTCGCGCGGCTCCAGACTCAAGATGAGTTGCATCATGTTGGCACTTTCGTTGCGTTCGTACGTGACGTTGGCGTTCTCGTGCATGCCGAAGAGCTCCGGGTTGTCGAAGGCCGGCAGAGTGCTCATGTACGACTGGATGCTGGTGTGCGCGAGCTCCGTCGGCACGTGATATATCCCCGACGTCGAGTACGAGTGGCCGGGGCTCAGCACGTCGGGCGTGTAGAAGTTGCTGAGGATGCTCGTGAGGCAGCGGCGGTCCCAGTCGTCGGTCACGCGCCCGCCGTAGTTGATCTGGCCGGTGACGTACCGCAGCGCGTCCCAAGGGATGATCGGCTGCTCCTCCAGGAACTTGCGCAGACTCGCCAGGGACGTCTCCAGGTCCGTGTCGTTGAACTCGTACTTGATGTTCCAACCGAGAGCGCCGAACTTCCGTCGCTCCTGGACGATGGCGTGGAAGAACGTGAGCGCGCAGAGCAGCGACTTCCAGACGTGGTCCTTGGGCTCTCCAGTGTCGAAGCTCCCGAGGTAATGGAAGCTCTCGAGCACGTCCTCGGACAGCAGAGTGTTGAAGGATCGGACGAGGTTGGCGCGAATCCCTTTCGGGGGCTCGTTCGTCAGCTTGATGCCGTTCTGCAGCACGGTCACGGGGAAGTAGGCGGCTGGGAAACTCGTGAGGAAGAGGCGGAACGTGGCTTGGCACTGCTCGTCCGTGCGCTGGCCCATGTCTTCCACCAGCTTCTCGAGCTTGGGCATCCACGACTTGGCCAGGTGGCAGTTCTGCAGCAGCACCCAGTCGCCCACTCCTTGGCTGCTTTCGATGAGCTTTTCAGCGCGTGGACCTTGCCCCTGACCCAGCGAGATGAGGTGCAGCCGATCGATGAACGACATTTCCTTGGCGAACCGAAGCAGCATTCCGGTCGGGTCAGCACCAGCGGACAGCACGAAGATGCACGGCGTCTTGCGGTCCGTGTCGTTGTAGATCTCCTCCATGGTCGTGGTCGCGTTCCGCCCGAACTCCGCCCCCATCTCGGTGGAGATCATGTTCAACACAGCCTGAGGCACCTTCTCCTCGGCCAAGCCTCGAAGCAGCAGCACCTTCTGGAAGGCGGTCAGTGTGGAGCCGTAGTTGCCTGGACACGAGTTGGGGTTCGACAGGAACGCAGCGTCTTCCAGCCACGCCACCCAACGCGGCCAGACGTTGGTCAATGAACCGGATAACCCCTGGAAGCCGTGGACTTCCGTCTTCTGACTGCCGTCTGCTCCTTCTGGGGCAGCAGCGTAGCCCGTGACCACCGTCTCGAGCTCCGAGATGAGGTCCCATTGAGCCTCCGAGATGTGTGAAGGCTGAGGATTCGGCTGCTGAGTAGAGCGATCGGTGCCCGGAGGAGCCCCACGAAGGTAGAATGACCACTCCCGTGCCGAGATCTTGCCGGAATGCAGCAGGATCTTGCAGCAGATGAGCATGGAGAAGAGCACCTTGTGCACCTCGAAGAGCCCGCGGCAGATGTTGACGTAGATGTAGCGCGTCTGGAAGTCAATGAGGTTCGTGAGCCGCCTTTGAAGTGTGTCGGCCTTTGGAGCCTCGTCGAAGCAGATATTGAACAGCCTCTGGAAGAACGGCAGCGAGTACTGGTACATGGGATCGATGAGCGCGAGGTTGGCCACGACGAAGTAGATGATGGACCCGCGCGTGGCCACACAGCGATACTCTTCACGCGCGCGGTTGATCTCGATCTCCGTGTTCTCGGACTCCAGTACGCGCTCCTTGATGATGCGGGAGGTGACGTTCGAGGACTGCAGCGTGTCGATGAGGTCCTGGTCGTCCAGCACGTTGCCCGAGGACTCGGAGAGCTGCTTGAGGATGCGGTCCTCGATCTCTTTGAGCTGCTTTTTGTCCTGCGCCATGGTGACTACAAGCCGGTTCTTCTTGTCCTCGATATCGGGTCTCTCGTGTCGCACGACGTCGCCAAGCAGTTGATCCTCCAGCCCATCCATCGTGACGGTGAAGTTGATGACTGTCACCTTGATGTAGACCTCAGGGAGGTAGTGAGGGTTGGGCAGTTTGGTCGTGAGGAACAACTTGAAGGCCGGGTCGTAGTCCACATCCGAGTCGCCAAGACGGATCAGCACGCGCCCGCCTTGCTTGTAGATGGCCTTCTGCAGGATCGGCTCGAGAGAGGGCTCCAGCGTCTCGTCGATATCCTCGATCAGCAGCGCTTTGCCATTGCGGATGCAAGTCTCCAGCGACCGCAGCAAGTTGGCGTTGGTCATCTTCGTGCTCTCGAGCTTCTGGGCTAAGGTTTTCTTGATCCACTTGTTGGCTTGGCCCTGTGGATCGATCATCAGTGGCCACCGCTCGCCTCGAGTCACGAGGATGGCGTTGTCTGTCGACGTTGAGTCTGTGGGCAGGCCGTTGAGCTGCCACTCGCGGATTTCCACCGGACTGCCGAGTGTAGTGGATAGACTGTACCCCGGAGAGCAGGGGATAGCGAGCTCCTGCGTCTGCCTGACCCATTGATCGACAATTCGCTGTCGGAATCCTCCAGTGAACGGCCCGTAGTACGAAATACAAGCTGCGGCGAGGAAGGTGTCGCCAATCAACGCCAAGATGGACTCGGCTAGTGACGCCACGCTCTCCTTCCATCGCACGCCTTCCACCGACAAGCCGGAGATCAGCTTCTCAGCGCGTACGAGTCGCTTCTCCGTGACGGCAGCGTCGTTCGCAAGCTTGTCCTTCTCGTCCAAGGTGTCTTTGCACTGCTTCTCCAGCATGGCCACGTTCTCGTTGACCACGCGCAGCTCCTCCTGCTTCTGGCTCAGCACCGCGTTGGCCTCGGCGAGTTTCTGGTTCATCCGCTCGAGGTTTTCCTTCTTGGGACCCACCTCTTTGGCCACCTTCGAGTACACGTCCATGGCGTGCACCCACATACAGAGCGACGTGGCGGCCTTGGACACTTTGGAGACCACTTCGACAGCCATCCCCGGCTCGGACACGGCCTTGCTGAGCTTCTTGAGCGTGGCGGCGGGGATGTTGTCCTTGTCGAAGTTCTTCAGCTTGTCCAGGAACGTCACGTCACCCAAAATTTTCTTGGCCGAGTCCCAGCTCTGCTTCTCGTTGAAGAGCAGACACACGGCGTTCATGACGGTCTCCACTGCTTCCGGGGGCTTGGCAAAGGACTTGACCTCGGTGATGTCGTTCTTGGATAGACTATCGAGAGCCTTGATGGCGTTGTTCAGCGCTGGCATCGCCACGTCCAGGTCCTTTTGAGCGTCGGCCTGGACGATCGCCACCTCTTCCGCCTGCTTAGTGACAATCGCTTCGTCCTGCGAGACGCGCTCGCGTACGATTGCGGCTGCCTTCTGGTCGACGGACACGCGCTTCAGCAGCTCCTCAGCTTCCACGGCTTTCTTCGCCAAGATAGGCTGCAGCTCGATCAGCTCGGACTTGAGCGAGTCGACGATGTTGTTGGTCTCCTCGAGCTTCTTGACGCCCACTTCCATGCGGTTCTTGATGGTCTGCAGCACCGCGCGCTTCTCCTGCAGCATCTTCATGTACAACCCGATGAGGTCCAAGTAGCTCTTAGGCGTTGTGTACACGTATCGCTGCAGTTGTGAGAGGAATTCCTCGCCGAAATCATTGGAGGTTGTGTGCACAATGGAGCACATGTCGACGAGGGACTTGCGTATATCTTCCGAGGGCAAGGACACACTCGCGAGCAACCGATCAGCTACAGACTGCAGCGCCTCACGCGGCCAATTCATATACCAGTCGATCGTGCAGCAGTTGATCAGCGACGGGAAGGCGCGACAGCGCACACGCAGAGCGGAGCCCACTGGGGACATGGCTAGCACAATGTGCAGATAATTCCGCACGCGCTCGATAAATGTGGACACGCAGTTGTCGCGCGTCTCGGGGATCTCCATCGCCTTGACAATGGGGCGCATGTCTGCGATAATGCGGTCCATTTCGTCCTGAGGGAAGAGGTTCGGCACTTCTCCGCTGTTCAAGACGTTGTTGATGTCCTCCAAGAAGCTCTCCTCGACGATCTGGCTGTCTGTGAACAGGAAGACGGTGGAGGTTCCACCCACTCCGGCGCTGATCATGAGCTTCTTGAGGTCTTCGTGGAACTCGTTGGTGCCGTACCCGCGCGTGATCTCGATCTGCACACATTTGGCCTCCACCATGAACGCGCCGAGTCGAGCGAGAGACTGCTTGCCACTGCCGCCTACGCCGATGAGCATGGCGTTGCCCCGTGGTTGACGTAAGATTCGTACGAGGCGTGACAAGTGCGCGATGGCATCGCGGAAGAAGACGAGGTTCATCTTATTGGCAAAGGTGACGTTGTAGTTCTCCAAGAAGTCGTCCATGATCTTTGTCACTTTAGAGACGTCGTTGCAGTACTCGTATAACGGGGTGGGCACGCCTGGCTTGAAGAAGTCGCCGAAAGTCAGCGGACAAGGCGAGTGGAAGAGCGTCTCGCGAGCCCAGCTGCAGTTGAAGAAGCGCTGGAGCAGCGAGCACACGAGCTCCTCGAACCACGTTTGGTCCGATGAATTGATGAGTCGGTCCTGGAACACGCGCGAGGCCTCGTGCACCCACAGTCGGTTCATGGAGTCCGCGTCGGGGCATTTCGACGGCGTGATCATGAGAATTCCTTGGAAAACTTTGGATACATCCCGGAGGTTGAATGTGTAGTGGAATTTGTTCGGAGTGGGCAGCAGTTCGAGTGTCACGCGATTGTAAATTTCGATAACACTCGAGATAATGCCGTCCTTCATGGCCTTCACGGATGGAGCAAACTTCTCCAAGAAACCTCCGAGAATCGAGGCAAAGATGAGCTTTAGAGATGTCTCACCCGCCGGGTACATACTCAGCACGTGGAAGTGACGGACAAAGCGAGGGGTGCAGTGTGACCGTCCTCCTCCAGCTGGAGCCGCAGCAGCAAGCAGCATCGTGTCTGCAATATCTTTCCAGAAGAGTTTGTCTCTATCGTAAAATCCGCCGAAATCCAGGAACTGTCGTAACAATTCAATGGGAGCTTGAGCGCCGTATTCCTCGACCGCAGGGAGGTTCACGTCGTCAACGAAGATGATCATCCGCTTGCCGGCCACAGGCCCCAACAGATTTTTACGCTTCTTCTCCAGTTTGTTCTCAATCGTCAACTGAGTGACTAGAGACGACGTTTGTGCGGAAAAATTGATGAAAATGGTCATAAAGTTCGACGTTGGGGCGGATGGCGCTTCTCCTCCTTCTCCATTGGCGTCACCGCTTGGAACCATGGGCCCGGATACCAATTCCTGCAGTATATCCTGGACGATCACGGTCTTACCGGTACCAGTTACACCAGTCACGTACGCTGGCCTCTTCGCTGCGGTTAAGGTTCGCAGCAGGAAGGTGAAGCGTACCGAGTCGGGCGTAGCGACCGTCATCTTAAAGTACGGCACCTGGGAATTGTACTGGAATTTGGGGACGATCTCGCTCCATGCGCGGAACTTGGCCTGCTCTACGTCGACGAAGTAATCGAACACGAGTCCGGCGTTGGGGATGCTGAGCTTGGCGTCTCCCATCAACTCCCGCGCAAAGTTGTCGAACTGCTCGTGCGTGTCGACCGTCATGGTGGCCCCCACCGACCAGAAGAGCGAGAAGGCGAAGACTTTGTCCAGCAGTTCCAGCATCTCCTCGACTTTCATCGCTGAATAGTTGACGCCACTCGCAGGGCTGAACAAACACGCGAACAGCCGACACAAACTCGTTGCGAGGTTCATGTCCACGGTCGGTACCAGCTCGAAGCTCTTCTTGCGGACGAACTGGATGCACTTCTCCACGTAACTCGTGATTAGAAAATCCAACCGCTTAATCCCTTCGGGCGGGAAATCCGACGGCAGCTCCTTCTCCATCCAGGTCTTGACGAACGGCATCCAGCCGAGATCCGTCGCTGTCATGTACACGACGCCAATGCGACTCACTGTGGCGGGGGAAGCCACGGCCAGATCCATGACTTCGAACAGCATTTTCATCTCGCTTTTCAGTTTAATCCGCTCTCCATTGGCCAGACACAACGTCATGTTGTCGTCCAAGACCGTGTTCATGTTCTCGATCCACAGCGCGTCGATCGGACCGTCGAACACCGTCCACTTGACGTCGGACGTCTCATCCGCCACAGCTTCGCGCATGATAGTGGAGGCCAACCCGTCGTGCCATTCCTGCGTGGCTTCGTTGAATTCTCCATACAGTTCCCCCATGGAAATGCACTTTGGATTTAACACCCGAGCGTGAACAGTTTGGTACACCGGATTCTTTGACCCTCTCGCTCTCAACGACGTCATCGTGGACTGCAGAGTACGGTAGCACGAAGTCTTTCCTGCCCCTGTGGGGCCAACCAGCGTTCCTCCGAAGCGAACGTTGAAAATGTCGAAGAGTTGAATGACTTTCGTGATATAAGTCGGCACTTTTTGCAGTCCGGCTTTGGTGATTTCTTCCTCGAGAGACGCCTGCAACTCGCCATAGTCGTTCGGAGGGATGTCGGTACCGGGGAACAAGTCCAATACAATAGCGTGGAACAGCGGCAAGTCGTCCGCTAAGAATTTAGGGATGTTGCTGTCCCGTAAGGCGCGAATTAGCGTCACGTCTTCATTTAAGTCGGGATTGGCTCGTTTAAGTGAACCAGCCATGACCAACACGGACTTGACAGCACGCAGCCCGTAGTCGTAGTGAGGCTGTTGCGAGAGCTGCTCACTGCAGAGAATGTAGAGCTTGCACATCTTCCGCGACAGTGTGCGCGCATCGCCGAACCCCTCAGCAAACAGCATAATTTCGGCGATCAGCGCGTAGTCCGGCACCATCATGGACACGGGGCGGAAACACACCTTCAGGTTGTCGGGGAGTTCCGTTCGACCAGCGTAACCAGGGTTCATCGTGACGATAACGTGGTGGTCTTTCAGTAAAATTTCGATCCCCATGAAGTTAATGTGCTCTTTGCCCTGAATTCGACCTTCTCTCAGGATCAACAACTGCTGAGCCACGACGGATAAAACTTCGATATCAATGCGGTTAAATTCATCCAGACACGTCCAATTGCCAGCCTGCGCGAGGCCGCGGAAGAGTTTGCCCATCATTTTGTAGTCGATCTGGTCGCTGCAGTTGAACACGACGCACTGAATCGCCATGGCCTTGGCTAAATCCTTGCTACTCTCCGTCTTACCCGTTCCAGCCGGACCTGCCGGAGCTGCACCAAGCTTCATGCCATAAGCTCCGGTTAGAGTCATCCAGCACCGATCTGTCAATGGAGTGATCACTAGACGTGACGTCGCCCCCATGTACTCGTAGCCGTACTGAATGACCGAGTCAGAGTGTCGGATGAGAACGTCATCTGCCTGCGCGTCCCAGTAGTAGCGCAGTTGCTGCTGCCAGATAAAGTTCCCCACTGAATCCACTTTCTCCGTCCACAGACTCTCCACGATATCACGCGCATGCACGTCTGTAGTCACCAAGGCCACGATAACCTTGCGCTCCAATGAGCTCAGATCTCCTCGGATTTTCACGATAAGCTCGTTCAACTCGTACAAATTGCGCTTGTACCACGCGTGCATCTCTTCGACGGGGTTGCTGCTGTTCAGCGCTTCTTCGGTGCTGCGCGCCCATGTCATCTGCGCCACAGTAGCGACGACTTGGCCCGGGTGGTCGCACACCCACACCGCTCGCTGCTTGGTGTCGTAGTCCAATAGTCCGGCCTTCATGAGCTTGTAGATCGACTGCTTCATACTCACCTCCAACGCCTTCAACCAATCCTCGACGTTGCCTCGAGCTTTCAAGTTCTTGCCGAGAGGGACGCGCTCGTTCTCAGACGAGTACATGGCGATCATATCGACGCTGCCCGGGACGTCGCCAAAGTCAAGTTTTACCAGATTTTCAAAACATTTACGAAGATGCGGTTGTACAGCCTGCGGGTTTTTGGATTGAGCCAGAATCTCCAGTAATTCGTCGTTAGATAGGAAGTAAAAGCGAGGGAAGGCCATGCGCTTGGTTTCCAGGTAGTCCTCCAGGTTCTTCTGGATCTTGTCCAGGTGCGCGTTATGCTGTTGTAAAGTCTCTTTAATTCCTGGGAACGTGCCTGAGGTTAGCACGTGCGGGTTCTCGTTGGTTCGACGCATGATCGTCTTCCAGGACGCGTCCACGTGGCTGAAAATTTTCGACGCGTCAGGTAGTTGGCGTTGAATATCTGGCGCCGAGAAGATATTTTCCAGGTACATCCAGTTCTTCTGTACGAGTAGCCACTCGTCCAGCGTCTCCTGCAACGTCACGAGCTTCTTCCTCCAGCCTTCCACCTCCTCCTGAATAGCTCCAATGAATCGCGAGCCCATGATCGTGCTAATTGTTACGATCGAGTCGTCAAGCTTCGCAGTGACCTCCTCAACACTTCCCAGGACGAAGACGTCCTTCGACTCCTTATAAGGCTTGACCTCGAACTCGGTAGTCGCCCACGCGTCTGTCACTTTCTTCAGCATCTCCTCAAGTACAGCCTCTTGCTGAGCCGACACAGCCACGGCACTGATCGTCTCGCCGTGCTTCATGACATTCCTCTCGATCAACCCACCCAGCGTCATGCTGCTCTCGCCCTTCATCTGGAAGCCTAAAGCTGCGTGGATTTGCTTCCAATGCCGGTCTTTTAACGACGGAGAGCGCAGATCTGTCACCACGGGAAGCACCAGCTTGAACTTCTCCACTTCTCGCTGCAATAAATCTGCGGCCTCGTTGCCTGGGAGCTGCTTCTGCGCTGTATACGCCACTTTGACGTACATCTGCACCTGTTTACTGATCGCAGCGACGTCGATGTCGTCGAAGACTGTGTCCGAGTAGGAGACAGCGAGCTTCTGCCACGCGTCCAGTCCGCTCCAGAGCTTCATCTTGAGCTCGAAATGAGCTGCCACTTCGTTAATTTCGTTAAATTCACTCACGCTTTGCTTCAACTGCGTCTGGAACATCGCCAACATTTTAGACTCCTCCACGAGCTGGTTAAGCGTATCTTCTTGAGCTTTCAGATATGACAGCGCTTCACTCATTGGCGTCTTGATCGTCGAGAGCTTGGGGTGGTCCAGCTTCTCGGACAACAAGTTGGCGTTGCGATTCAACGGGGCGATACTATCCAGAATCACTTGAGAGAAGCGCGCCGTCTCCGAGTCGATCTCCCCTTCGAACCGCGTGACGGTGCCTTCCAAGCTCAGCACGCCTTCCTTCATAAGGATAATGTCCTCTTTAATATCGTCAGGAACGCGCCAGTCGTAGTTGTCCATGAGAACGCCCATCTCATACACGCGACGGTATCGGCTCCTGAGGTCTGGCAGCATGGCACTCACCTTGGTCATATGCACCACTTTATTCACAAAGGCGTCAGGAACTGACGGGGTGGAGAACGCAATGGGGGACAAGTCGTTGAGCGTCTCGAGCAGCGCCGTACTGGTCTTCTTCATGAGTTTGGGGATTAATGCGCGAATACCGAGGATGCACTTCTCCGGGTTCGGTAGGAGTCGGCTCTTAAACTCGGAGGAGTCGACTCGGAAGATCCCGACGGTGGCGGCGTCTGGGATGTCCGTGAATGACTGACCCTGGGACTTGTACTTCTCGATGGACTCGGAGAAGAAATCTAACGGGGCGTTGGCGTACGTCTCCATGAGCATCGTCACCTGTCCTTCATTCTCCGAGTAAATTTGGTGGAATGGAGCAAAGACGTCCATATAATCCTCCACGGCTTCAAAGGCTTCGTCCAACGCGACGAAGATGTCGTTAGTGAGCATGCTGAACTTGGCGTCTTCGTTGAGAATCAGCGCTACATTGAGCTGCTCGACGGACCAGACTTCTTTGCCCTCGTCTTCTGCACTAGCTGTCGTGTAAGGCGCAAGCGACTCGTGACCGAGATGTCGTGCAGGGGTTTCCACCATGCGAAGCGCTTCTTTCAAGGCTCGTTGAAGCGCACCATTCCACGAATCATGGCTAGGAATCGCGTTCAGAGCGGAGGTGGCGGCGTCCATTTCCACTGCGACGGCGAAGATGGCGGTGAATGGAGGAGGCGCATTCGCCTGGCCCGGTTTGCCGGTATTCTTGCTGTTTGCCTGCGGATTTCCACCCGAAGCTCCTGGTTTTGCAGGCGCAGAAGCCGTAGGGTTTGAAGCTGGTGCAGTTGCAGTTGTAGTAGCTCCTGTGAGCTGAGCCTTTCCTGCTACAAGCGTTGAATGCAACCGATGGAACGAGTGCACCGTAAGTTGAATAGTTGCGTCGATTGTGAGAAAATCTGCCAGCCGCAAGAAGTTCGTGAGTGTCCGACACTGTTTGCGCAGCGCCGCGCGTTCCATGAAGGTCATTTTGTGGTCAGCCGAGATCTTGTTGGCCTCCAGGAAGCTGTCGATCACTTCATCGCACGCTTTGACACACATCTTCAAGGATTTTGACGAAAAATCTGCGAGTTGTTGAGTCACCTGCGTCCGCGTCTTTTGTTGCTCTAGTTCAAAGTCTCTCAACGAGTAGGTCTGGCGAGGGCTGAAGCGTATCAGCTCCAACTTTGTCACGTCGAGACAGAGCGCGCGGAGACCGAGTAACGTTGACTGTAGACTTGGGGCTAGAAGGAATAGCCGCTCGTTCAGTGCCTTTTTGGCGTTCCGCATATTGTACGTGCGCACCGACTGCTTCCACATGTTGAAGTTCTTCCACATCTTGTACTTCTGGAAGAACGGAATGGCCAGCATCTTCATGAACCGCGAGTACTCGGTCTCCCACTTGTCGAGCGACCAGAATTCCGAGTGTTCTGTAGTGAAATGAGTCACTCCCTCCATGCTCATCGTGTAGTAGTCGGAGCGGTCCACCTCGAAGTGCTCCACCACTTCTAGCGCGTACATTATCAGGTCCGTGTTCTTCTTCTTGCGCAGATACAAAAAGTTGCCAGACTTGAACTCGCGAAGATACCGCGGGTCGAGATTCAGTGACGCGGTGAAGGATGATTCTGTTGCCAGAGCCTTCCGTTGTGCAGCTTTGGATGCAGGCGAGAGCAACGCATACGAGTTGCCGTCCTGATTGGTTTCATCTTCTTCACGCGGAACTACCAGCGTTGGCGACCGGATCGAAGTCACACTAGAGACGTGCGGCTTCTCGCGAAGACTCCGGATCCTCTCGGATGCCTTGTGAAGACTGGGGTGCATCACCCCAGGCGGCAAACTCATGACACTTGCTGAGGTCGATAGCGGCGTGGTACTGCTACTCGGTACTGGAAGTGGAAGTGGAGCTAGCGCTTCGTTCGCACCGTTTCGAGCCTTTTTGTTTGGTACAGGCCCAACGTCACTGGAAATCGTAGCAATGCTAGCGTTTTTCTTCATGCGCGTCTGGAACTTGGGCTTGAGCACTGCGTTCTGCGATGGCACGGGTCGCAAGAAAGGGCTCTGCGCTGCAGCGTTGTTCGAACGAGCGGGTGAACCAGGTCCAAGGTTGGGCTCATACAGTCGCTGCAGGATCTGACTTGCTTGCGGTCCGAGCGACACGCCTCGCCGTTTTGCTCCATCGCGAGTATCGCCGCCGCCCCCATCCATGCTGGGTTTGGTTTCCCTTGCGCTGCTGCCCCCTATCGGTGTGATCGATCTTGCGGGGAGTCGCCTTCACCGCGAGGCGGCGGTGAAGTGGACCACAAAATAGTAACGGATACGAGTGGAATCGACACTTGAGTGGGAAAAGTATCTTCACTTGAGTGTAGCCATTCGTCTACAAGCGACTTGCGACTAGCGAAGTTCAGAAACGACTTTTTGGATCGAAAAAAAAGATGATCCAGTATTGCATTTACGTCGCTTACCGTTAGCTCCTCCGTAGCCGACATAGCGGGGTGTTGCATGATGCAGCGTTTCAATCAAATCGGCAGCAGTGAATATTTTCCGACTGTACAGCACTCGCAGAGTTACTGCACGCCTTGATATCACTCAAGATGAATTGAATTGTAGTGCTGTTTCCTCCGTCCTCGCAAGTAGTCTCGGTGTCTCCTTCGCAGCGAAAGCTGAAGCCTCAATAATGGCTTTTATGTCTTTGAGTCTGTACGCAAGCGCGATCTCAACGCTTAGAGCCTCACGCTGAGAGTCGATGTCCATTGCACGTTTTGCTTTGGCCTCGTCAATCTTCAACAGCTTTATACCTTCACGCCTGACGTCGGCGGGCAATCTATCAGCAAGTCTGCCGAACACGATCGCCGACAGCTTCTCCGCCAGACTTGCAGTTTCTTCCATTGGCTTCCTTTATACTTCGTCGGACGGATTTTGACTATGACCATAGAGATTGATGCGTAGTGGTTTCTGAAAAGTCATCGAATCGCGATCTTGACTACCATGAATGCCTTCGCCGACATGTAGCAGCAAAGATTAAATGCATTTTCGCTTCATAACATATCTCCAAAGTTCATCATGCATCGTGGTAACGCATCGCGCGCCGTCATTTTGCATTCCTTGTTGCTGAACTTCCTGAACTCGACGTAAGCCTACCATGGTGTATTCTAACACTAGCTTTTCATTTTAGGAAGCACATGAGCCGGCCAGCAAAGATGGTTCAATCAGCTCACGTAGACGGCTACGGTAGTTGGGTTAACTTATTGCTAGTCGGGATAATATCGCATCTTCTTCATGTAGAACCAGCGTCTAAATCGTCTAATCCCCACCTTCATTCAGCACCTATACAGCCCACACGAAGATGGGACATTGATTCTGCTCCTCAAATTCCGTTCCCTTCGCGCTCAAACTCCAGAACTTCCAACTGGTCCTCACAGGCGTCGTGGCATAACAACAAACATCTAATATTAATACATTGCATAAGACTCAACAACAACAATGGTGTGGACGCAGTCTTGCAAGGCAGGTTACTCGGTGCTGTGGAGTCACTATGGAGAGTACAAAATGACCCTCACTCAGATTTGAACTGCGATACAAATCTGAGTGAAGGTTCCTGTACAGACAGACAATCCTTCGACCCACCTCACTTTTCCTACTGCGCACCATGCTGTCTGCCTTGTCGAACCACCTGCGCAGTCGCCGCGTGATCCTCGCGTCGCAAAGTCCTCGGCGCCTGGAGCTTCTCCGTGACTGCGTACGCCTTTAAATCACTCTTTTGCATATCAATACTGCGCTCTTCGCCTGACCACACGTTCACCAACCCATACCAACAGGGTCTCACTTTCGAGGTGATCCCGTCCACATTCGAGGAGAACCTGCCCAAGGAGCGGTTCCCGACACCCGACCTCTATGTGATCGAGAACGCCAAGCAGAAGGCTCTGGAGGTGCTGAACCGCGTGTCCAAGGACACGGAGGCGGGCTCCAAGCTCCCCATGGTCGTCATTGGGTGCGACACCGTCGTGGTGCAGGACGGAGTGATCCTCGAGAAGCCCAAGGACGAGCAGGACGCCTTCAACATGCTCACCAAGCTCTCGGACCGCCCCCACGAGGTCTTCTCTGGGGTGGCACTCTTCACAGCCGAGCGGGGCGCCGACAACCCGCACCTGTTCTTCGAGAAGACCAGCATCGTCTTCGGTCCGCTCGAGCCGGAAGACATCCGCGGTGCGTCAGCTACTGCAGCTTACTGTTTGATGAAGTATCGTTGGTCTGTTTGTGCTGACTCACTGGCGTTTTGCAACAGCTTACATCGCAACTGGCGAGCCGATGGACAAGGCGGGAGCTTATGGCCTTCAAGGTGAGTCGCAATCGTTGCTGTCCGTCCATTGCTAGGCATAGGCTGAAAGACGTTGGGTTTATTGCAACAGGTCGTGCGCGCTGCTTCGTGCAGGAGGTCCACGGGTGCAGCAACAACGTCATTGGGTTCCCCGTGCAGCGTTTCTGCCAGGAGCTCAAGGCGCTCGCGGCGAACAACGAGCTTTAGACGAAATAAAACTCGATCTTCCGGGTAAATTTCTACCTTGATTGCATTGTTCTCTATCGAAAAGTGTCACGTCTTCCGCCTTCTCCGTCCTCTCGCTGGAGTCCAGCACTTGCAACCAAGGCTTACTACGTCTCGAAGACTCCTTCTACTCGGTTTTCTTCTTGGGCTTGGGCGCCGGGATGAGCGAGAACACGACGTAGAGCACGACCGCGGCGATGTGGCCGGCGAAGTACGTGTTCTTGAGCGAAGCGAGCGAGTGCTCCCACGACATGGCCTGGAAGGGCATCACGAAGTAGTGCATGGCGAAGAGCGTGAGGAGGAAGCTGAAGACGTCGTAGATTTTCTTCTTGGTTCCGAACGAGCCGTCGGCCTCAATGAAGCGCGGGCGAAGACGCTTGAAGGCGAGGCGGTTCACGGCCGTTGCAAGCGGAACTGGAATAAAAGAACACAGAGAAACACACGGTCAGATTCATCGCTTCACAGACACAATAAGTAATAGCGAGTACGTACGGCTCATGAAGAAGATGTAGTAGCCCGGGTAGAATCCGTGCCAGAAGGCCGAGATGAAGTACGTGGCCATCAGCGAGTTGCCCGTGCGCGTGTACACGTAGCGCTCCAGCCAGTTCTGCGTGCCCTTGTTCCAGGCGCGCGACGCCGCGCGGATGCTCTGCGAGAACTCGAAGCCCAGGATGTCCATGTTGCTGACGCCGTTCCAGCCGCGGCTCGAGCCGTCCTTGTTGAAGCCCTCGAAGCCGAAGCCGCACAGCACAGTCGCGCCCTCCGCGATCTGCAAGAAAACATTAACAATCAGTCTCTCACACATCAACAACCACAGCTGCAGCAGGCTCGCCTACCTTCCAGGCGGAGTAGTACTTGGCCTTGCAGAAGATGAGCGTGATGTACAGGTCGCGGATCTGGAAGAGCAGCGGCAGGTCGGCGATCTTGGGGTCGTGCAGGTTCGACAGCGGGTACATGGGGCCGTAGACCGCAAACGCCGCCATGAGCAGCGAGCCCACAAGGAACTTGGAGAAGGCGGCCAGCACGCTGGACGGCTGCTTCGTCTTGCCGTCCAGCTGGAACTTCTTGCCGCTCGTCACGTCCAGGTACTCGCGGATCTCGAAGGCCGGGCCGGCCAGGAACGTGGTGAAGCTGTAGACGTAGCCGAAGAACTCGAGCAGGCTCGGGATCTCGTGGATGGCGAGCTTCTGGCGGCCCTCGAAGACCTTCTTCTTGCCGGGGGACATCTCGGCGCCCTTCTTCTCGAAGGTCTTGTCCACGACGCCGTCGTAGTAGTTGTACGCGAAGCTCGTGAGCTTGATGACCAGCAGCATCTGCGGGCCCGTGAAGTCCAGCGTCCAGCCCATGTAGTCCACGTACAGGCGGTAGATGTGCGATGCCGACATGTAGAGCATGTTGAAAAGGAACACGAGCGCGGGCGCGTGCTTCGACGGGCCGAACTTGACCAGCAGGTACGTCAGGAAGGACGACACGAACGAGTGCACCCAGCCCGAGCCCAGCACGAACTGCGCGATGGCCACGCCCAGCACCACGTCCATCACGTGCTTGAGCGACGCGCCGGGCAGCAGCTTGTACACGAGCGCCAGCGGGTACGCGGCGAACAGGCACAGCACGTAGCGCAGCTGGTCGCTGCCCAGGCCCAGCGAGGCCGACAGCGTGTCCACCTGCGCGTGCAGGAAGCCGAAGTCCAGCGGCGTCAGCAGCTCCGCGTACGGCTGCAGGTGCTCCACGAGGTCCACGACGCGGTCCATGGTGCAGTAGATAGGAGGAGGACAGGGGAGGGGATCTACTAATGCCAAGAGGATGGAATGACACGCACCCGAGCCGATCTGATCGACCGATGGCTACGCAAGTCTGTGGCGAGCAGCTACGCTTCAAAAACGCGTTGGTGGTGTGGCTTACGTAAATCTGAAGAGGCCAGCGGACTTTGACCGGCGTTACATCAACTCGCCGTCCGACCTACGTCATTGGTTGCCCCGGCGATGCGGGTCTCGTCCGCCCTGTTGTCAAACAAGTTGGCGGTGCGTGCTGGACGGCATGGGCGCTTCCTTCCGGGCGTGTTTGTTTGGGCGTGTTAAACGGCGGCGGGATGAGAGAATGGATTGAGCTTCCTTGAGACTTTGCAGCAGCTCGCATCTCGCAGCTTCTCAATGTGACAAAATGCTGTAGCAGGGGTTCCTGACCTCGTCGCTGATGATGATGCCAGCAAGCGCGATTCACCGTCGAGGAGCGGCTTGGAGAACAAAAGCGCTTTGGCTGCTTGTGTCGGCTTCCTCTTCTTCGACTGCGTGCGTGTCTCCTCTTTCCCTTTCACCATGAAGTTCCTTGTGCCGATGCTTTCCAAAAGCTTGAGCTGCACTGGACCACCGCAACCCGTAGATCACCGAAACTGCAGCAAAGCGAAGGCTTCAACGGGAATACCGTTCGTCTCAAGCAGCTCGCACTCTCGATCCCTTCATTCCATGCTTGCTGGCGAGGGCAGCTTGAACAATGCCGCCCTCTCCGCCAGTGAGAAGCCCGACCAGCTACTGTATTAGCCGTCCAAGTCGCGCGTGGCGCGCTTCAACTGCTCGCGCAATCCCCGACACTGCACTGTGTGACGTGGACCCGCGATCTTCAATATCCTAGATTTGTATCCCGATTTGATTATACCTCATTCAAGGTGGCACCATACAACGAGCCTTTATATTTCAAATTTCAAATTCAATTGAATCTATCGCGTCATCGGCAATTCGCGAGAAATGACATCGCTCCGCTTAACTCCATCCTTGCAATCCTCGGCCGCAGCCTCTCATTCCTGCTTCTACCTCGCACTGCACTGCACCGCACTAGGCAATGGCGTCCCAGGTTCTCTCGGATCTGAGCGAGGCGCTCACGCCGCTGCGGTTCTCGCTGCTGAACGCGCAGCTGGAGCAGCTCTCGCAGGTCGTGGGCTTCCCCGTGGACCAACTGCGCTTCGTCGTGTGTCTGCTGGGCGCGTACCCGCTGGCCGTCGTGGTGCGCAAGCTGCCGTCCGCCACGGCCAAGCACTGGCTGCACATCTGCGCGGGCGTGAGCATCGCGCAGTTCGTCTACGGCTCCGGCTGGCTGCACTCGCTGCTGTCGTCGCTGCTCACGTACGCGCTCGTGTGCGTGCTGCCGGCCAAGCGCGCGCCCTTTGTCGTCTTCCTCGCCAACATGGCGTACGTGGCGGCGCTGCACATCTACCGGTTGTACGTGGACTACATGGGCTGGCGCATGGACGCCACGGCCAGTCAGATGCTGCTGCTCATCAAGCTCACGAGCTTCGCCTTCAACTACCACGACGGCGTCGTCTCTTCAGCCACAGCCGTCAAGGATGGCGACTCGGAGCACACGAAGCGCGTCAAGCAGTCGCGCAAGGCGCTGGCGATCCCCGAGATCCCGTCGCTGCTCGAGTTCCTCGGCTTCGTGTACTGCTTCACGACGTTCCTGGCGGGCCCGGCCTTCGAGTACAAGGAGTACAGCGACGCCATCCACCAGACGCGGTTTGTGGACAAGAACGGAGTGCGGCGCAACGTGTCGCCCACGCGCGCGGCGGTGTCCAAGCTGCTGTTGGGTCTGGGACTGATGGGGCTGCTGGCCAGATTCAGAGCACTCGCCAACTTGAAAGAGATCCTGAGTGACGACAACCAGTCCATGCTCTTGAAGTGGGGACGGCTGTTCGTGGCGCTCTTCCTGACCCGAGCCAAGTACTACGTGGCCTGGAAGCTGTCCGAGGGAGCCACCGTGCTGTCCGGCACTGGGTTTGAAGGATTCGACGACAAGAACGAGCCCAAGGGCTGGGGAGGCGTGAGCAACGTCGACATCTTGGGCTTCGAGCTCGGCGCCAACGTGCGCGAGATCTCGCGCGCCTGGAACAAGGGTACGCAGAACTGGCTGGAGCGCTACGTGTACACGCGCACGGGCAACTCGCTGCTGGCGACGTACTTCGTGTCGGCGCTGTGGCACGGATTCTACCCGGGGTACTACCTGTTCTTCCTCACGGTGCCATTGGCGACGGCGGTGAACCGCTTGGCGCGGCGTCACGTGCGTCCGTACGTCGTGGGGAGCCCCATCAAGCCGCTGTACGACCTGGTGGGCATGATCTGCACGGCGATGGTGGTCAACTACCTGGCCGTCTCGTTCGTGGTGCTCTCGTGGGAAGAGGCCGTCGCGGGCTTCCGCTCCATGCGCTTCGCTGGACACGTCGGTCTGGTGGTCTGCTATCTGCTGCTGACCTTTGTGCCGATCAAGAAGAGCGCGGACAGCAAGAAGAACGTGTAAGGCAAGGGAGGCGGCGTATCGATCTACTGTATGTATCCAAGGCTATCGTGACCCCTGAAGATCTGAAGAGAGAAAAGTACCATAACACGACGAGATTTCGTTTGGGGATCAAAGTGTGCTGCTTATATTGGAGCGGGGGTGATGTCAACCGGAGTACAACTGGTAGCCCGTGTCGTGGTTCTTGTAAGTGTTGTCTTTGGACGCCAGGTAGGTGACGCGGCATTCGGGCGGCTGTGGTGACCAAATACCTTGGTTCGTGCAACGGATTGTCGCTGGGCCTTTCATGTTGGTGCCCTTCATACACGTGTACGTGGCTGTTGATCCTGGTGCCGTGCTCGAGTATTTCACGGAGCCTTGATAGACCGAAGCCGGCGCGCCGCAGTTGTATTTGGGGACGCTGACACTGCCACGCAGATTGCCTGCTTCTACGGAGGTGATGGTGGAGACTACTATCGTTACGGCGATGGCGATGTCGCGAAGGAGACGCATCTTGCTTGACGATGGCGACTGCGACGACAGCTTGGAATTGTACGCTATCGTTTGTGTGAATACCCCTTCTGTGGTGCTTCAGACTACTCGTCTCGAAGTTCTTATCCCGTTAGAATGAATTGGGGTGAGTCATCGGGTTCTGGTTCAAGGACTAATATTTTTAGTGACCAAGAGGGACAAGATACGTAATAGTGGATTGAAGCCGTACGAAGCGCTATTGTACTGGTTGTGAGTGACTCTACACTACGCGGAAGACCAGTAGTACTTCAGGCAAGCTGCACTAGGTTGGGACTTCAGAAGTCGGACGGGGTGAGCACGATACTGTGGTCAAACTGACGCTCCGCTGTGGTTTCCGTGGGTGGGCGTTGTTTGCGTCCCCGGGCTCGGAAGATGGCGATCGTCACAGCCAGTATACTGCCCACTGCGATGATAATGGCGATCACTGCCGCCGCGGAAATCCCGACCGAGGCTATCGTGGCGGTGGTGAGCTCCGTCTGCGTGGAAGCTTGAAGCGCGGACGACTCGGTCTCAGTTGAGCTGGATGTAGCGCACGGCGTCACAGTGGACTGAGTCGCAGGCAATGTTGTCATTGCTACAGCAGCCGTTGACTCCTGGATCGGGGTTTGTACTGTGCCCTCAGTTGTCACTGCAACGGTGTCGGGGGGTGGCGTTGCTGCTGCATAATCCTCCTGGATTGTTTCTTGTTGCGTTTCATCTTGAGCTGGCTGAACTGTAGCCGCCTCAGTTGCTGGAGCCTCCGTTGCTGGCGTCTTGGTACAGGGCGCTTCCGTTGGCGGGATCTCCGTTTCTGGTGCCTCGGTGAATGGTACTTCAGTTGTCGGTGGCTCGGTGCAAGGCGCTTTCGTTGGGGGGTCTGTTGACGGCACCTCTGCCGCGGTTGGTTGCGGGGTGACTTCATCGGAATAAACGCTATCTTCCGTGGGCATTGGCGTCGAAGCTGGGGTTGCTGTGGGGGTAATTGTCGGAGGTTCCGTCGTGTACGCAGGCGGCTGCGTCTTCTTACACGGTGTTGGGGCTGGCGTCTGCTCTGAGTCAAAACCCGATGATTGATAGGGCGCTTCTGTCGCGACCGAGGTCGAAGTAGGCGCTTCTGTATCGATATACACTACTGGAGCCCATGTCGTGGGCGCAAGCGTTTGTGTCTCTGTAGATGCCGGGGTTTCGTAGGTGTACGCGGTCATTGTATCCGGCGCGACAGTGTCATGCTCCTCTGTTGGCGCTATTGTCGAAGTCTGCGTTGCTGTCGGAGCTTGCGTTTCAGTGGCCGAAGGTGTATCAATGTAATACTGCGATGGAGCAAAGGTCGATGCCTCAGTAGACTGGGGCGTGGGTGTCGCCGTAGGAGTTGGTGCCGGATAAAATGTGTCTGGAGCCGTTGTCGTCTTCTCGGTAGCAGTCGGTGTCGGGGTTGGATAAGTTGCCTCCTCAGTAGTGGTCGGCGTCGGATACCAGGGAATGCTCTCGTAAGTTGGACTTGGAGCGCTAGTCGCCAAGACTTCAACGGGCTCTGGTGTCGGACATGGCGTTTCCGGGGTAGGCGTGACCGCCTCCGTAGCAGTCGGAGCGGGATACCAGGGCTCGTTTTCGTTAGTTGGACTTGGAGCAATTGTCTCTGGAACTTCAGTCGGCTCTGGCGTTGGGTAAGGCGTATCGGGGGCTAGCGTGGCAACCTCTGTAGCACTCGGAGAGGGATACCAAGTGTCAGTTGGACTAGGAGCGCTCGTCTCGGGAGTTTCCGTAAGCTCTGGTGTCGGATAAGGGGTATCGGGGGCTATCGTGGCACTCTCTGGCGCAGTCGGCGTGGGGTACCAGCTTGGAGCTGGGGAGGAGGTCTCTGGAGCTTCAGTCGGCATCGATGGACTTGATGTTACGGCCGGGATAGTCGATGTTGGCGCTGGCATCGTTGTAGTGGGTGGGAAGGTTTCGCTTGGCGCGTACGTTGGAGCTTCTGTCTTCACTTCGTCCGTGTATGGCGCGTCAGTCGGATTGTCTGAAGCCCTTGGAGTCACGACTGGTTCTTCTGGAGGGTATGTCGTTGGCTCCGTTGCAACAGGTTCTGGTGCTGACGAGGAAGTATCCTCTATCGGTACAGACTCGGGATACGAAGTCGGCAACACTGCTGGAGGAATCGTCAAGGCTTCTGTGAGTGCTGGAGTTTCCTCGATAGCAGGGGGCTCGGTCGCCTGCTTAATTTGAGCAAAAGGCTCTATCGGAGCCGACGGCGTGGTATGAGGTTGAGCTGGGACTGGTTCGGTTGGCGCCTCACTTGGAGCCTCCTCTGTCGACTCCGGGACTGTGCTGTAGACCGGAATCTCTGATGCGGTCACTGGTATCGCTGTGGCTTGTTCCTGTGCTGGGGCAGCAGTCGATGTGGGGGCCTTGCAGTTGTACAGCTCGGTCACGGTGGTCTTGGAGAACCACGTTTTGTTGCAATCCACGCTCTCAACATCGAAAGGATCGGAGCTGAGAGTAGAAGATCCGTCGTCGCTGGAAAAATCCCAGGTCGGGCAGCTCGCAGGGTCCAAGTTCTGCTCGGGGGTGGCTGGCCAGTAGTCCGCGCATCTTGTCGAAGGAAACGTACAGCCCCAGGCATTCCTGCCTTCGAGGTGAACGCACTGCGCGTTCTCCTTCGCGACGCAGTTGGTGCCGTCGAAGCTGGCGAGATACGGGAAGCATTCGTCTAGAGCTGCGTCACCAATTCGAGGGCATTCCACACCAAGCGGCTGCTTGCCGCTCCCCGAGCACACCACGCCACGACTCGCTGGGATCTGAAACGTGGCATCTTGGCACACACTCACCGCCGTCGATTCGAGCGCTCCTGTCTGCGAGGCTGAACCACCGAGAGCCAGCAACGAGAGACCACAACGCGCCTGCAACATGCGCCAATGAGTCATGCCGTGCCAAATAAACGCGTACTCCAAGAGTTTCTCGAGTTGTGTAGCAAGTAAAGTAGTGGAGGGGCTTAGAGATCCTCCACTGCAGTTGTGGGGCCACTTGGAAAATGAGATCGAGCAGCGAGAAGTTGGTAGGAACCCCCAGGCGTTGGTAAGTAATATCGGGAGCTGCAACAATCGCTGTCGAGCGGAAAAATCCAACGTAGAGTAAGACGATAGGCGTTAGCGCGAGTGGCGTTGCGCAGTGCGTGCCTTCCTACCACTTCAACTTGAAACGGAAACCTCATCATTTTATGTGCTCTCAAGGCGCTCTAAAACAGCGTTTGTGTGGAGCTTGAGCCTCCAATATATAATAGTGAAACGACGCGGATCGCCGCCTCTGACTATCGTGCATCGTTGACACTGAGGCCGGACAAGTGATGGTACGTTCAGCCAGGCAGCGTGACACCTTCACGTGAATAACGTCGGTCGATAGGAATTTTCTAGTGTGACGACGAGAGTATTTTCCCCTAGCAGCCGTGCACGCCACGCTAAGAGGTGCCGATGGGAGGAGAAAAACGAGAAGACTCACGCATGTTTGCTCATTGCCTCGATTTAAGATCATACCCATTTAGCACCACATTTTTCGGTTATCATGCACGCAACGTCTTCAATGCGTTGGACTGCCCATGAACTGCCCTCAGGATACTTATTCGGATCGCAGCAGCACTCGAAACTGCTTCACTAGGCACTGACGGGGCGGGGGTTAAGCACGCTTACTGTCAGTCAGCTTTTTCTAGCGTACTTCGAAGTAAGCGAATACAAGCGAGTGGGGGGTCTTCTGAACTGTTCATTGTTACTGCACTTAATCCACTAATGGTTCGCGCTATGGTGACACCGGGGCTGGATCAGGACGCGTGCTTTCATCACCGCGCGCTCGACCCAGTGATTCCAATTCTCGCTCCTTTTCGCTTTCTTGGTTGGTCACTAACACCGTAATTTACACGAAACCGCCGATCGGGCCGCCAAAACTCTGCAAGCGGTCCTTCCGCCGCGCGTTCTGCTCCTGCTGATACTTCTCCACGACACAAGACACGCTGCGTTTGGGCTCGCGTCGCTTGGATCTGCGCTTCTCTCTCAGTCGAGACAGGGCCTCTTCATCATCCGATTCGGACGACGACGCCTCCTCGATCACGCGTTGAGACCGAGAGCCCGGATTTTCACGTCGATTCCAACCCTGCTCGTTGATCTGTCGCCGCAGACGAAGCATCTGCTCGCGTCCGGCCGTCCCGTTGGCGATCATCTCCTGCAGCATCGACTCCTCGTCGTTCGAGAAAGTCTGCTTGGCTGTCATGTAACCACCGCCGCCGACTTCTTCGTACTCGTACTCAGTGTCCGAGTCATCGGAATCGGACGTTTGGTCGGCTGCACTGCTGTGTCCGTTGTCGTGGCTGATGCTGTTGCTGCCGCCCATCGACTGGAACGAGTCCCACTTCAGCTGCACATACCTATCGAGCGCAGGAGGGAAGGCCAACTCGTCGTGATCGGTCTGGAACAAATCGCCAAAGTTGCTCGGCAGATCCGTGAAAGTATCTTCAAGCTCCTGCAGGAAGCGCTGGCTATCAATGACGAGACGGTGCTGCGCATTCACACGATAGCAGCCGGGAGCCTTCATCACAGCCTTGTTGATAAACCGGTCCACGTACCGCAGAATCATGATGGCGCTGTACTCGGAGATGTACTTCTCCAATTCCCGCTGAGCGTTGATCGAGATGGCCTGAGCGTTCAGGGCCGAGCTGACACGGGACATGCGTTCAGAGTCGGTCATTTGGGTGTTCTTTGCCGACTTTGCCTTCCTCTTGATACGCGAAGTCTTCTTCTCCTTGGTGCGCGTGGAGCTTTTCTCCTTCTTGTCCTTCTTTTCAGTGGTACTGGCCTTGTGGGACGACTTGGACCTGTCGCTGGAGTGACTATCCCGCCGTGGACTCGTCTTCTTCGTCTTGTACTGAGCCAGGGAGGACAAATCAACCAGCTTTACTTCATCTCCAGAAGCTGTGGACGACGTCGACGAAGGCACAGATGGCGACGCAAGATGTTTCTCCTTCTCGGGCTCCGACTCGTCATGCGACGACGACGCCACGGAGCTGAGCGCCGACGTGGACGTGGCCGCCCGCGCCGTGCGGTTCTTCATGATCGCTGCGTGTCCGTCGGGCGTGGAATAATGCCTCTGCATCCGATGCTCGTTCTCCAGCGCCGACGTGCTCTTCTGCTTCTGCAGGAACTGGTCGCGCAGCGATTCCTCCGCCACGGAGGCGCTGTGCTGCTTCTGCAAGAACTGCTGCCTCAATGAGCTGGCCTCAGCGCGGGACCTCTCAGAGGCCGCCATCAAGTCGTTCATCCTCACAGTCTTGGAGGAATTGTTGCCGGCACTGGACGCCGCAACGGAGCTGTCAAGGGCGGGGTCCGCGGCCTCGCTCTGCTTTCTTTGCTGCTGCTGCTGCTTGTGCTGCTCGTGCCGCATCTTCTCCACCTGCTGCTCCCTGCGCTGGTGCTGCTGCATCTTCTCGGCCATCCGCATGGCCTCCATGCTGCTCTGCTGCTGATTGCGCTCGCTGGCGTTGGAGCTCCTCATGGCGAGGATCTTGCTCTCGCGGATGAGCCGCTTGGGCGAGCTCTCCCTCTGCTCGTTGGCGCCGTGGAACGCGCCGTCCGACGCCGAGCCCAGGAGGTCCCCGGAGTGCGGCGGCACGTCCGTCTTGATGGTCACGGGCTTGAGGAAGTCGCGCAGCAGGTAGAACACGCTGACGCTGGCCTGCGTGCGGTCCTGCAGCGCCGCGTACGCCGCCTGCTGGTGCGAGGGCAGCGCCTGCACGTACTGGTCGTAGCGCGCCTTCTGCGCCTTGCGGTACGTGTGCGTGAGGAAGAGCAGCTTGATGAGGAAGCGGTGCAGCTCCACGGCGCGCTCCTTGACCACGTGGTCCTTGCGGCTGCCGAAGAGCCGCTTGGCCGGGAACGGCAGCTCCTGCAGCTCGCGCGCGAAGTCCCGCGAGCACGCGTCGTCCAGGATGTGCGCGCGCGCGTCCTTCATGACGCGCTGCACGTCGTCGCGCAGCTTGCGGAAGTCCGAGTACGTGCGGCGCACCTCCCACTCGTCGGCGTCCTGCTGCACCTTGACCACGTACAGCACCTGGCTGCCGCCCGTGAACTCGACGTGGCCGATGGCGACCACGAGGCGGCTCATGGCGGGGGGTATCGATACGAGTGCACTTGGGCAATGAATGGGGCGGTCACTCTGTCCTGTTGACTCTTGCGGTGCAGCGCAGTGTTGCGAAGTGCAGTCAGTGCAGGTTTGGCTCGAAGCCTTGATTAGCACGTCGCTTCTCTATGTGAAGGCCAGCCGGTGCGCGAGAATTTATAGCGGATGGCGGATGGGAGGTGCATGTGGTTAGAGAGGGACTTTCATACAGCAGGATAGTCGGTTGGGATGTTATGGACGGTATGTGGTTTCGGAGGATAGTTTGGGAGAGTCAGTTGCCGCACGAACACTGGGCCGCATTCCGCACACAGAAGCTCTGCTGTTCAACGAGCCCCTAGTCGTCGCCACTACAGCAAAAATAGGCCACGGCGGCGCGTGTGCGGCCTGAAATGGGACTTTCCCGGCTCGGCGCACGATCGAGATGACGGCGGATCCCGTCGCGCCGGATGCCTGCATGCAGTAAGGTGTAGTCGAGTCGAGTTGCAGCTCGCATCGCTGCGCGATTGTTGCAAGCAAGCAACGGACTGCAACCAAACACCAAGCACGGACGACATGCAAGCTGCATCCTTCCTTCCTGTACATTGTAGATAGATATACTTACTCACGGTTTCGAGAGAGAGAGAGATGGCAAGCGTTTCGGTCGATGCTTGCGCCTTTGCCGCGCCGAAAAGAGCAGATCCCTGGTAGTCGGTGAGAATTTTTAGGTCTCTTTGGCGATGTCCCCCACTGAGATGGTGCCGAGTTTTGGGGTCGATAGGCGCGGCCTTTATAATAGACACCTTCTGGACGCGCAGCCATTTTCGTTGACGGGCTGATCCGCTCCAGGTGGACGCGCCGCGAGCGCGCGGAAGGCGCCGCCGACCTGACATCGACAGCCATGTGTGCTCGGCGAAATCGCATGCACGGAGCTGCAGCTGGCCGCTGTCGTGTGGCTGGTGATCGTCTCAACCATAGATACACGTTGAAGTCAGTCGGTCGTCGCCAAGCACTCTGATCTTCTCGTGCGCCATGGCCTTTAACGCGGCATTTCTTTTGCGAATGGGTATTGTCGCCAGTGCTGCTTGGTTTTGGTCTGGAGAGCTTCCTCGTTCGCGCGGGTTGAAGTGTCATGCCGGACTCTGCCATGGAAAAACCCGGCCAAGGGCGTGAGATGCACAAGGAAGGAAGGATGAAGCAGCACCTGAATTGGCCCATTGATTGCCACTGCGCACCGCAACCACGACAGAGCCAACTGGTATGAATTCAAACCTTCAGCGATCTCTACAAAAACCATTGTACACATATTTAGATAAGCATTACGCATTGCTCAGCGCAGTATACTCGTCACACACGTAACTTTCTTCGGCCTTCGTCTTTCGTGGAGCTCATAAAGGTCCGCCGCCTCGGTGTCTGTAACTTCCCGTCCAGTCCATTACATAGCAAATCCGTCCGTCATGGCGTCCCGGGAGCTGGAGCGCGCGCACCCGGACGTGGCGCTGCCTGCGGTGGTGCACCGGGTCGCGTCGGACGTGTCTGCGTCCTCGCGGCTGTTGGTCATCGGCGACGTGCACGGCTGCCTCGACGAGCTGCAGGCGCTGCTGGCCGCGTGCCATTTCGCGCCTTTCGCAGGCGACCGGCTGGTGTTCGTGGGGGACCTGGTCAACAAAGGCCCCAAGTCGCTGGACGTCGTGCGCTTCGTGCGCGACTCGGGCGCGCTCTGCGTGCGCGGCAACCACGACGACGCCGCCCTGAGCGCCTACTACAGGTGGGTGCAGGGCGGCCGCCAGCCCGGCTCAGCCAAGTATCCGTACGTGGAGCAGTTCGAGCCTAGGGACGTGGCGTTCCTCGAGCAGCTGCCCTTCTCGCTGTCGCTGCCCAACCACGGCAACATCATAGTGGTGCACGCTGGACTGGTGGAGGGGGTCGAGCTGCAGGACCAGAAACCCTTTGATATGTACAAGATGCGCTTCGTGCAGCGTGAAAGGGCGGAAGACGAGGGTTCGCAGTGGAAGGCGCTGGAGAAGGAGAAGTTCAAGAGTGAGAGCGGCGGCGAGCCGAAGATGTGGGCGAAGGTGTGGAGCGGGCCTAGGCATGTGTACTTTGGTCATGCAGCGAGTGCGGGATTGCAGGTGGGTGGGGGTATAGTTGAAGTTGAAGTGCTTTCCCTCTGACTTTTTTATATTTTTTAGCAAGAGAGTTTCGCGACCGGCTTGGATACAGGTTGCTGCTATGGGCGGAAGCTCACGGCGTGCATTATCCCGGTGAGAGGTGTTGCGTTGTTTGGTTCGACCGGGTGGTTATTAATGCTGTGGTGTGTGCTTTGTGGCCAGTCGAACACGCTGGTGCACGTGGATGCGAAGGAGCAGTATGAAGTACCGAGCGGCGACAAAAACTAGCTGCGATGCAGAATTGTATTGCAAGTAGCATTCTACTCATTCTGCTGATCGGGAACAAAACTCAATCACATCAAATTCTCAAAAAGTTAGCGGTGCTTACCCGCGCCGCTGTGCGTTTTATCATTGCGTGTTGCGAACGACCCCATTCTCCGAGATGACGAACTTGCCGACATACAGGTCGACCACCGCGATTTGCATACTTTCCTGGGCAAAGTGAACCCCCTTTCTGAGGGCCACGTCTCCGATTGCTCCAAGCACGCGCTTCAAATCTTCGATACTTGTAGCGCCGTACAAGACACGCCTGCCAAAGCACACGACACCATTGAGTTCTGGCACAGCGTCGACAGCAGCTTCGAAGCGAGAGAACTGGCGGGGAGTGATGGCTGGAGTTGCAGTAAACTCTAAGTACATGGGCCGCCCGACGAATTTGTCAAGTGCTGCCTGTACCTTAAAACGGTCCGCAACGTTACTCAAGTACCATTCCAACGTGCGAAACGTGTCGGGGCTTGACGTTTTACCCAATCCCATGGCGTCACGTGCTAGCGAGTACGTCTGAACCAGCTCTCTATAACCCCCAGGCTCTCGCTTATCAAACGGCGTCTTTACCAAACGCTTATCCAGCACGTCCAGAATCTCGCGAGCCTGCGGCTTCCTATTGACGGAGACACTCAGCTGCGCAGTTCCCACCACGAACCTGGTAAACGCCAGCGTCGTATCACAGAGCTTCCGCACAGGAGCGAGGGCTGGAACCGCAATGGCAGCGTGGTCAACCCGATACAGCTTGTGCATCATGTGGATCACTTGTGTAGCTTCAGAAGCAATAATACTGCGAATACGACGATCCGTCGAATTGAGTCTGCTGGGGTGCGAAGATGCCTCAACCGATCTCTCGAGCTTCTCGATCAGCTTGCATGCGCGCTGCACGTCGTCGGATTTGTCAGCTGCAAGAATATTTGGGTCTCGTAGTCGAGCGAATGTAGCAGCCGTACTCTCCAGCGAGTTCTCCAACAATGAAAAGCGTTCGGAATTTTCATTCGTCTCATCCGACCCATCGGCCACGAGCAGATCCGTCAGTAAGTTCGTCGCCTCATCAGCAACGTCGCTCACTGCCCTTGTGGTAGACACAGCAGCAACGGGTGAGTTTCCCGTCTCACCCTTTTTGCTCTTCTTTTTCTTCTTGCTGTTTTTCTTCTTCTTCTTCGACGCTGTGGTGGTGTTTGCACTGGCAGGTTCCAGCGCTTGTTGACGTTCTTCATCGCGCTGGGCAGACACTGACTGACGTAATTGCTCTGCACGAATATTGCTCTGATGACGGAACATCGCATCACGATTCCTTGCGCCTTCGCAACTCGCCTGACTTCTCTCAATTTCAACAATCGATGTCGCGATCTTGCGTCTCCACTCGCGGTCGTTCGTCACGTCGCACACACGCTTTCCGTTGCCGTCTTTGATGCGAAGATCAGCTCCGAACGCAACCAGCATATTATAAAGACTGCGATGCCCGTGCTTGACAGCCAAATGCGCCAGCGTCTCTCTCGTGTGAAACGTGGGTGTGTTCAAGTCGACCATGTTGTCTGCTTCGAGAATGATCCGAACAATGTCCTCGTGACCTGCGATTGCGGCGCTGTGAACAGCCATGGTGTTCGGCAAGATCTCCAATCGAAACGGAAAGTCCCGTAGCTGCGGTCTGTTCCGGCAATGCAATGGCTGAATCGTGAGTGCTCCTAGTTGGATCATCCACTCCACCAGGTCGGCATCATGTGCGGGACCAGCTGCAGCTTGGTGGAACAGCGAGCCAAGTTCATCGAGCATCGAGTTCGATATCGTGTTCACATCATGCCCTTCGACGGGTTCCTTGCAAAGAGTGCCCATGGACAGGAGACTCGGGTCCTTCTTAAGCTCGGACTTGAGCTGATACATATCCCACACTGAAAGCGGCCCATCACTATTTTCCAGCAACCGCATCAGACTAGAAAACAAGTCTTCGCGCTCCTGACCCTCGGTCGTCCTCATAGATGACGTCGAACCGTATTCTTGGTTGACAAAGTCAGGTTTGGACGGGAACGTGAAGTATTTCAGCTCGCACACATGAGGTGGGGTCGCGAACTTGGCTTTGATCACAGCAGCAGCCTTCCTGCACAGCATCTTGACACCTTCGCCACCCAAAATGCCCAGCTGAACCCCACGATACGTAATCGGTATCATATTCATATCCAGTGACCCATCTGACTGCAAGCAATCCAGAAGTGGCATCAGAAGCACCATCACTGACTTTTCCAACGCGCTGTTAACGCGATAGTGATCCGACTCGCCACGAGTTGGGCGAGCAATATAATCATCGTGAAACCGTCTCTGGCTTAGCGCGTCACACATGCCCGAGAATACGTCCGTGAGATCGTCATTCAGCGTCAAAATATCACGTGACAGCACTCGCGTCTGGAACAACTCCTTCGAGCAAATGTCAGCGGCGACATCCAGCATAGCCTTCGATGAAGCACCTCTTAACACTGATTTATCATTCTCAGCAAGTAATCGATAGATCTTGGACAAATCCTGAAAATGAAGAGCTTTTCGCACTTTAACCCCTGCATTCCCAGCAGGTGGCGCTACACCGCGGTACATATTATTGACTGCAGTAGCAGTCATGTGAGAGCTCAGTAGATATGCGCGGTTGTACGAACCGTGCACTGCTGCGGCTCGCGAGGGCGTAAAAATCATTTCGTCGTAAACCTGCAACACGTCGTCAAAGAACGGGATGTGCTGGAGGAACCCTTGCTCCACAAGCGCATTGTAGAGGTGGCCAAACGCCCGGAACCTCGATGTCACCATCAGAATCTCACTTGCCATATGCAAGTAGTGGAAGTCGTAGGTCATCATCAGGAAACCCGCCATCAAAGGGTTTGCGCGTGCCAAGTTGTGAATCCGACTCGTCATTTTAATCTCCTCAGCGCATTGCTTGAGGCCGTTGTGAATCTCTCTGTCGGCAGTAAACACCGCACCCTTCGCCACAGTGGCCTCCATGTTTTTCATCAGACCCTTGGTGTGCTTGAACGTAAGACTCACATTGCGAGTGAGACCGGATTGTCCTTGCAGCGCCGCCACTGATTTCAGCCAGCAAACGCACGCGAACACAACAGGAACCGTCACCTGGCGCGAAGTAAAGTATTCGTCCATCAGTGCCAAGAACGAGGTCGTCAAGTTCGAGTCGTCAAACGCCGTTCCAGCAGCCGTTTTCGTCTCGAGGATCGCGTTGAACAGCAGCGGCAGTTGCTGCAGCAGGAACACCACCATGTTGGTATGGTCTGGAAGAACGTATTGCGGCGTGCGGTCTTCACCATAAGTTTCGCCAAAGAAACCATCGCGTGGGATAAGTTTCATCCCCGCTTGTGCCGGAATAACAGACGTGAAGCTTGCCAGCGTGCCCCCCACACTGAAGAAATCAACGATCAGCATGCCCGGGACGAACGTGTACGTCTCGTTACTCTGGAATTTGGTCCAGAAGTCCGAGACAGCCTTCCCCATCCTCTTCATGTAATCCTTCGACGTATTCTGCATCACAATATTGATCACGTCCTCCGCGGTCTTCAGCATAGGATATCTCAGCTGCAGCCTCGCCGTCAATGCAGTAGCCGTGTCCATGGCCAGCTTCACCACCACCGTCGCCTCCACCATAGTGCGTTGCTGCTTCTTTACCTGGTCATAGACATCGAACACTCCTTCCACCAGCTCCTCCAGCTCCAGGAAGAAGTAGACCACCTCCAGCCCAGGTCCTCGGCGAAGGCCTCATTGAACAGCCGCTCCCTGTCCACCTTGGCGCCACTAGGAGCATCAGGCTCAGCCACGAACAGGTCCTCGTCCGGGAAGTAGTCTTCGTCCACCTGCAAGACTTGATAATAGTTCTCGAACCTCTTGCTCTCGCTCGTGGCCTCCTCGTCCTGCTGCTGAGTCTGCAGGATCCCCTCGAGCGTCTTGTGCCAGCCTCTCAGTAGCTGCAGGAAGTGCTGGTGGCCGCGGTCTCCGCCGTCCGCGAAGAAGGAGGCGACTTGCTGGCGGAACGTCATGGCGCACTGACAGGCCGCGAGAGCCTTGGGCAGCTCCTGCAGCAGCTTGGGCGTGAGGGACGTCGGCTCCGCTGCGATCTCCCGCATCACGTCGCCCAGCGCCGATAGATGAATCTGTTGACCTGCGTGTCGCCCGCGCCCACGTGCACGCAGCAGCCAGTCCAGGAAGAAGGCCGTGGCGCGCTTGTAGCGCGCATACTTGCTCGTCGGGAACGCCGGCATCAGATCAACGTCAAGATTGCCTGTTGAGATCTAGGGAGATGTACCATATGAATGGTACGCCAATGTGGTGTACACAGAGTAATCTTTGAGGGTGGGCGAATTGAACCATCCAATAGAATAACTCGTTCCCATTTCCTTCCACTCGGCATCCGATCCATTTGGAATCAGCGCGCCGGCTAAAGCCGACAGTCGAACCGACGCCGCCGACAGCGATGGACTCGCTCAAGAGCATGTTCTTCAGCGGCGACGGCGCGGCCAAGCCCAAGGTGCGCGCCTGCTCTCCCTATTGCACCCCTTACTGAAGCGTCCTAACGCCCCCGCTCTGCCGGGTTGCCGTTCCGACAGGCCGTCAAGTGGCTCGGCATGGGCCGACACGCCGCCGGCAAGAGCGACCAGATGTTCATCAGCGCCGAGGCGGCCGAGCGCGTGCTGCAGCCGCTGGGCGACACGCCCATCAACCTCATCTCGATCTTCGGCGCCGCGCGCCAGGGCAAGTCGTTCCTCATGAACCTGCTGGCCGACCAGCAGGACCTGTTCAAGATCTCCAACCTGCGCGAGCCCTGCACGCAGGGCGTGGACCTGTCGGGCCACTTCGTGCCGCTCAGCCGCTTCAGCGGCTTCAACGGCTGCCCGCCGGTCACGCCGCGCGCCAGCAAGGGCCTGCACGTCGGCTTCGTGGACGCCGAGGGCCAGGGCGACCGCGACATCACGTACGACTCGCGACTCGTGTCGCCCGTGCTGCTCTCGTCCAAGGTCGTGCTCTTCAACTGGAAGGACAGCCTGCAGGCCGACCGCATGCTCAACCTGCTGGCCGTGCTCGCGCGCGCGGCGCAGGGCATCGAGCTGGCGGACGGCGCCAACACCAAAGTGTTCGGCCACTTGCACCTGTACGCTGCGATATTTTTTTTATTTTTTATTTAGGTGGAGACAATTTTTTTAATTTGTTTTTACTTGTGCAGGGTGTTCCGGGACTGGAGCTTCGTGGACTCGACGCCGGAGGAGGTGTACAGGGATCTGTTTCAGAAGGAAAAGGGCCGCAGTGAAGAGGTGAACGTGCGCAACTTGGCCCGCGCGAACCTGATCGAAGCCTTCGAGTCGATCAACATTTGGCTGTTCCCGGCGCCCGTGGAGAACACGGCGAACCTGCGAGACAAGATCCGCTTTGAGCAGCTGCAGAAGCCCTTCCAGGACAAGCTGCGCGAGCTGCGCAAGTGTCTGTCGAGTCAGCTGCAGCAGCCGATGACGTTCTACAACCGTCCGCTGACGGCGAAGTATCTGTCCAAGATCATGCCGGCGCTGGTGGATACGTTGAACAGCGACCAGGTGATCATGCCCGAGTCGATTTACTCATCCATGGTGCGAGCTGAAGCTCAAGCACTGAAGGAGAGCTGCGAGAAGGACATTTCGGCCTATTGTGAGGCTGCTGGACTGGAGGAGCTGATCTCGAGTGACGAGTTTGACAAGATGCTGCACAAGGACGTCGAGATTATTATCCAGGATGCGTTCGAGAAAATGGGGAGTTTCCCGGCAGCAGTGCGCAAGGACATGCAGACCTCTCTTCGAGCGTTTGCAGAGAAGGAGATCACGCTTGCGCTTCATACAAACAGCGAGAAGATCGCCACGCATCTGTCAAAGGTCGTGGATGCGGTATTCCAGAAACTGAAGGAGGAATGCGTCGTCATCGAAAAGACAAGGCTCCCCATGAAGAGTGCTCAGCTGAGGCAGGAGTGCTCGGATCTGCTGAGTCGAGAATTAAAGCGGATTGAGAAGCTTCCCATGGGGCTGCAGGGAAAGCGCGGGGTCGAGATCGAATGCGGACGTGTACGACAGAACGCAAGCCTCCTGTTTGACAAGCTGGAGGTGGCCAATGACAAGGCCATTCAACAGGCCACCGCAGCGCTGAATGACGTGGTACGGGCAGCGAAGGCGCGCATGAGCTCGGAGATGCACGACAACCTCGACAAACGTTTCGCGGAGAAGCGCCCAGTTACTGTGACCAAGCTGCAGAGCGAAGTGGAAGATCTTTTCACGAGAGTGGTGCAAGAGGTGACCCAGAAAACTGGACATGTGAACGAGTTCGGCGTGTCTGACTTCCGCTCCGACCTCGACCACCACAAGGCTCAACTGGCTGACGAGATGAACCGACGCTACATGATCGAAATGCGTCAGATACTGAACGAAGTCAGCTATGCGGCCCGGGAGGACTTGGGGAAACAAGTCATGTATCGTCTTGACGGGAAGCTGCCGATGCTGGAGGAGGAGATTAAGGCTGGCGTCGACAGTGCAGTCGCGCATGTCAAGGGCGTTATGGCGGACAAACTTCAAGGGTGGACAATCCTAAAGAGCGATCTCGAGGTCAAGAGTATGGAGTTGGAGAAGCTTGGGGATGAGGTGCGTAGATGCATGAATTGTTTTGGCTGTGTGCAAGTGCTAATATATTTGTTTTGTACCTTGCAGTTTGCAGACAAATACCTGCATCGCAACCAGCAGTTGGAGAAGGATGCGGATGTGCGCAAGGAAACCGAGCAATATGAGAAACTGCGCATTGACGTGACGAAGCAGTTTGAGCAGAAGCTCAAGCAAGTTGGATTCCCCACCACCGACGACGAAATCGACTCGGTCTTTCGACATGTGCTTCAGGAACTCGCTGCTCAGTTTTTGTCGACTATTGTGGATCGTGAGACCACGAAATTCACTGCAAAGGGACTCCGCGAGATTCTCACGAGTGACTGCAGATCAGCTGTGGAGAACCAGAAGATGCTGAATAGGTTGGTAGGCCATTGGATTTCATTCTTATGTTGGACAGTGGTGATAACTCTTAACTGGGGTTTCGTGAATGTGTAGACTTGCGATTGAGAAGAAGGAGGCGTTAGATTTGGCGGAGAAGGAGAGGCAAATGCGCGAGCGGGAACGACTTGCCGCGGAACAGAAGGAGGCGGAGATCAATCGCTTGAAGAGAGACCACTCCAAGTGGCTTGGGGAGAAGGATAACGAGTCGAAGCGGCTTCGCGACAAGCTACAAGAAGAGGAGAGAAAGGCTCGTGAGCTGCAGCAGAGGGTAGAAGAGATGAAGCTGGAGACAGCTCGCTTGGAAAGGCAAAAACACGAGGAGCAACTCAAATCGTTGGAGCAGTCACGCCAAGCTACCAGGGCGAAGGAGGACGAGGCGGCGCGACTGAAACAGGAGCTAGAGCAATTGAAGCGCAAGGCTTTTGAAGTAGAAAGTCAGAACCGCCAGCTCGAGGTTCAAGTCCAGTCTGAGGCGAAGAAGAGGGATGAAGCTGAAGAACTGAAGCGGCAGCTGGAGGAGATGAAGTATGCCATTGCGCAAAAGGAGCAAGAACGCGTGAGCATGGAGTTGCAAGTGCAACAGGAGCAGGCTTCTCGTGAGCAGGCCGAGCTTGCTGCGCAGCAAGCAGCGAAAGCAGCTGAAGTAGCCGCTCGCGCTGCGATTGAAGCTAGTCGACGCCAACCACCTCCAGCACCGGCACCAGCAAAGACGGAGGAAATTGGACGTAAGAGACCTCTAACAAGTGGGTCAGAAGATGTTGAGATGGAGGACGTATCTCGCTCACGAGCGCGAACACCCGTTCGAGCGGCTGGTGAGTGGTTTGCGTCCCAGGTGTGCAAGGCTCTAATATTTGTCGCTGATTGTGCGTATGCCTTTCGTGTGTGATGTACAGCAGCCAAGCCGTCCCCGGTTGCCAAGAAGCCTCGTGGTCCGAACAAGGCGAGAGCGACTCATACCAAGGCTGGAGGCAAACAGAAGATGTCGCTGGCGGAGGCACGCAAGGCCGCTCAAGAAGAGGTGGAGAAGCGTATTCAAGAGCGTGCCAAGTTGCTGTCCGCATCCAAGAAGAAATAAGGGTACCCTCAGCAACCAGTCCGCCAGCGGAAACCAACGCAACTTTAAACACGATCAATTTTCAAGAGCTGCGTTTGAACTCGAACAACTCTTGGCGGATATTTTTACCCGCCCGTTGGATCACTCTGTGGACGAGTTTGCTAAGTACTTCTGTGAAGCATTCAATATGAAAATGCAATCGCCCCTATTCGCACCGATACTGCTCTTCTTCTTGCCTCTATTGCAGTCGTTGCTCTTGTTGTTCCTGTTGTTCGTGCTGGGCTTGTAGTTCTTGAAGTTGTGGAAACTGTTGCTGCAGCTGTTCAGGATCAATGGGCTCGTAGTACACTTCTCGCAGAACGGATAAGGCTGTAAGTGAAAACGTACCCCCCCCCCACGTGCTAGTCGATTTGCTCCACAGCAGGTGCAGGTTCAGCCGCCTCTAGCTTCTTGGTTCCTTTCATTGACGCCGTTCCAGATGCCAGGACACTTAAAAGAAGGCGAGCACGCACGCTCTTAGTATATATAGGCTCTTGCTGTCGGAAGATGGATCCCGTGAAACTTGCAGAACATCTTGGAAAATTGTTGAAAAGCACCTCCAGATACACCAGTCTGTGGTTTAGCATCTCCGAGCCACAGTTCCTCCATGGACGGCTTCACTAATAGTTGGGTAGCGACAAGTACCAGCTACAGTTCCATAGCGATGGCAATTTTCCTCGCCTCCGCGCTTGTAGGAGTGTTCGAACTACGTATCGCTTCAATCACGGATGCGTTCCCGCGCGTGGTAACCTTCACCAAGCGGAAACACGTCGTACGCATCTCTACTGCGATATCGCCGTGACTCTCGGGGCCATGCGCTTTTGTGGCGGCTTTGGTTTCAACGGTAACAGTATCGCGCTGCTTCTCCGTTTGACCTTGTTTTGAAGCTGGATTTTCCCCTCCGTTTTTGTTCTGTTTCTTGCGTCTTCGACCTTTTGTTAATGAGTGTTCTCGTGTAAGATCCCCACGTTGTGTATTGTCCATTTGACCTTGTTGTGAAGCCTTCTCTTTCGCGACACGATCGGTAGGTTTCTTCCGCCTTCGAACCTTCGCCAAAGCTGGGTCGCTGACACCACCCTCGCCCTGTTTTCCCGCAACGAGTTCATCGTACGTTTCGCGCATTTGATCTTGCTTTGGAGTTCGGGTAGGCACCAATTTCACGACTATTACATGAATAACACTGGTGACGGGAATACCTCTCACAATGCTCTTCAACATGTCAGCGGTAAGCGCCTTGTCGTCAGTCTCGACTGCAAGACACTCAATCGTCAGACGTTTCCCCAATGAAATCACACATTGATTTTCACCCCGCCTTTGTGTGGCAACTTCCAGCCTCAGCCACGGGAGCGACTAAATTAGGTCAAATCGCAAACTTGGTCAAGGCCAAATCTTGAAGATAGATCACGGATAGGTCACACATTTGGCTCTTAGGTCACGTGACCAAACCACTTGGTCACGTGAAGCTGCTAGAACAAGCTTTAGCGCCCCAGCATCACCCAAGTTGTTCCCTTCATTACTACGGTAAAGTACAACATGCCGAGTAGCTATTTCTGGCCGTTGTACCTGTCCGAAACTCTGGGGGTTTTGAAACCAACATGATCCAATAGAAAGCATGCGACCAGTGGGCCATTGGGACTTCTCCCTTCACAAACACAGCCTTCAAGTCACGCGCCAACCACTAACGTAACCCAAGATGGCTCGGCGCCGAGGCGGTCGTAGAGGAGCCTCTACGTCTTCCCCAGACCCAGCCCCATCTCGTTCTCCTGGTCGTCGTGGGCAATCTTGATTTGCCCCGACTTCGCGTCCGACTCGTCGAAGCAGTCGCGCGACGAGTGACGTTCTTGAAAGAGAGCTGTCCGCCGCCATCTTGGCTTCCCAAGAGTTACGGGCAGGAACACAGGCGCCGACGTCGCGTTCAACACGCCGAAACAACCACGCATCGAGTGACGTCCCTGATAGCGAGGTGTCCGCAGCCGTCGTGACTCGGCATGGACTTCTGATGGGGATTCGCGATATGGAACCAGACACGCCTGTGCTGGTGGGCATCCCACGACCAGCGCTATCCACGCCACTGTCCAATGTGGACACTCAGACCTCGACGAGTCTGTCACGTTCGCAACAAGCGTCCAAGCCTCGGGACGGACGTACAAAACTGTACTATCAGGGATACTCTTTTGTTCGAGCTAACGGAACTTCAAACAAGATATCGTATCGCTGCAGCTCATATCGTTCCCCCTGTCCTGCGCAATTTGCATTCTACGCGAGTACGATGGCGTTTGACTTCAGCAGCATGGAGGCTCATACATGCCGTGCTGGTCCTGCTCTCCGAGGAGCAACGGTGAACCTAGGCGATCACGCCATAGATGCTTCGAACGACATCATGGAGGAGGTCGACAAACTTGCTACTCAAACGACTCTCACTCAGAGGCAAATATGGATGGCTATTGCGGACAAGTTCTACATGAACGATGGGGCTCCGGTTCGCAGCGTATCGGAGAAAACCGTCAAAAACCGTGTGCAAGAAGCTTGGGGCCACGATTCCAGTCACGGCCGAGCCAGTATCATGACGAACCCCCGACTGACCAAGATTAAAGGATTGCACCAAGGCTTCTTCCAGTTTCAGTATGCCTGGCACGATGACGTCAAGGCGCTGAAGAAGCCGCCAAAGGATGCAAATGGCATCGATCAGATAACTGCGTGGGCTCATCCTACGCTTTTGAATTTGCTCTGCTTCGAAAACTTGTCGTGGTTTATCGACGGCACGTTTAGATGTGTCCCCGTCGACTACAAGCAGTGTGTCACAATTATGATCTATGATCTTTCCAGCAAGCTGTTTCTCCCTGTCCTGCATGCGGCAACTACATCTATGACGAGAAAATCCTACGTCCGACTGCTGCAATGTGTACAAGATGCTGTGGGGAACAAGCTGGTTCCGAAAGATGTGGTGTGTGACTTTGAGAGTTCACTGATTGGAGCACTTCGCGAGTTCTTTCCTGACGTCACCATTATCGGGTGCCTGTTTCATTTTAAACAGGCATGCCGTCGCAAGATGAAAAGCATTGGGCTACCAGTTGGTGAAATCAAGGTTGCTATGTCGCGTAATGTCTTTGACATACTTACCGTCATTGATCCCACCAAAATTGCTGTGCAGGGAATCGCTTGGGTGAAGGCCAAGATTCGCAGCGTGTGTGAGGTGAAAGGTCTGGAGTACTCTCGCAGCAAGTGGCGAACGTTTTGGAGCTACTTTCAGCGGACTTGGTTGGAGACGTACCCGCCGGAATTCTGGAATGTGTTCGGCATGAGGCGTGACATCATCAGCCGGACGAACAACCCATTAGAGCGATTTCACCGTGAACTAAACAAGCGGTTTAATGCTCATCCACCCATGAAAACTTTCGTGACTTCGCTAGAGAACCTTGCTCGCGAGTACGTTGCGCAACGGACGACTGTCATCTCAGGATTAGCCAAGCCACCTGAGCTTACAGGATTCGTGCTACCAAGACAGCCAAAGCTGCCAGAGGTGAGCGACATCGTCGACTCGCCAGCCAGCAGCGACGGTGAGGGTGAAATTGTCGATGCTGACGCGGACTCGGAACCATACAGCAGCGCTATGTCCTCGACGGGTGACGAGAACGTGGAACCCGTCGAGGACAGCGAGTACATGCAGCCGGATCACTCCTTCGAGTACGACGGCGAGACGTAGAGAGCCTCCGACACCTACATCACAGACGCGACCGCGCAGTATGAAGAGGGCAGTGAGCATAACACATAATACATATCATTCATTACGTACGTGACCAACTGTAATTAGGTCACGTGACCTAACGACGTGACCAACTCTGCCATTTGACCTAATTTATCGGTTACCCTCAGCCGCGTCCTCGAAATAAATTCAGGCAAGTCCACGCCGGGCTGAATGAGAAATGGTGTTTAGGAGATCCATCACATCCTCAGGAAAGCTAACGGGAACACCAGGGGACCACTGTATACCAAACTCGTACAGTAACGCAGAGAAAAAACCCGGAAAACTCACCCCCCTGCGGTGGCTTGCTGCTACGAGCGCGCCAGTCACAAATGCCTCCAGACGCATAGCATCGTTTGTTGCCTGGCTACTGCTGCGGTACAAATGTTTGGAGCCCGCACCTGACGTAATGAATCGCCTGGCAAATCGAAATTGGTTTCGATTCCAAGTCTCTCAGCGCAGCAAAGTATTTGCCACCAGTTAGACAGAGATGCAAAAGTGCATCTTGTTCAAACGTCGGAAAGACACTGCAACATTGCCACGGGTCCGTTCCATGCATTCCTTTCACTGGGAGACCCGATGAACTGAGCCATAACTTGAACGAGCTCGACTCCATGATACGCGCGAAGTGGTACCTGATGAGGCCAGTAGTTACATGGATACTCGAGCCTTCTTTAGCGAAACTCGCAACGAAGAACAAGCACAACTGACCCATTAGGAAATACTCGGAAGAAAATCTGTACTCACCAGTAAACGCATGTGCGAGCACTCCACCCATTCTGTCCATATACTCCACAAAATCGGTGCTGGCGTCCAATGGGTTCTCCAGCACGTACTCCAAAGCCACTTTCGCAAAAGATGGTCGACTGTGCTTGATGATATCCCGCAAAGCCCCCGACTCCAGATCTTCCACTCGTGGGTCTTGGAACCTCGGAAGGCTGGGTGAGATCAGGCACCACATCGAGGAGCGCTCTCGGATGCCTAGCGTCACAAGGTCCCATACGACCTCGTTGGTGGCACTCAGGATAGCGGTTATTCCAAACGACCGAAACACATTGATCATAAAGCGGGGCTTCCACTTGTTGGGCTCCGTTTGGGATCCCTCTCGATAGGGAAAATTGTCGAGAAAGAATACACATGTCCTGCCCGCCAATGCGTTCCACATGTCCGCTGCTGCACGAAAGCTGGTCGTCCGGTGAGCAGCGCCCAAATAAATCCATAGGTGTAGCATTGCGGCTGCGCAGTGATACTACTTATCTGGGCATCGTGCATCGTCGGTAAATCTTTCGCCACACAGCGCTGAAACGTATCGGACCGGCGAGCAAACGCCTTGTGTACATCCTCTCGGACCTCGCCGCACACGACATAGAATACCTCCACCTCCTGCCGAGCCATGAGATTGAAGGCCATCTGCGTCTTTCCAGTACCTGGCGAGTTTACCAACACGATGAAAGGGATGGCAGCCGAATTACCGGAAAAGCTATTGCTGACTCGCTCGATGTTTTGCACTAGTTGGTCAACTTCCGGTGCGTCTACTAGTCGATCCGCGACTTGCCAATGCACATCCGTGTGCATCCAATTCTCTTCGTTTTCAGACACGACGAAAGCTGGAAACGGCTCAACAAGCACGTGAATAACTGCATCTGGTAGGTCCCCGAAAGTACTGAAGAGATTACCCAACGTTTCTTGACTGTCCATCTTCATCGAAAGCCAACGAGCTGACACAGACTTCTCGCATTTCACTGTCAGTGATGTTGCTGAAGTCGTTTTTGAAAACTGCATTGACTGCCCTTGCATTCAAGTTTGAGCTCAGCAGATAGGTGCGGGTATAACGGCCATGCACAGCTGCGGCTCGGCACGGAGTAAAGATAATTTCTTCATAAATCTCCAGATACTCGTCGATGAATGGGATGTGCGGAAGAAACCCCTCCTTTAAAAGCGCATTGTAAAGGTGTCCGAACGCTTTGAATCTCGATGTCAGCGACAAAACTCGGCTCGACATGAGCAGAAAAACCATATCACAATCTAACATCACAAACCCTGCCATCATCGGGTTCGCGCGTGCTAAATGGTGGTATTGGCCATACAGTTTAATGCTTTCGGCGCATTGTTGCAAAAGACCGTGATACTTGTAGTACGCACTCAGCACGGAGCCCTTGTCAAGGGTGCCCTCCACTATTTTCACCAGCTCCTTTTCGTGCTTGAATGTCAGGCAAACGTTGCGACCCAACCCGGCATTTCCCTGCAGCGCGGCGACGGACTTGAGCCAGCAAATACAAGCAAAAACCAATGGAACGGTGGATTTGCGAGATTCAAAGTACTCTTGCATCAACGCCAGAAATGATGCAGTCATCGATCCACTAGAGCGTTTGTAACCACTCCCGGTGGAAGCTTTCGTCGTTTGAATCATATTATGAACCAGCGGCAGCTGCTGCAGAAGCAAAGGCACCATGTTGCTATCGTCCGGCAGCACGTAGTGCGGGGCTCGTTCTTCGTGATAGTTTTCTCCAAACTATCCATCCGGGAAACATATGAGTCGGTTTTCATCACTTGGGATCGCGACTGCAAACTTGTCCAGCGTTCCCCACACATTCACGAAATCGCTTAGCAGCATTCCCGGAACAAAGCGATAGCTTTTCTCCTTCTCGAACTTTTCGCAAACCTCAGTCTCCAACTTCAACATTTGAGCCTTCAGGCAACTTGGGGCATGTTCCATGACAACGACGAGCACGTCTTCAGCCGTTTTCAGCGACGGGTATTTCAGTTGCAGCTTTGCCGTCAGAGCACTTGCCCAATCCATCGCCACCTTTGCCACCACTGCAGCCTCCGCCATCGTTCGCTCCTGCTTCTTGACCTGGTCGTAGATGTTAAACACGCCTTCCACCAATTCTTCAAGCTCCAGAAAGAAGTAGACAACTTCCAGCCTCATATCTTCCGCGAAAGCCTCATCAAAGAGACGCTTCCGCTCCGTCTTGGCTTTTTTCGGGGTGTGCTTGTCCTTCTCGAAGATTTCTTCGTCTGGGAAATAGTCTTCGTCCACTTGCAGCACCTCGTAGTAGTTCTCGAACCGCGAGCCCGCCAGCTCCTCCGTAGATTTTTGAGATGGCTTGACTTCGATCCCTTTCAGAATTTTGTACCAAGCTCTCAGGAGCCCTAAACAATGTTGGTGGCCGTGTTCTTCATCTCCAAAGAAAGTGCCTACGTGCTCACGCAATGTGATAGCACATCGACACGCTGTGAGAGCTTTGGGGAGCTCTACCAGGAGTTTCGGCGTTAGGGTCGTGGGCTCCGCTGCGATCTCGTTCACCACGTCGCTGAGCGCATCAAGTAACCTGTAAACTAACTAACTAACCTGTACCCGTTGGCCTGCGTGACGCCCCCGCCCTCGCGCCCGTAGTAACCAGTCGAGAAAGAAGGCCGTTGCGCGCTTGTAGCGCGCATACTTGGTCGCTGGGAACGACGCCATGATGTATCTGACGGGCCTCTCCGTCCAGTAAAAGGTGCTATCAAATGAACGCAAATCTTATATTTTTGGTCAACATGCAAATCGTGTGCTTTTCATCGAGTAAAAATTACTCAAGCTTTCATGAAAGGTATGTATGCTTGCAGGTCGGCAGGAATGGCACTGTAGCAGGTCTCGAAATCCTACTTTCGAAGAACTTACCCTGCCTAGTGTAGGCAATTATCCCTTCACCACGCTGCCGTGTGCTTTTCCAAAGACGCCGGCAGCTGAAAACACGAACTCGCCGATATTTATGGTGGGCGTCCAAGGCTGCGGGCTGGCATCGGTAAGCTGAATTCCGACATCACGAGAGACGTCGAGAACTAATTACGAGTCTTCATCACCTCGTATTGGTTTCTACCACCGTATACGACGCACTTGCCACTCTTGCCGAGGCAACCCACTCCATCCAGCTCAGAGACTGTACTAAGCGCGGCCTCGAATTTGTCAAACTTGTGGCCGTCAACGTCGGTTTGCAATCGGAAGTAGAACTGAGAGCCAACCATCCTGTGGTGGTAGAAATAAAAGTGTCGGACCCACTTTGATACCAGATTTTGGAAAATTAAAGTTTTTACTGGGCCAATGACACGCTTTCGTCGGCAACACACGAATGTTGCGCGAATGTGGGCGTATCCGAATATTGCAAAAAATACCTGGTGAGTGCTGGTCATTACCCCGCAACTCGCCACATGGAAGTGTTCGTCAAGCTGGTGCACAAAGGAACCCGTACTCCGCTCAACGATGACGAGCCAGCACTAATCACAGTTCCAGCGGGCTCCTCGAAAGTTGGCCATCTCAAAGAAGCTATCCATCGTCGATGCTACCGCGCCGTGGGTCATGTTGACGCGGACGCACTGAGAGTGTGCGACCCCGACGGTCTGGAGGGAGCGTACGTGGCCACACATGTCCCGTTGAGCGCCATTGACCCGGCCAAGATCTACTTTGTGGAAGTTCCGCCCGTGTCCGAGGCAAAAATCGGCGTTGCCCCACCTCCCGTTATATGGACTGTCCAGTTGGTCCACAAAGGAACCCGTTCGCCATTCAACAAGATTGGACCAGCCTCAATCCTAGCGCCACCGGGCTACAAGACTGTCGGCCCTCTTCTAGCAAAAGTCCACGAGCAATGTCATCACACTGTAGGCCACGTTGACGCGTGCCAACTGAAAATGGCCACCCCGGACGATTTGGAGGGCGAATATCTGGATGGGCTTGAGCCCATTGAGCCGACAAAGATTTGTTTTCACAGAGGGCACCGGGGTTGGTTCTGGAAGACGGCTGTTAACGCTCTTCTGTCGGCGGCAGTTCGTGGATCAGTGGAACGAAATGAAATGGAACTCAGTTGATAACGAGGCTCTGCAGTGGATCGTTGGCCCCCCGGGCACGGGAAAGTCGTGTACAGCGTTGGCTTTCGCTTACGCGCTTAATGCTTCGGTCTGGGACGTGCTGTGGATGGATTTTCGCCTCCAGACGGTGCGTTCCTGTGTGTTTGGCTCCACGAAGAGGAAAAGACGATGTGTCGTGTTGCGGTACAAGACGTTCAGCTTCTGCAACAATTAGTGGACTCCTTGTCTTCCACCAGAAGCACGCTTGTATTCCTAGTTGGATACGCTGCGTCAGACCACGAGATGGAAGAAGCCCGTCGAATTTGCAAAAAGTGGCATTGTTTCGACAAGGCGCTGCGTCGACTGATTTACGTTTGCTCGATGTCAAGCGTCAACAAAAAGTATCGGATGGAATTATACCCCGCGATTTCAAGACGTACGCCAGACGTGGAAATGGAGACGGAGGGGACCGAGTCATCTGTCGTGCAACTAACATCCAACCCCCCAAGCGGCGCGCCAGCCGAGCGACTGCTTACCGAAATGTCGTATGACCTGGAGTCATGGAGGCTTGAAGATTACCGAGAGGCGATCATGCAAAACGACGAGTTTTTCGAAAGTGTGAAGGACATGTTTGACCCGTTCAGTGAGATGGATGATCCGATGCAGGGAAGAGCAAAGTTACTCGACGAGAAGTTCTGTATCGCTGGGGCTGATGTTTGCTGTTCCGGTGAATACAGCTATGGCTTCTTTGGACAAAGCTATTCGCGAACTGGCCTCGAAATCTGAGCATTTGATAGGTGTTTTAGCGCGTGGTGCCATCAACCGATTGCGAGCAGAGTACCATCACGCAGCCAATCGAAAAGAGACTTGTTTCGTGAGCGAATATGTTGCGAGAAAATTCGCAGCTCTACATGGCCCGAAACTTCTTCAGCAAGTGGCGACATTGTGTGACGTGAATCCGGCTATGGATGGCTACTTGTTTGAAGCCTGGTTTTTCGCGTCACTAAAAGCGTGGGGTGTTAAGTGCTGCTACCTCCGAAAGTTTATAAACAAAGACGGAGAGTTTGCGCGAGCCGATACAACGTTTTTTGATCCCAAGCATGAGTCGATCGCTGTTTCGCTTGAGAACGCGATATGGCTGGCACCGGTCAAGTGGAATCAAGGTGGATACGATGCCGTGTTTATTGACAAGGCCGAATGCATCGTGCGATTCGTTCAAGTAACCCGTGCCCAGAATCACAAATTTGATCCCGATGACTTCATCAAGCTTCTAGTCAAGCTCGCGATGCACGCAGATATGATGGGGGTCCAGTTAAAAGCGGTCGTGCTGTATTTTGTCGTTCCGATGGAGAGGTTGAAAACGTTCACCTGTCCGGTCAGCTCGCAAGATTTCGGCACATCCGTCATCCAACATACATCGGTTGCTGGATCGATAGCAAAGGCAACTCGAAGTCACTCTTACGACATGTTCCGGAAATGCAAATCGAAGGTGAAAGTCGTCGGAGTCAACTATGGAATGTCAAAACGCGCTCGTCAAATGATGGCTGAAAGCTAATACTTGTAGCGCGTGTACTTGGTCGCTGGGAACGACGCCATGATGTATCTGACGGGCCTCTCCGTCCAGTAAAAGGTGCTATCAAATGAACGCAAATCTTATATTTTTGGTCAACATGCAAATCGTGTGCTTTTCATCGAGTAAAAATTACTCAAGCTTTCATGAAAGGTATGTATGCTTGCAGGTCGGCAGGAATGGCACTGTAGCAGGTCTCGAAATCCTACTTTCGAAGAACTTACCCTGCCTAGTGTAGGCAATTATCCCTTCACCACGCTGCCGTGTGCTTTTCCAAAGACGCCGGCAGCTGAAAACACGAACTCGCCGATATTTATGGTGGGCGTCCAAGGCTGCGGGCTGGCATCGGTAAGCTGAATTCCGACATCACGAGAGACGTCGAGAACTAATTACGAGTCTTCATCACCTCGTATTGGTTTCTACCACCGTATACGACGCACTTGCCACTCTTGCCGAGGCAACCCACTCCATCCAGCTCAGAGACTGTACTAAGCGCGGCCTCGAATTTGTCAAACTTGTGGCCGTCAACGTCGGTTTGCAATCGGAAGTAGAACTGAGAGCCAACCATCCTGTCGAGTTTCAGCACCAGCGCGTCGTTGTCCATCCAGGTAGTAAGGTACCATTCAAAACTGTGCATTGCGCCAGGGCTAGATGCTCGGCCAAAGCCCAGAGTGTCACGAACAGTGGAATACCGTTGCACCATGCCTCGAAACTCGGATGGTTCTCGATCAGCGTAAGGTGTCTTCAGCAAACGCTTCTCCAGCAAGTCTAAAAGCTCGCGCGCTTGGGACGTCCTGCTAATAGAGCCACAAAGTTGCGCCGTCGACAGCACGAACTTGGTACACTCGAGTGTTGTACTGCATAGGCTTCGCAATGGTGCGAGGGCTGGCCCCCTGACAGCTACATGACCAACTCGATAAAACTTCTGGGCCATGTGGATGACGCGGTAGGCTTCGAATGATACGGCATGCCTTAGCAGCAATTCTGACGTCTTCAGTGCATCTGTTCTGGATAACAACTCCGTCAACCCCATCGAGCTTCTTGATCGCAATGCACGCGGTCTCGACATCGCCAGCTTTATCAGCGCCTCGGATACTTGGGTTTCGTAAGCGAGCGAAAGTTTGCGAAAGCTTTGTGAGCGCCATCTCGAATGAAGATCCGTCTGCTAAAGCCCGTCGGACTGCCAAGTCTGTTTGCCGAGAGCTGTGTAGATCCACCTTGTTCGTTTCTGCTGCAGCCCACCCAGCAGCCTTCCTTCGCTTCTTAGTCCGCCTCTTATGCTTCTTCGACACTTCAGACCTGGTAGACAGTTTTTGGACCGCACGCTGTTGCTTTAAGCAACTTGCTTAACATCGCGCTGTGCGAATACCAGCTCACGCAATCGCTCAGCCCGTGCAGGGACTTGGCGTGTAAAAGCTTCACGATCCACTACTGCGTCGCGGTTTTTCTGGAGACCCGGCATCGATGCAAAAATTTCAGCGATTTCATCTGCCCACCCCAAACCAGCCACTAAATCACCGACTTGCTCCCCACAACCATTTTTCGTGTAAACATCAGCACGAAAACAGCGAAGCAAGAAAAGCAACTTCCGATGGCCATGCTTCACAGCCAAATGGGCAAGCGTATCTTTCGAGTAGAACGTCGGTGTGTTCAAGTCTTCATCATCCGAGCAATGTCGGCATGACCAGCAATTACGGCACTATGCACAGCCATCGTATTGGGCAAAGCCTCGTGAGCGCATTTCACATCACTTAGCTTCCATTGTTCTCTGCAGTGCAGCGGCTGGTTGGTGAACGCTCCCATCTGAATCATCCAGTCAACTAGGTCGATGTCGTGGGCAGGTCCAGCGGCTGCTTGGTGAAGTAACGTACAGAGATCATCTACCGATGGGCTTGCTTTGTCGGTGGGGTCAGTCTTGATAGAGTGCAACGTCATTCCTAGGAGCTCAGGGTCCTTCTTGATCTCAGACTTGAGGCGATTCAAATCGGTATTGGACAATGGGCCGTCACTTGATTTCAGCAAATTCATCAACTCGGAAAACACTGCTTCACGACTCTCATTGCGTGTCTTTTGCTTGGACGACACTGTGCCGTACTCTCGGTCCACGAAATCTGGCTTGAGAGGAAACAGGAAATACCGTTTTCACAAACTCGAGCAGCCTTTGCAAATTTGGCTGTAGTCACAGCGGCCACCTTTTTGCACATTGTGCGTACGCGCTCACCGTCGACACTCGTGATGTTTGAACAAACCAACTGGTAGCTTGCTCCAGTTCATAGACCCATCACGCTGCAGACAATCCAAAAGGGACAGGAGAGGGAACATCACCGCGGTCACTGGGGCGCGCATGGTGTTGGTGGTACAGGACCCTTCGCGTTCACGATCAGCAGTGTATTCGTTATGAAAGTGTCGTCGCTCCAACGCGTCACACATTTCCGAAAAGACCTCTACAAGGTCGTCGTTGAGTGTCACCAAGTCTCGTGATAATGTGCGCGTGTCGAATAGCTCTTTGTAACAAATATCGGCAGCTTTTGTAGCATTGTTCTTGGCGACGCACTTCCCAAGCATGACATGTCCTTCTCAATAACACGGCGAAACGTATCCGTAGTATCTTCAGGAAACTTCGTCCGATCCTTTTAGTCCTCTTCTGCTTCTTGACTTGGTCGTACACATTGAACACTTCCTCCACCAGCTCCTCCAACTCCAGAAAGAAAGGCGCCACTTCCAGCCTCAGATTCTCATCGAATGCTTGGTCAAACAAACGCCTCCGGTCCGCCTCGGCTCGCTTTGGGGCCTCTTTGCCTCTCACAAAAGTCTCTTCGTCTGGGAAGTAGTCCTCGTCCACCTCCAGCACCTCGTAGTAGTCCTCGAACCGCTTGACTTCCTCAGCTGCAGCGCCATGCTGCTCCATCGCGAGGGCTTCAAGCGTCTGGCTCCAGCCTTTCAGCAGCTTGAGAAAGTGCCGATGCCCCCCCCACTTGGGCCTCGTTGTCTTCGGCGAAGAAGGCGGCCACGTGCTCGCGATACGTGATGGCGCACTGGCAGGCCACGAGCGCCTTGGGCAGCGCTTGCAGCAGCTTGGTAGTTAGGACCGACGGGTCCGCCGCGATCTCCCTGACGACCTCATTGAACTCGTCCAGCTGCACGCGCTTCCCACCAGCGCGCCCTCGCGCGCGCAGCAGCCAGTCCAGGAAGAAGGGACGTGGTCTGCTTGTAGCGGGCTTACTTGCTCGTAGGGAACGATGCCATGGAGCCGGCCGTCTGGGGGTGCTTTGGCAGCGAGTCGGAGAATGCGGAACGTCGGAACCAGATATCGTGTGATCGTAAGTTGAAGTTGAGTCAGGAGTGATGGTCAGTGTAGGCATCGTGTTATGGCTACACTCTGAGCTACTTGCTAGAGCCTCTTGGCTACATGTAGCTTGTCTTCTTCACGCCGCTGCAGCGTCGCGAACGATTCCGCTCGCTGAAAACACAAACTGTCCGATGCGAACATTCGGCGTGCCCTGTTGCGAGTTTCGATCAGCGAAACGGACTCCTGCGGTAGCTGCAGCTCCGAGAATCAGCTCACGAACCTTGGCCACGTCCTCTTCACTCGACCCGCCGTACACAACGCGCTTGTCGAAGCATACCACGCCGTGCACTCCGTCAATCGCAGCAATCGCGCTCTCGAATTGAGAGAACTGTTTCGCGTTCGCAGTGGTTGCAAGATCGAAGTAAAACGGCCGGCCGTTCATCGCATCAAGCCTAACGTGCACCTTGTAGTCGTCCACCGTCGTGACCAGATACCACTCCAGAGCGCGAAGCGAGTCGGAGCTGGCGGTTCGCCCCATTGCCATGCCATTGCGAGCTTCAGAGTATGTCTGCACCATTTCTCGAAACGCTCCAGGCTCGCGCTTCTCGAACGGGGTCTTCAGCAGCCGCTTCTCCAGTAAATCGAGGAGCTCACGAGCCTGAGGCTTCCGGCCGACGGAGGCGCAGATTTGAGCCGTGCCAACCACAAAGCTGGTGAAGCTCGGAGTTGTGGCGCACATCTTCCGCACGGAAGCAAGGGCGGGCACTGAGATTGCAGCGTGGTCGACTCGGTGGAGCTTCTGCATCATGTGAAAGACTTGAGAGGCTTCAGACGCTATCGTAGTTCTCAAGCGGCGATCCGTCGAGTTCAGTCGGCTCGTATGGGACGACAGCGCAACAACGCCTTCCAGCTTCTCGATCTCTTCGCACGCACGCTTCGCATCGTCGATCTTGTTCTCGGCAGGAATGCTGAGATCTCGCAGACGAGCGAACATAGCTGCTGTATTCTCGAGCGAGTCGTCCAACACTGTCAGAGGTTTTGAGTCATCGTCGGCATCAACCCCCGATCCCGTAAGTGACAGGAGATCCTTGAGCAGATTCGCCGTGCCGTCTACCTCGACAGAACCTACAGAAGACGGGGTCGTTGTAGCCGCTGGTCCCTTGTCTTTTCCCTTTTTGCCCATCTTCCCCTTCTTTTTACTCTTCTTCTTCGATGAACTCGCTGCATCTGTGTCCGCAGTTGCAATTGCGCTCTGGCGTTCTTCATCACGGTGGGCAGCTACAGACCTGTGCAGCTGATCGGCCCGGATAGACGCTTCGTGACGGAACTGGGCATCGCGATTTCTCGCACCCTCGGATCTTGCTTGGCTTTCTTCCAGGGTAGCAGTCGATCCGGCAATATCGTGTGCCCAATCTGGGTCCCTAGTCATCTCACTCACACTTCTCCCATTCCCATCCTTAATGCGGAGGTCGGCCCCTAACGCAGCCAGCACTCGGTACAAACGACGGTGGCCATGTTTGACGGCCAAGTGCGCAAGTGTTTCCTTTGTGTCATACGTCGGCGTGTTCAGGTCGATCATGTTGTCCGCTTCAAGAATGATTCGCACAATGTCTTCGTGGCCCGCGATTGCTGCGCTGTGAACCGCCATAGTTCTGCACAGATCGTCGCGGGGGCATCTCAGATTACTCTGTCTGACATCGGTTCTGCAGTGCAGAGTCGGCTGAATGACTAGTGCTCCCATCTGAATCATCCACTCGACCAGTTCAGCATCATGCGCAGGACCGGCTGCAGCCTGGTGAAGTAGCGTTGAGAGATCATCACGGGGTGCGTTCGCAAGATTCTCAGGGTCGAATACGCTACGATCAGGTCCTGACAACGAGCGAAGCGAGATCATGTTCAATAGTCCGGGGTCTCTCTTGATTTCCGACTTCAGCGTTTTCAGGTCGCTCTCCGACAGCGGCCCGTCACTTTCCTCCAGCATATCCATCAAGTCGCAAAACACGTTCTCGCGGTTCGCACCCCCGGTGAGTCTCTTGAACGACACCGTTCCATACTCATGGTTGACGAAATCTGGGCGCGACGGGAACGTAAAATACCTTTTATCGCACATGAGAGGTGGAGTCGCAAATTTGGCCTTGATCACAGCAGCTACCTTCCGACACATTGCTGTCACCTTTCCGCCATCCAAACGGCCAGTCTGCACAACATTATTTCCGATCGGAAGTGCCTGTAAATCCAACGAGCCATCGCGCTGTAGACAATCCAGAAGCGGCATCAGCAGCAGCATCACGGCATCTTCCAATGCGCGGTTCACTCGATATTGGCGAGACTCGCCGGGGCTTGGACGTGCAATGTACTCGTCGTGATACTGGCGTCGATCTAGCTTGTCACACATCTCTGAAAACACGTCAGTGAGGTCGTCATTGAGTTCGAGTATATCACGTGATAGAACCTGCGTCTGGAACAATTCCTTCGAGCAGATATCGGCGGCCTTGCTGAGCATAACTTTGGACGAGGCTCCCCTCCAAAACGGTCTTGTCGCCTTCAATCAGCAGTCGGTATGTCTTGGACAGATCGACCATGTGGAGAGCTGTCCGTACTTTAATACCTTCGTTTTTGTTTGGGGGTGGAGCACCACGGTACAGCGCGTTCACAGAAGCAGCGGTCATGTGCGAGCTTAGCAGGTAGGTGCGATTGTATGCACCGTGAACGACTGCAGCACGTGAAGGAGTGAAGATCATCTGATCATAGATGTCCAGCAGCTCGTCGAAGAACGGGATATGCTGAAGGAATCCTTGGCAGACCAAGGCGTTGTAGAGATGGCCAAACGCACGGAACCTCGACGTCACCATGATAACTTCACCTCCAAGGTTCAAATACTGCAAATGGTGACTCATCATCGTGAAACCAGCCAGCAACGGGTTCGCTCGTCCCAGGTGACGGCCCATGTTGGAGCTCTTGATCTCTTCCGTGCAGTACTGAAGCAAGCCGTGAATCTCTTGGTCGTTGGTTTTAACCACACCCTTCGCATAAGTGGCCTCCAGGTTTTTCATCAGGTCTGACGTGTGCTTGAACGTAAGACTCACATTACGGCTGAGACCAGCATCTCCCTGCAAAGCAGCAACGGATTTCAGCCAGCAAATGCATGTGAACACCATTGGGACTGTGACCTTGCGGGACGTGAAGAACTCGTCCATCTGCGCCATAAAGGAGCCCGTGAAGCCCGACGGATCATACCCCGACCCAGTAGCGGCTTTCTTCGCGATGATAGTATTGTACAGATGCGGCAACTGCTGCATCAGGAATACCACCATGTTGCTAGGGTCTGGGAGCACGTAGTGCGGAGTCCGTTCCTCGCCATAGGTTGGGCCGAAGAATCCATCCCGAAGAATCAGAGTCTGCCGAGGGTCGGTCGGGATAGCAGACGTGAAGCTTGCCAGTGTGTTCATCACATTCATATAGTCCACCATGAGCATTCCCGGGACGAAATGGTACGCCCCGCATCTCTTGAAACTCTCCCACGAATTGGCCGTCTTCGGAGCTTCACGCAGCACGGCCGTCTCTTCATCCGGAAAATAATCCTCGTCCACCTGCAGAACTTCATAATAGTTCTCGAACTTGGTGCTCTCCATCTCCAGTAGCGCGTCGTCGTCGTCCGGCTCGCCGTCCGCCTGCATGAGCGTCTGGTGCCAGCTCTTGAGCAGCTGCAAGAAGTGGCGGTGGCCCTGCTGGGCCGCGTCGTCCTCGGCAAAGAACGTGGCTACACGCTCACGTAGAGTGATGGCACATTGGCAGGTGGCGAGGGCCTTGGGTAGCTCCTGGAGCAGCTTGGGCGTAAGGGACGTGGGCCCGCTGCGATCTCCCGCACCACGTCGTCCAGCGCCTTGAGATCCACGCGCGCGCCTGTGGGTTGTCCGCGGCCGCGTGCACGCAGCAGCCAGTCCAGGAAGAAGGCGGTGGCGCGCTTGTAGCGGGCGTACTTGCCCGCGGGGAACGCCGACATCATCCCGGCTTTGATGGGAAAGTGATCAGCGATTTCAGCTCCCCTCCGTAAAAGCCGCTTTTATTTTAATCGGTTTTATCAGCTTTCATAAGATGTAAGTTCGTAGTCTTACAAGGGTTTAATCGGGTTTAATCTGCAGTAAAGGCAGGAAAAGTGCGGTGAAATTCGATAGGGCAGTTAATGTTGAAGCGAGACTTGCATGGTCCAACGGGGGGGGGGGGGGGGGGGGGGGGGTTTCCCTTTTTTTTC